TCAAGGATACCGCCAGTTACACCCTGGTCATAACCGAAGAGGCTAGTTGGGAGTTTGTTAGTCGCAGGGAGATCGAATTGAAACTAGATAATCCAGAAGTGACATACAGGAAATCAAGACTGCCAAGAGAACTGATGGCCAAGTTCAGAGAACGGCCTCTGAAGCCGAAGAACCTCGGCCAGTTAAACATGTTGAAACACAGCACGCCAGACGAGAGTCAAAGGAAGCATTGAGAGCGGGAAAAATGAGCCTGACAGAGACAACAGGTTATATACTGAATCCACAACTCGATTCAAGCCCCCCCGGATTAACAAAAGTGGTAACCCGAGGTGACCGGGGTTCAACAGGGCATGGGGGAAGCCAAGACGCTTGGAGGTCATCGTGCGCAGCGGGGATGGGCAATTCCACGGTAATAGGATTTGGGGGCGGCTCAGCCGTCAGATTATAACTGGTCCAAATGCCCAGACTTTCACCTGCTGGTCAATGTACGAAACACTTGGCGGTGATATGCCACTGCTTGGCAAGCGGCATGGCACAACTTGGCGGCCTTGCTTAGAAGGGAATCTGCCAATGACTAGCCTTGATGGTTTTCTTTTTTTCGGCTTTAGCCGGAAAACGGAATGAAAATGGAGAGTTTCGCATGTACTCCGATGGAGGAATTCGAGTTCCTATGGTGGAAGCTCTGTCGTTGCCTAGTCGAGCTGAAGTCAGGAATGGGACAACCAATGGAAAGTGTAGATGTAGAGTGGGCCCAACCAAACCAAATCAAACACCCCCAGGTGACAATAAGAGCTGCTCGTAAAAATGGAGAGAGCTGATGGAAAATATGACGCAACATCAAGTTGAGTCAACATGGACCTTATCCCATTGATTCATGGCGCTGGTCAATGACATACGCCAAATGGTGCCAGTTTCGCGCGTGGGCCACACGATCGAGCAAAGCCAAGACGTTGCACCCGGGGGGGTTTTCTGGGCATCAGCCACGCGAAGGGCGCCTGGTCTTGGCTCAGCCATGGCACCCGGGGAAATGATCCATTCTGCCCACGGGGAAATGGGTCTTTTGGCCCCGACACCAAGGTCTTGGTCCAATTGAAACCAAGAGAGAGAGCCTTGGGAGACACAAGACAGCTTGAATCAGGTAATGAGGTACATTGAATGAGGTGCATGTTCCGCCCTGCTAATGCTAGATGAATTGCTTAATTCTCTCGATGATTTTGGGCGTTTGAGATTCCGCGATGACTGGACGAGTCAGAACTCTGGCGATTGATCTAGATGCGGACTGCAGTAGCGATATCTGCTAACCTAGATCTGTTCGCTGAATCCCACACTAGGCCCGCTAGCCTTTTTCCTCTTCGGGGATTCTCATTCTCTTCAGAATATACCCGGGCATCATACGAAGTAAAAGAGGAGTCATCTGAGGTCGACGATTTAGTATTTGGAAAGAGAAGAGAGTATACCGATTAGCGCCCAACGCCCAGCGCCCCAATGCGCCCCCAAGGCCGTGGCATCCCGGCAAAGGCGCTCTGCGATGCGATTGAGCTTTCCGAAGCCGGCTAGGTGTACCGTGGCTAAAGCTAAAGAACTTCCTTTTTCTCTCAGCCCGACCGGAAAACCATCCTTCCCGGCGTCCCAGATTCTCGAGCCCACGGGTGGTGTTATACCTCCGGGTGGCGGTCCTTTGGCCAAAGCCACACTGGCTCGGCGTCGTCATCAGGAAACCCCCCCCCCTGGAACGTGCACCCACCCTACGAGTGACCGATTCTTAAGTCTCGTCGCCAATGCGAACTAGGCGGCTTTCGCGTCATTTGAGTCACACAGCGCGTCTGAAATTTCTCGGCGCCGGGAGATGAACCAGCCCAGAATAGAATCTATTATTTTCCGTCGTCGAGAGGCCCCGCCGAGTCAACGTCAAGGTTGAAGAGAACCAGTCAAACGCAAGGATCGGCCCTTGAAATCCCCGTTCTGGTTGTGAACCTCGACAAAGAAAGGAGACCCACGTGTTGCTGGATCCGATCAAGAACTATGATAGGTCTCCGGCAACCACTTTTAGACGCGGCTGATATTAGACCAGATGACCTTGATGCGCCTTTTCTCATGGCGAAACTTCTCAATGACATATGTGGATCAAAATGAAAGGAAGCTAGTTACTCGCTTGGTGCCAGTGGTCTAGAAAAACAAGCGACTCGGTGTCTGAGCGCTGTCGCTTCTGGCCATACCTGCGGTGGCAGCCTAGATAGGAAACCCGCTCAGGATTTCTCCGCTTTCTATCCCGTACGGGAGACGGAGTACTACTTGTAAATTTGAGGGGATACACTAGCAAATTAGGGTGCTTAGGGGTGGATCTGAAACGGGGCAGCACTGCGAAGTTATGCGGCAGATCCTCAACGGGCTTGACGGGTGACTGGGTTACATACCCCGTGAAAGAAATTCCCCGATCTACAGGGCGTATTCGGCTAATATTTGAGAGAACAGTGACGTCGGTGGAAACAAAGCAAGAGTAGTTCTTTGTCCGATGGTTATAATAGCTGCTACATGCCATCAGAATTGCCCTGCAGAGATGTGACACGCATATCGCCCGGCAATCGCTCCAGACCTCGTGGCACTAATGTTAATGATGATCTACTAGTGCAGTTTCGGCGAGCGCTGTGGATTAGACCCTCAAAAGGGGCTTCCCAAAGGCTTATCGTAAAAACCGTTACAGGATTGAGTACAGTAGTTACCTTGAGGAGTGGGCCATTGCTGTCGTTCAAACCATTCTAGAAGCGAATTCGAAACAGATCGGCTTTCCCCCCAGTACCTCTTAGGCAGAAATTCATGTTGAGTCTCCAGTGGATTTTTTTTTATCTCGGAGATGAAACGCAGGCTCCGAAATTGCATGAAAATGAAATGGCGGTAACTAGGTATACTCAACGACAAATTGCCAATCAATCGGACATACTTCGGAGCTAACAATCTTAACAAGTGCGAGTGCCGAAATATGGGATTGCCACTAGAAGCGCCATTATGAACGGTGATCTGATATATGGTGGTGTGGCTTTGTAACTAGCTCTAGAATGTATAGCTTCTAGCTTCGAAGATTCTGACAACGGGCCGATCTATCCGCAGTGGCTAAAAAGTCGCCGAAAAAACCTCGGCTCGGGCAAGGATTGCACCGTTTGGTCCCTGCAGAAAATGAAAATCTGGGTTTGGCGGGTCCGTTTCCAACGGCTCAGGATCATCATAGGCGCATACACCGCTCGATCTGGAATTCTCCGAGCCGGGGGACCCTTGCGGAATCTACTCGATCCTATAGAGGTTAAGCTTATCCTGGGACTGTAGGGTGGAATTCTCTCGAACCTTTTTTTGCTGACGGGCAAACTCCACCTACAAGTTTTCTCTCCCGCGCGCTCAAACTCCACTGAAGAATCCACCTTGATGGCTGGAAACGTGGCACATCTTAACAAATATGATGAGAAATCGACCGGAAACATGGTACCACTGAAGATCTTGAAAATATTTAAGAGCAAGCATGGAGAACTGGAGCTGTATATATTAATTTCTTCCAACAATCAATCAATTCATCTACACCAAGACCGATAATCGTCTTTTTTTACATTCAAAATGAGCGTCACATTCGATGTTTTCCGCGGTTCCCAGGAGGGCAAAATCGTTGCGGACAAAACTACTCGCGAACTTCAGCCTAATGAGGTTTATATCGAGACAACACACTCCGGTCTCTGTGGTACCGATGAGCACTATCTGAAGTCCGGCATGGTTCTCGGTCACGAGGGTGTTGGTGTTGTTCGCCAGCTCGGACGTGACGTCAAGGATGTCAAGGTCGGCCAGCGTGTTGGATTCGGATATACTCACTACGTCTGCGGTACCTGTGAGAAGTGCTTGACTGGTAAGTGACCAAGAAAAAACTCCTATATGACCAAAGGAATCACGGCTGACAGATCTTCACAGGCTGGGACCAGTACTGCGAGAACAAGAAGGAGTACGGCTCTCACGACCACGACCTTGGATCCTTCAGCCGGGGTGTTGTCTGGGATGCACGCTGTGTCGTCCCCATACCCGATGGATATGACTCTGCCGATGCTGCTCCCCTGATGTGCGCTGGCGCCACAGTTTGGACCTGCTTGACTGAGTACGGCGTTCGTCCTACCGACCGCGTTGCTGTGATGGGAATCGGTGGCCTGGGCCACTTGGCTATCAAGCTCGCCTCTGCCATGGGCTGCCACGTTGTGGTTTTCTCTAGCTCCGAGGCCAAGCGCGAGGAGGCTTTCAGCTTTGGTGCCTCCGAGTACCACGTCTTCCGTGCTGGCGAGGAGCTCAAGGACTGCAAGCCTGTTAACCACCTTCTCCTCTGCGGCAGTGCCAATGTGGATTACCCCTCGTAAGTCGAACACCTCGGGATGATCAGCATAATTTGAACATTGCTAACCTTCCAACTTCAGCCTCATTCCCCTGATGGACGTCCACGGATCTATCTACCCTCTGACCGTTGACTTCGCGCCCTCCCCCGTTCCTCTGCTCTTCATGAACATTAAGGGTATCCGTATCCAGGGATCCCTGGTCGCTTCTCGCCGCAGCCTGCGAACCCTGGTTCAATTCGCCGCGGACAAGAAGATCACCCCTACCAAGATGACATTCCCCTTGAACAAGGAGGGTGTTGAGGAGGCCATGCAGACCCTCCGCGATGGGAAGATGAGATACCGCGGTGTTCTGATTCGCCAGTAGGCGAATTATACCGGCAAAGGTCTTGGAAATGGAATAGATATACCAAAATAGAATAATACATCATAGAAACGTTGAGCGTTTGGAATTTACCATGATATCGAATTTTTTCAACTTCATCACATTCATCGGGGACGGGAACAGACCTGGATATCCAATCCGACTTGAGGTTCAAGTACATCAGCAAATAAGACATGCAACTGAACTGGTATTGCCATCCTAAAAAGACGCTATTTGGAAGCCATTGCAAGTACTACCCGACACGCCTCTTCATGTGACGGTGATCACTCCGAACGAATTTTGAACTGAGGAGCCGTCGTTCCCGTCACAACGCCCACCGTATTCTTAACCTCAAATGAATGAAACTTATCCAAAGCCCTGCGCATATGCGGCTCACCGATGCGCAATTGCTCCAGAATCTCCGCAACGGCAGAATACAAAATCGGAATACTGCCATCCTCAATCTTAACCGCAATCCCAATACCACCTGTAGCCCCGATTTCCCTGGTCCGCGACGACTCCCTCACGCCAATCCCATAGCACCCATCAGCACCAAGCTTTCCGATCAGCTCCCCCCCAAACGCCCCCATGAGGATAGTGCAGAACCGATCCTCACCTCCCACATTCTCGGGATACCGCGCCATAGCATGAAATACCCGGCTCATAGATCTCAACCTCGTACTTTCACTACCATCATAATCCCCAGCCGGGACTCGACTCGCATCGGCAAAGGCAGCATACATGCGCGCAAGATAATTCAACGGAAACGCCGGCGCGGGAAGATTACACCCATCCAGCCCCCATTTCGACTCACCAGCCCCCAACCCACAAATTTCATCCACAGTCTTGAAAATACGTTTCTGAAGCGGGTGCCCGGGTAAATGATAACTCGCCACATCAGCCCCCAACGCCTTCGCCGCAGCGATCATCCCAGCATGTTTGCCAGAGCAATTACTACAGACTGGCGTCGGGGTAAAGTCCGCTTTAATCCAGTTCCTGTGCACGGCGTCCGAGACAGGAACGTGGCCGCCGCACTGGAGATCGTTTTCCGATGCGGAGATTTGCGCGAGGATCGCGCGGGCTCGCGCGATGTGGTGGTCTTCGCTGCTGTGTGAGGCGCACATGAGGGCTAGGTCGGCTTCGGTGAGGTTGTATTTCTCTAGTGCGCCTGTTTCTAGGATTGATACGGCTTGTGCGGGCTTGGCGGCTGAGCGGGCGAGGGTTAGCCGGCTTGGGTCGCCGACGCTGTGGAGGAGGGTGCCTGTGCTGTCGACTATGGCGGCGTGGACGGCGTGGCGGTTTTCGATTACGCCTCCGCGTGAGGTGATCACGAAATCTGTTGATAGGGGTGTTCGCATGGTGGTGATGTGTGTGGTTGTGCTGATGTGTGGTGCAGTGGTTGCTTTGGAGAGTGCAGCGGAGCTCTGAGGTAAGGAGGAACTAATGAGATGACCTCGGGAATAGATATTTCTGTTTACTATGGCATCCGCTGTTTGTAAAGTGTAGTGGAGGGCCTATGTCGCATTCACTCGAGCTGGAAGATATGACTCGGTATGACTCTGAACTCTGATATTTTTGTCTGGCACGGGCCGCTACCCGTTTTGTGCCCAGGTGGGATCGACAGGTCCCGAGCTCAGCGGATCGGATCTCGTCTATTTCCATTTTCAAGTTCCAAGGTTCGTTTAGAACGTGACGGGTCGAGATGTGGAGGTGTACTAGTAGATTATTCTAGGTTGGAGTGGAATGCAGGTGTGGACAGGTAAGAAATCTTGTGTTCTATGTGAATGATCGAAGCTTTTAAATGGCAGAAATATCCCTCTAAGGAAATGGTGTAGGATGAAAACAATAACAAGAACGCTCATGTAATAACAATCAAAAAGGGTTCGAAAACGCCGATAGAAATCGCTCAGTAAATCGCTTCAATGATGGACCGAAATGAGATCATTAAATGTGTACGTGTGCAGGGAGATCTAAGTGTGACCAGAGAGAATGGTAGAAGATCACAGACCAGGGAAGGAAAGAAATGTCGAAAGCGTGGAAGACTAGAAGCTGAAAAGACCGGTGCGCTTCTTGCCGTAGGGATAGACGATGAGGGCAGCAATGAATAAGCCAACAGTAATGCCGATGGCAACCTGGATCATACCGAAGCCAAGACTGGCGACGGAAGATGCGGAGAGACTGCTGCTAGAGGAGCTGTTGCCGGAAGTTTGGAGATTGTGCCGGACTTCATCGGCATACTTAATGCCAGCGATGAGGGAGCCACTCGAGGCAAGACCGGAAGGAACGAGGACGAAGATACCTGGCAGGATGGCAGTGGCAGCGTGACCGTGCCAAAGACGACTGTACAAATTGCCGAGAACGCCGATGGTGAATGCGCCGACGGTATTCGCGACCTCGGAGTTGGAGCCGAGTAGTGTCGTGCTGAAATAGTTGGTGATGTAGCCCGAGACAGCAATGAAAACCATGACCGGCATTTGCTTCCACTTTCCTTGATTGACGATTGCGAGAAAGACTGCATAAATGGCGACGAAAGGAAACTGTCGTGTGTAATCAGATCCGTAGATACTGAGATTGGAACATGTAGATGCGGATGTGGCATTACCGTCCATGAGGCCATATATCGTGGTCCCCACGGTGATACCGTAACCGAGAAAGAGAGAATAAATGATAGCGTAGACCATGCGAATCGACCCGGCGATCATCTGGTGTGATTGAAGTTCCAGACTGCTACAGAGAACCATGAAACCAGGAAGGATTAGCGCAATGGATGATTGTGCCAAAGCAGAGAAGCAGAAAAGCTCTTCTTGAACCCCATTGCGGGTGACTTTGATACTGCCAAAGGCACGAGCGAGGAAAGAAGTGAGCACGGCAGCAGTCACTTCGAAGACGTTGGAATACAAGACAGAGCGCGGGGCCAGGACGTGTTGCATAAGACCGACCAGGCAGCCCAGAATGAAGATGATTGGCATATCGATCGGACGTGCTTTGAAAGCGAAGGGACCAACAGCAGTACTCGCGAGACCATACATCCCAACAAGAATCCACCGGTTGAATCGGGGCTTCCGTTGCATGATTTCATCCAGTTCCTGGCTTGCTTCTTCAACTCCAATGAGATCATGTACAACATTTTTGTAGACGTTGTGCGTGTCGGCAAGGCGGCCCAGGTCAACACCCTGAACCATACGGACCAGCTTAACCTCTGCAGTGCGGGTGACAGGATCATCAAAAGACATCATCATGCAGCCCGGGAGGTACAAGAATTGACCGGAAACCTCAAGGACACGAGCGGTCATCTGCATGTACTCCTCCAAACGGTGAGTCGGCGCACCGTAGCGCATAAGCGCCCGGCAGAGCTGCATAATGTAACGCTGGCGAGCCAAGATCTCGGCGATATGAACAGTAACACGGATCTCATCTTCGAGGCGAGTCTTGCGCTTGTTCTTCCTGTGTTTCTTGCCAGGCTGGATAGGAGCAATGCCAGGCAAAGTAGTACTGCTCAGATTCATGGAAGCGTCGACCAGCGACGAAGTCGATCGGTGATTCGACTTCTTATACCATTTGATCTTTTCCCTGCGTGGGGTTGCAGCACCAGACGCCAGGGCAGACGGGGGAACTGATGGTGTGAGAGAACCCTTCTTTGGAGTTGTCGCACCGGACGAAAATTGGGTGTCGCTATCCGAGTCATCGGTAATGACACTGCCCGGGCGAGACGATCCGTTTGTCGACACAGCCTGGAGCTTCAATAGCTGCGAGAGGATACCGCTGCCGCCGGCCAATCCGCTAGATCGCCGGCGCGCGAATCCACGCAAGACACCCTCCGGAGTTGTCTGGCCCGACCGCTGGTATGCGCCGCGCGGCCGACGTTTGCGATCCTGAGCCTGGGTCATGCTGCGCACCAGGCGATGGGCCTCGGCGGTTGGGGCAGCCTCGATGGGCTGGACACCATTCTCCAACGATCGGAGCCGGTCTGCATCCTGACGGGCGCGTCGTGCTTGAAGCTCCTCGAGAGGAATACCGTTATCGAAATCATCGGGGAAATAGGAGGCGTTCAAGGCCTCGCCTTCATCGGGAGGGCGACCCAGACGTTCCGTGAGACGAACTGTCTTTTGGCGCAGTAGCTGTCCAGCAGCTCGAAAGCGCTCTCTTGCGGAAGCAGTTCGCTCAATGAGGCTCTGCTTTTCCTCTTCAGGAGGTTCAGCAGGGGATTCCTCCTCGTATGGCATGCGGCCAGTGAGGCCGCGTGAAGAGGAATGTGCGGGGGCTGGCGGGGTGACGGTTCCGGAAGGCACTTCGCTCAACTCTGGTGGCGGTAGTAAATGCTGCGAAGGGTCGGACAAATCGGTGGAGTTGCGACGAGAGCCATCACGGCTGTGTCCATGGCCATGGCCATGGACATGAAATCTCTCGCTTACCGAGCGGCTGATTGAACGGAAACGCACTCGAGGTGAACGAATTGGCGGGGTGGGCTGCGTTGGCGGCGTTTGTATGTCGTGCAGCCCCGCAGCATATTCATGCACATCTGCAGTATCTTCCCGCTGAAGACTGGGACGAGTCGGATTGAGAGTTGGACTGAGGACTGGACTGGGGAGACTTGTCGCAGGGAGGGAAGTAGGAAGGGGAATTTCGTCGAATTCTTCGGTCGGACTTGGGTGAGGACCAACGATCGGGGAGGACATCAGAGCGAAAGAGTAGGGACCAAATGGTCCGGTCTATGGTAAAAAAGAAACACAATAGAAAAGGGAATAATCAAAGACTTGAATTGAACGAGGGTAGTAATTGAATAAGAAAGATAAAGTAGAAAGTAGAAAGTAGAAAGCAGAAAGCAGAGGGAAAATATTTAGTAGAAAACAGCCAGTGGAGAAGGCCTGGAGCAGTACCAAAGATATCAGCTTGGCTGGACTCGGCATTTTGGTTAGGAAGTCTAGATTGATGATCGACCGAAGATCCAGATCCAGCGATAAGGAGTACCCTCCTATACATACATAGAGGTACGGAGTATACTCGAGTATCCCAGAGTGACTGTCATGTTGTTAACTATGAGTTATTACTGTTGTATACCTGTACTAACTAATTAGTAGAGTGCACCTGATTTTCTTCCTTCCTTCCACTTCTACTTCTACTTCTACTCCCTGACTCATCGATCATTCGCGATTCCTCTCTCCCTTCTCTTCCTCTTTTTTCGCCTCTTCCACTTCTCCTGGAAGAAGTTAAACCCCTTCTGCCAATGATGGCGCCTAGTTCGACACACGTACCACCTGTACATCACCCAAGGGTGGGTCGGTGGCGAGCTTGGACCGAGTCTTCCGTCCTTCGATGGTTCGTTCCAGCTTCTATCTCTCCTTTCTAGCGTCTCACGAACCCTAATATGTTCTAGCCTCACGCCGTTTGTCGGGCTTTTATCGCTTGTCACCATGGAAAATATTTGAAATCCCTGAAATTGCTCGACCCTAAAAACGCCCGTGCTACTTTCCACATCCACAGTTGGGCACAATCTTGCTTTGCGTGATTTCCTTTCGGGAGCTCCGTCTGACGATCGGGATCCACGGAGGCCCGTCACGGCCCTGCATGGATTTTTTTCGTACGGATTTACAATAGAGATATAGCCACCTCCTGAGCTCAGGAGCTGATGTGGACTCTTCGCAAGGAGGTGTGACAGCGCCATGGTCCACCACGATGTGATCATCCAGCCATGGCAATGACAATTGGTGACAAGTGGGGACCACAAACATGGCCAAAGGAGCTCATAAGCCAAGCGCCCCGGTTATACATAGAAACAGGCCCACTCGCCGAGAAATAAGGGCGACACACTGTTCACCATTACGAATCCCGAGACATGACAAGGAAGAAGATGTGCTCGATGTCCGCCACTCGCAGGAAGTGGAAGTGGGCCCCTGGATAGTGGGTGGATAAATTGAATTGAATTGAATTCCATTTCCATTTCCTAAACGCCCTGTGATATGATGCTCAACCCTTCAGTCCAGAACGCCAATCCCCATCCATCGACGGGGCACCCCCACCACCTTCGTCACTCATTGCATATTTCACATTTGTTTTGCATTCGCATCGGTCATCGATCATTGCGCATATGCGATGCATGAAACAAGCAACACGTGGCAACTTGAACCCTGCTCTATTTCTCCGAGCGCTTCTTCTTATCGTACAACGTCCAGCCATTCAAATGACCCACGCCCACATTGAGATATGAAGCGTATCCCAACCACGCGTAGTACGGAGTCATCAACCAAAAGGCCGTGCGGTCGGCCGTCCACCAATTGGCCAAAAGGAGGGTCAAATTACCTACCAAGAGGGCCATATCGCCCAGAGCCGCGGCCGGCCGGCCCGCCCCAAAGAAGAGCGGCATCCAGAGAAAGTTGAGCGCCAGCTGTGTTGTGTACAGCGTCTGGGCCGTTTCGTTTGCGTCACGAACCGCCAGTGAGAGCGACCCGGCTGCTGTCGCGGTTGCATGGTGCGCGGCATACCCCATCATTCCGTACAGAACGGTCCAGGCAGGGGCGAAGAGCCAGGCCGGCGGACTGAACGGCGGCTGGCGGAGATCGCGGTAAGTGTCTTTGGTGTTTTTCTCTGTAGATGCGGTGTGAGTGGATGTGTTTCGGGATTTGAGTTGGATTCATGCATGATTGGGGGGTTATACTCACGGTTGACGGCCAGCGCGACGGCCATTCCGCCGACAATGGGCGTGGCGACCGATAGCAGCGGAGAGGTGAACACTCCCTGGGGAAGCGCGAAGGACCACGGCATGATTATTGACCTGGATCTCGGATCTGTGTTGATTCACCTATTTTTTCTTGCCTCTTCTCTGATCTGGAGAATTTAATATTTTGCGGAGAAGGGGGGATCGATTTTAAGGACGCGCATGAAGCCGGCCGATCGCGATCTGGCGATTCCCATCCGCCACTACGTCACCGGCTCACTTTTGCCGATGCCGCGAGCCACTTCGCTTAGGCGACACTGCAAAAGGCGGGAAAAAATACAAATCTATCCCATTTTCAGTCGGCTGTTTAAATTTGGATCCGGATGGCACAGGATGGCACAGGATGGCGTTGTAGTATAAGGTTTGAATGCTGATGCCTGGTCACTCATGCGCGCTCTAGAGCATCCCGGTCATCCCTGTGCGACTTATGCTTGATGAGAAATTGTCTTTCCTCAACGGGAACTTATTTGACATATATCCTTCTTGTCCAATCCTTGTCACTAGCGGAAGGGGCTGATATGAGTGCTAAGTGACCGGTCACAAAAATTTCAACAACAATATAAAATGATGAGAGGGAGGGCAGACTGAACGGCCTGGCTTGGTCTAGTATCGGTGACTTATTCTCGTATCTTCCTCTGATTCGCAATCGACGAAATGCCTTTGCGTCTTCTGTGCCTCCATGGATGGGGCACAAGTGAAAAGGTTAGCTCCTTGTTTGCTAAATGGGGCGCGAGACTAAATTGCGTTACGGCTGACTGAACTACCGTATGGTAGATTCTACGCTCGCAATTGAGTATGGACAAGTCCGATCCCATCGCATTGGGATCGACTCCCAGATTGATAACCCATTGATAGGTGGACTCATCGGTGACCTGCAGAAAGATAACAAAGCCACCTTTCATTTCCTAGAAGGCGAAGTCGACTCCGAGGCTGGACCGGGCGTCGGCGGTTATTACGACGGGCCCTACTATAGCTATTATCGTTTTCCACGGACATTTTCCCTTGAAGATGCAGATGAGACGGATATTCTAGAGGCGTACGAGCTACTCTATGAGACAATCTCTCTCCATGGCCCTTTCGATGGCGTGCTGGGATTTTCTCACGGTGGTACATTGGCTGCTGGTTTCCTGATTCACCATGCAAAACAACAGCGTGCCGGAATTTTGCTGCCAGAGGCTCCGCTATTTCGATGTGCTATCTTTGTCAACTCTCTACCTCCGTTTCACATGAATTCCGGGCAACACCCTGTCATAGACGATGACCTGGATGGGTACATTACCATCCCCTGTGTAAGCATTGCCGGTGCACAAGATCCACTTTTCAACTGCTCTCTCGCCCTACATCGAATTTGCGACTCGCGCTCTTCAAAATTCGTGGTGCATGGGAAAGGTCATGATGTCCCCACAGATCAGAGAAACGTAGCCATCATGGCATCAGCAATTCGAAAGTTGTCTATCCAGATTTCTGGAATATAAGGCATTTGTAGAAATACCAAGAGACAGCAGGGAGCAGGAAGGTAGAACGAAGAAAGGGAGTTGCAAACAGCCAGATATCGATATTCTTTTGTGTATGACTCGGCGATTTATGTGTCACCTCCACTCGACTCTAGGGTTGCAAATCCTCTGGGTTGGCAATCATCTACAAATGACCCGAATATATTACCAAGTGCAAATCCCTGCAGCTATAGTCAAGTCAGAAGCTCCGTAGTTTGGCAATTTAGACCACCTTTGTTTCTTTTTGTTTTTCCATGCCATCACTCCTGCGTCTCACATACTTCGGCATTGAGTCCCAACATGAAAGAGATTCCCATCACGCTCGAGGCGTCCAACTCACAGTTGTTGATGGAATGCACCAACATAGATGAAACAAGAGACTCTGAGCAATCGGCTCAAAATCTACATGATCATTCGATACCGATCGACGATGCCTCGATGCCGATAGCGGTTATTGGAATGGGATTTAGAGGTCCCGGGGATGCAACTAATGTGGAAAGATTGTGGGAGGCTCTGCTTGAGCAACATGAAGAATGGTCACCAATCCCAGAAAAGCGATGGAATAGCTCCGCATTCTATCATCCCGATCATGCGAGACATGGCACGGTGGGAACCCGAGATGACACAGGTCAACCGGAATTTTTATACTGACGTACTTTTCAGATCAACGTAGAAGGTGGTCATTTCCTTGAAGAGGATATCTCTCTATTTGACGCGCCGTTCTTCAACATGTCCAGCGATGAGGCGGCAGCGATGGATCCTCAACAAAGACTATTGCTGGAGGTTACATATGAGGGACTAGAAAACGGTAGGGTCCCACCCCACCCATCGGATGATCAGCACACCACTGAAGGTTTTAGCTGGGCTTTCTCTGCACCAGGTCGCTGGGAGCAAGACTTCATGCTTTGTCGGGTCATTTTCTGCAGACTATACCGATTTACTCCTTCGAGATCCCGAAGCAGTCCCTATGTACCAGTGCACGAATGCCGGCCAGTCACGCGCCATGACTGCAAATCGTATATCCTATTTTTATGATCTGAAAGGCCCCAGCGTCACGGTTGACACGGCTTGCTCTGGTAGTCTCGTTGCATTGCATCTTGCGTGTCAAAGTATTCAGACTGGAGATGCAACGATGGCCATTGCGGCGGGAGTTAATGTCATTCTAAGCCATGAATTCATGTCCACGATGAGTATGATGAGGTATTGAAATTCCCGCAAGATTCTTCGGATACATTCCCTAACGATTTCCCAGATTTCTATCACCAGATGGACGCTGTCATACCTTCGACAAGAAGGCCAATGGCTACGCAAGGGGCGAAGCGATAGCCTGCGTTCTTCTGAAGCCACTAGATCAAGCATTACTCGATGGGAATACCATAAGAGCGATTGTCCGTGGGACAGGGTCAAACCAGGATGGTCGAACACCAGGAATCACCCTACCCAGTGGTGCCGCTCAAGAAGCATTAATTCGGGATGTATACGACAGATCAGGGCTGTGTCCAAGTCAAACGGACGTCGTGGAGGCCCACGGCACCGGTACACAGGCGGGTGATCCTCTGGAAGCAGGCGCTATATCGCGAGTATTTGGACCTGGACATTCTCCCGAAAACCCCGTGTATATTGGATCTATCAAGACGAATGTCGGGCACCTGGAAGGGGCTAGTGGAGTTGCCGGGGTTATCAAAGCTGTGCTGATGCTGGAAAATCAAACAATCCTTCCTAGTCGGAACTTTGATACGCCAAACCCACGCATCCCTCTCGAGGAATGGAAGCTGAAAGTAGGTATGTGTGAGGTATTTTGTGTTCTCCGGCTAATGTGAACAGGTACCCCTATACCCCGAGGGCTGGAATAATCCTGGTCCACGTCGAGTTTCGGTAAATAGTTTCGGCTATGGGGGGGAGTAACGCTCACGCTATTCTCGAAGAGACATCCGATTATTTATCTTCCCATGGTCTGGCCAGATGGCATAAGCAGCCATCGAGAGCCAGCTGGAGAAATAGAATGGGAAACGACACATTTTTAGTCCCTTCGACCCCAAGACAGAGAATATTCCTGCTATCTGGATTTGATGAGTACTCATGCCAGGTGCAGGTCAAATCTCTGTATGGATATTTGTTGAGGAACGAAAGTGTCATCGACGATATCTTTCTCGACGACATTGCTTCTACTCTCAGCGAAGGTCGAACCCGGTTCATGTGGAAAACGGCAGTGACTGGGAGCACGGTCCAAGACTTGGCCGAATCGCTGTCAAACGAAATGAAACCTCGACTTTCATTGAAAAGACCGATCTTGGCCTTCGTATTCACAGGACAGGGGGCGCAGTGGGCTGGCATGGGAAAAGAACTACTAGACGCCTACCCAATATTTTGCGATTCCATTTCTCGGATTGATGGTTGCTTGGCGGAAATGGGAGCACCGCTCAAGGTTTATGGTAGGCATTGGCAGTCAACACTCCAAAACTAAGATAGGGTCAGATGAGCTAATCTCAAGAATGAGCAGATGAGATTTCCAAAGCCCCTCAAGACTCCCAACTCAACCACCCCCTCCTCAGTCAAACGGTGTGCTCAGCACTCCAAATAGCCCTCGTTGACCTTCTCCGATCATGGAATGTATATCCAGATTCGGTGACGGGTCATTCCAGCGGAGAAATCGCTGCTGCGTATGCGAGTGGTGCTCTGAGCATAGAAGATGCTATGAAGGTGGCTTATTATAGAGGTTTGTGCGCTAGCAAGATTCTGGCCTCAAATGAGGTTCGAGGCTCCATGATAGCCGTGGGTGTCTCGGCGGAGGTGATAGAACCATACATCTCACGACTTGTTTCAGGGAAGGTCGATGTGGCATGCATCAATAGTCCGTCGAGCGTCACGGTGTCGGGCGACGCGGAGGCTATTGCAGAACTAGCCGACAGACTGAAGGAAAAGTCCATCTTTTATCGGCGCCTCGCTGTGGATGTTGCATATCACTCTCATCATATGGAACTTGTTGCTGATGAGTATTTAAGTGCGATTGCAACCATTTCCCCTCGGGATCAACATGTGAACAAAAAGGAGGCTTGTCAGCCTTTCTCGGTATCTATGTTCTCTTCCGTGACCGGCAAGAGCATTCTACCCGAAGAATTAGGACCTCGATATTGGGTCTCGAATTTGCTTCAGCAAGTCAACTTTTCCGAGTCGCTTAAAAATCTATGCTTCGAGACAAACCCATGGCATCATCATGCCGGAATATTACATGGACGAAAAGGCAAGAGAACAAGATCCGCTCAAAAGGCAAGTGTGGACTGCCTGGTTGAGATCGGCCCCCACTCGGCGCTTTCTGGCCCCGTGAAGCAGATTTTACAGACCAATGTCAAGCTCAGCGCTGCCGATATATCCTATCTCAGCATCCTAACGCGGAACAAAGACGCTGTCAAATCGGCGCTGGGTGCTGCTTCGACCCTTGTCTCAAAGAACTACCCGCTAGACATAGGCGCTATCAATTTTGCAAAAGGAGCAGCAACGCAAAGAAAACCCAGACTTCTTGTAGATATGCCTCCATATCGTTGGAACCATACTAGATCCTACTGGGCAGAACCGCGCTTGAGTAAGGCATTTCGATATAGAAGCCAACCACGAACGGACTTACTTGGCACATCGGACAACATCGCATGTCCTTTTGAACCTCGATGGCGAAATTTTATCAGGACTTCGGAAATTCCTTGGATTCTGGAGCATAGAATTCAATCGGATATTGTTTTCCCTGCTACGGGGTATTTGTGCATGGCGACCGAGGCTATAACGCAGATATCAGGAAGTTCACAAAGCGTATCCGCCGTCATTTTGAAAAATGTCTCTATCCACTCGGCTCTCATTGTTACCGAGGCCAGCGAAGTTGAGGTTCTAACTTCACTTACCTCACACGGAGAAAGCCGGATGCATGATTCAGAAAAATGGTATAGGTTCCATATCTACTCGGTTTCAAAAGAAAACAAGTGGACGGAACATTGTTCGGGAGATATCAATGTCGAATCGCAACTCAATGGACCAGGGGATGTGACGGTTCACCATTCAGAAAGGTCGACTATTCACGCTCTCAGTCCGAAACCTCAAGGCATTCGGGTAGTTAATGTTGGGCGGCTTTACGACCGGCTACAGAAGGCTGGGCTTGGGTACGGGCCATACTTTGCCAACATGACGTCCGCCCACGCAACAGACACCGGAAGATGCTTCGCTGAGATCACGATACCGGATACTGCAGCATTAATGCCGATGAACTTCCAATATCCACTTCTCCTCCACCCATGTACGCTAGACAGTGTCTTCCACACGATATTTGCCGCGCTGCCGGAGGGCATGGGGGGTTGAAAAAGGCCCCATCATCCCAGTGGCACTCGACTATATGCGCCTGTCTTATCAAATAACTTCTTTGCCAGGAGACAGACTAAATGTTTGTACAGATGTTCGGCCTAGCTCGCGGGGCCAGATTGTCGCGTCGATAGTCGTCGCCGAGAATATCTCTCAAATGTGCAGTCTGAACCCGAAGATATCGATAAGCGGGTTAAGATGTACCCGGCTCGAAGTTGCACCCAGCATGAGTGAAAATTCAAAGACTATTCCCATTGCATACGGAATTGAGTGGCGCGCGGATCCAGCTTTTATCACTCCGGATGACTTGTCGTTCATCCTGCAAAAGAATGGGGTCTCCCAAGAGAGGCTCGCTTCGCGAAATGAATACGACTATTATGTCACAGTCCTCATACAGAACGCGGTCGAAGCTTTCAAAGAAGAGCATAGTCAGAAACCGGATTTAATCTACGACAAATACAGATCCTCCCTGTCAGACATGATTCTAGTACAGGCAATCGACGAAAGTAATTTGTTTGATAAGATAATACTCACCAACAAAGCTCCGTCAAGTTCAATGGGAACGTTAATCAGCATGATCGATGTCTATCTTGCCTCGTTATCACAGATAGAAGACGAATCCTTTACTCAGCTTCACGAAGAGCTCTTCAATGCCTATCACGAAGTTATCTCTATGGATAGAGCATACATGGCTGCCGTGGAATTCATCAAGCTGATTGGATTTAAGAAGCCAGAGATGTCAATCCTACAGCTCTGTGATGGAACTGTTCGGCCATTGACAATTTTTCTCGAGGCATTGTTGGCCAATATCAGCAGCGAGGAGACTAATTTCCCTCCATTTCGAAAATACACTTTTACCTATGAAAACGAAGAGGGCTACGATCGAGCAAAGTTATCCTTGGAAAAATGGACGAAATGGATCGATTTTATAAAACTCGACAATGCACGCGGAGCTGCTGATAGTTTCACACCTGGAATTTTAAATCCATCCTACGACGTCATTATCCTGCCGAATGGCTTTCATTCATTTAATTCTAGTCTTGAGGTTCTTACTATCTGCCGCTCCATGCTCAACCCATCTGGAAATTTGATTATTGTCGACCCGCTTCGTCCCCAAGAGAGTATCTTGGATAATTTCCTGACCACTGCTTTATATCTATGGCCTATAGGAAATTTTGAGCCACCAAGAGGATTGGAAGGCGGTGGAAGTGACCTCGATGATATGATAGAGAAAGCTGGGCTTTCATCGAAGCGAGACGCAACCCATAATCACCGGCAAGCTGATCACGTGGAAGGCTTCATAATATGCCAACCGGGACAAGAGGCACGGCTTATTGACAAGGAATTCTTGGTGATACAACCAGGCGACGATGATATTTCCATGGCTGAATGCTTAAGATATGATCTCGTGGGCATATGCCCGAAGGTTGAAACATCATGTCTAGCTGCAGCAAATGCAAGAGGGAAGGTTTGCATTGTGATCAACGACGAACACGAGAACATACTTGCAAGCCCCGGCTTCGAGACCCTCTCAAAGCTGAAGGAAATCTTCCTATACAGTAGCGGCGTACTTTTGATCAGCCGGGGTGGAGCTATTGATCCGAAATTCCCTGAATACGGACTTGATGTTGGTTTTGCGAGAACGGCTAGGTCCGAGTCTGCCGTAAAGCCGATTATCACGCTCGACCTAGACGCGCAAAGTCCACTGATGAATCAGAGATCGGCAGAATTGATCACCATTCTGCTTCACAAATGCTTTTCTCGGGTGAACTCTGGAGACATGGATACTGAATATGCTGAAAGGAATGGGGTTATTCTGATACCACGGGCGATCGAGAGATCAGATATTAACCGAGACTTAAGTCACGTCAGCGAGAGCGAGATTCAATGCGAACAGCATTTCAGACAAATCGAAAAGCCAATCAGGGTTTCTAGACCAAATAATCACAATATACACCCTCATCTCGCAGCCGACTTTGAAAATTCCAGCCCGCCGCCAACAGGATATGTGCGAATCGAGGTCATGGCCTTTGGGCTAGGCGAGTGGGATATACAAGAAGATGCGGATGAATTTAACTCGAGGGGAACACTGGGATTGGAATGCAGCGGCTGGGTCCTGGCAATTGGACCAGAGGTATATTCTCTTTCTGTTGGCGATCGTGTCACTTGCCTTGGGGCTGGTACAGCGAGGAGTTACTATCAAGACAGGGAATCCGCTTTTCAGAAAGTTGGGGATTTCATGACTTATGAAATGGCCGCTGCTTTACCTGTCGAATACACGACCGCATACTACATCATGCACTATTTGACAAGGGCCAGGCCGGAAGAATTGGTCTTAATCTGGGGTGCGGCCAGCTTGCTTGGACAAGCGATGCTGGAAATGTGCTGTATCGGTGAAACTGGGATACTAGCAACAGTGATTGACCCGTCGCAAAAAGAATTCCTGTTGAGCAGATTTGACATTCCACCCGAGATGGTCCTCGTTGAGGGTCTCGATGACATTCTTATGAAGGTCCTTGAGATTACCAGCGGCAAAAAGGCTCGAGTTGTCATTGCGACTGCGAAAAGAAGCCATCGAGTATATCGAGAGCTGGTCAAGTGTGTTGCGCCATTCGGCCATTTTGTTCAAATTTCAAGTCACAGCGACGAGAGGGAAGACACAGACCACGCCTGGAGTACTTCGAGAAATATTTCACTCTCGCTTTTCAACATACTCGATTTCCAAAAGAATAAGGGGGATCTGACACGACAAATATGGCCAAAGGTTGTTCAGCTCTTCAACGAGGGAAAGCTCCAAGGCCCCTTGTCACTATCAGTTTACAAAATATCAGACCTGGCACAGGCACTAAGTGCAGTTTTTGCTGAAAGGCACGTGGTAGTGACGGCGGTAGACAATGAAATAATTCAGGTAAGCTCATCGCTCGTTCTATTTAAAGGGAGAAAAGATCAACTAAGCTTCCTAGATGACACGGCCGAAGGTCTCACAAGAAATATTCCGACCAGACGCATCATACCTTCTAGTCGGTGGACTTGGGGGTATAGGACGCGCAATAGCACTATGGATGGCGGAAAAGGGCGCAAAGAATCTCATCCTGCTGAACCGAAGCGGTCTAGCAAAGGTTTCTGCGCAGTCCATCATTCATGAGCTCACCGAGAAAGGTATTCAAGTCGACATCCTCGCGTGCGATATATCAAATGAGTCAGAAGTCAGACAGATGTTCCTCGATATTTCGTGGGGGGGGCCCCACCGGTTCGTGGAATTGTGCATGGAGCTATGGTTCTGAAGGTCAGTGAGGTCTATCCCATCATTAAGTTACTCACCAGCTAATCAGTCCGACTCAACCACAGGATATACATATCGAAAAGATGACAGCAGAAGACTACCTTGAAGTGCTACAGCCCCGGTACAATGGGACCTGGAATCTCCACCGTCACGCTCCAACCGATCTAGACTTCTTCCTCATGCTCTCGTCTATAAGCGGGGTGATCGGAAACGCGACGCAAGCTGCCTACGCCGCCGGCTCGGCATTCATGGACTCTTTCGCTGCATATCGGAATACACTGGGTCTTTCGGCTACATCTTTGGACCTGGGCGCCGTGACGGATGTGGGCTATTTGGCTGAAAATGAAGCTCTTGCGAGTAAGATGACCAAGCAGGGATTCCAGGGCACAGATACCCAGACGCTCCTGTCGCTTGTTCAGGTTGCTATTGAGCAACAGGGCAAGCACCGGACTGTGAGTTCCGGGAGGTCTCAGATCATAACGGGATTGGGAGAGTGGAAGGAGGGTCAGTCGTTAGCGAATTTTGAGGAGCCGCTATTCGCGCATTTTCGGAGGAGGTTTCGCTCTGATGGGACTACCCGGGCGAAGGGGGATGAACATGCTGTTCAGATGGTGCGAGATGCGTTGCGAGTATCGAAGACGCAGGATGATGCTGTTTCCGTTATTCTTGAGGCTTTGAGTGCGAGGATTGCTTTGCAGTTGGGCATCTCTGTGGAAAGGATTGATCCTGCTAGTCAGTTGTCGGAATTTGGGGTCGATTCGCATGTCGCGGTTGAGTTGCGGAGTTGGATTAATGAGACCATGGATAGTGCTATGTCCATTCTGGAGATATTGGCTACTGATTCGGTGCTTCAGTTGGCTTGTCATATTGCGAGTCGATCTCAGTTGATTGAGATTCGTAGTGATGTTTAGGTGGGCTTTTATACTACGAATTATGGGAAATAGTTAATTTTTCAAACTTCTTCATTAATTTTTAACTTGAAGGGGCGATAGTAAATTCTTTCAACAAGTTCTGTCCATAGTAAGATAATACCTGGCAGAAATGACTCCTAGAAATGCTGATAATATGATAATATGGTTGTAGTCTATTTTATGCGTTCGAGCTCGACGCAGCGTTGTATGAGATAATCGTAAAAAAGGATTACTCGGCCTTCTTGGAGGCCTTGGTTCGCAGCTTCATCAGACCGTACACAAGAGCATACGAGCTGAGGGCGAAGATAGCAACGATACCAGTGTCTCGCCATCCGTAATAATACTCCTTCAGATTGATGGTATACAGGTAGTCAGCACCCTTGGTATACTGACAGACGTGGCAGCTCTCGGTTGCGTCAGGGTTGACGAGGTTCATGCGTGCACCGATGGTTTGCATGTAAGTGGCGAGGTACTCGCCGCAGCTCTTTCCACTGGGAGGGTCAAAGATGGCAAATTCACTAGCCTTGCACTTAACATCTGTGTCCCAGACGTCGAAGACCAGCATGCTGCCCATGAGGTAGTTGAATGGGTTCAGGTAGTACATCCAGTAGCGCCAGAAGGCCTGGATCTGGGCGTATGGGACCAACACACCGCAGAAGGAAACCAGAGTACCGATGAAAACTGGGTTGACCAATGCGGCGAAGGTGGCGTTCGGAGCGTAGGCAGCGATGAATTGGCCGATACCGGTGTAGACGAACTCGTAGAGAAGCATGACCAGGAAGGTCGCACCCGCTTTGCTTGACTCGCTGGGGAATCCGACAGTGTAGTACCAACAGACGAAGTACAGCACGGCACACACGCAAAGATAAGGGAGCTCGGAGACAACCAGAGAGGTGACGAATGCAATCCACGAATACATCTTGGACTTCTTCTCACGCTGCTCGTAGATAGAACGGCGCTCGATAAACAGAGGTTGCAGTTGGTTGATCACACCGGGCGCAACGAAGATGAAATTGAAGATAGTGAAGAGACGAAGCTGCATGTCGCCGACACTATCGCCGATCATCCAGAAGGAAAAGCCGTTGAAAAGAGCAGAGCCAATATGCAGGGCAAACTTGTTGTTGACATAGTCGGTATTGCGGTAAAGAGCCTTGCTCATACGGGCGGTAACCAGCTTGGTCTGCTCCCAGAGAGTAGTAGCAAACTCACGGCCGTCATCAAAAGTACCAGGAGGCTTTGATGCTGCAGTGCTGATGATGTCCTCAAGCTCCTTAAATGACTTGGCATGCTCAGGAGACTCCAGCCAGACCTGGTTCCAATCTTTGCCTTGGCTAAGTTGACCAGAGACAACATCGATCATGTGCTCAGCAGGGTTGGTATTAGCCGGGCATGGGGCTCCATAGCGAGTGAAATAGTTCTTGACAGTCTGACCATTGTCACCGATATCTCCGAAGTAAACTGTCTTGCCGCCCTTAGCAAGCAAGAGCAATGTATCGAATTCGGCAAATAGTTGAGCGGAGGGTTGATGAATAGTAACGAGAACGGCCTGCCCAACGTCGGCAAGCTTACGCAGGAATCGAACGGTGTTGTAGGCAGACTGACCGTCAAGGCCGGAGGTTGGTTCATCAAGGAAAATCAGGATACTGGGCTTTGAAACAAGCTCGACACCGATAGTGACACGCTTGCGCTGCTCAACGCTCAGACCAGCACCCACATAGCCGACCAGAGTATCCGCAAGGTCATGCAGTTCAAGAAGATCGATAATTGTGTCGACGTACTTCAGCTTCTCCTCGCGTGGAATATCGCTGGCTTGGCGGAGAAGAGCGGAAAATTCAAGAGATTCACGTACAGTGGCGAATGGCTCCAGAACGTCAAGTTGCTCACAGTATCCGGCAGAGCGTTGGAATGAGACAGGAAGTTCGCGACCATCCACCAGAATAGAACCGCGGATAGTTCCTTCGGTCTTGCGCTGAGCCAGAACATCAAGCAGGGTTGTCTTTCCAGCACCGGAAGAACCCATCAGAGCTCCCAACATACCTGGCTTTACCCATCCGTAGACATTATCTAACAGGACGCGGTCGCCAGTGGGGGTCTTGACAGTGTATTGTAGGTCCTTCCAAGTGAAAACAGATGTGTTGCGAACAAGTTGCTGATCGATTTCCTCATCGCTCTGAGTACCACTCTCGACAGGTGTCTTGGTCTTTTCTTGCACCTGGGACTCCTCGTCCTTACCAGGCTTCAGAGCAGTTTGGTCCAATCGCTCACGTGGAATGACAAGGCAGTTACCACTCTCGCCGGGGGATTGCCAGCGTGAAGTTGCAATCACGGTAACAACCACAAAGAGAACCCACCAAGCCCAGTTAATGCCGAAGTTACGCCACAGATGAGCATGGCTGTATGAGAGCGAGCTGAGGTATTCGTCGCCAGTAACAACAGTGGCACCGACCTGAGCGCCACCAACACCAGCACAAGCGGCATATGTGGAGTCCTCATAACCGGGTCCCATGGGAATAAGGTTGTTTCCGACGCAAGGGATGATCTTCTTGTGAAATTCGTTCGAGAGAAGAGCCTCAAAGCCGTAAGCCAGAGGGTCAATCCAGAAAATCCAGCCCAGCCAGGGGTGCATCTGAGGCTTCTGAATCATGTAACCGGTGTACATGATCAGAGCAGAGATGAGGAATCCAGAAACCTTAGAGGCACCATCGAATGTAGAGAAGAGGGCGCCGATAGCACGGAAAAGAGCGGTCATGGTCTGGATAATCGTTAGTTGAGATAATGCAAAGTAGATAATCAGGGTAGCTTACCATTGTGGTAGCAAAGACCATAATCCAGTATGTGAAGAAAGCTCCAGCAGACATTGTCAGGCCGACCATGAAGTACACGACTAGAGAAAACATGCTGATCTGGAAAAGGAGAACGGGGATATCGGCCGCAATTTGAGCAAGACAGAAAGCGGCGGGGTGGAACATGGCAAAGCCCTTGTGCTTAATCAAGACAGGGCGGCCGTGGAAGGAGTCCGTCACCTCGGACATAGCAAGCAGACTGTTGTAAAGGAGAGAGAAAAAAGGGCACCCGACTTGACGAACAAGCCACCGGAGTTGTTAGGCGCATTGTAGAAGAGGGAACCAGCAATCAGGGCCTGAATCAAAGTAGCCACCTGCTTGATGATAAATGTCGCCTTGTCACCCCAAATGATTTGGTATTGACGAGAAACACAGGCCTTCACCTGCTCGGTGAAGCTGACAGTCAGAGGGCTGTTCTTCGGTAGACCGTTCGACGTTTCGAAAGCAACTCCATCCTTGAAGTCCTGGGTTCTTTGGAGTGCGACATCAGAAGTAGGGTAGTTGTATTCACTCTTCATCTCAGAGTAGACGGGAGACTTCTCATACTCTGTTCGCAGAGCCTCCTTGGTACGAGGAAAGCGGGATTCATAGCCTTCTCGAATGCGACGTTCCGTAGGAACTGTAACCCCAGTAAGGAAATCAGCAACGTTGGAACCCTCCCGGCAGATGAAGCCAGCCTCCTCCATAAACGGACGGGCCTGGGCACGAGTTCCGTAGAAGACCTGCTCGCCCTCATCGAGAACCAAAACCTTATCGAAGAGGTCGTAGATTCCATTGCCTGCTTGGTAGAGAGTGACGATGGTGGAAAGGCCCAAGGTATCTGTCATAGCGCGAATCGCTTTAGTCCACTCCAATGCAGTACTGGCGTCCAGACCGCGGGTGCTGTTGTCCCAGCAGAAGACGGATCCACGAGTGGCCAGACATTCGATGATTGAGACACGCTTGCGCTCACCACCGGAAACTCCACGGACGTATTCGTTTCCGACCTTTGTACCTTCGGTGTGTGAGATGTTCATCGCCTCCATAAGGAACTTCTTCGAGTCGTCGGCATATGTGGTGGCGGAGTCAACGCCGTTGGGGAGCTTGTATGGAACCTTGAGACGGGTAGCGAAGTCCATAGTTTCACCAACCGTAAGGGTCGGGAAGAAAAGCTCTTCCTCTGTGTTCATCACGATCTGGCCTCGGTAATTGCTGGCCTCTTCTGGGGATAATGAGCCGAAGCGCACGTCTCCCTCCACGGACTTGTAACCTCCGCGGCGATTAGAAAGCATTTTGAGCAAGGTGGTACAGCCGGAACCGGGGCGGCCGAGGACCAGCAGCATCTCGCCGGGCTTGACACATCCATGGCTGTCTCGGAGGATGGTGCGGAGGGGGGGCCTTGTTGCGGGATTCCTTGATGTGTTGCGGAATGTTGAATTGGGAGAAGACGTTCTCGTTGACAGCAGCTTCGGAGCTAATGACGTCGACATTAAGGTTTTGCCAGGTGACACCGAGCTCCTGGGCCTTGAAACCGGAAGCTAAATCGCGTTGATGTTGTTCCTGGACGCGGGAGAGTAGGCTCCAATCGTTGTGAATGCTAGGCTCTGAACTGGCTTTTTGGCTGGTTTTGCGAGGGGTTTCCTCTCCGTAGACAGTTGCAGCACTGGCGGTCTCATCATGAATATCATCCATCGACCCAGGCTGGGACGACGGACGAAGGGAACCCTCCATTGTTTATCGTGGGGAGGGGAAAATAAGAGAGTGAGTCAGTTCGGCAACTTCGGCGGAAAGAGAGGCAGGAGGGGCATCGATGGTTCTTATACAAAGCAAACACCAACTACGGTTACTTCGTTTGTTTTCATAGTACTGCTACGCATCAGGAGAAGTATTCTAATCCTAATCTGCTCATCAGGCGGGTCAAACCCGTCGGTCAGTGGACCAGCCGACTTTCCGAAACCAATAGGAGATGCCCGTGGTGGAATATCACAAGGCTATCCCGAGCCGCAGACAAAGGCCGACAGATCAAATTTTTCGGGAATTGCCCCTAATATGGAGAGAAGTAAGATCTAGAGTGAACCACTCGACAGCTCGCCCCACGCGGAAATGGGGTCGAAATTTCTGCGAACCCAAACTTGTACAATAGTGCCTAGGAAGTGGAGCCTGGCGGCCGATCTAAAGGCGACAACTTCCGCTGACACATCGGGACCCTTAGACTGAGAAGAGTAATTGGTCACTTCTTCCAAACGAATAGTGGGGACGAAAATACGAAATGCAGATGAGAACAGGGTCTCGAATGATTGATAAGACTCAGCCACCAGATGAACCGGATTAAGAGAATGTACCGAGTCCGAAGTGGGAACAATTGACGAGTTGACATGTTCGAAAGTTCCATCGGAGGTCGCAGTGCCAAGACTTCCGATGCCACGCGGTCGGCGATTAAGAATCCCCGCTGAGTAAGCGGGTGCCCGCTGCTAACTACGCCCGAATTAGGCATCCTTGCAAAAAGAAACAGCTATCATAGAGTGGTCGGCGTATCTATCTGCCCGATCAATACCGATAATCAGGGACTGTTTCATATTGAACAATTACCAACTAGGGAATTTACTTCAGTATCCACTTGGTAAGCTACCTGGCCATCGAGTTGGTTAGCTACTGACCTACCTTCCAGTTACCGAACGCTTTGCCTACTAGAATACCCACTCGAATACCTTCAACTTATCACATTCTGTCTCTAAAAAATACTATACTCGCACCTCCTTTCACACAAACACCTTTTGTGCCAACAAATCAGTGAACTGGCAAAGCAGGAAAGACAATAACGACATCACATGCATACTCCCAGAATGATCGAACCAACCAAATCACCAGAAAATCGAAACGCCTAACCCCACCACACCGCTCATTCAATCTCATCCTCCATCTTCACCATCTCAACTCGGCAATCATTGCAAACATCATACTCATTGCCGTCCTCATCGAAAAACTCATTCTGATCCATCTCGTGATCGCCGTCCACGCAGAACTGTTGTTTTTTCTCGAAGCAGTACACGCAGATGTCATCATACCGCAGTCCGATACTACGCGGCTTCATGCAATGCATGCATATGAAGTGGCTGGGACCGGAGATCTCGCTGCCCCCGTCATCGCTCGGTTCGTATTTGCTACTTTGAGATTCGGACTTGATCGAATTTCCAGTTGATTCAGCGCTAACATGTGAGCTGGGACTCGTGGATGAGCTGGGATTGGTGGGCGATCTACAACTGGAAGAGCAGCTCCCCTTGTTCACCAGTGATATTATCGTGTCGAGACCTTTCCTCATCATTTCGGTTGTTGCGAGGATTGCGCTTTTCCCGTGAATCGGTGATACCTCTTCTTCAGTAACCGGTGTCACCGGTTCGTATGCAAGGGTAGGGGTGGGTACGGGGCAGGAGGCGAGGGGTCTGTTGGATTTAATGGTGCTCGATAGCGTGGTGGTACCGATGTTCGGCAGATTCGATGAAAGCTGCATCGTGGCATATGCCTCTCGACACGTATTTTCAACAAAGGTGCGATTCAACACGGGGGAATTCCTTAGTTGGGCATTGACCTCGGCAAGACGTCTTCTTCCTGCACGCTTTTTCTAGAATCCTCTGATCAGAAAAAGAGCATATATACTGAATTTGACCAAAATCACTCACGATTTGATGGCGGTCCCGGCATTCAAAGCATGTTTTCAGACACCTTCCATCTTTTGTGTAGTGATGAATTGGGAGGACCTTCTTGCATTTATGGCAAATCTGGTAGGTTGCATCGTGTTCTAAGGGTGCTAGGGGGGGCATCGCCGAGTCCCGAGCTCGCCATCTTGAGAGAATCGGCAAAGATGGGATATTCAAGTATCTTCGTTGGAGTTCTTTGTCGGAAAGTGAGAGATATCGATCTGTGGCTTACAGTGTTAGTATCAGACCATTGAAGAATTCCGCTCGAGGAAATACAGGATTGACAAACCAAAAGTATGAAAGGAGATATCGAGATTGGATGTGGGGTCGATATCTGGGTGAATGGAACCAAAGATGATGATCTTTGGGGTATCCCTGAGCACATAAACCTTGTGGAGAGTCTCGATGGAAAGGTCGATTTAAGGTAGTCGGTCAGAAAGTGTGAGCTTTTTCGAAGTCTGACGAGAGTATTGAAGCCGATGCAATGCCTTGAATGACATGCAAGAAACTTTGAAGGGTTGAGTTTTCTTCGCCGTAGATGTGTTCGGAAAAGCGACTTCGGTCGTGAGTAGATGCGGAGAGAATATTTAAACTATAGATAACGAAGTATTTATAGGCCAGGCGAGGCGATTGGATGCTAAAGGAAGGCTAGAACTTCCCATAGCTACCGAGATATTTATTTTCCAGGCCAGGCCAATCTTGACTGGATACAAAGTCCACCTGGGCGACTTGAGGCTTTGTAAAAGGGATCGTGATGAGAGACTGACCGTAGACATCTTCAGATGAGCTGTACAAAAAGCATCAGGATTCGATTTTGATACGCGTAATTTGTCAAGTACCTATCCTTGATATAAGCAAAACTCAACAAAGTGAAAGTTCGGTGAAAGAATCTTGGGCGATATTCCATTCAGATAGCTTATGTATGACTCCATGGGAGCAATCAGGATCCTCAAGATGCCTGCGTATAACTCGCCGATATAGAAATCTTGACCGGATCTTCAATCAGAGAGGATTAGCTCTGGGGGTAGATTAAATCAATCGGCACACTAGGGTAGGTGGAAAATACCTTGATTGGAAGTAGCCCGCAGGCCAAAGTGCTGGGGGTTTCCGATTGAAAGATTGCAGCAGTCAACCACCTGGGCAGGTCGGAGTGAGAGTGAGAAATTTGCCATCGGTGGCGCTGGTATCAGAACAAGGAAAGGGTTTGTTTTCACTTGACGTCGAGGTGTCAAGAGGAGTGATGGGCTGCAGCAGAAAGGCATACACCTAGGCAAGAGATGGGTCAAGGTGAGGGAGGTGGTAAACGACAAGTGAGGGATCAAGGAGCCAAGTCTGGAATGACAATGTCGATAGACGAAGGAAGATTGAACATCGCAGCGGCAGAGGTCAAAGACTACCTCAACTAAGCATGGGAACTTGGTTGTGTGAGGGTGAGACATTAAGGGGAGTCGAGCGCAACCTGAGGAAGGAACGACCGTTCAAGACGTGCTAGCCCTGGAGTAGGTGAAATGGGAATGTACTAGGAACTTGAAGTCCTGGAGGTGGTAAGTGCAAATTGAAGTCACATTTCTCGAATCTGCTGAAAACATATGTACCGAGCGAATTCGCCCTTCCTACTCGCTCTCTCCAGTTCCTCCACGGCTTCCTCCAATGACCTCATATCCCAAGCATCCTCATCTGACATATATGGTTCATCGCAGCCGGGAAGTAATGGTATCGTTCTTATGGGCAATGCACTTTGCAAAGCATCAAGTCGATGAAGAAGATCTTCCTGAGCGAGCCGCTGCATTGATGTGCAAGCGAGAACGTGCCTGAGGTCCGGTTCGGAGGCCCGGGCCTCTTTTTGAATTTTTTGCAGTGATAGCTCACACAGTCGGTATGCGAGCTGGTCGGAGTCTGTAGAAGGATTTGGCGTTGAGAGTGGGTGGGTGACTGTGGATATTTGGGTGCAGAGAGGAGAGGGTCTCTTGCGTGGTTTGATTGCTGGTGAGACATTCCTGACGAGGAGTCTTGTGCAATGCATAATTGTGGCTGGAGATTTTAGACCGATGGCCCTTCAACTTGTTCAAGTTGTTTTATAGTGTAGTGGTATTTGGTACTGGACGGATAAGGTTGAGGTGAGGGGCAGGCGATGACCCTCATATATACTCTGTCTCTTCATCGGTTGGATCATAATTTGAATCATAGATCGAAAGTCTTGCAGATCATGAGGCCATTGTGTCTAAACTGCAGGATCACCCCACCATCGCTGGGAAACTCCGGGTGCTTCTCTTCTTTCTCGAGGTGTTGAGTTTCGCCACTGGATCATGCCACCACCAACCACCCGGGCGCGTCACACCGGCACTCAAACAATACGCCCGCGCAAAAGCCCCAACCCTGGCTTTGATTGTGATTTTGAAGAAAGGATAGATAATTTGATATATCTTGCAGATTTGGTCTCATCGATTAGCGCCTTTTGTGTAAAGAATGGTTGCCTGATCTTGCATATTCCTTTTGTGCATCCAGTTGTTTCTTTAATCCCGGACGACAGACCATAACATCATGATCATCATGCCAAATACTGATAAGTGAGATTTATTACATACTATAAGTCTAGCTTTTGAATTCACTGGAAGTGACATTAACAATATCATTCTACCCTTTAAATAATAAAATTCGCAAGTCTTGACTCCCTTACTCCCGCCAGAAGTACAAAATTTTTTCTGTTCAGGTAACTGATAGATATCTCTGATGAATTAACGAGTGAAATGACCGATAGTTCAATTAATAAAATAGGCTAATGTTCCATAAGAAAATGTGTAATGCCCCCATGACGTGCTCGAAATGGATAAAAAGTCCCCCTCCGATTTGTTGTCGCCCATACCCTTCGAAGACCATCATCAGGCGGGTACTTGACCTCACAGTAATGAAATTGAAGATCTTGAGTGGCATAGGAATTCGTTTATTTCATGGATAACTGGGCCAACCCAGCCTACTAGGGGAATTGACTTTTCGGGCGTCAGCCGGTGATCAGTGCACGCTCCAACGAAGTATACCGACGACTCGGACACTACATCTCCGGGTCGTATATTTGCTCCAAAGATTCTCAATCTTCCCGGCCTTCCAACTCGAAGATTCCCATCAAATAGAGTACACATCCCCTCCATACTACTTCACATACCCCGCCAACCCCAGCAGGTCATCAGACTGAAGTTCCCCACCTCCCACGCCCTGCAACCATTTCCCGAGAGGTCGTCGGGATCTTCCCCGACGCAAAAGCTCCATAAATCGGAGTGGAAAAGGGTCCACGCACGAATCAAAATATTTCTTGAACACACTTTGCTATCAAATATGACTCACCACCATCGGACCGGCCAGCCGACTATCGAAAATAGTCAAAGAATCCGATCACATCTTGAATGGTGGGCTCGCTGCTTTTCACCCACAATTCCCTAATTTCCAAATTTTCAATTTCCACTTTTCTCGACCGTATCACCCACACTACACAGACGGGGAACGTTGAAATAAAACCGCCAGCCAGACTCGTGCTAGATACTGTTCAGAAAAGATATGGCCCCCGATGTCAAAACTTCCGTCCTAGTCACAGAAAGACCAGCATTGGGCCCGGCACATGATACCCCCGGCCCAAGCATTGCGCCAAGCCTCAATCTCAGCCGAACAACAACCGCCCAGAGCAGCAGCGATGGCATCCAAGGCCGAGGAATCCATGACGAAGAAGAAAGAGGAGGCACAGCTCCGCACTCCGCCTTCTCAATCATCGAGCCCCCGGCCGCATTATCAGCCATAACAACACACACAACACACGTCCGGGACCCGAATATCGACGATACATTCCCAGACGGCGGGACCCGGTCCTGGCTCGTTGTACTGGGCTGTTTCTTCTTACTGATGAGTAGTTACGGAATGATGAATTCGACCGGTGTATTGCAGAGCTATTTTGCAACCCACCAGTTGGCCGATTACTCGACCAGTGCCATTGGCTGGATCCCCGGAGTATTCACTTTCTTCGGCCTGGCTCTCAGCGTGCAGATCGGGCCTATGTTTGATCGGTACGGGCCGACGGGCATTCTGATCTTCGGCACCGTGACTTATGTAGCGGGCCTGCTGTTGCTGGCTGAGTGTCGGCTTTATTGGCACTTTGTTCTCACGCTGGGTGTGTTGACCGGGACGGGTGCTGCTTTCTTGAGCACGGCTGCTATGGCGGCTGTGCCGCATTGGTTTGATCGGAAGGTTGGCATGGCGATGGGGACGGCGATGGCGGGGGCTGGTCTTGGGGGTGTGACTTTCCCGCTTGTGTTGAGGGCGGGATTCACGCGGTTTGGGTATAAGTGGGCTATTCGGCTGATTGCGTTGATTGTTGGGGTTTTGTGTTCGTTGGGGATTATGTTGGTGAGGTCGAGGTTGCCGAAGGGGCAGAGTCGGTCGAGTATTAATTTGAGGGCGTTTCGGGATACGAGGTTTACTTGGTTGACTCTGGGGACTTTCAGTGAGTGCGATGTGGTGGCTCATGATCAGTGCAGGGATGAATGCTGATTCTTGTTAGGCTTGGAGCTGGAGGTTTTCGCTGGACTGGGTTTATACCCGACCTACGTTGTGATGCAGGGGTTCAGCACGTCGACTAGTGTGATTCTTCTCTCGCTTCTGAACGTGTATGTCATTTTCATCGACGGTTCTGATTCTGAAGGAGAATTGACAGCTAACTATATGACTGACCAGATGCTCTACAATCGGCCGACTTATTGCAGGAGGCGTTGCAGACAAATACGGCCGAATCAACACCCAGACGGCACTGATTGCAGTCGGTGTTTTTGCCATATTTGTGATCTGGCTCCCATTTGGAAACACACTTCCGGGTCTATATCTCTTTAGCTGCGTCTTCGGGCTGGCCTCGGGGTCCTTTCTGAGCCTTGCGCCCGCCTGCATTGGACAGATCTCGAAGGCAAGTGAGGTGGGAGGTAGATTCGGAATCTGCTACTCGATTGTCAGTCTGGCGTAAGTGATTCCCTTTCCAAACCGATACTCGAGCAAATGTGCCATCCTCTAACTATTGCAGAACTCTCATCTGCATCCCAATCGGAGGTGAAATGCTCGAGAAAGTGGGCAAGCAGGCCATGGTGGCCTATCTAGGCAGTGTACTGATTGTCGGACTAGGAATGTTTATCATGGCGCGATGGGCATGCCTAAGCTATCGATGGCGATGGCATGCAAAAATTTAATGAATGAACGACATAAAAGAGTATCTGTTTGTGAAGGGGATTGTATCAAATTGCATGGCGCGGGATAAGAAGAGAATGGAGCGGGAAAAATTGGTCATTTCGGTATCCCATACTCATTTCGGACGCGATATGATCCGAGTCGCATACCTACAACGAGATTTTTTGCTCGTGAATATCTCCAACCATGGAAGAAAATTGAAGATATTGAGCATGTAGTATGACTTAATTCAAACTTATAAAATTGAAGAGAGGGGAGAGCATCCAGTGGACAAAGGTGTGAAGGCTCTGTCGTATTGAGGCGAGACTAAACAGTTACTTCGATGATTTTGGCCATCATAATCCATCGATTGATTCCCGTAAACAATATAAGTGAAGTGTGAGAGTGTATAGAAATAGTATCAAATAAGTAGTATTTCATACACAAGGAAAATCAAAATCACATTGATTCCAAGGTTACAAAGTCGTCATTTGAGAATGTGGGTATTTCATGGGCTCTTGGCGCTTGGTTCGTACTCCTAATTGTGCTCGCCACCCTGACTCTTAATATAGTCCTCCCTTCAATATGTTAGCCGCTGGACAATAAGGCTGCAGTGTATTACATATATTATATATGATGATTTTTGAAGTTATGAGGGTTGCAACATACAGGTGTTTGTCCAGCTCGTCCATGTGCTTGCGCTGTTCCTTCATCTTTCTTCGGAGGACTTCGAGCCTAGGTAATTTGTTAGCGCACTCCTTCCTCCTTTTCTTGAAGAGAAAATAAGACTTACTTCTCCTGTTCTTGTTGTCTAATCCAAAGACCTTCCTGGGCAGCCTCGCGACGCTGAAATTGGTCCTTTCTGCTCGCCGTTAGTGATGACGTCACTGATTCGAGAGTGGACAGGCTCACTCAGCCAAAAAGCCCCGCGGCTTAGGGGCCCCTGTGTCTCCTGCTCCCATAATAGCAGGTGTAGTAGCGAATGATCGGAGGGCTGCTGGTGTGGTAGCACGAATTATGGGGCGCGTAAGTGCGGATTGCATGGTGGATGGAGGTTGGGAGTAATGGAGGTCGGGATGAGGTTGGATGGAACTAGGGACTGTCGTAGTTCAATTGACAGCGGCGAGAAGAGATGGAGGGGGAAAGCTTTTCAGTGTAAAATTGAATAATGACAGAGGCTGCAGGAGACTTTAGGGCCAGCTGGTAATTTTGGGGTCGCAGACGCCTTTATAACCCCGCGGTCGCTTGCTGAATCCGGTGATGGATGGCACGACCCAAAAACGCCAAAGGTACTTTTTCGCCGGCACTGAGGTCTCCGAGTCATCGCGCCACTGCAGGGATTGGTGAGAGCCCCGCACGGTTTTGTACGAGGGAGACTTCTGGTTTTGTTTACATACATTTTGGTCCACTCCGTAGAAAGTACAGAGTACAGGCTGGGCTGGGCTTTTCCCTGATGCTCTCGGGTATGGGGCGGGATGACTTGAGGAATGTGGAGGAGTACAGGAATTCGAAGGATTTCGCCATTCACGTTAGGGATATTGAAATTGATGACATTCGTCTCGGATATATGAAATGAAATACCAGAACTCTATAACACATAGCGGAAGTCTTTCTGCAACCGCCTCGCAGCAGCAATAGTGATGCCCTCAGTGTCAGCCGTGAGCTGCAATCGTTTCAAGTCCTTCGGGGTAAGCTGGACATCCTCATTCGCCATACGCTCTTGTCGCTTGTTCAGTGAGCGCAGATTGAAGTACATAAAGACACCGCAAAGGCCACCAACAACCTGGAGCCCGATGGTAACTCCCAGGGCTGTCCAGTAATGTGGTGCCTCGCTCTCGATATAAGTGTAAGGTGTCCAGATACTTGCGGAGTTCCCGATCGAGTTGATAAAGGCATATGCGGCGGCACGTTTCGCAGGTGGTCGAGGCAGCGCACCCGCGATCCATGAGTAAAGAGTACCATTCTGAGCGAAGACGAAGATCATCAGGAACATCGAGAAGTAGCGGGGGCCGAACGTCTCCGGCGCAGCCATGAAGACGACAAACCCAATTATGGTGATCGGAATAGGGTAGAAGAAGAACCAGAATCGGACTTCGAGCTTGTCGGATAACCAGGAGTGCCCCAGACTCCAGATCACCATGAAGATATAAGGAGGTGCCACTAGCAGCAGCGAGATGATGGGGTCGGGGTTTAATGTCTTCGTCAAGGTCGGGAAGAAGTTTTGGAAACCGGCCGCGCCAGTGATACACATATAAGCCAAGGCTAAGACGTAGGTTTTGATATCGGTCATGGCCAGCTTCAGACCCTTGAGCTGGCTCATGCCACCTCCCTCGTCCTGATCAGCTTCAGCCGCGTCAACCGCCAGACGCCGGACAGCAACCTTGCGCATTTCGGGCGTGAGAAGTTTCCAGGTTTCAGGAAAATCAGGGAGGACGAAGCAGATCACGATACCAACGAAGACGGTAATAACACCCTCAATGATATAAAGCCATTGCCACGCTGACATTCCCTGTTTTCCAGCAAGGCCTCTGAGAATGCCGGCTGCGATCAAATTGCCGAAGGCACCGCTGAGCAGAGAGCCAGAATAGAAAATACTCATGCGGAAAGCCAGTTCCTTCTTCGTGTACCATTTAGAGAGATAGAAAAGCACACCGGCGAAGAATGGGGCCTCTGTCACAAGCAGATTATAAATTAGTCGAGACACTTGATCGATCATTTGCGACCGGAATTTACTTACCGACAAAACCTAATATAAATCGACAGGCCACAATGCCCCCATATCCCTTGACCTGGCTCGTCAAGGTAGAGACCAGACCCCAGGCGGTGACGAAGAAGCCAAGATATAGAGATGGCCGTCCCATGTAGTTGAGCAGCAAGTTACTTGGAACTTGCATCAGAATGTATGCCACGAATAGAATCGATAGACCCGTCTGATAGTCGGTTTGAGAGAGGCCGAGGTCCTCCTCCAGACCTTGCAACTTGGCTGCGGCATAGTTATTGCTGTTGTAGATTTAGTGCACTGGCCACAAGCTTTATCAGGGTCATAACCTACCGATCGATATAGTTTAACAGATATACCAGCACGACCAACGGCATGATCAAAGAGTCGATACGAGTACGCAATTTCTTCTCGAGGACCAACTCTTCCTCTGTCAGTCGCGTTAGCTGCACGACCTCATCATGGGAGATGCCAGCCTTCTCCCCCATCGCCTCCGAGTCTGTGATGCCTCTTTCCGCGTCCGCCATGATAGAAGACGAAAGAGCGAATAGGTTCTGGAATAGTTGAGTTGATAATTATCAAGGGAGGAGGGAAAACTGGGCTGCATTTCCATCTAGACTGGGGAGGATGAACTCTTTATGGGAGACAGCAAGGGGACAGAGCCCCGTATGAAAAACAGGCCCATGTCACAACACATTTCTGAGCCACTCGCATGGATGCGGGTGTTATCTTCCTTGCGGATTGTGGCGATCTCACACTTGATTTCTGGGGGAAACAAGACGTGGGGGCATTCCGCGCTGCCGGCGCCAATAAGGGAAGGGCAGGGAGGATAAATGCGGAGAGACACGAGGGTCAATGGCGTGTTGGCTCAGGCATATTGATGGTGATAGGCAGAGCCGGCCGCGGCGGACCCCCTCACGGTGGAGGCGGCATCCATGGACATTGCGGAGAAGAGCCACTGAGATCCGGGGTGAGTGGATCACGGGCAGTCTAAAGGTTGTTCCCCCACGAAATCTTGCCATTCTGCATATTGAGGCTTGGCCGAATCAAACCTCCTATTGCTTGGGTGCTTGGGAACTCGGAGAAAGTCCGGGGCAGGTGGTTGAGGAGAATAGATCAGCCGTGGGCCTGCCCCTTTTTGAGTTTCACCTCCTGATTTGACTTCATCCCCGCCTATCGCCTTCTTCGTCAGGTAGCTAGCCCGAGAGCACAAGAAGGAAACCGAGCCCCGAGTCCCGTGTTGAATTTCTTGGCTGAGCTCGCTCCCTCTGACCATGCGACGCGGTTGCCTGTTACATCGTGGTGGAATGCTGAGATTTGGTGAAGTCAAGATCGTCACCTGATCCTCTCTTTGCATTACAGTGGAAAGTGTCCGAAGTCACTTACACTTAGGCTTACACTCAATCTACCCCCAAGAAATGGCTAGATGTCTTGGTTTCAACAACTCCCAGCTCCAAGCCACAATTCTCGCAGTTACTCCGTGTGGAACTTTCATCATACCATTTACCTCGGCCATCGTTCTGGTCTTCTATGGTTCTGGAAGTACTAGATTCCCTACCAAAATAGGATCACTCGTTCACCCGGAACAAATAGTACTACCCCTCGTTTCACTTGCCTGATCTTGGTGATTACGCCCCGGCTAAATACAGGGGTAAACACAATGCCTTTCAGTCTTATGTCACACTTCTTCGGTCTTCATCTTTCAAGTTCTTCCACGTCTCGTGCAAAGGAAACCCCCCATCTAATCCAGTACGAAAAACCCACAATACTCCAATTCTACCCCAACAACTGTTGCGCCCGCAATATGCTGCTCTTCAGGGTCCTGTCGCGTCAGAAGATGGTTTTTGACACGTCTGTACCAAGAGCCAGCCAAGAATTGCTCAAGCGGAAGACAAAGCTCATTGTGCTTTAGTTCCAATTCTGACAATAGGTTCTTAAATTTGACTCGTGATGATTCCAGAAAACAGTTGTCTTTGATGTCATCTACGATTTCTGAATGTACATCTGAAGACCTCGGGGATTCAGCCCCTATGTGGCTTTGCTGAAGCAACTGTGGTTGAGATCCAATGTAATACCATAGGACTGAAATCTGATCCAAGGGGATCTTGCCATTGTGTCTCATCCAACTCGTAAATATAGCTAAAAGCGTGCGTATAGCAGTCGTGACAAATTGCACTCGATGGACGGTTCATGAGTCCGAGTCAGGACCCGGACGTGAACTCTCGGAGAATGCACGATAGTGCCGTGCATCCGCCGGGGGAGCAAAGGCATGATTATACATTCGACCTACCTAGGTATCTGGCCGAGGAAACCTTGGAAGAAATTGGTATTCATCGTTGCAATTTGGCGCGATTGTTCTCCCATACTATTGATGTATTGCGAATGAGGGTCGTATCGGTACTTCCAGAAAACGTTGGTAATTATCCTCAATATCGGAAGATACGGAATTGGTTCATCTGTCCGAGTCTAAGGCCGCTTTCGGTGGACCCTCGGGGAGCTTTGAGCCTTTAGATATAGTGTAGATACCTACTAGTAGGTATATGCCACCGACTCCGAATAGCTTCTAGCAGAGGCCGAACTCGACTTTCAAAGGGAGTTCTGAAAAACGCCAGTGGGTGAAATGGTAAACCGATTCCTCCGATGCCTCGCCAAATGCGAAGAAGTAGACCCCTGACTGGAGTGTATGGTTGGCATCCGTTTAACGAGAAGCAAGTAAGTCATAAACCTTGATAGCCTTCGGGCGACCAAGAAGCGACCCCTCAGCACAGCTGGCTGACACTGACGGCGGCAAGAAGGTCTCGGCAATTTTTCGCAACCTTCAATGTCTTGCTGCCAATAGACTTGTTTATCAATGTCAGCATTCTCTTTGCTTTGTCAGGGTGAGGCAACTTTGAGCTCTACTCGAGCTGAAGCTGGGAGAAGCACATCCTTCTCGTGTTCTCTTAGCGTTAATTTAGCCGAAGCATGACACTCCGTGCCATGGTACCTAGGTATATAAGGAGCCAAGAACTCAGGCCGTTGGTCCGTTTACAGCACAAGGATTTGAAGGGTGAAGAAGCTTCCGACTCGAGAGCGCGAGTTTGGACGCTCAAGCTGTAGGTCACCTGACTTTGGGAGTTGACTACCCTAAGTTCTATCACGCCAGCCTTCCCATTTTTCCTATCTCAACTGTGCAGCTTGAGATCATTTTAAACTTGGATACCAGCATCTTGGGTATGTATTCTCCTACGAGGCTTATGACAGAAGCCAGCCCTGGAGAGGTGGAGCCGGAGCCAGCAAAGCACCCGCTGCATGCACGTTAATGTTAGGGGGGGCAATAGTCGTCCGTGCCTCCGGAGAACCTCGGTCATCGTCCAAGCTTCTACGAGGTACGGAGTACATATTGATTCTTAAGTATTGGATGGTTTCTTTTGCTGCTTCAACTGACCCGTTTGTTGTAGACTCTTGATTGCAGCGAGTTGACCAGGGCTGCGGACCAATGGCATGCTCAGGTTGCTCATCAGACCACATTCCCTCCAGTCGAGAGAGACTCCTCACTTTTGGTCCTTTTGCTGTGTCCCAACGTTCCGGACCCTCATTACCACTTCGAGCGACTGACAGAGCAACACTCTCTCATCATCCAGCTTCACGCCAATAGTATCGCCGCGAGGGTGGCCCCGGTCGCAACGGGCGGAACAGGGTCCACGCACCCACCGCCTATCAGCGTCGACAATGGACCAAGCTACAGAGTCCAAGACTGGGCCGGAGGGGCTATGATCCACCAGACTCAGCTGGAGATCTCGGACGCCCACGTCGGCAATCTGACCCTCGAAATTCCCGCAGCGCCGTTGGTCCGCGATGTTTCCTCCTCCTCCATCTCTCCATATGCCGCGTCCTGATGCTCGGTGATACGCGACAAGTTGCCAACGACTCACGAGTCAGGAAGGCGTCCAACCGCCAGTCGCGCTCCTGCAAAGTCTGTCGGCTCCGCAAAGTCAAGGTACCGTGCTCTCAGATCGCCCCTGGCCGAACGGGAGGGACCGTTCGTGCCGTACCCAGAACGTCCCACTGGCTCTTGAAGAGGAGGTGCTTTTTGTATAGCTTCCGATCCCGCTGAGGCTAACACATATCGTCCGTATCGCCAGTGTGACCGCGTCAAGCCATGCCATGCATGCTGCGCGCATGGATACCCCTCCAAATGCGTATACGAGAGTGTCCCCGATGAGGATGCTCGCCCCATTAGCCAAGCCGAGGAGATTCGCAACTTGCGCGATGAGATCAAGGATCTCCGCACTCGGATAAATGATAGGCAAGACGGTAAGTGACGAGGCTCCGTTCCCCGACCCCGGACTCTACCTCGGTGGATGCTCAGCCTCCGATGGCGCTGGTGAAACATCCGCTAACGCATTTTGATGCAGGGTCCCAGACTCAGCACCTCCAGCGGCTGGACCAGCTGGCGAGCTTATTTGAGTCTATTCGTTCGGCCCCGCTTAGTGTCGTCGATGACTTGGTCCGTGATATTCGGACGACACAAGGTGGATTGAAGAAGGATCTGACCCCTGTTGGGCCATGGGAGGGCCTCGAAGGTGAACCTCCCAAAGCTTTTATGATTACCATCCAGTGCCATATACTAAACGTCTATGATTTCTAGCGTACGAGCCATACGACTACAAGCGGCAAAGCTCGCCTGTGTCCGTTATCCCCATTCGCAAGACAATTTGCAATGGTAGCCCGGAACCGAATTTCAATGACCCAATTATACTTGGAGATGACGAAGATGACGAGGAGGAGGAGCAGGAGGAGCGCATGTCGATTGGCAGTGGTTCAGACTCGTCTGGTACGGTCTCCATCATGAGTGTGCAGCGCCCGGCTGTCGATGTATTCGTTGAACGCTTCGTCGACGCTTTTAGCCCCCAAGTCGATCTCAAATCGGGCAAAGCAGGTGCTATAAGGGCCGCGGCTGGAATTCGGATGTTTTCACCATTGATCTCGGATGCGTTCGAGGCAGTATCTGTCGCCTTTTTTGGTCGCTCTGTTCAGAATAAACAGATTGAAGCCTCTGGCTTTAAACTTTATCCGCGTGTGCTCCGTGGACTGCAAGATGCTCTGAATGACCCAGAGCGATGCAAGGCAGAGTCAACTCTGGTTACTGTAACTCTTTTGCTTGCGTTTGAGGTTTGTTTGCTTTCCTCCTGTTTATTATTCGGCCGCTAATTTTTGCAGAGCGTGGAACGTACTACTCAACGGGGTGTCCCGGCTCATGTTCGAGGTGCTGTGCGCCTCATTGAGCATCGCGGTCCAGAAAATCACATGTACGGGGTTGAGCATCTGTTATTCACAGAATTGCGACCATACTGGGTATTTTTAAATCAATCCGTTCTATTCATGATCAAATTCTAACCACCACAGATTGCCGGTGCACTGGCTGCGCGACAACCGTCATTCCTCGCCCGTGAAGAATGGAAAACCATCCCATGGTCGGCTGGAACGACTAATAAAGACATTAACCATCATCTGCTGGATCTCGCCGTTGAAGTCCCCGGCCTTCTAGCTCAATCAGACATATTTCAGGAGGAACAACGATCCTCCCTGATGGGCGCACAGGAAATAGCCGTCAAGCAGGCGGCTCTTTGGAATGGAATCACCAATCTGACAGCTCGCTTCGAAGAGTGGTACAGTGAATGGGCCATGAACTACCCCGATGGTGCCCCGGAGGAAGTTGAGCAAAGCGCCGACCAGGAATTCCCGATCTTTAAACAGCGGGACCTGCGTACCGGGGCGATCTTCATCCCAACCATCCTCTCCTATCCCAATCTCCTCCTTGCACAAACGATGGCTCTATACTACTCATTCCGACTCATTCTTTCCTCGATTGATACCCGCCCCGAAGACCGGGTCACGCCAATCCAGCAGTATGGGTTCGGATGTGGAATCTGTCGGACACTACAGTGGTATATCGAGACGGCCCCTGGTAATATGATTAATCGCCTTGCCTTCCCGACGCGGGTTGCTTGGGAGGCCTTCCCGGACAACGGCCCCGAACGTGGATTCATGATAGCAGTTCTGCAGCTCGTGGAGCGACGCCATGCCTTAGGCCTTTGGGGTGCCGGCATGGCGGAGCTCTCAGTCCGGGAGAACTCGCCTCTGAACACGGAATGATGATTCAACGCTTCTCGTATATTTAAATCTGTTTGTATGGGCGGTCTTTTACTTTATCACTGTATGACGAGCGATATCCCTAGGGGCATTCATAGCCTGGCGATTGATTTTCAAAAGTTGAGTATGATTTTTCTCAAGTGTGTATGGAAAGGATTCTTCTCCTATGTGTAAATTTGTGTACATTATTGTCCAAAAGCCAAAATTTGCGATAATTTTCGACAGGTCCACTCTGACAGCCAAGTGGGAAGCTGAAGCCTCGAGGGAAACCACGCGAGTCCGATTGGGCGAGGATCCACTCAGCCACGATGCGGCCAACCCCAAACAGGACTAGCCGCACTCCGTAATGACATCTCTCCGCCAGTCACAGCTCTGTCTCTGAATCACAATCGATAGTTTCAGGAACGGATGGGTCTGATGTGTCCGATCGGGAGAAAAGAAAAGGAGGATGCTCTTGCAGCTGAAGACCCCAGATCTCTCATAAAACTCCGACGTGACATTTCCATGGTTCGCGTCCTTCATATCATTGAGCCTCGATCAATCTAAAGGCTGATATATCATATTATTATCCCTCCATCAATACCCTCACAATATCACTATGCCTTCTCTTCGCCAGGCACTTACCTCCACCCTGGCGTGCGCCTCCGCCGCCTGGGCCACCGGGATCAACGATTTCTCCTGCAAAAGCGATGGAAACCCGGTCGTGCTCCTGCACGGGTTAGGTGCTACCTACTACGAGGACCTCAACTTCCTGCAATACTGGCTGCAGAATGAGGGCTACTGCACCTACGCAAAGACCTACGGTGCCTATGACGGCTTCCCTTTCGTCGGCGGCCTAAAGCCCATTAAAGAGTCCGCGCCCGAAATCGCCGCCTACATTAAGGAAGTGACCGAGAAGACGGGCAAGAGCAAGGTTGACCTAGTCGGTCACTCCGAGGGTGCGTTCCAGAGTCTATATGTGCCCAAGTTCGAGGGTGTCGCCGACAAGGTCGATAAGGTTGTTGCGATCGCGCCGCCCACACACGCTACCACTTTTGCCAATATTTATAAACTCGCTTACCTGCTGGGTAACACAACCCGTGAGGTAGTCGGCGATGTCTTACAGACGGTTGGCTGTGGTGCCTGTGACGACCTCGGTCCCGATGGCGCGGCCGTTCTCCGACTGAATGATGGCCAGCCGATTGCGCAGGAGGGAAACACTGTTACTATCATCGCGTCGAAGTACGATGAGTTGGTTACGCCGCCCACGACCTCGTTTGTGGAGGAGGATGGTGTGTCTAACTGGTGGATTCAGGATACGTGCAAGTTTGACCCGGTCGGACACATTGGCGAGGCGTATGATTTGAACGTGTGGAACCTGGTGAAGAATGCGCTGGACTCAACTCCGGACCGCAAGTTTGTTTGCCTGCTTGGGTCTCCTGGGAAATGAAGGGAGAAGAGGGGGGAAGGCGAGAGAAAGACGGTGAAGTCATAAAGTGGAGGGGGAGGTGGATGGAGTGGATTATAAGGGCCATTGCTCCGTATGGGGATGGTCTCGGATCTTCAGGATATTAATTGTACAGAGTACATAATACATATAATAGCTAATGTTTCACACCCCTGTCCAGTGCGGCTGTCACCATGAGCCAGTCACGTAGGTTATTCAGTGCATCAGCACATTGAGTGGTGTGTAGTAGCCTATGTACACTACTCCGTACTTATACCCTCAGCCCTGCCACCATCCCACCCGGGGAAGTGGCACAGATTACGACATGAAAATCGGTCTGCTGCACACGTGTCACCGCAGGGGAAATAAATACCGTATACAAATCGGGAACTGGGCGCTATTCGGAGTAGCCTATCGCCAGGCTTAATTATGGGCAAAGTGGAGTATCCCCGCCGACCCGTTCCAGCTTGGCTGTGAAGCTTAGCCCTCTTTGCACGCACATCACCGACCCCATCGCCCTCCTCATCGCCAATAATATCTCGAATTGCCCAATGATTGGTTTCGGATCCACCGCCACACTCCTCCCAATTCGACCTACCCTTGGTTGCGCCACTCCAAGAATGGGCAGTTGGACAACCCCGATGGCCCTGACCCAGTCAAAGGAGAGTGGCACAGCAAATGGCGTTGTTTCGCTCCTGATTGATGGGCCTATCTGATGCCATGTGTGTCCACAAGGTTGCCTATTCCTAGACGGGGTTTCAGAGGGAGGGGTCAAGCAATGATGCTGGTCTGGCTGTTTTGGAGGGGTTATAAGTAGCTATTGTCAGCCCCCTCTGCTCCTCCTCTTCCTTTCTTCTCTCCTTCATCATCTTTCTATCTCTCCCTCTTTTCCCCAAGTCACTTCATCACTTCACATCTTTCACCATGGGTTGGTTCCACGGTAAGTCTTAAGCTTTGCCAATGCATTGCAATGCAGTCCTATGCAGCTGCCTCTGTCTATCCTGCATAATCGTGCGTCCGTGCTGACTGACATTTCCCTCCAACAGACGATTCTGAGGAGACTCAGCACTACAACAACTACCAGGAGTACTCCCAGCAGCCCGAGGAGCACAAGGCCAAGTTCTCCCACGAGCTGATCGGTGGTGCCGCTGCCTACGAGGCCATGAAGGCCTACGAGGACCACGAGGCCCGCAACGGTAAGCCCCTCCTCGCTGTCGTCATTCACCATCTCCCCTTCCCTCTTTGTTACAATATATACCTCTCCATATATTAAAGCTCAATGGCTAACTCCCCACCAGGCCAGGTTGACAACCACGCCAAGGCCAAGGAGATCGCCGCCGGTCTCGCTGGTGCCTTCATCGACCGCGAGTTCGAGTCCAAGGGTCTGGACTTCATCGACCGCGAGAAGGCCAAGCGCCACGCCGAGCAGAGCATTCAGAGCCGCTTCGAGGAGAGTGGTCGCTACTAAATCCGGCATGTCCGAATTCTTCAGGAAAGGATTAGGCAATGCTGAGGTTTTCATATGATTATGAACTTAGTGAGACGAAATGAATACTAGCGATCTCCAATGACCTACATTGCATACTTCGTAAATGCCATAGGGAAGGCAGCATCCAAATCTACATCTCTCTGGAAGCAAATTGTAGGCTGCAGACAAGTGATTGAGAAATGAGTCGGGAGTCCAGAGCAGAGTATCTACTCCGTACACATGGAGTGGGTCAGGGGCTCCTCCGCCACTTAAGCCGATCTCCGCCAAATCCTGCCACGCTAAAATCTTGGCGATCGAACACACCGCGTCTTCGGAGCAAAAATAAAACACAGGAGTTGACAGAGCTGGTCACGCCTCGACAATGGTGACAGCATAGCTAGTCAACTATTCCCTCCACTCCGAATCCCACCTCTTCCATCCCCACCCTCCACGCTAGCCCCCCCGGGCACGCAAGAGGACCTCCACCACCTCCACAATGGCAGACGACATGGACATCGACATTCGCCTGGACGAGCAGATCCGGCATGCGCTGGAATATCTCGGAGATACGCAAGCGTCGCGAGCTGGTCGAATTACAAGCTCAATTCGAGTCCGAGGAGAGACTCCTTGAAGAGGCTCAGCGCAGACTAGAGGCTGTTCGTGCGCCGCCGGCGCCGGAGAGTCACGGTGCAGCTGCCCACGCCAATCTCATTCCCAATCCCGATGCCGATGCCTCACACTCAATATGCGGTCACGCCGATCTCGTCAAAATAATCAATTACGAATGGCGTGTCGGATCTTCTCGGTGCTGGATTCAGCATCAAGGGCATGGCGCACACTCAGGCTGTGGATTAATTTATGGATTCTCTACAGGGTGATGTGGGCAGAGAAGAGCCCGAAAAGCCTCCGGTCGATTCTGATGAGGTTCCCACAACTGGCGTGTCGAGGCCTGCTTCACAATCTGGTCTAGTCCCTATCGAAACTCCCCGGACGCCGGGACATAGGCCTCAAAGTCAACATCCGCGTCATCCCGATGGACCGGTCGGTCCTTCCTCGCCCGTCACCGACAGGATTATCGAAAAGCTTTGTCTTACGGTGATACACCCAAAGACTCGTTCTCAAGCATCCGACGCAGGGTCAGGCTCGGAAGAAATGTCTCACTCGACGGTGGTGAACGAGGAGCAGGAGATTGATCAATCAAGCGATAGTCAAAGCGAAGGCTCCGATTCAGATGAGCAGATGGACATGAACGAGAGCAGCTCGCCGCAAATCCCACCGCATACGCCCAGAGCCCCGTCACGAGCGGTTTCAACAGCACCATTGTCACGGGAGCCTCGAGACTTGCAACACCCTGCACCTACACCAAATTTGGCTTCGTACCAAGCTGGTAGCTGGGGAGAGATGAAGTCGCTTGTGGCGGCCCTAGAAGTGCACTTTCTGCGATTCCCTGAATTCTACAGTGCCGAGGATCACAAAGTAAAGGTCGGCGAGCTATATCTCGAAGCAACCTCTGCTTCCGAATGGCGAGATCGGCGCCGCAAGCTGACACGGCCGTCCTGGATAGCATTCTGTTTCCTTGCGGAACAACTTGCGTTGACCATCGAACCTGATACGGCGCGGCGCTTGTATACCAGTACCCACCAGAAGCCTGGAGAGCCGGTTCTCAATTTTGCACTGTGTTTGCAAGAATATGCGCCACATTCTAATCCGGCGCATCATAACAGGGTGCGTCATTTCTATGACAGACTTCTCCCAGTACTCAAGAGCCAGGCGGGGAAGAATTGGGAAAGCTTCGATGATATTCATGAGATTGTGGAGTGCATGGTTAAGGCTGAGCAGTCGCTTCGTTGGACTAGTAACAGGTCACTTTCGTGCAAACGAGGGTGGGCGAATAGTTGAGCAAGAGACAATTAGCATTCGCGGAGCGGCGTTTATCAGGAGCTTTTCATTTTCATTTCATTTTCGGTCTACTGGACAAGGCATGGCAGGGTGCATTGTGATACTGGCATCATCGGGCTAGCGGAGTTATTCATTCTTGCTCTCTATTTCATTTTTCGATGAATATTAGCTAGCTTCAGCGAACAAAAGTATCATTTCCTCCGGGAGTATCAAGATTTAAACAGGATGTTCCTCCTGACTGCTACGTCTAAGCATCGAGACAAAAGGTAGCCCAGCCCGGCTCCACATCAGACTGCATAAGCCGATTTCTCCAAATCGCAAGAATATCCGATCACACCGACACAATACGACCCGAGGCCAATTCCATCGTCGATCGAGTTCGTCAATGCACACAAATGCTGGAGGTGGGGGGGATTCACCCAGGGACATTGGCCCTCTTGGCTGCAGGATGACTAGGACGAGGGTAGTGCATTGGGCTTGCATCCCTAGCCCCTCCACCAGCCCATTACAACCCTCTGATTTCGCAGCGCAAAACCTTGCAGACTGGGGCTTGCATGCTCACCATTCCCAATGGATCCTGGCGTTATCGATGGTATCGTGATCGATCAACCTCAGCCATCCCATTTACACTGGGCCTTGCCCCCAAGAAACCCGATAGGCTTCACGACCAGCCCGCTCCCCACCTGTGGGACCCTTTTGATCGGCGCTGGCCATGGTTCACTCGCTGTCACCCCAAACAAAGCCGCTCTTATCTGATTCCCTTCTCTCCCCTCTGTCAACTCCCGGGGTGGGAAGAGTGCGTTCTGGAAATTTGACTTCTGTTGCACTGCCCGTCACGAGCTAGGTTTCCCGCTCATCCGTACTCTCCGACAAAGTGTCGCGCTATTTATGAAGGGGCGTGGACCTTCCCCCCCGTAGCATCCTTTGTTGATCTCTTATCGTCCCATCGTTGAGCCATGGACGATTGGAAATCCCTTGACCCACGCTCGCTGCCGCACCGCCGGACTACCTCGTTGAAGAGGAGGCCTTGGGCTGCGATCTTGCTACTCGGGGCATCCGGCTTCCTTGCGTGGAGAACATGGTCATCAACTGGATCTTCAAGGCCAGCGCCAGAGGAGCCAGGGCCTACACCGAGTGGGTCCGAGTCGCCCTTCAGCTGGGACGAGATTGACCCCTCGCCCGTGCTGGAGTATCAGGACTGCGGCGATGGCTTCCAGTGTGCACGCCTGCAAGTGCCTATGGATTATAATCGCACCGAGACGGACGATCGAACATTTTCGCTCGCGATAGTCCGTATCCCGGCCAAGGTGCCTGTTTCCGATGCCCGCTACGGCGGCGCTGTTTTGATTAACCCCGGTGGGCCTATTCTATAACTACACTCTCCAGAATCGTAACTCATGCAAGCAACTAGGTGGCCCTGGTGGCTCTGGAACATTATCAGCTTTGCTATCCGGTCGTAATCTACAGACCATCGTTGATGCAGAGAACGATCCGTACAAAGCCGCTTTTGACGAAAATGATAGGTATTTCGATATAATTGGATTCGATCCGCGTGGTGTTGGTGCAACCACGCCTGCAGTGATGTGTTTCCCCGACCCTACGTCTCAAAAGGAGTGGGAGTTGCAGTTGGAAGCAGAGGGGATGCTGGGCAGTTGTCCCAATGCCCTGCAAAGAAACTGGCAGCGGATGCAGGCCTTGAACCAAGGTTGTTCAGTTTTTGATATGAACGCCGGCGCTGAGGCGTGGGGTAATGATCCTATGCTCTCTTATCTTAATACCCGCCTCGTTGCCCAGGACTTGGTCACCATCATCGAGCGCCAAGGCGAGTGGCGCGAGAAACAGGGCCAAAAGGCACAGGTTTCTTATGACAACTGCCATGGTGTGGATGAGTCGCGCGCTATTCTGAGACGCACGCAATGGCGTGTGGATAAAGAGCCTCTATTATATTGGGGCCGATCTTACGGCACCGTTCTCGGCGCGACCTTTGCGGCATTATTCCCGAATCGAATTTCCCGAGCGCTGCTGGATGGCGTCGTGGATATGGATAAATATTACGAAGGGAGGGGACCGAATGCGATCGCGGATGCGGATGCCATCTTTGACAAATTCGGTCAATATTGTGATGTTGCTGGGCCGGATGGTTGTCCTTTCTACGTTGAAGGCGGGCCTGAGGCTATCAAGGATGCGTACTGGGCACTTGAGAACCAGATCTTGAATAATTCCATTCCGGTTATGGCTTCTCATTCTCACGGGCCCGAGGTCGTGACCTGGACCGACTTGAAAGCCATCCTCCGCGTCTCCATGTACCAGCCCCTCCTTGCGTTCCACACCTTTGCAACTCTTATGGGATCGCTTTCGAGTGGGGACCCGGAGCCTATGGCTGTTTTCAAGCATAGCAGGCATGTCGAAAGCTGTCCATCGAAGGCGTGTAAAATCGCTGGTCCTTGGTCTCCGGAGTGTAGCCTGGGGCAAGATAACACCTTGTACGCTAGTGCGGCTATTCTTTGCTCTGACGCTAGTTTCATGACACATCATGATCAAGAGAGTTTTGAGGAAGTCTGGACCCAGCTCAAGTCTGAAAGTGCTACTCTTGGCGACTACTGGGCTCAGTTACAAATTGCTTGTGTGGGGTGGCAAGCTAAGGCCAAGTACGAGTTCACAGGTATGTGGTAACCTTGTGTGAACACGTATTGTTTAGCTATTCTAACATGAGCTAGGGCCTTGGGGCGGTGTCACGGCGCATCCTATACTGTTTGTATCTAATAAACTGGACCCAGTTACGCCTCTCCGCAGGTATGCATATCTATATGAAATACTACTTTCTGAAGAAGAGCATATGCTAACACCCACCAGTGCGCAACACATGTCCAAAAAATTCCCTGGATCGGCAGTTCTTGAGCAAAATTCAGAAGGCGTAAGTGCTCTCATATTTTTTTTCTCTTCTTGACTCCCAGCTTATTGCCGGAATAGCATACCACGGTTGCAGCACCTTCGCTTTGCGTAGCCAAGGCAATCCGAAACTATTTCCAGACTGGTGTTCTCCCGGTCGCAGGAACTATTTGTGAGGCTGATTTAAAGCCGTTAGTGGGTGCGCCAGATGGCATCCATAGTCTCGGCAAAGATCTGAGTCCCGGGGACCGCAAATTGTTGGATGCATCACTAGCGGAAGCGATGCGAGGTCACTTCCCACATCTATCGTTCGACTGGAATCTGTCCTAAACCATTGATCAATTTCTGGGTTTTTTTTCACCGATTCACTCCATTTCCTTATTATCGTCGACTATCTATCATGAGATCACGCCACTTCAGCCCTTTATTTCGGATCGGTTAGTCTTGTTTTATTCTTCTCTTCTATTGCATTTGCTGTTATAGATGAGCGACTCGGACTATTTTTCGTGCATTTGGCGAATTAAATGATATTATATAACCAAGTTCCCCCTCCTCTACATAACCTCGGATATTTCCCCGTAATCTCCATCCAAATTTCGGATGACTGCTTACGGAGACAACCAAAGGGTAAAGCGGAGAGACCCCGCCAGACCTCGGCATGCCCAAACGATCCAATCTGCGTGCTCGGATCGATAATCAGTATCAACCCCGCTCGTCGATCGCATATGCAGTTGTTCACCATGTAAGATTAGCAAATATTCCATTCTTCCTTCTCACACCATCTGATTATCGAAATCGGCTCAAGTTCATCCATCATCCATTATGGCTCCCCCCACAGCAACCGAGACCGCTAGCTCCATCACCGTGCAAGCACCGCAGTCTTCACAGACCGCTGGACTCGAGAAAGCAAAGGTGAAGATGCAGATGCCGGCAATGCCCAAATTCGAGGATAAGCTAGAAGAGCGAAACTATCTCAAGGGCCGACTTGCTGCAGCTTTCCGGATCTTCGGCAAGAATGGTTATGATGAGGGTATGTATACTTGCCAATATTTAATCCTTTTCGTTCCATTTGCTTGATATTGCATCTGTCCTACTATCTGGGTTTTCCACGTATCTACAGGTTTAGTCACTGACCTCCATCTCCTTATCTTGCAGGAGTTGCTGGCCACATTACGCTCCGCGACCCCGTCGACTCCACCACCTTCTGGGTGAATCCTTTCGGAACAGCCTTCTCGCTCATGAAAGCCTCAGATTTAATCCAGGTCGACCACTCCGGCAAGGTCATTGACGGTGGCCCGAATCGAATGCTCAATGCCGCGGCTTTTATGATCCACTCCGCCATTCACACCGCGCGACCCGATGTACTCTGCGCCGCGCATAGTCACAGTCTTCATGGTCGGGCGTTCTGCTCACTCGGTCGACCACTTGATATCACAACGCAAGATTCCTGCGCTTTCTATAACGTGAGTCTAACTCTCCACACATGTTTCAGTTATTCCGAAGAGAAAGCATTGCTAATCAATCCCAGGACCACGTCGTGTATAAGCAGTTCAACGGCGTCGTTCTCGCCGAGGAGGAAGGTCACAACATCGCCCGAGAATTAGGTGATAAGAAGGCTGCGCTCCTACAGAATCATGGCCTCTTGACTGTCGGGCAATCGATCGAGGAGACGGTGTTTTGGTTCGTGAGTCTTGACAAGTGCTGCTACGCGCAGCTTCTCGCGGATGCGGCGGCGACTGGACGCGGAGGGCAAACGGTGAAAATCGAGGAAGCAGATGCTGCTTTCACTTATAAAACGGTCGGTACGCCGATGGCGGGTTGGTTTAGCGCGAAGCCCTTGTTTGATGTTATTCATCATGAGACGAAGGGGGAGTACCTGGAATAGTTTGGCCGAGTAGTTTAGCATGGAATTCTCTTAACTACAGCGACTATACCGTATCTACTAGTAGTATATGAAAATTTTCTTGGTGGTTTACAATTTATGAATAGAAATCTAGATCCGCGTAGAGCTAGCCTTTTTCCGTGCAGGAACGACTAGCTTGAAGCTCTGAAACAACTTTTCAAGCAGGGGTCCCCACCCAAACCTGTCATCCCGTTCGTTCGGGGATCGATGGATTGGTCTTAGTGGATGGGTCTTCAGCCTTATTTGGCCAAGTCTTTTGGTGGAACGGGCTTGATGCCGAAACTATTCAGGGCCTCCGCGCTACTGGCTGTTGCAGACATTAATGCGCCAATCAATGGTTCGGGGAAATGGGTGCTTGTGAGGGCGTCGCCGTTTCACTTGTGGACATCTTCAATTTATTTCCCTCCGAAGTGAAACATCATGGGGACTTGGGCTTCATTGGTAAATTGATTGTTTCATTAACTAACCCGCCAAGGAAAACTATCCTGAACATGAATAGAAATGTCGACTACTAGTAAGAAAATTATGTTTAAATAGTGAGCAACGGCTCACATTTGTGGTAATGATAGACAGTATCCTGAAGATATCCGATTCTCCAATAACTCCACCATGCAGCTTTTTCTTTCCCTAATCGCCGGTGCAGGCCTAGCAAGCGCCAGTCTGTTCTCCACTGAAGGTTTGCTGGCCAAGCGCGACTCCTGGGGTGGAAGTGTTTCGCTGGGCCCATCTAAATCAACCATCGTTAATGCCGTGACTACTCTCATCCCTGGAGCTGCCCCGTCCACTCAGAACGGAATGTTATTCCTTTGGCCCGGTATGTCCAACGGTACTGGCGACCTGGTCCAGACTACCCTCGAAAGCTGGCCCGACAACTCCTGGTGTGGAGCTACCACTGGACAATGGTGCGTTCGCGCAAGTGTCTTCGGATCATTCGGCCAGTTGGATGGCACTGGAAGCCCTGTCAGTGGCACTGACCAGGTCCGCATCGAATACAACCTGGAGAGTGATGGAGAAACCTGGAAGCAGTATGTATTTGCGAAGTCTTGTGGCTGAGGAGCCATGGAGGGCTAATATTCCTGCAGGACTGTCACCAATGCCGCCACTGGTGCTGCTCTTTCTTCCTACTCTTACGCCTCTGGCCCATACATGAGAGGGTAAGACTAAGTGATCGAAGTCCTTTTAGAGAAGAATTCGATCGGCTAACTGTTCATAGCTACGGCACCGGCACTGAGTGCGATAACAGCTGCACTGGCACCGTCGCTGCCCAGCAGTACATTGATACCACCATCACCCTGGCCTCAGCAGACACCACCTTCGGCGATACTATTGCCAGCGCATCTGGCGCCACATACACTGGTCTGAGCTCAAGCTCAGGCGGCAAGGTCTGGAAGATCAGCGCCATCAACATCCCCGCGATGTCCTAGGGAGGAGAGAAGCCAGTAGCATGAAAATGCGATTCGTGTATTTTATTCAGATAGTTCCAAGCTCAACGCAGCAAACAAACAAACAATGAATGAAGATTCAAACCAACAACACGCTAGCTATGCAGTTTCGCGAAATATTAAACATTACTCCGTATAGTCCAGGTCAACAGCCAAGCGCACCGGTCCCGGCGGCGCCGCACCACCAATGCCATCATGGTGCTTCTTCGACTCGGTATAGGCATTAATGACCTTCTTCGCGCCGGGGGTGAGGATGGAGCATGCTTTTCCATCAGCCAGGCATATCCGCATCCCCTGCACCTTCTGCTTTGCAATCTGCGCTTGGATGGCAGATACGTCCCAGCCAGACCAGCCGTTATTCTCGATATCGCCGAAACTAAACTCGCCCCAGGTAGAGGTATATCCGCCAAAATTGTCCCTGGGAAGACCCTTTGTACCGGGCGCAGCGCCCCATGCTCCAATGGAATCTTCGTCGAAGGCGATGTACTTCGTCTCGCCGGGGGCTAGGACAAAAGTCACGGCTGAGTGGTCGTACCACCCGTCCATTTTGCCGTCGGGCCCGATCTTGTTCCAGATAATTACTGTCCAGGGCTCGGTGTTGGCGCCGGTGAATCGCGCAACGTACTTGTATCGGTGGGCTTCTGTTGGGCTGACTTCGATGATGTTGCTACCCCAGGGCACGCCCACGTTGCCGTGGTATTTTATCAGTGTTCCGGCTGGCTTGCTGTGGCCGCCGAAACGGCGGGTTGTGAATTCGTTGTTGGCGGGGAGGTCTGTCCACTGCATATTTTTGGGGACGGAAGGTCCGTCTGGGTGGAGGACTTGATCGAGGGCTGGAACTGGGAGGTGGGGGATTACGTCTGTTGGATTGTCGGGTAAGATGGATGGAAGCGATTGGAGAAGGTTGGGGTTTTTGGGAGCCGCATCTGGTTTAGAGCCTTTGGGTAGTGGACGCTCTGCTACTGACTCGGAAGCCTTGGGCTCTTTTGGAGCTGCAATATTGGACGACGAAGGAGCTGCGAATTTGGAAGACGAGGCTGGATTGTTGTTGGAGACGCTTGGGCTGGATGTCTCCATGTCTGTGACTGTCTTCGTCATGTGAATGGTGGTTGTCTCCTCATGAGCTGGTGTTATGATATTGGAAACATCGATACCATGGGTGGGCTGAGCATGCAGCTGGTCAAACTGGGATAAAGTTTCTGAAGTACTAGTTGAAGAGACTGGGTGCACCGGTGCTTCAAGAATGGAAGACTTCGACGGAATGGCTTGGATTGTGGCTGTTGCCGGCTCGAGAACACTCTCAACTGGCAATGGCCGAGGGAAGGCGTTTATTGGCAATTCTTGGGAAGCAATGGGCTTGAAAATTGAACTTGAAGCTTCTGTCGGATCAGGGTAGTCCTCAAAAATGGTCGTAGTGACATATCTAGTGTTCGTGGGAATACAGTCTTCAAAGACAGTGGTCGTCAGGGTGAGAGTCTCCACAATCGTATCCGCCGAGAGGTGGTCAATCCAGTCCAGATCTCTTGGTTCCGCTTGAACATGCGGCTTGATGTTTGCATGGAGACGTTTGTGGTGATTGTGGGCTCCCAACACGAGGTTGGCGCCCAGGGCCAGGATTAGCGGCGTATACATGCCCCCGCGCATATTGAAATGAGTGGATAGTAATGTAGGACAGGGAGTCTAGTTGGGTAATAAGAGGAGTTCCAAATCGAGAGAAATTGAGCTTTGCTCGGAAAATTGAGACAAAGAGAGACTTCGGTGACTTTAAAGAAAGTAGATATAGAGAGTGATTGAAGTTGGATAGCGATTGTGACCACGTTTACTGCGTGGTGGAAATTGGTGTCGGCTCCATGGTTGTGGTGTTGTCGATGAACTTGAGAAACTCGAGAAACGCGACGGGGAACGTGCCGTCATCTTATACTGAGACGCGATGGTCTGGCCCTTGAATATCAGGAATGTTATTTCGCGTCGAATCTTGGAAGGGCGATCTGATATGGACGGTAGCAGCCCCGAATTCCCAATCGCTTGGCTAGACGCGAACGCGTTCCCCATGAAAAGATTTTAGCCTGTCCAGTTCAATTCATCAAGGTACTTAGATTTGAAATCACTTTAATCTCATACCATGTACGTCAATAATTGAATTCGCAGCGATCTGATGGTTGGCCCGGTCGCGTGTGGTCTCGTCCTGGTAGCGCAACCCCTCGCATACCAACCCTAGATTGCAATCAAGGCACCTTCACACGTGAAGTAAAACGTGGGATCTGCAGCACATAAGGAACAGGGAATTGATTTGGACAAATCTATTGAGGCAGTTCTAATCTGTGCCCAATGGGTGTTCACATTCGTTCAAGTTAAGAGTATATAATAGTTCAGGCCAGAGGCCGTTGGAGGTTAATTAGAGCCCTGGAGAGTCTTCCGTTTTTATGTTTCTTCTGGTACAAAGGATGTTGAGGCCCCGGTTGTATCTACCAACTATCCTTTGAAATTCATTCACGTCCATAATCGTTCTCAGGAAAAACACTTGATGATAGCTGATGGGGAGCAGTTTAGCGAACGAGTCGGAAATTTGCTGGCCGGCTTCCTTGAGTTTCTCAGCCCAGAAAACTGCATTCCGTAGACCAGGCGTTCGTTTTCCGATCCCGTTTTTATTCTCCTGCCGAAGATAGGAAGACCTCAATTTGACTGCTAATGCAAAGTCGGGCTTTAGAAGACGGACCCTTTAAGCGGCTTCAACAGCTTGGGCGTGCTGATTGGCCTAGTCACAAAAGAGCGTATCATCGATGGTCGTTAGAAAATCGATTGGAACCGATTTATGATGTAATATTCCACTGACCAACTCAAAGCTGTCAAATCTTGTGAGATACCAATGGAGAAGTGATGGGTCATGGATCAGAATATATATATTGTGCGACAAGGGCTCTTTGGTGCCATTGCAGGATTTGCGGCAGCTCCGCCGACAAGGATAAGCTTGAAGTTTGTGGAGATTACATGCCGCAAAGCATTGGCGTACGCAATAACCTTCTGTGGGTGGATTGACATTGCAACTGAAACTTGATTCGCAGAGAGGTCAGCGGAAGAAACTAAGACTGAAACCATCTACTGAGCCCTGCTGTGATTTCCACGGTACCGGCTGGTTGCCAGCTCCTGGTGGGATATAGAAACCGCAGCGCTCAGGCTTCCCACTCTAATGACAATTTGGAGCATTTTCAACTCAACATGGATTTTATTTGCGCGGGTTTTCCCGTTCAGCTTTGCACCAGTCCATTTCTGGCTTTATCGAGTTGGTGTTCTGGGTACCCTTAGCGTTGCCCTGCTGGTCTTGGCCGGAGCCCTAAGTTGCTGAGTTGCTGGGGGTGTATTCACGACTATGATGGGAGAGGAAAGACTGGAACTGGCGAGAGCGACAAGAGAGGATGGTTTGTGCTGCTGGTCTTCGGCACAGTAACTCGGCAATGGCTCGATCGATATGTTCTCGGATCGAGGGTACGCAGAGGCCAATTCATAAAGTGCCAGGATTTCTTCTTGAAATCCTGTTTCGCGGTGGAGCAAATTGATTTTGTCCTTGAGAATCTCAGCTGCAACCATAGGCAGAGAAAGCTCAGTCAGGACTTTTTTGATCGAGTCTCTTATGGCCTCCCAGAAATGACGCATCGGTATTCTCGAGGGGCATCTGCTTGTCCGGGAGGTGCACGATCGAAGCTGCGGTGACAAACCTACTCATTCCAGTGGCAATCTGCGTATGCGAATTGCGCTTCCCCGGTAGTCTCGTAGCAGACACATTTTGCCCAAAGACCGCCTGGTATTCACGCTCATTGATAAATGTAAGCCGCGGAATTGGGGTGAGTAGTAGTATTTCCTCAGGTAATTTGAAATTATCATTCTTTGTCGAAACATGCGACCAGCCAGCTGTCCGTACTCAATGATGATTCCGGAATTTTTGGTCCAGGATCTTTGGCATTCGACTCTGCTCCATTTGTTAGAAACACTCTGCCACTTTCGTCGGGAGCTTGGCCTCAACCTCTTTGCAAGCTTGTAGGTGGTGGTCCGACTCAACTCGAGCAGGTGGCTCAAGGCCGAAGCTGTATCGCTTTCCCTGTCATTCCCAGTGGCAATTGCAACATGCGGGGAGCATCTGGGACATCGTAGTGCATGAGGAGAAAAGTCCTTGATCAGTGATGAAGTGTCGGACCTCGCCCGCCTGTTTGATTCTCGCGGACTGAATCCACATGGCCTGTAAACTCCAAGGTGCGCATGTTTCTGTTGGACATGTTGGGCAAATTCCATCCAGGGTTTGTCTTCAAGAAGCCCGTGCTCTCTGTGTGCCTGCTCTGTGTTGAACTTGGCTCCGTTTCCGAAAATAGCAGCTTGCCACTATTCGACTTTTTGATCACCCCAGAAATACATTTAGTGGCATTTTGCGTCTTCTCATTTTTATTTGCGAAGCTTGAATGGCAGTGGCATTTTATAGGCAGCTTGAAGAGTTGACTACCCATGCTTTGTCACAACGCACTGGTTTCGAATAAAAGGAGAGGAACCTTGGGAAGGACTCGGAGGTAAACAATGAGGATATCCAGAAACTTGAAGGGAAACAGCGAACCTTGGAAGGAGCCACCGATAGAAAAGTAATGAGGTAAAGATGTTGTCATTGTGTGCACCAGAATGAAATTACAAATTTTCATATATGTGAATTACTATAATAGTTTTTAATTTAGGCTGAAAATTAGTACCGTGATCCAAGCCTGAGGGTGGCTGTAGCCCTGGAGCAGTGCCTACCTAGGTGGGTATATATTCAAGTGTCAGACCGGACATCCTTCAAGTTGAAATTGCCATCATGGGCAAATGTTACTAGTAATACTATGGGGAAACATCTTGAATGATTGCTAGGCGTACACAATGAAATCCGGGTGGCCAATTAAACAGCCGCAACGCCAACATCTTCAATCATTTGGGCATCCTTGGGGCGATCGGCACTTCCAACAAATGAGTGCCTCTCACAAATCAACGCTCACAGCCCCCACATCATTTCATCGCAGTGCTGCCTCTAAGGGGCAAGCAAGGCGATCCATGGATTTTAAGCTTCAAATTCCAGATTACAAAGAGTTTCCTGTGTGAATGAGTGTTTGAAATTACTCTTACATTACTACAACCCCCGCAAAACCTTTCGGCTTCTCGTATGCCATATGTACACCAGCGCACAGCCACACAGAATCAGAAACGGTGTGCAACCATAAGACCGACAAGTTTGCTTGTCCCCTGGCTCTCCTGAAGATGATGAGTCAGGCGCGCAGAAAAAAAAAAGGGGGAACCTTTCGAGCGACATCCACTCAGCGACTAATTTGCATTCACAGCACAGAGTGTTCTTGGAACTCTTGGAATACCGCCATAGTCTCGGCATTTGAAGGAATCGGAAGCTCTGATTCGTCGAATGACACAAAATTGAGGATTGGCAGCACTGCCACATTGTGGTTTTTTAATTTCCAACCGATCGCGCGCATCTTGGCGCTTAGACTATTGCTTGGCACTTGGCGTATTTTCAAGTTATTTTTATTTTTGGATTTTTGTCTTGATTCATCACTTCAATCAGGCAGCAGCCTTGTCTCCACCTTGTTTATTCTTTTGCGCTATTGATTGCACTTTGGTGGGGACTTCATATTCATTCAGGTCATTCAGGGTACTCCGTATTCTGTAGTTCAGGGCAAGATGTACTCCGTACTTCTATATGCATTGATTCATTAGCAATCGGGTACTAGCAACAACAAACCGGATTTCTGCATGAACATGGATGTCTCGAATATGTGATCATTTTAGCGCCCGATCTCTTTGATCATCAGACAGGTTTCATGTGCGCGGGGGAGCATTGGTCACGGTGATCAAACTGGAATGAATGGCTCATATGATTCTTTCGTACTCGCTACTCCGTACCTATCAGATTGCAATACACACTAGTCAGCAGCCACCATCGCGTCCGGATATAGACAATGTAAAAAACAGCACCAGAGGCAAGTCAAACAGAAAGAGAAACAGGAACGCCAGAAGAAATGGGCCAAGCGGGTCCGCCTTCTTACGATGTCTTGGCTCCGACAGCATGCGACCGGATGGGGGCGGACGGGGTCTTGCTGGGCGCCCAGAGGCCCTGGACCCTTTAGGGCGCTCTTCCCCCCCGTCTTTGCTTTAGTGCTTCTTGTCCGATACCTCGAGTTTTGCCTTCTGCAACCCCTTTGTCATCCATGGGGACATCGAAAAACACCCGATTCTGAACTCATGAGGCTTTTCAAAGGGTCGATCGCCCTGGTGGGCGGGATTCTCGCCCTACGGGGTGCTTTTGCGATCGACATCGATCCCGAGAGTCAAGGTATGTCGAATGTCAATCCCCTAGGATCGAGCTCGGTTCAGTTCAGATCAGTTCAACTATCCGGTCTAGGTCTTTTCTAACATTTCTTTGTTTGCGTGGGTGAATAGATTCTATCAAAAGCGCGGCCAAGACCGTCGCGACCTCTATGATCGATTACTACAATGCTCGCGACTCCAAAGACATCCCCGGAAAATTCGACGGCACCTGGTGGGAGGGTGGATCCATGTTCATGACCCTGATTCAGTATTGGTACTTGACCGGCGACGATCAATTCAACGAAATCATCCAGGACGGCATGTACTGGCAAAAAGGCAGCGACAACAATTATTTCCCCAGCAATTCGTCCTCATACCTCGGAAACGACGATCAAATGTTTTGGGGCATGGCGGCGATTATCGCCGCGGAGTTCAATTTCCCCCAGCGAAGCGATGAGCCCTCGTGGGTCACACTGGCTCAGGGTGTCTTTGATGCGCAGGTTGCTCGTTGGGACAACACGACTTGCAATGGTGGTCTGCGGTGGCAAATCTGGCCATATCAAAATGGATATGAAATCAAGAATGCTATTTCCAATGGTGGATTGTTCCAGTTGGCGGCCCGCCTGGCTCTGTACACCAAAAATGAGACCTTCGCCAACTGGGCGGAGACGATTTGGGATTGGAGCTTGACTACGCCTCTGTTGAAGAAGAAGAATTGGAATATTGCCGATACCACGAATGTTGATGCGAATTGCAAGGATCACGGCGATTGGCAATGGACGTACAACTATGCTACTTACATCGCCGGTGCTGGTTATATGTATAACTACGTGAGTCGCGAGCACCTGGCAGAAGCCCCCACTAGCCATCTGTTCAAGTTAGAAACATAACTTGAAAACGCTAACCTTGATATTTAACAGACCGACGGCAAAGATTATAAATACCTCGAAGGCATCAGCGGGTTGATTTCGACCTCCAACCAATTCTTCCCCAAGAGCGGCAACGGCCAAATTATGTCCGAAATTACCTGCGAAGCGACTAAAAACTGTGATCGCAACCAAAAAACATTCAAGGCATATTATGCATCCTGGCTTGGATTTATGTCCCTCATTGTACCCAAAAACGTGACGGACCCTTCCATGGCGAAATTCAAGACATCCGCCGTTGCTGCTGGTCAGCAATGCTCGGGTGGAAAAGATGGGAAGCACTGTGGAATCCGGTGGACGATGCAGGCCGAGTGGGATCAGACAACAGGGTTGGAACAGGAGATGGCTGTTCTGGGCGTCTTGAACGCTATCATGGTCCCGTTCAAGCAACAGGGTCCTTATAATGTGGACAATGGTGGAGAATCCAAGTCCAATCCGAATGCAGGCGTAGATGAGGATCCCAAGACCAGAACGATTACTTCGGGAGACCGGGCTGGTGCTGGAATTTTGACGGCGGTTTTTGTTGGCACTTGGGTTGCTGGTCTTGCATGGGCTATTTGGGGTTAGATTATACTTGGTATTTCTTGAACAAATTTCTTCGGCGTTGGTATATATCATTCTATTTCAAATATTCAAATCTTCAGAATTTCAGCAATTCTAGTTCTCTGTTATACCATAAAGCATGTAAACCACCTGGGCAATTCTATACCCAACTAGGTAAGCCGCGGTGATAACCGCGGCGATAAGCTCGCTGGCAACCTTCCATACCTAAAGGAGGACGGGGAACTCGAAACTTCCAACTCCATCAACACTCACCCTCTCTACCCTACTACTCTCCTCAACCCAACCACAACCAACCTCGAACCACAAAATCCCAAATAAAAAATGCCACCACCAACAACCCACTCCCTCTCCCCCTCCCTCCCCCTCACCCTCATCGTCGCAACAACCCCAATACGCGTCGCGTCCACGACCACCCCACCCTCCGAAAATGCCGCCACACGTCTAGGAATCGGCCTAAAGGGCACCCTCCCCTGGCCACGCATAAAAGCCGACATGAGCTTCTTCGCGCGCGTGACATCCCGCCCCCCGAAACAAGGCACAACGAACGCAATCATCATGGGCCGCAAGACGTACGATTCGGTCCCGAAGCACCTCCGTCCGCTGGGGAAGCGGATTAGCGTTGTGATTACGCGGGATCGGACGGGTTTGGTGCGCGAAGGTGTGTTGGCGGAGTTGGAAGCTAGGAAGGTTAAGATGGCTGCTGCTAAGGCGAAGGCTGAGACTGAGGCTGGGAGTGAGAGTGCGGGGCCTGGGAAAGTGGAGGAACCTGTTACCGATGCGATTGTTACGCCTAGTTTGGACGAGGCGCTGGAGCGGCTGGATGCTGTTTATGGGCCGGAGGGACTGGGGAAGGTTTTTGTCATTGGGGGTGCGGAGATCTATGGTGCTTCGTTGAGGGGTGGGGGGGTTTTGGCGGGGAGGCCGGTGCGGATTGTTATGACGCATGTGGTGCGGAAGCGTGTTACTGACAGTGGCGAGGAGGTTGAGGTGCCGTTTGAGTGTGATACGTTTTTCCCGGTGGAGAGGTTTACGCCGGAGAATGGGTGGCGCTGTGTTAGTTCGGAGGAGGTGACGGAGTGGGTTGGGGAAGATGTTACTGGGGAGTGGAAGCGGGAGGGAGATGTTGAGGTTCGGATGGTTGGGTATGAGCGGTTGGACTAGATGGGACTGGACTGGGCGGGATAAAAAAATAGAGGATGGACATGAATGACTATTGATGAGATGTACTTAGATTCCAGAGGTAAAATCTTGTGGATCTTCCAACTTGGTAAGATCATTCTCACTGTACAGCTTGGAAAACAAAAAAGATGACATGTACACAATTGTATGTCCAGCGAACGATTCTATGCAATTCAGACTGCCTCACCATGGGTCAGGGCTCTGAGAGGAACAAAAACACAATGGGGAATATGCAATGTGCAAGCAATGCTATGCAAAATATCGACAAGAAACTAAAAGCACGAGGAAAACATTCAATAGATGATCAACGCCGGCCATATCATGGCCCCGAGTGGCATGAAAAACAGGGATGAAAGATTCGTAGCGAGTCAACTTATTCGTTCGTCTTCATGTATTTCACAAAAGACTTCTTATGTACGAGACCAACGTATTGTCCGTTTTGTATGACGCAGAGGTAGCGGAGACCAAGCTTGGCGAAGCATTGGTAGACTAGGTCAATGGGAGAGTGGACATCAAGGGCGATAGGAGACTATTTGGGATTTCATTAGCACCGGGGATGATTCTCAAAGAAGGAAACTGAAGGTCATGGCTTACAGGGTCAATATAACGAGTGAAGTCGTCCTGCAGGAGATCTTCATTCTCGCTATCATAGATTGCGATGGAAGAGTCCATTGACATTAGGCAAATGGTGTGATCTTCGTCTTCGCCGAGAGTGTCGAGAGCGTATTCTAGGTCTGGTGCCGGGATCAACCCAGTGAGAACACCATTGCGGAGTATAGGAAGACCGCTGTCCAGCTCGCCAGCCATTAGCAAATCCTCGAGTTTTGAGCGGAGTTCGGAAGCTGGAACGAAAGGAGAGCCGGAAATATCAATGGTGCGCTTCTTTCGAGCGGGCCGAACGATATCTCCCAGCTCGGCATCCGAGATCGGTTGTAGTTTGCTATCCAGGAAGGGATAAGCGTTCATGTCGGTGAGGAAGTCCTAGGTATCATTAGTATTTGCGGCGAAATGGGGAAGGGGTGCATCTTACGTAGATACTGCGTGGCTCGATGGCATCAGCTGTCCATTTGGCGCAGAGGATTGCCAGAGAGAAAGGAAGCACATGGTCTAGACTTCCGGTGAGCTCGAAGAGAATGACAGCGAGGGTTACCGACAGGCGTGTAACGCCACACATTGTAGCTCCGGCAGCGACCAATGCGTACACACCCGGGGTAACGCATGATTCCATGCCACTAATATCACAGGAGTTGAATAGGAACATGGTTGGATTATTTGCTGCCCAGTATTGGACAACGTGCCCAACGATGCGGCCCATTAGGCCGCCCACAACCATGGATGGAACGTAGATACCAGCGGGGACCTTGATCCCAAATGTGACCACGGTCAAGAAGCTCTTAATCACAAAGGCGACGAGAAGATATTGCACGACTTCAAGAATATTGTCTTCTTGAGGGCATAGGCCGGTGCGTGACTTCGATTCGCCGGTACAAGGGGTTGTGAGCTCAAAGAGGAGTTCAGTGACTGGCAACTTGGTGTATCGATTCCAGAAGCTAATCACACCGGTGACCAATGCGACAAGCAAGACCTCAAACATGGGAGAGCGTTTAATTAGAGGGATGCGACGGAAAGACCGGGCCCACAAACTGGACGCTTTGATGAACAGTGCTCCTAGTGCGCCACCCATAATGCCGAGCAGGATGAAGATGAAGACCTCAAAAAACTCCCAGTCTGATAGATATCGAACCTCAAACAGGACAATCTTCCCGGTGCCATATGGGTTAAGAAACTTCAGAGACAAGGCTGCCGCGATACAGCAGAAGAATGTTCTGAATAGGGTCTTTGGCGGAAAGTAATAGCTTACCTCCTCTAAGCTGAAGAGGACACCGCCGATTGGTGCGCCGAAAGCGACTGCTACGCCGCTGGCGGCACTGGCACTCAAAACCTCGCGCCTTTTGCCGTCGTTTTGGTTGTACTTTGCGAACAGGCGGCAGCAAATATTACCCACGCAGGTGGCGATGTGAACATACGGGCCTTCCTTGCCTAAGCTCAGACCAGATGAAATACTGAAGATAAGTGCGATCGTCTTAATAACCAAAGTCTTCAAGCCGAGATAGCCATGAAGCACGAAGCCACTATTGATGACTTTCACCTCAGCCACGCCACTACCAGCTGCTGAATAGTAGATCATAGCCGGCCGGGCTGGATTATTGGGGAAGGTGCCGTGTGGAGTCGTGTCAGACGAAGGAGATCCACTCCCGGCACTGCCAGTATTTGGCTTCGTGCCTCGTGACTCCGCGCCAAGGTTCTCATCGAGGGTGGTCAAATGGATTGATGATGGAACAACCGTCTTCGTGAGCATTGTAAGAGCACAGGCGATAGCGGCAAGGCCTACGCTCCAAGCAATAAACATGATGAAATCGATTGGTTCGTTGTCATCGGCAGAGGATTTGAATAACTGGGACCATGTTCGCCAGCGGCCTGGGCTGCAGTCGGTATGACTGGAAAATAGATATGAAGAGCAGAATCCAAATTTCATGTCGAAGATCGCGTCCTCGGTGATATCAACGAAGTAAGCTATGGCAGCTGTGATGCATCCGATAAGCGCCACGAGGATCCATCCTTGTGCGCCATCAAACCATGCTAGCAATCGCCCTCTAATGTCTTTCCGCTGTCGAAGCTGTCGTAGACGTACTCCATCGGCGATACTATCGTGCACCCAGTCCGTGGAGGTAAATTGGTCGTACCAGGTCCGCTCGTCGAGGAAGGAAGAAGCGGTCAAGCCGTCTTTGGTGGAAGGCGCGACACTGACAGGCCTCCCCTCCGGATCGTCCGCGGTGACACTCGCTCGTCGACTGAGTCGTCGACTCTGTGAGTTGGCTCTGCTATGATTCCGGGTTCGGCGTAGGCTGCCTGTCGCGAGTAAATACCGAAGAGATTCGGGACCGGAGATACCGGAGGTGCTGGTATATGAACGGCGAGGGATTCGCCGCTGAGCTTCAGATCCTAGTAAGCTGGTGGTTTCGCTCAGGTCAAGCTGGGCCTCCAGCGACTGGTAGCCGGTATGCGGTTCGGAGAGGTAGCTTTGCGATCTTCGGTAGGCGGTTGGAGAGGGAGGAGCTGTACGAGTCGTGGGGGTCATTTCGGGATCGTTATAGTCGCCCTCCCCGCGTGATAAGGAGCGAAATTGGGGGATAGAGCGAGGCATGGCGGGGATTTGGGCCTTCAGACTTCACTCGTGGGAGTGGCGGGCCTGAGGAAGTCCGTCAGTTGGAGGTGGAGGCCTCTTTTGGAGAGTTTGGGGATTGACCCGGGGAGGCCCACATTAACGCAAGGTAGCGACGGTGATAGTATTCTGCCAACGTGAGCGGCGGTGCTGGGGAGGAAAAGTTGAAGGTGAGTTGATACTGAAGAAAAGAATATGATAATAAGAGAATAATGAAAGGAATCCGCCATGGCGGAGTTCATGAAAAGAAAAGGCAACGGTGAAAGGATCTCCAAAAAAAAGAGGAGTGGCGGATGATCGGGCAACCGCGTCAGGTGCAGCGCTGAGCACGAGCTTCCTCCAGCAGCAACTACACCCCTTCATCCCCTTCATTCCTTAAAGTTCATCATTAATTTATTGATTTAACTCTACTGGCACCTTTGAACTCCGCCGAGACAGTGTGGAGGGGTAACTGCATATGTTGCCTATGTTTCTCGTCTGAACTGCAGTTCAAACCCCCCCCGCGATTCCCGCCGATCGACAGCCGTTTCAATATGAGCAGTGCTGATCCCAGACACGGAGAGGGTTTCCGACCTTCAACGGTGCCTATTTCACCTATCATTCGCCAAACTACCGTCACCACCCGGCTAGTACATATGATTCAGATCCGAGTCCTGGGCAACAGAGGACAGTGCGGCGCCTGACTTGAGCCTAACTGGGGTTGACGGGGGGGGCACCTGCTTACGTATGGTCAGCGATCATGGACTCACGGACCAATATACTTCGAGGACGAGGAGTGTCTCGGGAAGAGAGGTTGAACAAATCCACACAGGCTGGGAGGGTCCTCGATTTCCACCATCTTGGAGGTGCCTAAGCGTGGTTGATCTTTGACTCATGGCTTCAAGTGGCGTTGCGGGGATGCATCTGGATTACGACGAGTGGTGAGTGCTAACAATAGTACGACAAAAAAGTTGCCTACTGGTCTTCCATCACGGAAGAACAGTGGTCACAGTGTCAGAGTACATACTCTATGTGCGTATGGTATTGGACTGATCTCTCGGAGATGGCTCGGCGATAACAGCCCTCAGGGAGCTTTAGGGTCCTCAATCGACATGAAGTTTTCAGTGCCTATACCTAGGTATACTCGGTAACTATTTAGTTGTGTAGAATATACAAGCCGTTCAAGGCTAGGGTTAGGATATGCTATTACATCCTATATACAAGAATGGACGGTTGGCATTGGTGGATAAATGGAGCAATCCGAGGAACTGCAAAATGATAAGCTTGCGCGATCGCAAAAGCTTCGAGCTCCACCTGCACTTCCCTTTTGTCCACGGAGCCCCCCCCCCACCTTTAAAACTCATCGCATCCCATTCCACGTCAATTTGAATCGTTGCTTGTTTCTTCAATTCTGCATTTCTTAATCCCTCGCGAACATCGACTCTTGAGCAATGTCTGCTCTTGATACCCCGCCCGCCAATGAAGGTGTGGCTCAGCCGTACGACCAATTCATTCTCTTTGGTGACTCCATCACCCAGATGTCTTATAACCAGGAAGTTGGCTTTGGATTCGGTGCTCAGCTACAAGAAGGTGTGCCAATATCCCGCAGATCCAATTAAATCTCGAATTCAACTTATTTGTCTTGATAGTCTACGCCCGAAAGCTGGATGTCATCAACCGAGGCTTTTCGTGAGTAACGAGAGCCACTGAAATTGAATTGGGGGGGCATTTGTGATCAATATTCTTTTCTGACATCCAGCAGAGGATATACTACAGCGCACGCAATCAAGATTTTTCATCAATTCTTTCCGTCGCCCCAGACTGTCAACGTTCGATTGATGGTAAATAACTAAATAACCCCGGACCTCCCTCCATATCTGACCCAGAGATAGCCATGTGATATGATGATACTGACTTCCCGTAGACCATATTTTTCGGTGCAAACGATGCATGTGTTCAGGGCCATAATCAACATGTGCCCTTGGAAGTCTACAAAGAGAACCTGAAGAAGATCATCCAGCATCCCGCTACGCGAGCTCAAAACCCTCGCATTGTCATCATCACCATTCCCCCGGTCAACGAGTACCAACTTGAGAAATTTGACAATGATAAAGACACACCACACCCTAGTCGAACTGCTAGCCTTGCCAAAACATATGCGACGGCGGCTCGTGAAGTTGGGGCCTCTTTGAACGTCGCCGTGGCAGATGTATGGTCTGCATTCATGGCTACCACTGGCTGGACAGAGGGTCAACCATTAGCTGGGTCTCGGGATCTAGCCAACAATGAAGAATTTAGCGGTTTATTCACCGACGGTATGTTTGATTCTCCCAAGCTCATCAGGATGAGATGTACAAGGGTATCTGCAATAGTCCTGACAATATGCTCTAGGTCTGCATCTCACTTCTGCTGGATACCGAATAGTCTTCGAGGAAGTTATCAAGACAATCCGAGCCAATTGGCCTGATCAGGACCCGGAGACTCTTCCCATGATCTTCCCTCCTTGGTCTGAAGCCCCGAAATGAAACAGTTCAGATAGATCCATGTTTGGCTTTGCAGCGTAGACTAGCGACCTTTCATAGTGAATTCAAGAGCAATGATCAAGGCATAAAGAAAACCGATTTACAGATCCAACCTGAATATAGGACAGTGCGAATGTGGTGGATGAACCGTTAGTGGAGCACGGGCGGTCTAGATCCGCTTTCCCCTCTGCGCTGCATGACGCCCTCCCCAGATTGTATTTGTGATTGCGCATCACCTCCAAACCCAATTCGCCGACTTCCTCTCCTCCCCTCTCCTCCCCTCCCCTAACTCAACTTGAACGCCCCTCGATCAACACATTCACTACCCTTTGCTCACCCTTTCGCTTTGCCAGTGTGTCATCATTTGCACTGTGGTCCAACCTTCAGAACAAGGCAGCACTCAATCAACCTTTGGCACATACAGTTGCTCTCGCCGATTCTTCCACCTCGTCCTCCTCGACCCCAGGCTGTCACTATTCTCTCACTGAAACTCTTTTCAACTACACCCCTCCAAATTAACCAGCTTCCCACTTCCACTCCCGCTCTTCGACCCACTGTCCAAGCTTCCTGACCTCATCAGTGGATGCTTCAAGTCGATAAACAAAGACCCTGCAACACGCAACTCGGTGGACGGCCCCGTGGGCCGTCACGCTCATTGAAGGAGGGTGGTGATTTTTGGTGGAAGAGGAGCCTTGCAAACGGTGTTGATGATAGGTGGTGTGGAGTCTTGTGCTTCAAGGGTTGAAACGGTCGCTTGGCAAGTGGTGCATACTTGACATCGCTGCCCCCCTGCCATGGATACGCAGAACCTGTTTGCCTCGCGTTACGATATCTGGCGAGTCCTTGACGAGTTGAGAGATCTCCGTAATAGCCAGAGTGACCAAGGCGAGCGCCTGGGTCGACTCGAGCGTCGCCGGGACGAGGACGTGAAGATGAGAAACGTATGGGGGCCCGCGCCGCTCTCTCCTTTCCCCGCTGCTACAGGTGCTTCGGTGTCTACAGGTATCTATTCGCCATTCTCCTGTTTAATCATAATTTGACCCTATACTTACCATTATCTTGCTGCAGAAACTTCCTACAATTCGCCCCCGGACGCCTTCAAGGGCTTTGATCAAGATCAGCATCACACTATGACGAGCTCGTCAGTCGGACTCGACGGAGAGGATGAGCCACGGCGCGGTACGTCGCGTGCGAATAGTGTTCGCTTCGACGAGAGTGCGATTCATGGCTCTTACGGTCAAGCAGGACGTTCGAGTACCGACCTCCCTCTGCGAACTGGTAGTGGATTTGGAAGTCATCCGCTGCTCGAGCGTTCTCTATCTCATAGATCTGATGGACGGCAGAGTTCTTCCGGACAATCACATCACTCAGCACGCACGAACAGCCTGGGCTTGGATACTAGTCGCCTAATGAGTTCAGTCTCCTTTAGCGACTCTCCTCTTATCGCCCCGCCTGTTGGGATTTTCCTCCTTGGTCCGGTGCCCAGTATCATCCGGTGCTGGCTGACGTCGAATTTCTCAAACGATTCACTGCTATACGCAGCTGTCTGCTCGGGATCGTATGTTTCGTCCGTGGGCGCGCCACTGATCCACATGCTGGGCCTGGAGGCGGATATCACACAGGAAGACGGCCAATCCCAAATCAAGCTTCCCGTTTACCTCCCAGATGCCAGTGTTCATATGTCGCCCTCTTCACGCTCTTCTAGTCCCGAGGCCCATCTTCCCACTTTGACAGTTCGATTCATAGTGCGCGAGACGGATACCCTCGATGACTCCATCCAGATCATCCTTGGAAGCGACGTTTTACGAACCCACAACGCCGACATTCTATTTTCACAGGACAAAATAGCCATGCTTGATGACGAACGCAACCGTCTATCCATACCACTTGTCCGTCCTGAAAGGGACGGTGTCTTCAAGTCATTGCGAACTGTGCCACGCCCATCCGACATGGGCCCGGCAAGCCACACAAACGGACATCAGCCTGCCGGAGTAATTGGCCAACCCACTGATCAACAGTCATCATCGGCTCCTGTGTCGGCCCGCGTATCCATCAGCGAGGCCAGCAAGCCCGCCCAACAGGCACAAGGAGGCTCAGCCTCGGACGCCGGGATTCAGTCTACCCTTCCCACCGCCGCTAGCGACACGTCCTGCATTTCCGTCGCCAAGCCCGAAGGTCCATGGAGCTCCTGGCGCCGCGAATCAAAGCCAGATCCTAACAAGCAGGCAAAGGATAAGCGCCCCATGAAGGTCCTCCGTCCCGCAAAAGTTTCCAACAGGGTGGCATCGTCAACTTCTGTAACCACTGGCACTGCCGACACGGATGTTTTGGCAAGCTCTCTTCCCGATCTGACCCGTGCTACGGGGCAAACACCCCGATCGTCCTCCGACGGAAGCAACAAGACACGACCGAGTAACCCCGTTGGAGGTGCGTCTGCGTTTGGATGGTTAAATTCGGCGGCATCGGCGTCAAAGACTCAGACTCCGAAGTAAAAGCGGCGTGATAGCTCTAGCTTTGATGTCTCACTGTAGGCACAGACCCTAATCTCATGGGTAAACAGGCTTCGTTTTCAAATATGTAGCGGGCGTTAGGTGGAATATTTGCAGCTTTTCTTGTTTCTCTTTTTCTTTTCTTCACTCACTTTGATTCGGATACTCAACTCCAAGTAAAAATACTAGTAGCACTGGCAATGGCCAGATAGGAATCAACACACTTCCGCTTATTACTATCCGCTCGAGTACTACAATGCTATATAGTTAGTAACTAGTAACCAGTACCCGCTAGTATTCCAAGCCATGCCCATACCATCAAGCCTTACAAAGGAGCCATTTGGCGAATTTCAGGGCTCCCATACCTAGGTAATAGGTACGCATATCTGACCGGCTCATACAAGAATCTCGAATAAATCATAGTTTAAATTCTTAACTTCAATCTACATAGACAACCCACTAGACACGAGATCCTCAAGAATCTTCAAGATTCTGAAAAGGCCAAAGACTCAGACTCAGAACCCACGGCCCTAAATCTTCGAAAAAGCCCCAAGAGCACTCTTAGTACCCTCACTAGTCTCCTTGACAAGCCCCGTAACAGCCTTAAACTGCGCATGGCCCGCATCACCAAGGATCTCAAAAAGCACACTCTCGCTACTAGTAACAATAGCGCCCGCGTCCCTCAATCGCGCCAGCGCAATCCCCTCTCTTCGGGATTAATCGAACTCACCCCGTCAACAAGGATATAAACGCGGTGTCCGCGCTCGAGGAGGTCGAGTGTTGTCTGTGTCACGCAGATGTGTGTCTCGATGCCGACGATTATTACGTCTAGCGGTCGGCTGGGTAGCTGGCGCTCGAGTTCGGGGGGTTATCATTGAGAAGAGGGTTTTGTCGATGTCGGCGCGGATGTTTGGGCCGGTTAGGTTTGCGGCGAGTTCGGGGACGGTGGTGCCGAGTTTGGTGCGGGATTGGGTGGTTATGTAGATTGGGATTTGGAGGGCGTTGGAGGCGCGGATCATTTTGTCGGTTGTTGCGACGCTGGGTGATTGGGTTAGGTTGTTAGTTTGATGAGTGTGGTGATGATAGGGTATGGTTTATCCGGGGGGAGGAGATTGTGTACAGCTTTGAGAATTCGTAGATTTTACTACGGAATTTGTCTTGGATGTCGCATATGCTGGGGATTTGTTAGATCGGTTGTAGCGGGGAGAGAGAGCGTGATGGTTGGGTTGTTTGTTGGTACGTACAACAATGCGGGGTTCTCTGGATGCTTGTTAGAGACTGTGGTTGATAATCGGGGATTGGGACTTACTGATTCGGCTGGCGCGAGCTAGAGAAGCCATTTTGACGATTGGGTTATGTCTTTTGAGCAAATTGAGAGGTGTTGAAGAGGAAAGAATTGTAGAGGCGGGCGGGGAACTCGGAGAGTCGGAGATGCGGGGAAGCAGCCGAGGGGAACAATCGGCTTGTTTTGCGGAGGGTGTCGACAAGTTGAAAACAACCATTTTTCTAGGGTAATTCATTCATAGCATTCTACTTTTGGTCATGTACAGCCTGTCACATCTCGTACTCTATATTTCTCATAACTTGATTTCCTGCACCTTGGCTCGGCCGGCAAACCAGCTGTCATCGCCTTTGCCCGCCGCGGTGCGGATGGCGTAAAGCTCGTCGAGGAATGCAGGGACAAAACTACCGGGCCCACGGACATCCTCTCTGCTAGCAGCATTTTCAGCTGCAATCTCGTACATTAGGATACCCGACAGGACGGCTAGAAGTCGATCGGAGCGGTGGGCTGTCAGGAAACATCCGGAGATAGAACCGACGGCACAGCCAGTCTGTATTATCATTGTTTAGTTGAGGACGGTCCATAGGAACTATAGAGCGGGAAAGGAACTTACGCCTGTAACCTGACCGAGGAATGAGTGACCGTTCTCCACAGCGATAACTCGTTCTCCATCACTAATATAATCAACAGCACCGGTCATCAGAACCACATTTCCTGGACTATGTCAGTAAAGACGCATACTGCACTCATGCATAGATTCCTTACTTTCGCGCCGGGCTAGGTCTCGGGCCAGACGGGCCTTTTGTTGTCCATCAAGAGTACTTGGTCCACTATCCACGCCACGCTGTTGCACTCCACTGCTGCCCCAGGCCTGTCGAATTTCGCCCTCATTACCCTTGATGAGGTCAAAGTAGCCCCCGGCCATGAGATCTGATACCGCATTGCGTCGAATTCCAGTTGCACCGGCACCAACCGGGTCGTAGATAACTGGGTTTCCTCGTCCATTGTATGCCTTGATGGCCTTGAGATAGTTGGAAACACTCTCGCTGGTCAAAGTCCCCATATTGATGAGAAGAGCTCCATCAAACTTGCACAAATCCTTAGCTTCGTCACCATAGGGTGACATGATAGGTGACGCGCCACTGCTTGTTGTTAGCTATTAATACGCCACCAAATAGCTAGTAAAGTACTTACATAGAAAGTACGACGTTGGCAACAAAGTTAGCCACGACAAAATTGATCATGTTGTGGACAAGCGGGTGCACTTCAACCATCTTGCGCACGATAGCCGGTACCTCTTGCAGCAAAGCTTCGACCTCGTTAGTTCGAGGGACCTGGCGAGCCAATGCAAATGCAGGGGCATTCTTGATTAGTTTGGCGAGCTCTTCCGTTGCAGCCTTGGGGTCATCCGCAGCCATTATGGCGCTGACAATGGCCACACCATCCAGGGCCTTCTTGGGAGACTCCGATTGGTAGATCACGCGCTGGACATTCGAGTGGTTGATGCCGCCAATGGCAACAGTGTTGACCGAGGAACTGCTGATAGCATCCAAGATTGATTGAGTTCCGGCAGTTCCGAGAACATATCGAGTATTGGTTTTACTATGGACTTGTTAATTCGCGCTTTTAGCTAAACCCGACTGTTGGAACTCACGTTGGCGTGGCGAACATCGTGCCGATGCCTAGGTAATCTGCCCCATCGGCGATCGCCTTCTGGGCCTCCTCGAGTGTTGAGGCACTGATACCAATGATGGCATCCTTGGGGAGAATACTTCTAGCCTCCGCAAATTCTGGTATTTGAAGTCAGCGGTTCGAATCGGGAAATGGGAATGCTTGCTGCGGGGGTAGCGGGAAACGTACTCATATCATCTTGACCCAGATGCACGCCCTCGGCACCGACAGCAAGCGCTACATCAACTCGGTCATTGATCAAGAGTGGCACTCCATATTTCTGGCAGATCTGGTGGAGCTTTCTAGCAGTCGCAATCTGATCTCCGGTGTCGCTCTTTTTGTCACGGTATTGAACCACAGTGACACCTGGTGATATGGGTTAATCAGTCATTCGGCACAGGGCTTTACCACAGCTCGAAAGTTCTCCTGACATACCTCCTTTCAAGGCCTCTTCCACAACCGTGCAGATGTCGCGACCCTTGAGAATGGCGGGGGTCGAGTCCGTGACTAGATAGAGCGATAGGTCAATCGCCATGGCGTGTGGAATCTCTCAATGCCTTTGAAGAATTGACGGGACGGAAGAAGAGGAAGTCACACGAAACAGTCCGCCTATGACACACAGAGAGAGACAGAGTTGGTGGGAATAAGAATGCCCAAGCGTAGACGATCGCGAACCAGCATTTCGGCCGTTGGGGAGTGGTGGGGCCGTGGTTGACCTCATCGCGCATTGAGGCTGCTCTGCGCCGTGGGATGGTGGCGTTGATATGGATGTCATTGGCTATGGGGAAAGAGAAAATCGGTAAGACAGACCCTCGCTGGATTAATTGATATCATTCTGCCATTTTTTATAGAAGATATCCAAGACTATCTACTCGAAATATCAAACATGGCCTCGTTAACTCCGACCCAACGCCGAGACCACGTGCCGGCTGAGTCATCCACGCGATGAATTTTATTAAGCGGGCAGTTCCACTGCCACTTCCGACTGTTTTTCTCTTCTCTTCCATCCACACTCATCCATCACTTCAGGTTTCCACACAGTGAAACCAACCCGCGTTAACTGTCCCAACAGTTCACGCTTTTCCGTCTACACCGTTGGTTAATTTGGTATCGCCATCATCACTCTACTCAACCTCTCATACCAGGGTCTCCGGCCTTTGACTCGGATTCCCTTAAAAACGGTCGATCTCGTTTCAAAGAGAATAACCCCAAAGAAGTTCCCCGCGAACTCGTCTATGTATTCGTCCTCCGTGCAAAATTTCGAACACCATCTGCCGCCCAAGCTGCAAAAGTTTCGCCTGTCGAAACTCAGCGGTATACACCTGAGATCTTGTGGCTGAACCGCTGCCTGATTCCTTCATCCTCCTTTCGTGAGAAAATCCAAAACCCTGTGCATCCGTGCAACAGAATCCACCGAAAATCCGAAAAATCCAACTCGACACGCATGTCTTGTTCCATCAACAAGATTCCCGTCCAAATCTCTTCCCGCTTCCTCTTCCGCAAGCCCACCGTTCCGTTCTCGTGAGCAACTATCAATCCACCACCAACCGCAATCATGGCCACCGTCAACATTCGCCGGGATGTCACCGACCCCTTCTATCGTTACAAGATGGAGAAGCTCCAGTCCAAGATTGAGGGCAAGGGTAACGGCATCAAGACCGTCATCGTTAACCTCGACTCCGTCGCCAAGTCTCTGAGCCGTCCTCCTGCCTACCTGATCAAGTACTTCGGTTTCGAACTGGGTGCCCAGGCCAACGCCAAGCCCACTGACGAGCGCTGGATCATCAACGGCGCCCATGACGCTGCTAAGCTCCAGGACTACCTGGATGGCTTCATCTCCAAGTTCGTTCTCTGCAAGAAGTGCAAGAACCCCGAGACCGACGTCCAAATCAAGGATGAGAAGATCACCCTTGACTGCAAGGCCTGTGGTCAGCGTTCTGACGTCGACCCTCGCCTCAAGCTGAGCACCTTCATTGTTCGTAACAACCCCAAGGGTGGCAAGAAGGAGAAGAAGGACAAGAAAGCTCGCCGTGAAGCGAAGAAGGAGAGGGCCGCCAATGGCGAGCAGGATGCTAGCCCCGGTGACAGCAATGGCTCCGAGAACGGTGAAGAAGAGAATGGTGACGTCGGCATTGAAGCTGGCAGCGACGACGAGTTGACTCGCCGCATCAATTCCGAGGCCAAGGACATCGATGTCGAGGAAGTTGAGGACGACAGCTGGGCCGTCGATATGTCCGAGGAAGCCATCAGGGCCCGTGCTCGTGACCTGCCCGACGACCTGAAGCGCTCTCTTGTGCTCGAGAACGGCGACGACGAGGAGGCTGATGGCCCCTCCGCCTATGAGCAGCTGGGTAGCTGGATTGTTGACGCCGCTGCCGAGGCCGGCGATGTGACCAAGGTCTCCGATATCGACATCTACAAGAAGGCTCGTGATTTTGGCATCGAGACCAAGCACAAGACTCTCGCGGTTCTGGCCCAGAGCATTTTCGACGACAAGATTGTTAAGCAGATTGAGGACCGTGCTCCTCTTCTCAAGAAGCTCATCACTTCCGAGCGTCACGAGAAGTCCTTCCTTGGTGGTACCGAGCGTTTCGTCGGCCAGGACCGCCCGGCTCTGCTAACCCAGATCCCCGCTATCCTGCTCGGTTACTTCCAGAACGACCTCGTCTCCGAGGAAACCCTCAAGGCTTGGGGTGCCAAGACCAGCAAGAAGTACGTCGACATCTCGACCAGCAAGAAGATCCACAAGGCTGCCCAGCCTTTCATCGAGTGGCTCGAGAACGCCGAGAGTGATGAAGAGAGCGAGGAGGAGAGCGAGTAGATCCTCGGGATATCTCATCAAGACAGTCTTATTGTGATCCCTTTGGATGCCTACTTGATTGCTATGCCTTTGCTAGCTTCTATTTTGAGTTCACCTCTAATCAGGGTCTATTCTACATAGCCCTAGATAATTAGTATGTAGCTTAACCGACCAATCGTCACTCTTTTATGCTTCAAAACCTTTCTACCTATGGCTTAATTATGTAATATCGACGGCTAGCCGCTCAGAATGAGGCTCTTGTGCTTCTCAAGCATCCTATGCGACTTGATCAGACGACTGACTACACGAACTTGAAATCATTAACATGATGAAACTTAATCCAGCACATGATTTCTAGACACTTGTGGTTCTCAATACATATCCAAAAGATTCATCCAAGATCTGAAGACCCTCTTCAATCTCCTCCGCTGTCACGGTAACCGCCGGCGCAAGTCTGAAAACACCACCCATTCCCGGCAAATTGACAATGTTGCAAGAAAGGCCACGAGCCATAGCACGATCAGATACAAGCTGACCCAACTCGGAGCCGGGAGCCTTCGTCTTCGCATCCGAGATAATCTCAATACCCTGCAGAAGGCCACGGCCACGAACATCACCAATGCACCAATACTTCTTCTGGAGCTTGAGAAGACCGTCACGGAGCTGGGCACCGCGCTCAGTTGCACGTTGGCAGATATTATCACGCTCGACAATTTCGAGGACCTTGTTTCCCACAGCCGCAGTAAGAGGGTCATTCAAGTGAGTAGTAAGCCACAAGAAGCCGGCCTCCTTGCAACCACGCTCGATCTCTACAGTCGTGCTGACAGAAGCGAGAGGAAGTCCACAGCCAAGAGTCTTTGACAGAGCGAGAATGTCCGGCACAACGCCGTCCTTCTCGAATGCGAACATCTGTCCGGTTCGGCCAACGCCTGTCTGGGCCTCATCCATGATAACGAGCATGCCGCGCTTGCGACATTCGGCGAACATGCGTGGCAGGTAACCCTCTGGGAGGTCCAGGATACCGCCAGTCGACAGAATGGGCTCCATGATGAAGGCTGCAAGAGATCCGACACTCTGGCGGTCAATCATACCCCAGGCAAAGTCGAGTTCGGTCTCCCAATCATAAGAGCCATCGGGCTTCCGGAAGGGAGAACGGTAGGCGTAAGGAGATGGGAAGGCGAGTTGGCCAGGTGTGACGGGACCTCCGTTCTTACGGCCGGCTGAATATGTGGCGGATCCAGAGCCCTGGGTTAGGCCGTGGTAACTGGCTGCGAATGCGATAATCTCGAACTTGCCGGTATAACACTTGGCCATCTTGATAGCGGCCTCGGTTGATTCGGAACCAGTATTCAAGAAGAAGGACTTCTCGAGCGGGGCTGGAAGGAAGCGGGCAAGGCGCTCGGCCAGATCAACTACAGGATGGGTGATCATATTGCTGAGAAGATGGTCGAGTTCGGAAACATAGTGCTTGACGACTTCTACGATTTCGGGGTGGGAGTGGCCAAGGAGAGAGCTCATTTGGCCGGAGGTGAAATCAAGAATGGATCGACCACTCTCGTCGAAGAGACGAGTACCCTTGGCTTTGGTGATCACGACAGGAGAAGAAGGTACGCCTGTTGTCATGAGGTACTTGTCGGCCTTTGACCAGAAGGTCGCGGAGGTTTTATCGACGGAGCCCATTTTGAAGGTGAGGGGTTTGGACTGGACTGGTGGTGCTGATGAGCAAGGATCGTTGGAAAGAGGACATCTTAAATAAGAAAAACTATGCAGGTAAGTACCTCAAGTACCCTCACCAGTACCTGTCGAGTATTGCGGAGAGAAATATACCCAAGCTGGGAAGTGGCACTTCTGTCCGCGGCGAAGTGGTGGGTCTTGACCGCGGCCAACCCTTTAGAGTACTCTATGCCATGCAACCCCGCAAGGATAAGGGTGATTTGTTTTATTGGATGATTTGGGGTGCTGGCAAATTATCAGGAAGCCAATAGAAAGATCGAATATCATCAAAGGAACCGAGTAGAAAATGAAGTATACTACTAATAGTCACCGTAGGCGGCATACAAATGGTACCAGGGAGATCTGAGATCTAGCATGCGAGGGGAAAGATTCAAAAAAGAGAGAGAATTTAGGCAAAGGCATTGGTTACAATTAGGAAAAGGGTCCATCCTAGCATCGTAGCTCCGAATAGTAGGGGTCTTGGCCCTACCCGTTTGAGGGGGAAGAGTGGTTAGGTTGATTAATGAAACGCTAGTAGCTGCCTTGAACCACCTTTTTGCTGTTGTTGTTTGTTGTTGCCTTCTGCCTAAATGCACCTTCCAGTGGAGCCGCAGCCAATGAAGCGCATTATTTCGGATCTAATTGACCCTGAAGCTGAACCAACGGCCCTGGCCAATGTCCAAGGATGTGGGTGGCATGTCGAGGACGAAAGACTTTATAGGAGTTATCATTCGAAATCCCAATATCAGAAGCATTATCCATGAGAGCCCGGGAAAATGTAAGAGAAAGGGCGCCGTTCTTCTTCCTGAGAAGGGACAATTTCCTCGTTCCTGCTTTCGAAGAATGCATGCGCTTTCATAATCAGCCTTAAAGATTTCTCAACGCCCGGAGAAGGTGAAGAACCATGGATAAGTATCCATCGCTGCAGTAGCGCATGCAGATGCGGGCCCAGTTCTATCAATGCAGATCGGTGGAGATGTGTCATTAGTTGTGGGTGACAGAATCCACCCATGAGAGTCAACACCGCAGTCGCTAGCCTGCACGTAAATATAAATTATAAGCCTTGAGAAGACAGTCAAAACTTTTGCTCTGGAACTTACGATAACGAGCACAGCCATGTGTCAACCATTACTGTATACGGGATCTGTCTCAGATGCTGCAGCTTGAAGAGACAAGTATCCAGGGCAATGCGGCACCCATCTAACACGCGGAGATCATTATTGAGATCAAACGACGGGTTAGCGAGGGCCCATTCCAAATAAGGCCGGTAGATCACACTCCGACAACTGAGATACCACTGTCGGAGGTATTCGCTATACGGGTTGTCCGCGGGTTTCCCGTCTTCTGCGAACTGCAAGCTGGGCGGCAGCGTCTGGTACCAATCTTCCAACTGGCGGGCCAATTCTTGGTTGACAGAAGGGAAGTAACTGGAGTAGATTTGGAGCCCAATTTCACGATCGTACATCATGTAGTGGGCTCTGTTGAGAAGCCGGCGGAGGGCAATGGTAGCGAGGAGGTAGAATGTGGATTTTTCGCCTTCTTCGGGGGCTTCGTGGGTGCGGAATTTCCCAGGAAGGGAAATGGTGGATTCTTTTTCCGCATTGTAGTTTTGCGGGAGCGAGGGTAACTCGGAGATATAGTTACTATATAGAATTTTCTTTTGTGAGTTGGTGGCTTTTTCAAGCTTTGGAAGATTGCATACCTCTCTAGTACAAAGCACGACCAGAATACCCGGATGATGATCTCGCGATTGTCACGCTCTGGGTTGTCGAAGGTGCATTGCAGTAAAAAGCGACAGCGAGTCGCTGCACTATTAACATAAGACCATGTTTGCAATGGCCTTTGCAGAAAAGAGAAATAAAGGCTAGAATGGCGTTGTGAGTTTCATCATAGCGTATTCAGATGGTCATATTCCTATCTTACCCAGTAAGTAGAAGACATTGACACGCCTCCACGCTCATTTCTATATGTGCCAAATGAAGCATCTTCATGGCAGCACTGAACCATGCTGAGCCCCATTGTTTGAGCTCCTGGGACTCATCGATTGGAATACCTTCGTCTATCACCGAAGCCCCGATGCACCCCAAGGCCATTACCAGCAATGCTCGGCACGATTGGGAACTAGGTTCTAGGTCCTCATGTGATATTTTCAATTGGATGGACTTGAGATCATCCAAGCTTATCGTAGGAAACCAAAAGTTGTATGTTTGTTGAAATATGCTCACCATCGCTTTGACTTTGGACATGCTCACGCTGGGAAATATAGCATAGCGTGCATTCTGGAACGGCGAGCGGCTGTACTCTGAAGAGAGAAATGATTTATCAACTTCCTCTCGGATTGACGGTTGGTCCAGAAAGATAGGCCATTTCAGTAGCGACTCCGTGGAAGAAAGATGTCCTGATGACAGGACGGCACTCTCGGTGAGGTCCCTGGAAGAGCCATTATTCGGATGATGGCGCGTATCTTGAGATATTGGTCCAATTGTTGACATGGGCGAGGTAGAGTTTATTTGTGCTTCGTTCACTTCATTGGATGCTCTGGCATTGAGGGCCTGGGGTTTGTTCTAGATGAGGCCAACCACAGAGAGTAGGTACAGGTATGCGCTTACCATCATATTCTTGAGCTCATCAATTGAAGCCTCCATTCGAAGCACTGTATCCAATATCATCTCGCTTTTACCTCTTCTGATTCAATGAAATGAGCTTCCGGATTTCAATAAACTCGAATAAGATACTTACGATATAGCTTCCGTGCCATATAAACAAGTTACATCCAAGCTTCTGCAAGGCCCACAGGGATCTCGAGCATCGCATCTGGCAAATATGTTATTATTTATGCAGAAATCAGATCAGGAGTTGGTGCTAATGAACCTTGTTTTACGTTGGCGACATGAATCGCACTGCGAGTCATGTTAGTCCCCACTCCAGGGGTGGACTTGCTGAGAAGTAAGTAGGACAGGGAGCCGACGACAGACCGCTCGTGCCGCCCGAAACCTCTTCATTTCAGGCATTTTCGAATGTTCTCGAAGATAAAGGTCTGATTATTTCAGGTAATGGCTTTCATCGGCTGCAGTATCAGGATTGGAATGTAGAATGTGTAGAAAAGTAGTCGTAAAAATCCCACGCGGAGCTGGAAGTGGAGTTGCACGTGACGTGCAATGAGCGGAGTTTCCATACTTGAATGTTCGTCATTGTGTTCTACCTCCCATAGTATTCGATTTCTGTACTAAGAATAGATACGGATAGGTGAAATGATTGAGATACCTGCGGGAACTGTAAGGATGACCCGCCTGATTTGCCAAAAGTTCCAAGGTTCCAATACTAACTAGTATTGCTTTCAGGTAGTATATAGGCAGAATCTGTGATCTGATCCATATCGCTTCCAATCATGATGTTTGATAATGGTGACTAAGAGCAGTGATATTTTGAATTCGAAGGATCGTTTCTGGAATTGGGAGGAGATAATTATGGTTAGATTTGCGGGATTTTGGCCTTAAAAACAGGCCAAACCGCTCGGATTGATCTCTAACTTGAATTAGCTATAGGGTTCAAGGTGATGATTATCTTCTAGAAACGTCCCTTGCCATATTCAAGTTCTTGCGCGGGTCAACAAATAGAACGCATTGCGCAAGTTAGTACAAGGCCTAGTCTAGCTAGGTAGGAAGATACACCTAAACCAGGTAATATATAGTTAAACCAACCTTTGACCAATTTATCGCAGTGCACTCCAGGGCTTATAAGATATCTCGTCAACTAGGCTACTACATGGTTAGTACGAGTAGAATTTGAACAATAATCTTTTATAATACTAATATGCAAGTGGTTGTCTATCAACATGTTTCACACCCTTGGATCCTATGACGAGACAGGTTCTAAAAGCATGCCAAACGCAATGTCTTGCACGGGAATCAAGTGCTCATCCATAGGTCCCGGACCACACGCCGCAGTTCCAACCCCCGCGACCTGCCGATCCAATCTGACAAACAAAGCGCCTTCATCGACGAAGTCACAAGGATGGCGGGCATCTTCTGTTTGCTTGTCGGAGTACGGGCTGGCGGTCCAGCTCAAGCCACCAGTCCCCCCCAGTCAACCAAGTGCTTTCCCGCGGGGTTGCACGGAAACCAGTTCCATTTGACGAAATGAGCTCCACCCACGCTGTGTCCACGCGATTGCCGTTCTCTTGGGGAACGTCATACTCAGTCCGCAGAGAATCAATGCTGTCAACGCTCCACAGACCGAACTTCTGCGCCACTTTCTTGTCAGGGTAGGACTCCCCGGGTCCAAGTCCGAGCCAGCGTGCGGATGTCAGATCAGAGGTGACGCGAAGATCCAAACCAACTCGTGGAACAGTTTTTGGTGCAGCACCCTGAGGCCGTAAATTGATGGATACAGACAGTGACCCGTCAGGTTTGATTAGGTACTGTGCGAGACATTTCCAGCCCCAGGAGAGAACCGGTGGTGAAAGGAATGTCTCGCTTTTGACACAAACCTCGCCTGCTTCAGACGATGTGACTTCGAAAGAGCGAAGTTGGTTTGTGATATTGTCAACTCCGAATCGCTTCCAATACGGCGCAGCGGAAGGTACATCATTATCCGTGGGAGGACGCCAGAAGCCAGGGATCATGACTGGCCCGGCATCTGGGCTCGGTGCGAGAATCGTGTTTGACTTATAAACCCACTTCCCAAGATGTCCGTGAATACGATCAAACTCAAAGGACCAGTCCACTCCACTGATGAGAACACTGGTCTTGGCAGTATTGATATTGATGGTGCTCTGCATCTTACTAGAGCTCAACCCGATGGTAGAGGGATTCTCAGAAGGAGAGGATATCAACTCTTGTGCCCAGGCAATGACGAAATGATTTTCAGACCACTCGACCTTATCTCGCTGGTGCAATGTAACGGTCAAGAAGGCCGGGTGAACGTTGTGCTGGAAGAGCTCTTGTGGGATAGGCACTTCCGCAGACTGTCCGGCTGAAAGAGGAAGTAGTTCAAGTGTTCCGGTTGCCAAAGTTTTAGCTCTAAGATAGCGTGTTAGTCTTCTCGATATCATCCAATAATGAAGACCCATGAAACTCACTCTTTGTCAAATGCCTCAAGCTTATACGAAGCTTGAAGATGGAGTAGATCCAAGAAGTCGTACTTGTTCTTCAGAGACAAAACCTGTCCCTTGATTTCCAATTTAACTGGCTCAAAAGCCTTCTTCAACTCCAGCAGACCCGGGAGCGGCTCATGGGCACTGTTCAGCAGCCCATCCATCACGAAGGTTCCGTCATTAGGATAGTCATCAAAATCTCCACCACAGGCATAAAAGCCGTCCTTACCGTCCTTGCCCTCTACCCACAATCCATGGTTGGCCCATTCCCAGATGAAACCACCCTGTAACCGGGGGATTTCATCAAAGCATTTCTCATAGTCTGTCAGCAGACCTGGTCCGTTGCCCATGGCATGGGCATATTCGCAAAGAATAATCGGCTTGTCAAATGTACCGTCATCAGCAACACCCTCGGTGACTGCGAGGGATCGCAAGCGGTCAATGGCGGGATACATGAAGCTCAACATGTCTGTCGTTTCCGCGTGAATGTCACCCTCATAGTGAATCAAACGTGTGTTGTCAAAAGCCCGGGCGGTCTCAACCATGGAGCGATGGCAACTACCAAAGAACGCTTCATTTCCCATGGACCAGATGATGATGCTGGTATGGTTTTTGTCTCGTTGCATGAGTGATTGCACTCTGTCAACATAGGCTGCTCTCCAAGCGGGGTTGTCTGATGTGTGAACGCCACACTTTGGGAATGTCTGGGCCTTGCGCTCCTCATATCCAAGCGTCTCGTCCATGTCCATCGGGCGAGCTACTGCATCATAGAAGCCATGGCATTCTAGGTCGGCCTCGTCAATGACCCAGAAGCCCAGCTCATCTGCCATGTCGAGGAGACGAGGGTCAGGGGGGTAGTGGCTGCACCGAAGCGCATTGACATTGTGGGCTTTCATGAGAAGCAGATCTTTTCTCATGAAATCTAGCGGCACCGCTCGACCCAGAAGAGGGTGATGATCGTGTCGGTTAACACCACGAAGCCTGATCGCCTTCCCGTTGACTGTGATCAGACCATCTTTGCGCTCTACTTTGCGGAAACCAACTCGCTGGGTAGTCTTGAAGGTCTTCTCACATCCCGGGGATGATAAGATCATCTCCACCTCATATAGGTAAGGTCGCTCGGCAGTCCACTTCTTGGGAGCAGTTACCGGCACTTTTAGGTCAATCTTGGAACTTTTGGGCTGCAAGACTTGCTCTGCTGATGATATCGTCTTTCTTGTGCCATCAATTGAATCGATCAATCGGATTTCAAGGTTACTTTGTTTCGATACCTGGTAATCGATTGTTGCGAGCAGTGTCGCGTCTGTGTAAGTCGAATCTAGGTCCGTCCTAATGAACCAGTCATTCAGTCGATCATTGGTCGGGAACGCAATCAGCGTCACATCGCGGAATATTCCTATATCATAATGTCAGCGTATGCTCCTCTGCTATCAATTATGATTGCAATATCATTCTCACCGGACAGCCACCATTGATCTTGATCCTCAATGTAAGTCGCGTCCGACCACTGATAAACCCGTACGAAAACCTCATTGTCACCGTCCCTCCGAAGATAAGGCGTAATATCGAATTCGGAGGGGGTTTCTGCTCCCCTGCGCGTACCCCACCAAGTTCTGGTTCACCCAAACGTGGTACGCGCTGTCCACACCATCGAAGCGCATGCGAATCTCGTAGTTTTCATTCCACTCCTTAGGTACTTGGAACTGACGACGGTACGTTCCAGTCGGATTTTCGGTAGGTACGAATGGAGGGCACACCGGAATCGGGAATTGTGTGTTGGTGTAATTGGGCTTACCCCACCCCTGCAATTGCCAGTGACCCGGCACAATGATCTTGGACCAGGTCTCGGTCACGTCTTCCTCGCCAGGTACTGGTGCTGCCAACGGGGCCCTGGCCATGAGGAATTCCCAGTCTCCATTGAGGAGCTTCGATGTTTCAGGGATATGATACGCTCGTGCCGGGAGGCAATTTCGTCGAAAGACCGCAGGATTCATATAGTCTGGCCGCTCAGGGTCGGCCTGGAGAGACAAATGTGTGATCTGTTGAGACGCCATTGTGATTGAAGCTCGTCTCCAGTTCCTAGGGAAGTGGTTCACGGTTGAGTGGGTTGAGATTTTGAAATCAACTGGGTTCCAATCTTCTTATACCCGGCATGGATAGCCCGAGAGAAAAGAAATTGGTGCTTCTCGGAAAGCGAGTGAGATTTACATCATTGTTGTCGCATTTTGTTTTCTGGGGCAATGTCTGCGATATCGCGTTGGTGTTTCGCTGGGGTCAACTGGGGCATCATTACCCTAATAGTACGATTGTGGATCCCGGACGTCAGGGTATCCAATCAGAAGTGCCGGGGGTAACGGCACCGGGTATATCGGGGCCGGTTGGTTTTACGCTTGATGGACCTTTCCCGTCTGCGCTACACACTACATTTTCAGCAAATCGCAATGTGCGTACGAATTCATCTACCCCCGCCCTCTGCTCTGATCGGCTAGCTTCCCCAGATGCATACCCGATGAGCGGAGGTAGAGAATCTGGAGGCCGAATTGTAAATGCGGAGGGATAAGAACAATGCCAGACGAGACCTGAAGTGTTTAAAGGCCCCCCCCCCCCCCCCGAAAGAGAGAGACTCACTATCGAGCAACACCAAGTTCTGACAAGAACTGCCAAATTCATCTTTTCCTACCTTTTTTTCATTTTCTTTTTTTTGGGCCCGAGGGTTTAGGGTCAATTTGTCGTCATGGATCCTGATAAACAGCAGGTGGACAGTGCCCACGTGGAATCGCCGGTCACAACGGGCCTGGCAGATACAAAACTCGCACAGTCCAGAGCAATGCAAAACCGAGAGCATGATATCCCCATAAAAACTGCAATTGCTCAGTACTGGAGATCCATAGGCTACTGTCTCTTCTTCTGCATGTCTGCAGTCCTATGGGGCTATGATATGCAGGTCAGTGGAGGTCTCCTTGCAGCTCCCCAATTCCGCGCTGTCTTTGGATACACGCTCCCAGATGGCGAGACCATTCTTCCTGCAAGATGGCAAGCCGCCTTCAATATGATTGCGACGGTGGGTGGCATGATTGGAAGTCTGCTGTGTGGGCCTCTATCACCCTACATCGGCCGAAAACTGAACTTGGCCCTTGCCTGCATCATATCCTCAGGTGCCATCTTCTTGCAGTTCTTCGCCTTCAGTCGTGGAGTCCTCCTCGCTGGAAAACTGGTCAATGGCATTTCACTTGGCATGTTCCTTGTCACTGCCTGCGCCTACTGCTCTGAGTGCAGTCCTGTCGCGATTCGAGGTCTCACGACCGCCCTGGTGAACTTTTTCGTCGTCATTGGCCAGTTGTTGGGGAATTGTCTGATCAAAGCCTTTGGGGACAGATCGGACACATTTGCCTACCGCATCCCCTTTGCCTTCCAGTGGTTGTTCCCGTTGATTTTATTCTCCGGTGTGTGGTTCTGCCCTGAATCTCCCTATTGGTATGTCCAGCGAGGCCGGATTGAAGACGCCAAGAAGTCTCTCGAGAGATTTCATATTGGCGGCAATGTAGATCAATGGCTCTTTGAGATCCAAGAGACAGTTCGGATGGAAGAAGAATCGGCCAATTCGGCAGGTTACATCGACTGTTTCCGAGGGACTGATCTCCGTCGAACACTGATTATCTTCGGCGTCTGGACAATCAACTCTTTCAGTGGTGTTAATTTCGTGTTGAGCTACTCCACTTACTTCTTCGAGAGTATGTCATCCATCTTTATATCCTATGTTACCTGACTGACCTCTATTCTGTGATTAGTTGCCGGCCTTCCGACTTCTCGATCCTTCGACATGGGCGTGGGTGTGACTGCTGTTGGTGTGGTTGGAAATATCTGCTCGTGGTATGTCATCAACGTTATTGGGCGACGTTCTCTCGTTCCAGGAATGGCTGTTTTGACGGTCATTGTATTTGTAATTGCCATCCTGGATGTTGTCCCGGGTTACAACCACTCGATCGCTTGGGGCCAATCTGCTTTGATAATTGTCTGGAACTTCTTCTACGATCTCACTCTCGGTCCCTTAGGATACGTGATCTGTGGAGAAATGTCTTCGACTCGGTTGAGGTCTCACGTAGTGAGCATCGGATTTTTCACACAGAACCTGTGGACGCTAATTATGACCATCACCGTGCCCTATATGATCAATCCCGACGAGGGGAATCTCCGAGGCAAAACTGGCTTCATTTTTGGTTTCTTCTCCATAATCGCTTCCATCTGGACTTATTATTACCTGCCCGAGACGAAGGGCCGGTCTTTTGAGGAGCTTGATCACATGTTCCAGCAGAAAGTCCCTGCTCGCAAGTTTGCCACTTATCGTCAGAGAACAGACTCAGAGGAGTGATCTGTATCCTAGAAAAAAAAGAAGGGAATCTGCATCAACGTCGCCCAGGCACCTCACAATTGTTTGAACGAGAGAACGAAGTCAATTTTTTATCAACTTTTAATGATACCCTGTGGAACTTTAATAATCCTGAAAAGAGAAGAAGAGTTTTCTATAAATTTGATCAAGGTTTTCATACTAAGTTTTGTTCTACCCAGTAGGCTTTTGGATATTATACTAGTATTTAGCAGCCTTGATAGTGGTGACAAGCTTGGAAAGTATGGCTTCTTAGAGGCCTTGGAGCTAGAAAGTAGCTACAGAAAAGAGAGATAGTGCCCGCGTGGATGTTGTCCAGATTTAAAGATTAGAGTATAAAGGTAAACTAAACCTAATTAAGCTCGGCACGTGCCCGGAATTTGCCGCGGAGTTGGCCGGTTGAACTAGTAGTACTCATCGCCATCCCCCCAGACACCACTCCAACTTCAAAAACTAATCGAAAATGGAAATGCAGGCTGAATCACACGTCCAAAGCACAAAGAAAAATGAGGGGAGACCATACCGGTCCCACCTCCACCCAGCATGTTTCGCGTGCAGAAAGCGGAAATCCCGCTGCAAGACAAGAAACACATCGGCCACATGTATAATGTGTCAGGCACATGGGACAGACTGCAGATTTCCGCGCCCAGACGATCCATTCCAAACGCCCCAAAACTTGAGGTCTTCCCCGCGGAAATCGGCGGCCAATGCTCAAGCTCGTTTTGTCGATACATATGGTTCTCTGCACCCCAGATCAAATAACCCACAGGCATTGGGACAACATACAGATCTGTCCGAGCCCTCTCCTGATAATTTAATCCATTTTGATTCATCGAGAACTCCCCCGGCATTCAATGCTGATCGGCCATTGTCTGCGCCGAGAAATGATAGTGGAGGAGACGGCCTCCCAAATCTTATTGGTATTGTTGCCGCGGCCGCAGATGGCAATTCCCATATAATCAGCCCGGCTGTTGCAGATGATAATGATATTTTGGAAAGTTATCTGTCGACAGCACAGACAGAGAAGCGAAGATGCTTGGCTCGTTCCAGCCCCACGTCGAATGGCCCTTTGAGGCCTGTAAGGTTCAATGCTGTGCCTAGGAGACCATTGGGTGTTAGTGTCAAGCAGTCTGTTGCAGAGTCGAAGCTGGAAGTTATTGAGCGATACATGGACCCACATATTGATGAATTCTTGAATCTGTAAGCATTACGTGTAGGATACTCGAGGCTGTCGGGTATGCCAACTGCTAATGAAATCGAATTCAGCTTCTTCCACAAAGCAAATCCTTGCTTTCCTCTATTTGACGAAGCTTCATTCAGAAATGCTTACTCAACTCATAAGGAGAAAATATCGCCAGCGCTATTATGCTGCCTCTACGCCAACTCGCTTGTTTATTGGAAAAGCTCATCGAAGCTTGTATATGCGGGTCGCGTTCCTGACATTCATTTCATCTGGAATCAAGCCAACGAAGCCCTTAATTCAGAGCTGTTCCTCTCGCCAGGAATTTCGACGGTTCTCGCTATATTGATAAATGTTTGTGGAAGACCTAGTACTTCTATGTTTGGTAATGGCGGTATGGTGGGCACTGCGGTTGCTTTATCGAATGCACTTGGTCTCAATCGTGACCCCTCAAGCTGGATGATATCTCCGTTGGAGAAAAGTTTGCGCATTAGGATATGGTGGCTCGTTATGATACATGATCGGTGGTATGTTCAAACTCTAATAAATCTTATGGAATTATACTGATGATCCCCGAAGGTGCAGCTTGGGTTACGGGACACCCTTGCAGGTCCACCGAGCCCAATACGATGTGCCATTTCCATCGATGGAAGACTTGTGCCACCCAACAGCCGACCCATACCAGAAACGAGCAGCATCAGTGTTTCTAGCATTGACTACCTTGACCGACGTGCTGGCTCGCTATCTAGAGCATGTCTACAGCGTGTCCAAAGAATTCCCACACTCAGATGCGCATGCCCTTGAACAGATTCTAATCGACTGGGAAGAATCCTTAAGTGATGACATTCGACGAATCGTACTCAGAGGCACACACCTTGACATTCCGGGAGCAGCAAATTTTCGGTTGGCATATTTAGCTGTCAAACTACTGCTTCGTCGAATTCAACTTGATCTGAACAAAAGATCTCATCTCGCAGCCGAAGACGATACCAAGGCCCCATTCTACATGCAGGCACAACGAGCCGCTGAAGACATCGCACACCTGATACAGGAGCTAGACACTACCCAACTGAACGGTTTTTGGATCCCGGTGCATTCCTTCTCGATAACATCGGCCACAATGTTCCTGCTGCGCAGTGGGTTACGGATGAAAGATCAGGGCGGAAATATGCCCCTGCATATTGCCAAAGACATGATTACCGTTCTTCATGCGCACCGTCAGAATTTCGATTGGGATCTTGCCGATAATTGCCTCACGGACTGCGGGGAGCTGGTTGAAAAGATCAGTATGGTGGTGGCGGATTCGGACTTGGCTGTTGGTGCAGCTGGGCCTGATTTTCCGGAATTCTCGGAGGATTTGGATATCGATCCGGCTATATTGGAGGAGTTATTTTTTGGAATCTTGGGGTTTCCGCAAGGATTCGAGATTTGAAAATTGCTGCATAAAATGCTATTATATAGAGTTAGATTTACTCCAAAGGGATATAGCTATTTGATAAATTGCTTTATGCATCTAGAAGACAATTCCTGCAAACTGCATTTTCTCACCACGACAGTCTGCAAGCAAACAAGGCCCAGGGGTTTCTTGTGCAGGGACCCCTCGCGCTCGGTTTAGTTGGTCAACAAATATGAACCAAGTAAGATCAACGTTCCAAGCCTCCATAGCTTGAATCGCATTCTCAACAGACTGGAGAATACTCTGCTTCGCAGGATCTTCCGAGTGGGCACTATCTCTTCTGGATGGGAGGAAATAATAGTCGATTCCAACATAAAGTGCAACCCAAGATCCGAGCATTTCACAGATTCGATCACCCACTTCTGGCTGTAAGCGGACATGGGATATGACAGTGAGGAATAAGGATATCATTGCGCGCCAGAGAGTATGATGAGGGGTGAATGCCCTTGAGCCGGCGGACCCAGGTGCAGTTGAAGAAAGAGCCAGCGATGATGCGATGGCAAGACTGGAGCCAGGTCTTTGAGCAGTCGATAGGGCGTCGACCTTGCCTTTCTGCTGCTGTGTGCGTCGCTCATTCACATGTTCAGAGTCCTGACGCACTTTGGCCCAGACGGTATTGTATAGGCGTTCCCAGCGGGGGAATTCGGTTTCAATACGCGAGCCCATGAAGTCGCCAGCTCCCTTGCACATGGCTTCCATGGCTTGACAAGCTGTGGTTAAGACAAAAGTTTCCTCTTGGAAGGCATGGGTGTCGTGTATTGTCGAGCTATCTTGCCCAGTAGACGGCCGGGCAATGAGTGAACGTGAAGATGAATCGCTTCCCAGCGAAGAAGGGAAAACCACCCTTGATGCTACCGAGGTCCAAAGATCATTAATCAGAGGGAGGAAACTATTTTCGTTTTGCGAGAGGGTTGGAAGAACATCGATGAGGATGGTGAGGAGGGAGCGTCGGAGATAGGGTGATGGAGAAGAAAGATGGGATGGAATGGATTTCACGATATGTAGAAGAAGAGAGTGAGTTTTGCTCAGCGGCTTTTCGGCGTCTTCTGGTTCTTTGGGCGGTGGAAGTGGCTCGTCGGATTCAGCCTTGTTGAGAAGCTCTTCGATAGTCTCGGGCTCAGGCGCTGGCTTGTCGTATGTTTCAGACCATGGCTTCTTTGGATGCGAAATGTTGTCATCAGCTTCCGCATCCTCATTCACAACATTTGAAAGCTTTTCTCTTCGCCTCGCAATATCCGCAACAAGGGTGGCAATTGATAGATGCTGGTGTTGAACCTTGCGAGAGTCAAATGAGTCATCTTTTCGAACGTCATCGATCGTGAGAAGGGCTGGCTTCTTGGATCCTTCTTGAACGATAGCTGCGAGGGTCTTGAACATCATTTCGACCAGCTTCGGATAGCCGTGGTACATATCCAAGATCCCAAATACCGAATCCACCAAATCATCCAGGTAAGGGATGAGTGGCGCACCACACAATTTGACCATCATGAAAAGAACTTGTGGGGGGGTATGGCGATACATCGAAGGTATTCAACTTCAGAGCTACCGAGTTCACCAAATAGTCAACATTCTCGATAATCATAGAGCCTGTATTTGGGTAGTTGCAGGAGATTGTCAGGATATTCAAACATGTCATGGCATGTCTTTGCAAGTTGGGATTATTGGAAGCAAGAAGCTGCAGTGTGGGATAAAGCGCATCTATAAGTTCTGGTCGAAATTCTTCCCCAAGCTGTTGCGCTTGAAGAGCGACTGCTTCTAGCGCAAGTGCAGATGTTCGCCAGTCACCAGAGCCGTCAGCAGGTATGTCGTTGAGGATTGATAAAGCAACAAAGTAGAGTTCCTCAATCATGCCCGCACGATTGGGGCTTGCAAGGGTGTTTTCCAATTGATCATCAGAGATAAAGTCATCAAATGCACTTGCCTGTTGCTTTTGGGCCCGAAGAGAAGTCAGGGCAAGCCAAAACGGGGCAACTATAGTGTTCTCGTCACTAGAATGCAAGCGGTTGACGATAGAACGCGTGATTTCATTGCCTGATTCAGAAAGATTTAACCTTTTCATCAGAGCGCGTAGATCTTTCAGGGTTGCTTGTTGACTACGATGCTCTAAGAGCACCGGTGGGAATGTCATAGATTTAGCGTCCGAGCCGAGTATCTCTGAGTTCATATTTCCGACATTGGCCGATGTCAAAGGCTGGAAAGCCGTAGTGTCTTGTTTAACCGCAGCGCTCACGCTGTCACAAAGACCAGTAGCCAGACTCGCCGTCAGCAGGTCCGATTGTGATTGAACCTGGGACAAGATCTGGAAGACAGTCGATATTTGTCTGATGCCCCATTGTTTGGCCGACTCGTCATTGCTTTGCATGATGCGGGGAAAGGACGTAAGCCAAGTATGCAGCGACTCCTTTAGAGTCTCCAAGACAACTTCGTATGATGTCGCCAGATGGAAGACCGTATTATATGCATGATTGGATCCTTCCTCCTCCTTGTCAGCCAGAACCACAGCCGTCTCAGTCATAATTTGGAGACAGTCTTTCAATGTTTCAGGGCAATCTTCAATGATCATGACGCAAAGATCCAGCATTGCTGTTTGAACCTCTAACCGCTGGTGGCGCCTTATCTGAATAATATTTGCCAATGCCAACTTGATCTGGGTCGTCGTTGCTTTCAGCCAAGAGTTATCCAAGACAAGGCCATCGTTTTTGGTGAGAGAAGGACGAGGCTCCTCTACACTGGTAACACGATCGTTGAGCACAGACTTTAGTAGATAGTTGAGGATCTGGATGGAAACCTCCAATAGTTTATAAGATCGTCTGGCTTGTGTTGTCGGCCTCACAACCTTCGCCAAAGCTGAGACAGTGCGTGGCATAATACTCGCAAGAACCACTCGATCTGTGATACGTGCATAGAGGGCTTTCAAAGCCTTTGCAGCAGCGAGACAGACATCGTCCGATCGTTCATCAACTAATCCCTCCAGCAACATGTAGACCGTTTGATCGACAACGGTGGCCGTTCCGATTTCATGGAAGATGGTTTTTTCGGCGACGGGCCCATCCAGGACATCGAAAATGGATCGCATGCAATCAAACCCGGCAATGGCGAGCTCTTCGGATGCCCGTGCTTTGGGCAGATCCTGTTTTCCTTCGATTTTGTTTGGAGACCCGGCCACGACTAGCGTCAAGAGTATAATCAATTGCTTTCCCAAAGCCGGCGATAATTGTTGGCGATATCCGCTGTCAATGAGGATTTGAAGGGAGTGAACTGCGATTTCGAGACATCTTGCGGGGAGGCGTTGTGTTTGATTGAAGATGTGGGTGAGTGGGAAGAAGGCGTATTCAGCGAGCTTCTCGTCGAGTACATTCTTCCCCGCAAGCACGTTCAAAACATCGTGGAGTGGCTGCACAGCTCGAATAACATCCTGAGCCGACGCTTGATTACCTCGAAAGCTGAGTCCGACGGAGCTTAGCTCCACGCATGGTGGGCGAAGCTTGAATGGGTGTTAGTCTGAAAGAATGTCTCGCCCGCATTATTCGGCCTAGCATACCTGTTTGAAGGCTTCCTGCCGTTGGGTTTCCATTGTAAGAAAATTTCAATTTGCGGCAAGAAGAGAAGACGCGAGGTCATCCATATAGTGCGAGCCAGATTATAGAAGCAGCCAAAAAGAGAGCAGTATAATCATCTTGGGATGTCCAAATAGCTGCAACGGCGTGATGATAAACCGACGGCGGCGGGCGTTCTCCAGCTCGAAAACATACACCGCCTTAGTTTCTGCCAGGGAAATGAGAAAGCGGTAACACCTTCTCACTGAGCGCCTTCCCGATTTGGGTAGATAGCTGAATCATGTGACCCGCGCGTCACGTCACGTCGCGTCCAGTCCAGAAAGCGGAAGGTGTAGTCACTCGCAGCGGCAGCCTGGGAAAGTGCGACTGCTGCCTCTTTGTGCCTGCCGAGTATATTAAGTTTTGGCTTTCACTAATTCTGGCAAGGACATCACACTCAAAATTCTCTCGTCTATTTAGTTGGCCTCTCCTCCCCTTCCCTCACCCTCGCCGATCCCCACTCAAGTTGAGTTGTTTGCCTATGCGCGCCTTGCAGATCGCATCCGCGCCGTCATTACTTTCGCGCCTCCGGTTCGGTACCCGCATTTCAAGCGCAAGATTAGTCCTGACCACGGCCAAAACGACCTCTCCCCAAAGATACCCCTACACAACGTTCAATTCAAGTGCACACTTGCACATTACACAGGCGTCCCCGTTACGCCCACTACACAACATCATGTCTGACGACAAAGGCAGGAAGCAAGCTACTCTGGGGTATGTGCCAGACTCTCAATTGACCATCGGGTGCGTCAATGGAATCGCATTCGTCCATCAGGATGGAAGCTAATGATTCTTGTTTTAACAGGCGGTTTTTCGGTGGCAATGCCAATGGCCAGCAAGCCCCAAAGAAGCAGACAACTCTAGCGTTCGGCGGCAAGCGACAAAGAGCCAGCAGCGGCGCCGATGCGGAACCCAAAGAGCAAGACGCAATGACCACCCAATCCGAGAACAAAGAGACTACCGATGCCAATGACACCGAGTCAAGCAAGAATCTGAAACGGGAAAAGACCGACGAGGCCGACGACAGTGATGGCTCCGATGTGCAGCCCATTTCAAAACGGAGACGCAGAGCTGTGAAGAGTGAATCACTAACTCCCAAGAAGACCGTAACTTCGCCGAAGAAATCTAAATCGCCCTCTCCCAAGAAGTCCTCTCCCAAAAAATCACCAGCGAAATCCCCTTCTCCACGGACGGCTGTGAAGGAAGCCAACGATGCAGAAGAGGATGATGATATAGAGATAGTTAGCGAAGACGAAGAGGAGGCAAAGCCAAGCGCTAAGAAGAAGACCATGGAAAAAGTCCAAGCGACTCTGAAGGCCACTGAGAAGGATCCCTATCCAGACTGGAAAGCCGGTGATCCAGTCCCTTATGCTGCGATGTGTACTACTTTTTCCCTGGTTGAGATGACTTCAAAACGTTTGGTGATAATGGCCCATTGCTCTCTTTTCCTCCAACAAGTCATGCGCCTGACCCCCAATGACCTCCTCCCTACTGTTCAACTTATGATCAACAAGCTTGCGGCAGACTATGCCGGCATCGAATTGGGAATTGGTGAGTCATTGATCATGAAGGCTATTGGTGAAACTACCGGTCGCAGTCTTGCCGTCATCAAAACTGATCAACATGAGATTGGTGACCTCGGATTGGTTGCTGCCAAAAGCCGCGGCAATCAGCCAACCATGTTCAAGCCCAAGCCTTTGACTGTTCGTGGAGTACACGAAGGCCTTCTTGGCATTGCCAAGGTACAGGGACATGGCTCCCAGGACAAGAAGATTTCGGGCATCAAGAAGCTTCTATCTGCGGCTGACTCCGCAACTGCTGGCAAGGGCGGAAAGGGTATCGATATCACCAAGGACAAGGGTGGTCCAAGTGAGGCCAAGTTTATTGTCCGCTTTTTGGAAGGGAAATTGAGACTGGGTCTTGCCGAGAAGACCGTTCTTGTGGCTCTGGCGCAGGCTATTGTGACTCACGAGGCCGCTGTCAACGGCGAGAAACCCCCTTCGCCCGAAAAGATGGCAGAAGGCGAGGCTGTCCTCAAACAAGTGTACAGCCAAATGCCCACCTACGAGGAAATTATTCCAGCAATGATCAAAGTCGGCATTTTCAACCTCCCCGAAGTCTGCAAGCTGTCACCGGGTATTCCCCTTAAGCCCATGTTGGCCAACCCAACTAAATCCATTACGGAAGTGCTCGACCGCTTCGAAGGGAAAGAGTTTACCTGCGAATACAAATATGATGGAGAACGTGCCCAGATTCATTTCGTTGCCCCTGATTCTATTCGCAAATATCCGGCAGCTACAGCAACTCTACAAAAGGACAGCAAAGGTCTTAGCGCCATCTTTTCCCGCAATTCGGAAAATTTGTCCAAGAAGTATCCCGATGTGCTCGCGAGACTTGATGGCTGGATTAAGGAAGGCGTCGAAAGCTTTGTTCTTGACTGTGAGACAGTTGCTTGGGATACAATCAACAAAAAGGTTCTGCCATTCCAGCAGCTCATGACTCGGAAGCGCAAGGACGTCAAGGAGGAAGATATCAAGGTCAAGGTCTGCGTGTTTGCATTTGATCTACTGTTTTTCAACGGGGAGGTAAGTTTGGTAGACAACTTTGAAGAAGCAATCCGTTTTCATTTGCTAACTCAGCTTTCAGCCCGTTGTTAAGAAGAGTCTCCGGGAGCGCCGTCAATTACTGCACGAGTGCTTCCAGCCGGTGGAGGGCGAGTTCCAGTTCGCACAATTTGGCAACACCAACGTTCTCGACGAAATCCAGACCATGCTAGAAGACAGTGTCAAAGCTTCTTGCGAAGGATTGATGGTAAAGATGTTGGATACTGAGCAGAGTGGTTACGAGCCAAGTAAGCGAAGTCGCAACTGGCTCAAGGTACGGGATTCCGTTTCGACATATTCCACGACTTATGCTTACTGACAATTCGCAGGTCAAGAAGGATTATTTGGCCGGCGTGGGCGATTCCCTTGATCTGGTAGTCCTCGGTGCATACTACGGCCGTGGCAAGCGTACATCTGTGTATGGCGCTTTCCTTCTGGCTGCATACAACCCTAATAACGACACCTATGAGACAATTTGCAATATCGGAACGGGCTTTTCCGAGGCAGTGCTCGAGGAGATGCACAAGGCGCTCACTCCCCTGATCATCGATCGACCTAAGCCCTTCTATGCACACTCTAGCGTTCCCAAGGACCAACCGGATGTCTGGTTTGAGCCCCGGCTAGTTTGGGAAGTCAAGACGGCCGATCTGACGCTTAGCCCGCGGTATAAGGCGGCTGCCGATGAGTTCGAAGGCACCACGGGTGGCGGAAAGGGTGTCTCACTTCGATTCCCTCGCTACATCAAATCACGCGATGATAAGACTCCGGATCAGGCTACGACCACTCGTGCAGTCGCGGAGATGTATCGCAAACAGGAAGCTGTGGCCAAGGAGTCGGCGGGTAAGCGTGGCGTAGATGATGACTTTGAGTACTAAATGATTGAATCATGACCATGGTCATGGCGCATTGTGGAGATTTGGTCTGGGTATTTGTTGGATAATTTCTGTGTAATTTAGTTATTACGTTCTTAGCATCACATCATTTGCGGCTAACCTGCATCATTGAGTTGAGATTGGTACTTGATGCCATACCAGCGGGACAGCATTAGGTATCCCAATTCTATCAACGTTTCTTCCCCCACAACACCATTGCCTTGTTCCCTATAAGTCCAAATCCTTTTTATAGTACTCTAAATACTATACTCATTGAAATGATTGTATCCTTTATCTACCTATACCCATTATCTATAAGCAACTCACTGAAATCTCCGGCTATCAGCGGCCCGCTTAGCACATCTTGGCGCTGCAACCCAAGGCGACGGCAGCGTATGAGGCCATTTCTTTGTTTGCAGCTTACTCTTTTAGCGGCCTCCTAGTGCCCCCATTTTCCCCTCAACTCGACCTGCATTATGGCTACCCACTGCATCTCCTCCCTGTTTATCACTCTTGGCATACAGGAATGTAACATTTCCCCCCTTGAGGAAGCTGCGATTGCTCATGGCCCCGCTATGGACGGCCTGGATTAGCTGCAATACAAATACTCCTCCCCGCAGCTCTGTTCAGGCACTGATCTGTATCATTGTCTACGGTGAACTGTGTGTGTATCTCTTTGACACCATGCGGACTTTCCAATGGCTGGCTCTTGGCTCGGTGGTGGGTTCCGCCGTTGCCCTTACGCCTGAGTATGTTCCGAGTCCTTACTTATCGCCATTACCATTTGCTTGAGACTATTTATGACATGGGCTAATTCTAGTATAGAAAGTTGATTACTGCTCCCCGGCGTGACAATGCCGTTCCAAATCCCTCGGGCGTGAGTCTTCTCTTCAAGTTCCATCTGTCGATGCGTATATTATCTGCCGGCATTTCTCGTACAATGGATACGTGCTGACTGCTCCACAGAAAGTCGCATTGTTCTCCACTGCACAGTACTCTTTCGATACCCACTCCTCCTCGGCGTGGTGGAGTTTAATTGATCTGAAGAGTGGCAAGGTCTCTCAGCTCACGAATGACAGCAATGTCTCTGAATTGACCTGGTTGGGGCCGACTGACTCTAGTTTGCTCTATATCAATGGGACGAATGCCGATGTTCCCGGCGGCGTGGAGCTGTGGATAGCTGATTCGTCTGACTTCGCCAACTCGTAAGCATCTTCTCGGTACGAAAACTGATTCTAACTAACATACATTACAGTCGATACAAGGCTGCTTCTCTGCCTGCCTCTTTCTCCGGGCTGAAGACTGCCGTAACCGAGTCTGGCGATGTCAACTTCCTTGTCTATGGCCAGTCTTATGGCAATGGTACAGCATACAACGAGGAGCTGGCTGTCACCCCTCTCAGCTCTGCCCGCATCTACGACAGCATCTACGTCCGGCATTGGGACAGCTGGCTGAGTACCAACTTCAACGCTGTCTTCTCAGGAACCCTCAAGAAAAAGGGCGCAAAGTCAGGTTCCCACTATACCCTCGACGGTGCGCTGAAGAATCTCGTCGCTGGCACTAAGAATCTCGAGTCGCCATATCCCCCCTTCGGTGATTCGGGCGACTACGATATCTCACCAAACGGGCAATGGGTGGCGTTCAAGAGCAAGGCCCCTGAGCTGCCTCGCGCAAATCACACGGCCTCGTACATCTATCTTGTTCCCCACGATGGTTCAAAGAAGGCTGCGGCAATCAATGGCCCTGATAGCCCGGGCACGCCGAAGGGCGTCAAGGGCGATTCGAGTGCTCCTGCCTTTTCTCCCGATAGCAAGAAGCTTGCGTATTTTCAGATGACGGATATCTCATATGAATCAGACCGACGCACCCTCTATGTTTATACCCTTGGTTCGAAAAAGACGATTGCGACTCTGGCTAAGGATTGGGATCGCTCTCCTGATGCTGTGAAGTGGAATGCTAAGGGCGACCGCCTCATCTTGGGCACCGAGGATCATGGCCGCGAGAAGCTCTTCACTCTCCCCGCCGATGCAGGTGATGACTATAAGCCTAAGAACTTCACTGGTACCGGTTCCGTCAAGGGGTTCTATAACCTGCCCGGTGGAAAGGTCCTTGTCACTGGAACTGCTATCTGGACAAGCTGGACGGTGTATACTGCTAGCCCAGAGAAGGGTGTTATTGATACTCTCTTCTCCGCAAATGAAGTCGACCCTGGTCTGAAGGGTCTTAGCCCCAATGATTTCGGCGAGTTTACATACAAAGGAAACTGGACTGACGTGAGTATTTTTCTTGGCCATTCCTGGAGCAACGCGCATGCTAATTCAAGTCCAGATTCACTCTTGGATCATTTATCCAACCGGCTTTGACAAATCCAAGACTTACCCGCTGCTCTTCTATATTCACGGTGGACCCCAGAGTTCGTGGCTTGATTCCTGGAGCAGCCGATGGAATTACAAGGTCTGGGCGGATCAGGGCTATGTGGTTGTTGCCCCAAACCCAACCGGCAGCTCTGGATACGGTGATAAGTTGACCGATGCAATCCAGAACAACTGGGGTATGTCACCAGTCTCGCTTTGAACTATCAGGTCTAACATTCTTTCAGGAAGCTACCCCTATGACGATCTCGTCAAGGGCTGGGAATATGTGCGTGATAACTTTGATTTCGTTGATACGAAGAATGGTGTTGCTGCTGGAGCCAGCTACGGTGGGTTCATGGTCAACTGGATTCAGGGTAACCCGTTGGGTCGGGAGTTCAAGGCACTCGTCAGCCACGACGGCACCTTCGTGGCAGATTCCAAGGTCGGCACTGAAGAGCTATGGTTTATTGAACATGATGTAGGTTTTCTATCTTGATTTCCCTTTTCAATTTTGCTAACAGTCTGCACAGTTCAACGGCACATTCTGGGCTAATCGGGACAACTACCGTCGTTGGGATCCATCCGCCCCAGAGCACATCCTGCAATTCGATACCCCGATGCTGCTTGTCCACAGTTCCAAGGACTACCGTCTTCCAGTCTCGGATGGTCTCGCTCTTTTCAACATTCTTCAAGAACGGGGTGTTCCGAGCCGTTTGTTGAACTTCCCGGATGAGAACCACTGGTCAGTTTCCCCTTGATATGTATAGCATGGACCCCCCACTAATATTCTGGCAGGGTTCTCAAGCAGGAAAACAGCCTGGTGTGGCACCAACAGGTACTTGGCTGGATCAACCATTATTCTGGCGTTGGGGCGAAGAATCCTGATGCTGTCAGTCTGGATGACACGACGGTGCCGGTTGTAGATTTCAACCCGTGAATGCGGCCTTAGACAATTGATCGGCTATTTGTAGTCAAATAGAGATATCTTGATCCTGACATATCTTTTTTCTTCCACTCTTTGTTCTTGCTCGTATTGTAAGTTGCAAGTGGCTTCCAGGTGAAATATTAGTGCTGTCCTAGACAGAGCGTTTCAAGCTAGTCAATCCGCGATCTATGTACGTGATCTGCGACATCAACGTCAAAGAGTGGAAGAGTGAAACTTTACTGCAATAAAAATTCTTTCTCTCCATTAAAACAACTCTATGTTGTCGCCTCCACAGACTCTCCCAATAATTAATGCTATAGGACGGGAAGTCCCATTTTCATGGGCGTTTGCCATTGCTCCATAAGAAGGCAGCCTCCTTCCTTCCTTCCTCTCTCCTCCTCCATCCTACATCCTCCATCCTTCATTCGCTTCACTTTACTTCGCTCACTATCTATCTATCACCTTTCAACTACAACTTCAAATACACCTAACCACTCATAGCACTCATTCATTCAATGCCACAGTCGAATTTTCACCATCCACTTCTCAATCTCACTCCCACCATGTCGAGTTCGACTTCGACCAGCTCAAAGGGCAGCACCACCCCAGCTGCAAGTGCAAAATCTCCTGCTGAAGCACAGAAGCACAGCACCCCCGCTACGTCAGATATGTCTGGTACGCTCAAACCCACCGTATTCCCACCTCCACCATCCCCAGCCAACTGACCCACCAATCCACAGACGCAGACGAGGATATGGACTCGGACTCAGAAATGGACTATCCAGGCGGCATCTACAACGAGACTGATGATGAGGACGACGGCTACAACCACCCCGTCATAAACGACACCATTCGAGCGATCACCGCGTTTCTGAAAACCGACGTGCGGAAGTATCCTGGCGTCGACCTGAAGATCAAGCCCCTCCGCGCCGTCCCCTACGGCTACACCGACAGCGAGCAATTCGACATCTGGCATACGGGAATAGAGGTGCTTCTCCAGTTTTACCAGGTTTGGCCGGTTGTCAGCTATGAGGTGGTGCGACTCCCTGCCAAGGGGAAGACTTGTCATCATATCCGGGAAGCCTACCCCGACCTGCCCAAGTGGCGTGTGCATGAGGGGCGCATGCTCAGCGTCGCGACTGCTTTGATATTCGCGAATCTCGATGATGAGGTCCGGGCTAATCGGAGTGTGCGGCGTGTGATAAGCAATATCATGGGCCGGGAACCTGAAATGTTGATGTATACTCTGATAGATGAGTTTGGCCCTAATATGGACGATGATGAATCTAGTGTCAAGCCCGTCTTCGAGTGAGAGCGTTGAACTGGGTTTATCTGCTGTGACTCGCGAAATCTTTCTTTTCCTTTCCTTTCTTCTGGGAGTCATGCTGAGTTGCTTACGGGGTGCGAGGATTTCTTGTATTGACATCATGTCTTCTCTGGGATTTTGGCATTTAATAGGCGTATCATGAGGTTAAGTTGCGGATGGGAGTTGTGAGGTGTTTCTCGCGATTGTGCATCTCTATCCAATAATGTCATCTTAAGCAAGTTATTCATTCATTGTTCAATGGTATTAACATAACGTTATCGACATAGCTACTTAGCAAACCCTTGTATGAGACGCCTTTCATCGACAATGAAATCCACTTTAATATCCCAAACTACCTACTTGCCCATAACTTCCATTCTTCGATATCGAGAAATGAACTGTGTTCGGTCTGGCCGGAGGAATCAAGGAAACCTCTAGAGCCGAAGAATCGGCAGCCTCTTGCCCTAGCCATTTCTTTTTTCTCTGTTTACTCCGGATCTATAACTAAAGTGTTAGATCCCAAAAGAGCCCATGAATAAAATATAAGAGCACCTACCCCGAAATCTTGTTCTTCTCCTCCAGCTCCCGTAGAGCACTAAAGGCATTCATGCTCGGTTTCTCACCGGTGATCCTTTCTTGATCGTTGTGGAAAGACATGTTGGGGAACAGATTTCTCACGTTGTCAGCATGAATGGAAACCTCGCGTAAGACTTTCTTAGACTGCAAGATCTTCCGCTTATCAAACTGCCTCTCTGCTTCAATGATAGCCAGTTTTAAACCCAGTCGGCCGATCTCTTGACGATCCTGACTTTTCTCTTCGAGGAGGCTGGAATTCTCCCGTTGGAGCGCGTCAATTTTGACCTGCTGCCTTGCTTCGACCATCTTTGTCCGCAGGAAAGATCCTGTTCTGAGATCCGATACCTTGTCACAGAATTCCTTCAGGAGCTCCTTCTTGCGGATATTTGCCTCGAGGCTCTCATTGCTTGGGGCCTGGAGATACTTGTCCGGAGTAGTCTGCGTATTGCCCTTCGACAGATTCACGACCAAGCTGTCGAGAGTTTGTGCACTCAATGGGGGCTCAATAAGGGTATTGTCTTCCGATAGATTCACGGTCAAGCTATCTGGGCTTTGAGAGCTCGATGGGGTCTCAATGGACGTGCTGCTTGAAGGACTCTGGGGACGGATGAGGCGAGATTTGTAGTTTTCGTACCTCAACTCCTTAAGGGCCTTGAGAAATGGCGGGGTCTGATCACCGCGGACGGTAGCAACTAGTTTGGTGGGAGTCTTGATTTGGGGGGCTGTTGTATTTGAATTGGTGGTCATGGCGGGGGCGGCAACTAGACTGCTTGCGACAACTTCTTCCCATGATAGAGTTGAAGAGGGACTTTCTGCAGGGGTGGATTTGGTTGAGCCATCTGTGATAATTCCTGTGGTAAATGGACTGTCCGCAAAGTTTGTCAAGCTTGGCTTGGCTTCAACTTTCTCGCCGGGTGCGCCGAAAGAGCTTGCTGAGCGGGTCAATTCGGTTAGTTCGAATTTCACAGCGCGTGGGTGAAGAGGCTTGACTGGGATAGCCGTGTCGGTTGGATCAAGCGTAGTCTTGGAATTGTGAAAGACTTCCTTCTCTGGCTCCGGATCTTCGGCCTTGATACCAGATTGATCCTCTTCTTCGAGCTCGTCGAGTGGGCGTTTCTTGGGAACGATATTAGCTTGTGTATATTTGTAGAAATCTACATCTCTCACCTGGGCACTTACCACGCGCACCATTCCTCCTAGTCTGAGGCGTCTTTTCACTTTGGGAGGGCTCTCATCGTAACTCTTCGGCTCTTCATTTGCAGTAACACCGGACTGACTATGTTCATGATCAATGGGGATGTTCGTGATGTGAGTTCCTGGGTTGGGCGTGTTCAGAGGCAGAAAGCTGCGGCCAACGTTCGATAGATCTCCCGGGAGAATGTAAAACGGACTTCTGTGATTTTTTTTTCGATTATGATCAGCTGTATGTAACAAGGGGAAGCTTCGGGGGACATTTACTCGATCTGCGAGCCTTGACGGTGATTTCTGGAAGCAGTCCGCGCATTCTCGAAGAGGATGAGGTTGGGATTAGTGAAAGATGTATCACTTGGTGCACGGCTACCGTTAGTGGGAACCCTTTTGGCTCCCCCGGACTGTCTACAAGATTTTGGAGTAAAGTCATGGCTTGGGCTGTCTCGCGAGAGATCGGGGGCCGAGTTTGTCGATTCCATAGCGGGCTGCGGCATTCCCTTGGCCTTTGGAGGTAGGTGGATGGGTGGACCGAGGTAATCGAATAAAAGCTGGTCGAGTTCGTCACTCGAATCAACTTCAGAGAGTGGCACTTCGAATCGCATGCTGATTGATAGTAGATTGGAGAATGGGGGGTGAAAGAAGGAGATGAGAGATGAGGTTGGAGGAAGTTGAAGTAGACGGGGTACCCTTCAAATGGGCAGACAAACAACAAAACCGAGAGCCGCTGAACTTTAAATCATTCTTTCTCAAATGGGTTCGAAGGTTTTCAGATTCAATTTAGATAAATGAACCTTGGAAGTTGCCTGGTTTCATCGGTACCTAGGTACGGCGCTCTATAGCGGCAACCTGCTCAATAGTATTAACCGCATTCAAACTGATATTTCGGGGCCTAGACTGTCATAGCTATTAGGCGCTATATTTAAGTCATCAATTAGGCTCTTTGAAGGCTGATTGTACTACTAGACTGTATCATTGTCTATTTTTTACCGGCCCTGGGGCTCTATAGCTGAAGGCGGCCACTGGGATGGCCTATCTACGTCAGTAGTGCTGAGATTTTTCAGTGTCATCTACAGTATTATTCAAATTGAAGCTGTGCGTTGTACTTGCATTTCTCCGTGGGTAGTTTGGAGTAGATATGTAAATCCAGAAGAGAGTAAAGTCACAAACCGGTGGAATTTCCATGAAGCACCCGCCAAATATCAAATCATCAGCACCAATAAATCATCGAATTAAGTCCTCTTTCGCCCTAGATCACCCCCAATACATAACGATGGCTGCAGGTGGCATGCCGGCCAAGTTAATCTGGACCGGTGGGAGTGGGTTGGGAGTCTAAATCAGGCTTTGCGGATGAGGCATGGCCGGGTTCTGGTCGAAGGCAACGAAAGAGTTTCCCATGGTTCCGACAGCTGCGTATTAGTTCGCAGTAGAGTTGGATGTGTCGGCATAAGGTATTCCAGAGATGAAGTCATCCTGGAAATTGATCAATACCCCCGCCGAACAATCCAACATCACACCATCCATATGGAAAATGTATGAGCCAGCATAAAAAGGAATATCGACGCATTTCGGGCAACTCCATTCATTCAATAACTCAACGGGAATATTCCCAACTGGCAAAGAGTTTATCCCCGAGATCCTTTCCGTTGCAATCTTCTTCTGGTCAGATTTCGAATAGATCATTGCTTTTGCTGTCGTTCGCGCGTGAGCTTGTCCAACAACATATGCATCATGCTCGGCGAGTCTGTCATACTTCGTGACACTTTCTTTGTTCAATAAGGCACGTCTGCTCGACCAATCCCTCCATCATCTGCTCATATTCCGGGTTTAATTGGTTGATACTGTAAACAGACAGCGCTAGCGCGGTCTTCGAAGCGAATGTAAACACAAGAAACACATACCGTAAGGAGACCGAAGCAAAAAGGTTTTGATGTTAGTAGCCTCTTTAAATAGTGATTCTGGTAAAAGCAATTTGGGAGTGAAGGGGACTTAGGCGAAAGATGCGATGCTTTGGTACGCGGAACAAACTTTAAGTAAACAGCAACCGCAAGGCCACTGCCTGGGCAAGCGCCACCTGCAACACTGAGAAATTACACATCGAATACCAGGTTGAGCTTTATATCATATAATAATGTTTCTTGGCTTCCTCGGAAGCACTAAGAAATTATCCATATCGGAGCAAATCCAAGTATGGTAGGGTGATTATTAATGTCCTTGAAAACTAATTTCCGACCTTATTTCGCCAGACTGACGAGCGAGAAATTTTATAAGTTTGATAAATTACATAGGCATATGTGAGCATCAGCCGAGTATAATAAATTGCCTGAGCGTAAACAGGAAACGAAAGAAGTATCATGCAGTAACTATCTTCCCATCCCTTTTATACCATCCGGTCAAGCGGTCAACAAAGTCTCGGCACACTCAGAGACTCGGGATACAACCATCCACATTCTTATGGAGTCAAAAGGTCAGAATTTATATATCGAAAGCGCCTCAGTCACAGTGCCTGTGCATAACAGAGTAAAGGCTCACCTTGGCTCTACTTGGAAGTCCTCCAAGTTCTGGAGAAGCGAAAACAGGATCATAAGCGGGATGAACCATGACAGAATTCAGCGTAGATATTCCATTCCAGTGCATCCATATATTTATCTTCGTATTCCTTCGCTGGAATCTCAATTGACCGGTTCTCCAGCTCGAGAAGGTCAATTCGGGTGGCTTTGCTCGAGTTGATCTCCTTGGTATTTTCAACTCGAATGTTTTCTCGCTCCATCTTGAGTGTGGCATTTTCGGCGAGAAGAATTTCCTTTTCTTTCTCGATGGTGGCATTCTTTGTCCGCAAATTCTCCCTCTCGCGTTCCAGTTCTGTGCTCCTCTCCTGCAAAGCCAGCCAATTGAGTGAGAGGTCAGTGACCTTTGTAGACAATCTGCTCTGCTCCTTTTCCAGTTCGGCGATCTGGATTCTCAGTCCTTCCACTTCTTGCTTGTGTTGAGTGTTTGACTGAGCCACCGCGGCCGTGAGCAATGCGGATTTCTGTTCGAGGACTGTTTTCCCTTGCCGACAGCGTTCGAGGTCTCCTTGGGTAATCGCTAGACTTGCCGTAAGTCTTGCGTTCTTCGCCGCTTCCTCGTTGATAGTCTGCTTGCGTTTCGATAAAACAGATTCGAGATGCTTCTTTTCTCGCACCAGGTGGTCATGTCTACCGTCGTCTTCGTAGTAATATCCTTCGTGGTAATCGTCTTCATAGTAATCGTCTTCGTAGTAAGAGTTCAGCTCCCATTCGAGATTGGCGATTCGGTTATTCTGGTTGACGACCGTCCGCTGAAGTCTTTGGAACCTGTGTTTTTCTCTTATTAGCTCGGTGACGTTGGTGGGAACTTCGCACTGGGGTCGTCATTTACTGAGGGTCATTGGTCACGTTCAGAAGGGCGTTCTGTCTCACAAGTGCCATGGTGAGGTTTGAATGAAAGGTAAACAAGCAATTGCGCTGGTGAACAGATTGAAGTAAACGTAGAGTTGGGGTGAGAGATCGTCGAGTTGAAAAACAAAAGCAGACTGAGGTTGGAGGGAGAAGAAGTGAGGGTGGGAAGGGAAGGGAAGGTAAGGAATGGGAAGTGCGGGAGTGAAGGAAGGAAGAAAGGAAGGAACGATCCTTTGCGGCGGCTTTATAGCAGCAACACTCAGTTACAGTACTCGCACTAGTCAAAGAAGTACTTGGAGTATTACCTCAGATGTCCATGCGGTTCTCAAATATTTCCTGGTGTATATCCGAGTACACTTCCTGGTGGCTTCTATGGTTCTGGGTATCAAATTTGCTTTACAGTAGGTACAATCGGGCCCTGGTTGACTAGGACTAGTATCGAGCCGGTTGCTGCTATAAAACCTCCCAGAGCGGATACCTGCTGTAGGAATATGATTTACTTCGAGGAGATATAAGAATAGAGTCATACATTGCACCACATTCACCTAGCCTCCGCATGTCATCAAGTCGGTGGTCAACAAAGCCCTAGCGTCACAAGATGTACGAGACACAGTCATGCATGTCCTGGGTGAGTCAAAGAATCAGAGCCTCTGCATCGCAGTCGCCGCCGCGCCAGCTAGCATGGCCGGAGGAAGACTTGAGCTCGTCAAAGCATCGGCTTTTCCGGTAGGGTTGAACGAATCTTCGACAAAATCAGGTATCGGCAAGTCGAATTCGCTGTCAGGAAGCCGCTCGACTTTGATATTGTTCCACGTGTTCTCCAGGTCCAAAAGGTCAGTCGGAATGTTTTCGAACTTGAGAACAGGGCTGGCGATCTCGACTCGACGTGTGTCTTGCTCAGACTTCAGTTCAACAATCTGGGCTCGAAGCTCTCATTGTTGCTTGTGAGATTTGCCACCTCGTCCTTGAGTTCAATTTCCCGCCGATATGATTTATCCAGAGCAGATTGGTGACGAAGGGTTTCTGCCTTCATTTTTTTCTCCGTGTCGCTTTTCAAGGGTGTCTCGCGCCTCTTGGGGACTCTTAGCTTTGGTAGCACGCTCGAGCATAACTCCCTCTCGCATTTTGGCCAACTCGGAATTCAAACTAGCATTCTCACAGCCCAGCTCTACGACTCTGTCGTAATTCCGGGTGTTCTCCTTTCTTTCGTTTTCACGAATCTTGCGCTCGATGCTCAGGTTTCCTGCAAGTTCTTGGGTTTTCTTCCGCTCGGCGTTCAGTTTTCCTTCAAGTGTCTTGATTTTCTGCACCCATTCGTTGAGGTTTTGCTGCAAGTTGTTTGCCCTGTGGTATTTCTCCTGTTAGAATCGTCAAGTGGGTGGGAATTCAGACTGGCTTTTGTCTCTTACTGAGAGGGGGCTTTGCCGCCGAAGCCACTGCTTTTGGAGCCAGAGCCGGTGCTGCTCTTAGCGTTCTTGGGAGATGCCATAGCGAGGCTGGATGGTGTACACGAACGGCGGAGAATCAATAAAGTGAGCACAGAATGTATCCGATGAAATCAGTTGAGGAAATGAAATGACTGATTTGAACATGAGAGGAGGGGTGATTACGGGAAAGGAAGTACAGAAGGGAGAGGCGCCGCTATGGAAGGCACCCATCTTCACCAATAATAGTATTAGTATTACTAGCACTGCTAGGAGGAGGAGAAGGAAGAGATGGGGAGCCTTGGAAGTTAGGCTATCTATGGAGAAACTTGAGAGACAGCACACGGTTTACCAATCACTTCATGCAGAAGAATACATCTCAGAAGGCCCCAAAACAACTTGAACCCGACTTGTAACTATACATAACCAACTTCCTATACACCCGCAAGCCCCGAGAACAACAAACGTCCAGCATCACTTCGTAGCAGCATCCACTTTTTTCTTCACCTCCAGCAACTGCTCTTCCATTAACCCACAGAATTTCTCAAGTCCCTTGAAAACCGGCGTGACTGCTGCAGCCGATATCATGTCCTCCTGGGGCTGCGACTTTTCCTTCAATGCAGCGAGCTCAGCGCGAAGTGTATCTCGTTCATCCTTCAAGTCGGCATTCTCTTCATAGACAATGGCATAGGAATCTCTCAGTTGGCGCTCCGTCTCGATTATGATTCCGTGGGGTGTGGATGTGAGTTTCATCTGCATTGTCGATATGAATAGCACGCGGAGGATCCATTCGGTCTCGAAGTCAAGCCTTGAGAGGCTGAGCCCTTGTTTGGTCAGGGTCTCTGCGAACGTTTGGGCTGCTTTGAGCCAGTTATCGCATCCGACGGCGAGTTTGGTGGTTCTAGGAGGTTTTTGGTTAGTTTTTGGTTCATGCGAAATGCACAGTCAGGCTCAGTGTCGGGTTAATTTGCTCACAGAGTCATATATGCGTCTGAAAGGTCAACTGCGGTCGCCATGGTGGTTTTTGTGGAAGGCAGGATGTTGGAATTGTAGCAGTGTAGCAGCGAAGATGATTTAACGAAGAGAGCTGCAGAGGTCTAGGTAGGCATGGATGAGCCCTGGAGTGGAAACGGCGACACCACTGTGGGAGAAAGAAGGGCCATCTCAAGCGTGCGGTAGTCCGTCCCTTGGTAAAGACAAGTATCTACTAGTGCCAACTAAATATAAATACTTCCTGGCCCCGATTATAGACATTCTAAGGCTATTGAACAAGAAAATACTAGAAATCTCTGTCCAACTCTATATAAGGAACTAGTATTTTAGTGAAGCTCCCACTAATGGAGTGCCGTAGTACGCCCAGATGCTCATGTTGTCTGCCTGGTCTCGGCTCTCCTCTCCTCTCTCCTTCTTCTTCTCCCTCAGGGTTCTCCTCTCCTCTCTCTTTCTTTCTCACGCTTTCCTCGTATAACTCTGCATACTCTACCTTTCTTTCGCTTTTTCCCACCATTGCTTATATGTCCGAACCATTCATCCGCAAACATGGCAGACTTGACCGATAAGGATTCAACCTTCGAGGCAACACCCTTTTAAAATCGGTGTCAAGCGTGCCAACTCCTTTGAAGAATTCTTCTGGTAGGACCTCAGATATCGCTCATGGAACCATCAATATTACACTGACTTTGATACAGGAAAAAAGCTCCTTTCCAATTTACAGCGGAAGCGAAAGGCCGAAAGCTCCATCAAGGCAAGACTTACTGTAGTCAGCGCTGAAGCATCCCGAATTGACACTGGAGCAAGTTTGTATTGCGAAGTGAGCAAGAAGAGTTTTGAGCTGTCTCGCGCAAAGGTATCTCAAACCCCCAGGTCAAAGGAAAATCGGGAACTAAAAATACCCAGCACGTAACCCGGGCGAATACCGGCCGGAAGGATGACAACGACTTTGACTCTGAGTCGCACGAGATATCCGAGCTTGTCGAAGCTAGATCTCGCCTTGAAGGGTTTCGAGTGGACCTGCAGGATTTCCTTGCTGAATGCAGTGATATCTATGGCACACTGCCTGGTTCATACCAGTAGAAGCACTGGGTCGATGGCAACTATGAAGTGCCGTAGGCATACATGGCTTTAACATGATTGAAATCATAGTCGGTTGTGTTGAACAACCAGAATATGGATTGAACTATTCCATAAGACCTCGCAGGAATTAAAAACGAATGAAAAAGCAAACACCCCTCCCCCCCCTCCTTTTGGTCCACCCGATATGAATCTGAAAGAAAACCATCCCTTGGAACCCTCCCCCAAAACGATCTTTAGATCCAGCAACGATAATCATGCCTCCTTCTGGGCATTGTCGAGCCACGCATCCTCCTGTGACTCCCATAAAAAATTGTTAGCACTTGAACGGCCGCAAATGAAATAAATGGTATCGCAAAAGGATTCGGAGGGATCATACCATCACGATCTGTGTCTCCTGTTGCATCTTGGAAGCATCATAGGCGAGGTAATTCAAGTCCGAGTAAATAGAGTCTCGCTTTTTCTCAAGGTCTTCTCGCTTCTCTCAAGGGCGGCTTCCTCTTGTCGAGTTTGAGTGATCTTGTCTTGAATACTTCTCAAGCATGAAGAGACCTCCGCAGCGGAGGGACCATGCACTACTAGATATCCTAATTCTATGTGGTCTATGACCATGTCAGGTGTTTGAGTCTCCTCATATTGGGGGATTTCCATCGCAGCGAGCCTCTGTGAGAAAAGCCTGTCAGTCCCCACTGGTAGGCTTTTGCGCATTTCTTTGATTTGGTTCTATATGATTTTAATTATCAGGTTCTGCGTCTCTTTCAATTTGGTTTTGGAACATATACTGACTCGAAACAGGATCCCAGCTCTTGAATTCCTTCCACTGCCTGGCCCTTTGGGCCATACTGATACTGGGAGACTGGAGTCTCTGAGGCGAACCAGTTGATTTCACTGGTAGCTGGGGTTTCCATCTTTGTGTCGAGATAATCAGATCAAACGGAAAAGATCGAGTAATGATGGCGGTGAGGTTGAGAAGTGAAAGAGAGAAGTGGAAGCTTGAAGTTAAGACGAGTGAAGTTTAGGTCAGAGAGTACCGAGAAGGAAAGTGTGCTCAAGAGTTGAAGAGATGAATAGAGGTGAAGAGGTGAATATTGGAAAAGGTACGACAGACTTCGCAGACTACTAGTAGGAGCAGACAGTTGTGGAAATTCTTCCCAGGTGAATATTGCTCAGATGCCAGGGGAGAGCGGTCCCGGGGGACCGTGGACAAGGACAGCTCTGGAGCCAGACGGCCAAACCTTCGCCGGGATCTCAGCTTAAATCTTTAACATCATACTAGTAACCTTAGAAACTTGAAGGGACTCGGAGGGACTCACTAATAGCACTGGAGTGCCGTGGCCCTTATGTCATCCTGCTCACACTCCGGAACCTCGGAGTCGAAACCTTGAAATACAAAAGTTCAACCTTCAACCCTCGGAAGTTTCGATAGTGTTGCATAGTATCCTACTACTACTACTACTACTACTACTACTACTACTACTACTACTACTAATCCCAAGAACCCATAGATAGAGACACCAATATATATTCAACTATACAGCCAACTCCTCTAAAACGCCTATACAAAAGACGTGGCTAACAAGATCGAGATCAAGATCCAACAGGTGCGAAACCATAACGGCAAAGGATGAATTCAAGCTAGATAGGCAACTTTCAAATTCAACCCCCGTGGGCGGCATGTGATCATCGAGAGAGAAAACGGAAAGCATCATCGAGAAAAGAGAAAGAGAAACCACACGCTTCATGCATGAACACTGGCACAATCTTACAATTCATCACCATGCTTCATAGTTCCGTTCCCATTACCGGGAAGAGGAAGAGGACCGCCAACTACGGGTTCCTTCGAAATAAATCCGCCCTTGTGAATGCGCATACCGAAGTTGATCAGTACGACAGCGACGAGACCAACGGAGATAATGGTCGGTCCCCACTTCTCGTAATACACGCGCTTGACGTCGCGGCGTTTCCGGATCTTGTCCACGCGCCAGATATACAGGAAGAGACTGTAGATCAGAGCGCCAGCGGCCAGGATGGTAAATGCCCACGAGGAAGCCAGGGCGACGTAGTCGGCGCCAAAGTTGAGGAGCGTCGCGGCGATACCGCCGAGGATGATGGAGAATTCGAGCCAGGAGAGGAATGTGCGCTCGGCGGCGAAGTAGACCTTTGGCTCGACGCGGACGGGGACGAAGATTCGCTTGCCGGGGGGTGCTTGGAAGCGTTTGAGGGTCCGTTGAGTACCCTGGAGGACAGCGATGCCGCGCTGTTCGGGTGGGGGCAATGGGGTGGCGCGGGGTCGGGGGATGATGGCAAGTAGGCCCTGGGTGAGGAGACGGCCGGTCTTCTGGAGGTAGTATTTTGACAGCTGTTTGGCGTAGTATGTGCCGCCGACGCGTCGGGCTTCTTCGAGCTCGTCAGAGTAGACGGATTCGTCGTCTGAGTCGTAGAGCGGGTAGTCCTCGTCGCCGGGGAGAGGCTGTGCAGCGATACGTTCTTCGATGTCAAGCTCGTTGCCGTTTGTCTCTGTGAAGAGGCGGCTATCATCGCCAATGTGATGGGCGAACCCGTTCTCCGGACCTTGGGCGGATTGTGGTGAATCTTCGTCGTCTGAGTCGTCCTCGTCATTGGCGGACAGTGATGTGCTGGCCAGCGGCCGTTGGATACCGTAGTGTCGAGTGACGGGCTTGCGAATGTCGACATCCATTTGCGGGTACCAGAAGGGAAGCAGGTTGATGCGGGTAGGGAAAAGGGTGGCAGTTCCGTGAATGAACTTGCTGAACTTCGGCACTGCTTCAACCAAGTGACTCGCGGTCAACTCACGAATCCATTGAGGGGGGTTCCTGGCCAGCCTGGGTCTGCAGCTTCACCTCCAGCACAGCGTAAGGGAAGCGATCGATATCCTCCGGGGGCAGTTGTGAGAATGGGAAGTCCACACCGATATCCATGCGGCGCCAGTTGGTGCCGGCCCGCCGGCGACCATCCAGGTTGTCCTCTCGAATCATGGTGAGCTCCGTATCAAGAGAAATACGGACACGGGCATCTCCCGGAAGTTGGAAGGCCGTTCGGTGGTAGAAAGTGCGAGTGACAGGAACCAGACGGCGGGTGATGACTCGGTATTGGATCTCCCGGGCCAGCTGCTCGAGATCGGCGATCTCCTCTGGGCTCTTCTTGCCTTCCTTGCGCATCTTGTCGAATGCCTGTTCCACGGTCATACGGCCCTCCAAGAACGCATTTACATTCTTCTCCTTCAGGGAGAAACGGGCCTTGACAGATTTTTCTCCTGTCCAGTCCTCGCGATGGGTCTTGCGCTCCAGGAAGATCTGGTCGCTCTCCATTTCCTCCGTACCAACGGAGACGGATGGCCTCGGCACCCTCGGTCTTCTTAAGGCGACCTTGGTACAGCTCCCATGTATCGGTGTTGTCATAATAAATGGACGAAATCGCAGTATCCTTCTCCTCGAACTCCTTGTTGGCATTGAAGACCAGGACCGGCAGGTGCTTCAGGACGACCAGCTTCAGCTCGGTGATGTTATCCGGGTGAACCCAGTATTTGGTTGTTTGACGAACAAAGTTCTGCTGGCTTCCACCAGCGGACGAATCGCCTTTGACTGGGTTACCTTTGGTACGGACAAGGTCATACAGCTTGGAGAGATTGATAACGAAGGCATCGTAGTTGTCCTTGAAGAACGGCTTGGCATTGAGACGAGCAGCAAAGACCGGCTTAAGGTACCATTGCGTTTGTTTCTATTTCTCGGCGGTTAGCTTATCGTTGATAGGTTTTCGGAGCTCCATTGTAAGTCCTCCGAGTGAACATTGTAACATACATCGTGCTTCTTAATAATCTTCTGGAATCCGGTGTAGTTCAGCTGTGTGAATTTGGCGAGATCGTGGACGTCGGCAATGATATCACTGAGAATCTCCTCCAGCTGCAAGAAGTCCTCGTCGTCGGGCGGGGGCATGCGAACGCTCTCCCGGCGATTACCAGCACCAGTGGAGCGCTCGAGGCGAGACACGACATCGCTGACTTCAAGTTCGCTGGCCTGAATGCGCTGGACGATCTCCTCACTCTTGCGCTTCTGGAATGTAAAGACCTTCTCCAATTCGCTCTCGAGCAAAGTGACGAAGGCCTTCTCGTCATCTTCGGTCCATTCGCGGCGAGGGGGGTTTGGGGTTTTCGGGGTGGGTGGAGTGATGTAATCAGTCTTGAGGCTCTTCTTCAGCTCGTCGTAGGCGATGTAGAAGGGGTGATAGTCCTGGATCATGGACGAGCGGAGGTGTTCGCCGAACCTGAAGGCATTGGGGAAAGGGCGTCAGTACTATGCGGGGAAGCATTCCTCGCAACGAGGGGAATCGATCGAGAGGGCGAAAGCTCAAGCAGGAATGCAGGAACTCACCTCATGTTGGGCGGTTGAATTTAGACCGGGACAAGCAGAAAAGGTCAATTGCTCATGTCGGAGGAAAGAGGCGAAAAAAAGAGCAGGATGCAGAGCGAGGCTTGGGATGCTTTATCGCGCGCCCGAGAACGGCTAGGCTGGTGGCGGGTCCGATCCGGGTCCAGTGCAACAACGGATACCGTGGAAGAGTGGAACTGTCGAAGGGATTGAACGTATGGTAAGGGGGATGTCCGTAGAGTTTACCGGTAAAGCGTAGAAAGTTGAGGGAGATATGGAGCTCTTTCGAGTTTCATTGTGCAACCAGAAGGAGGCTTGCAGCGAGTGGCAGGGAATAGCAGGAACTAGCAGTGTGCATCTGTCGAGGGGGGGATTGTGATTGGTTCTGGCCCAACTGTAAATGTGGATCCTGGTAAGCTACATGCTGACTCATCTATCCCCCACTGACGTTGATTGCCAGTCACAACGGCACGTGCTACGCTTGTTCTCAACGGTGGAGTCCGTCTAGATTTAGTCGATTTAGTGACCATATTAGCCTGTTGGCGATAGTGGATGGGAGTGTTACTGTGTGTATACTTTCGTGTACTCGTGGTATTCTGTGACCCCGCTCACAAGGTTTGTGTAACCAGCATGTGATGACCCAATCCAGCCCTCCTTACTCCCGTTGATATTGCTTCTTTTCAGTATCCCAGACTGCCAGTGGTATTTTATCATTTATATCACTTGTATGTTAGGTGTAGTATGTAATAGGTTTACAGTATCTATGCTAATTCAAGATGCTATGCACAGTGGATAACCAGTATCTACTCCGTACTCCGTACAGCCTACACTCAATCCAACTGCTACATCCGGGAAAGCTTGAATGTCGGCTCGCCACCCTACCACTCCCGAGCCGTCTCGCTAGCCCTAGTGCGAATTCCGAAATGCATCTCGAAACATATGCCGGCCGGGGAGGAGACCCTAACGGAAAGAAATGAGAAATTATTGGCGTGATAACTGTATCGGATTATTCAATGTTTTTACATTATGCAGCCAAATAACGAGTGGCGTCGTCGATCCTTCCCACTGCGGAAGGACCTCACGCGACCACCGCATAGCTCAGGATGTACTCTTTAGAAACATGCAGCGACATCCCCAATAAACGCCGAATTACTTGCAAGAAAACCGGGTTGGTTCGGAACAATTCCGAACACTGAGAGAGGACAAGCAGGAAAGGAAATAGAAAAATAGAACATAAAGGGGAGGAACAAAGGAGGAAGAAGAAGAAGAGAAAACAAATATGCTACCCGGTCGATCATTTCATCGTAGATCTCACTCAGATCATCGCGGCATCCTCTAGGACAACCCCATGGCCGCCCGGCGAATACTCCGGCGAGGGCCTTCTCCAGAGACGTGCACTGCACCCTCTTGCTCCAGCGATCGCACCGCGTCGCCAAACTGGTGGTGGTCGATAGGCGCGTCGCTCTGTTCACCCATGTCGCGGAACAAGTCAGTCCAGCGAACGGCTGCACCACCAACGCCACCGCGGTCGTCCAACCGAGCGAGAACTGCCTTCTTGAGATCCTCGCGCATGCGTCGCTCGCTAGCACTGGTACCCTCCGTGAGGAGACCCATATCGATCAGGCCTGTGCGCGCATCCGTCGCGGCTTGTTTGATGGCCGAGCGAATCAGTCGCACGGCTTCCTCGACATCGCCCGCCGTCACCTCGGGGGAGAGGCGCATACGGGCGTGGGCTTCGGACAGACGGATCATCGACTCCAGTTGACGTGTCGTGGCCGTGATGCGGCGCTCCGTGGCCCGAATGTCATCACCCAGCTGGCGCATGGCAACGTAGGCTTCGGTGAGGGCGGCACCCGCGGCGGGAGTCAGAACGGGGTGGACTTGGGTCTTCGCGTAGGTGATGTAGGCTGTCAGGAACTCAATTGGCAGGATCTCCTGCGAGCTGGCGTTGTCGGGGGTATCTTCGAGATACATGTTAACCAAGTGCTTTGCCATGCGGCGATCCTCGGTTTCATCGACGCGGTCGAGAACCAGGTAGACCAGGTCAAAACGGGAGAGCAGGGTTGGGGGGGGAGGTCGATGTTCTGAGGCACGGGGAGACGGGGGTTGTAGCGACTGCCGATTGGGTTGGCGGAGGCCAGGATGGATGTGCGAGCGTTGAGAGTGGTGATGATACCGGCCTTGGCGATGGACACAGTCTGTTGTTCCATAACTTCGTGGAGGACGGAGCGGGTGGCTTCGTTCATCTTGTCGAACTCGTCAATGCAGCAAGTACCGCCATCGGACAGAACTAAAGCACCAGACTCGAGAACCATCTGCTTGGTTTCGGGATCGCGAGTCACGTAGGCAGTCAGACCGACTGCTGAAGATCCCTTACCACTGGTATACACACCACGGGGGGCGATCTTGTGAACGTAGCGCAGCAGTTGCGACTTAGCGGTAGATGGGTCACCGCAGAGGAGAATGTTGATGTCTCCACGGTACCTGGGGTTACCACCCTTCTGGAAAGTCTTGTTGGTACCGCCGAACATTTGCAGCAGAATACCCTTCTTCACATCGTCCATCTCATAGATACTCGGTGCGAGCGAGCGAGAAAGTAGTTCGTAGATATCAGGGCGCGAGGCAGTGCGCTTGATCTTGTCCTCCTCTTCCGCGGAGATTTTGCGGGTCTGGTCAGCTTCAGCTGCCTGCTCGGACATTTCCTGCTCAACTGTGGACACGTCAATACCCATCTTCTTCTTGTCAACCTTCTGCACATGCAGAACATCGACATAGGTCTTGAAAAGAGCCTTCTGAGAACGCTGGCGAGCGCTCACTCGCATAGGGTTGCAACGGAAGATACCAGTCACCTCGACGCGGTCACCAGCCTTGCAGATGTCGACCAGTTCATCGTAGACGCAAAGAGATACCGAGTGAGGTGTCTGACCGTCGGGGACGTTGTCAGGGGTCTCCTGCAGCTTAATGACTTGTTTGTCAGAAAATGAGCAACGGTTGTGGATGAGCTGCATGGAATTCTTCTCCTTGCACGAATCGCGGGGGCAGATAGTAGGCTCGGCGATGCGGCCACGGTCAATGTCAACCTGAACACCATAGCTGCAGACGTGGCAGCGGAAAAAGGCTTCCTTCATATCCGGAATGATAGGGGTGGTACGGATGACGAGACCCTTGATGCTAACCAATTTATCCATATCTATCACGATGTCAGTATTTCTCGGAAATGAGCGCAGATCCATATTAACATACCAGCTGGGTCGAGATCTCTCATGTTCACAGTCTGGTCGAGTCCGAATGGAAGCACCTTGTATGCCATAGCCTCGACTTCACCCACGAGGTCAGGTACTTCCGCAGTGGGAGCATCCGATGTAAGAATAGACTGGCCACGACGATCACGAGATGGGATGCCACGCTGGTTTTCAGAACGCAGAACATCCATTTCCTTCAGAGCCAAGTCCACCATCACATCCTTCACAGTCTGATCCATCAACGGAATAATTTCCTGGGGGTAGGCAAGCAATTGGTGCCACAACTTCTGGGTCAGGGGGTATGACTTCAGGTTGCGGGCATCCAGGTTGAAAGTTGTCATACCAAGTCGGCGCATATCGTTAAGCATGGTAATATATTCGCGCTTCTCAGCGGCATCTCCAAGGAATCGAGTCTCGTCCTCCGAGGCTCCGTCCGCCCACAAACGGTACTTGGTAGCGAAGTTGTAGAGGAAGTTCTTGAAAGCGGACATGGAGTCTTGGATCGAAATGTTGGTACCCCAAATAACACGCGAGGAGTTACCAGCCATCGCCTCGGCCTCGGAGGTTCCAGGGTTGATGTTCGAGAAAGTGGCATCCGAACGGGCCACATTATCGCCAGAGGGCATGCCATTGGCGTCAACAAAAAGTCTGGCTCGGCGGGCGGGAGTCGATCCAAACACGCCCGAGTGGAGGTCGCTACGACGGGGTCCTGTACCACGACCTTGGCGGCTTGGGGAGACAAACAAGCCACTGCTTATACTGTTGGCATCTGAGCGAATGTCGGAACGAATATCATTGCGGGCGAACCCCCGAGTCGGGGAGGAGCTGGGGATATAATTGATAGGGGAGGAATCTGGACGTGTCAGTTTAAGCGATATTGGGGATCGACCGTGGCGAGATGGTCGGATTTTTTTTTTCTTTCCGCATACCTCTGATTCCTCCATTGTTGGCTCGTGGTGTCCTGTCGCCATCATCGACTGTCGAACTAGCCTCGGCCATGCGAACATCGGGGGTCTCGGCATCTCTGTTTGACCTGGTAGGTGATGATTGGAAGAACATTGGGGATGATGATGGGACAGCTCGTTCGGCAGCAAGGCGTCGGGCGGCGCGGGGGGGTAGTTTGTTGTTGACTGGGGCTGCTAGGAGGCTCGCGAGCGGATGAGGCAGGCGATGCGGTCGCCTTCTTTGCGGAGCGACCCCTCCGGTTAGCCGGTGAAGACATGATGAATGTGTATGACTTCGGATGGGATGGGGGGGTTGGATGGGTGGTGGTGGGTGAAGATGGGGCGGACTTGGGCTTGGAGAAAGGGAGGAACACAGGACTTTTTCCTGGAACGCGCTGCGACGCGCTCACGCGTTAAGTGCTTCCTCTTTCGGCGAGCGTGTCTTGTGGAGGTCATGTGACATAGAAAGTGCGTGGGCAAAGCTGTGACCCGCGCAGGAGCGGAGTACAGTGAGGACGTGGCGTTATACAATATCCACGCACTATATTGGTTGGAACCTTGAAGATGAAGAAATCCCAAGCACCTGTGGGCATACTACCTAGGTATACTATATCATGATGACGGTCTCGAACAGAATTCATGTTTCAATCTACTGCTACTAGTAGTGGTACTAGTAGTAGTGGTATACGGAGCTTCAAGTTCAAGTTGAACTTTCCAACCTTGGAAGGTTACTCAAAGCTGCCTGATATATATTATCTTCCAGCTCCACTGCGCATGTACAACATCAACAACTTGAAAAAGTTGAAATTCAAGTTAAAATTGAACTTTGGGCCATTAAGACTGAAATAATTCACGTTCCCATGGATATTACCATCAACTTGAACCATCCGAATAGTCAAGACGATACTAGTCGTTAGTGTTAGTACCCCGTAGTTCTAACCAAGATATGTGGCAGTGTGGCCCTTGTAGAGTGTGGCTGGTTCCCGAAGGACACCGCCACCCCCGAACCTTGAACCAGCCAATCAGCCAATCAGCCGCGCCTTCCCCTTTCCGGCGTGTTTACCCTTTAAGTGCTGAGGGTCCCACAAGGCAGGTGCTACCTTCAGGAGAATCTTCGGTCTTCCAAGGTTGAGAAGGTCGCAGTGAATGGTTTGAATACTCCGTAAGTCCACTTCATCCCTAAGCGATGCACCAAGTGGGAACTTGGGAATTTGGGTGCCTTCACAACCTGATTTGCTGATCGGCCCTGACGAAAAGAATCAAGCCAACGCTACTGCAATCTCTCTGAAGCCGCCGGGATCTGCTTGGCTGTTTCACCAGGCGCCTGATGTCATCCCACATCCGATCGGCGCATCCACGATTCCTCCAATCATCCCTGCCCTCGCTTTGCCAGGAAAACCTGGCAGCTTGCTATCAGTCCCTTTGGGCGCCAGCTCAAACACAATCACCACCAGCCACTGCAGTCATTGTGTCACGGACAAAGACCGCGCTTCTGAACCATAGGGCCACTCCACCGCCGATCACCCCCCTCCACCGTTCATCCATTGGCGCCTTTGTTTTCCATGCTCTTTTCTTGCCTCTGCTCCCTTCACTCTTCTTTCCTTCCCGAAGACCATGCTTAACCCCCCCCGAATCTCCGCAAAATACGACTTGATCTGGGTGACACCTGCTAAGGAGTACGTCAGATGCGCCTGGGGACAACCTGAGAATATCCCCTCTCGCGGTCTTTTTTTTTTTTCTTCCTTTTTACCCCAGCATCGAGTTCACCGCCGATCATCATGACCCTGGCCTCCGAGTTTGAACAGGCTCTGGAGCATACGGGTGGCCATGGCAAAACGGCCTCTGGGGTCTCGATCCAGACATTCCTGGCCTCGCTGGCGACGGCCATGGTTGTCTTTGCGGTCGAGGTCGTATGCTTCATGCTGCTGAAAGGGAAATTGACCCGCATTTAGTATGTGTGACCAGTGAAGAAATTATGGAACCATTCGACTAATCCTCTCCTGCACAGCCAACCTCGTACCTATCTAGTCCCTGATCGTGAACGAACAGCACCATCGCCGCCAGGCCTCTTCCGCTGGATTGGCCCGGTGTTTCGAACCTCCAGCAGCGAATTCATTCAGAAATGTGGACTTGATGCCTACTTCTTCCTCCGATATCTACGAATGCTCATAAAAATATTCTTCCCTCTCGGAGTTTTGATTCTACCGGTACTGCTTCCTCTCAACCGTGTCGGTGGAAAGGGCACGACTTCCATGAATGGCACCGAGAATGGCAACCACTGGGATCAGACTGGTCTGGACCAACTGGCCTGGGGTAATGTGAAACCAGAGCACACCAATCGATATTGGGCCCATCTGGTCATGGCCGTCATCGTGGTTTTCTACGTTTGCGCAGTCTTCTTCGACGAGCTTCGTGGGTATATTCGCATGCGACAGGCCTATATGACCTCCCCACAGCACCGACTACGTGCCTCAGCAACCACCGTTCTGGTGACTGCTATCCCACCAAGCTGGCTGACTCTCGAATCTCTGGATAATCTGTTCGATGTTTTCCCAGGCGGTGTTCGAAATATCTGGATTAACCGGAACTTCGACGACTTGAATGAGAAAGTGAAGGAACGGAATGAACTTGCCTTGAAACTTGAAGGGGGAGAAACAGATCTCATTGTAAAATGCAAAAAGGCCGCTCTCAAACAAGCCAAGGCCGAGGCCAAACGCGCTGGCAAGAGCAAATCCGAGGTGGTGGATCGCGAGAAGGAAGCCACAGACCAACGCGCATCCCAAATGGCCATGGGTCCTGGTGTCAGTTCTGGTAATCCTCACCAAGCTCACACACTGCGTGAAATTTTGCACCGACGACCAGAAGGTGCAGAGGGCCATTCGAGAAACGAGTCGGAAGGAAGTACACGAGCTGGTGGCGTCTTCAACCCTGCCTTTGCAGCAGCAGGGGCTGTTGGGTTAGGTGTTGAGAAGCTGGGAAAGTCTGTCCTCGGCGGTTTCAAGAAAGTTGAGAATGGCCTAGATAGTAAATTAAGTCGGACTGGGGGCTTTGTAGCCGCTGACGATGATACGGGAGCGGGGGAAAGAAATGTGTCCCCAATCAACGAGGATGACTCTCCAACCGATCAGGTCATGGCCGGGCCCATGCACTCCATCCCTGTCCCACGAACCCCCGATGATCAGACAGCGCAAGCGACAATTCCCGAACGAACAGCACCGTCGAAGCGACCCTCCTGGAAATCACGAGTCTCCTCCCATCGATCCAAAAGCTCTGCGCCCGAGCCTGATGAATACCCGCTTACAGCCCCGGATACGCCCGTCGAAGATTCGCATCGGCGCGGGTCTGCAAAAACCAAAGGCAGCAAAGACAAAACGCGCAAGAGCCTCAAGGAGGGGGAGAAAGTTGAGGGTGAAGAATATCCAATTGCTTATAACGAGGACTTTGATAACGAGGACTATGGAGAACCAGTCTGGCAAAAGTACATTCGAGCAAAGGACCGAGACACCATGCGTCTTCCCATCTTCGGGTGGAAGTGGATGCCATCGCTCTGGTTGATTGGTAAGAAGGTCGACACAATTGATTACTGTCGAAAGGAACTGGCTCGTTTGAATCTGGAGATCGAAGTCGATCAGCAGAACCCGGAGCGATTTCCGTTGATGAACTCGGCATTCATTCAATTCAATCATCAAGTCGCTGCCCATATGGCCTGTCAAGCGGTTGCCCACCACGTGCCCAAACAGATGGCACCCCGTGTCGTGGAGATTTCTCCCGACGATGTTATCTGGGACAACATGTCTATCAAGTGGTGGGAACGATATCTGCGCACATTCGGAATCGTTATTCTGGTGTGTGCCATGGTTGTTGGCTGGGCCCTTCCCGTTGCCTTTACCGGTCTCCTCTCACAACTGTCATATCTCAAGAACACATTCTCATGGTTAGCGTGGCTGAGCAAACTCCCAGACTGGTTCATTTCTGCCATCCAGGGTATTCTCCCTGCCGTCTTTTTGGCTATTCTCATGGCACTCCTGCCCTTAATTCTTCGATTCCTTAGTCGTACTCAGGGTCTCCACACGGGCATGGCTATTGAGCTGACTGTACAAAACTATTTCTTCGCATTCTTGTTTGTGCAGCTGTTTTTGGTTGTCACCATCGCCTCCAGTTTTTCCACGATTCTCGAAAATATCACCAACGTGACCAGCTGGCCTGAGCTTTTGGCCCAAAACATTCCCAAGTCTAGCAACTACTTTTTCTCCTACATGATTCTTCAAGCGATGTCCGTGAGTGCCGGTGCGCTGGTCCAAATCTTCGGTTTGATCAGCTGGTTCATCCTCGCTCCTATCCTGGACTCCACTGCTAGAAAGAAGTGGGCTCGAACGACGAACTTGAATCAAATGCAATGGGGTACATTTTTCCCGGTTTATACCACATTGGCATCTATCGGTAAGTCAACTAGCTATATGAAAGCCTATATGGCTGACTGACTTTCATTATAGGACTGATTTATTGCGTTGTTGCCCCTCTTATTTTGGTTTTCAACATTCTCACCTTTAGCCTTTTCTGGTTCGTCTACCGCTATAATACTTTGTATGTCACAAAGTTCCGCTTCGATACCGGTGGTCTTCTTTTCCCTCGCGCCATCAATCAACTTTTCACCGGCCTTTACGTCATGGAGGTGTGTCTGATTGGATTGTTCTTTCTCGTCCGAGACGAGAAGGGCGAGGTTGCTTGCGAAGGCCAGGCCATTTGTATGATTATCATCCTCGTCTTGACTGCCGGATACCAAATTCTTCTCAATGAGGCGTTCGGTCCTCTCCTTCGATATCTTCCTATCACGCTAGAAGATGCAGCGATTAAGCGTGATGAGGAGTTCGAGCGTGCCCAGCATGCCCGCCTGGGCTTGACTGTCGATGATGACGACGAGGGGGACAACGACGAGGACAACGATGGCAAAAGTCTAGAGCGCCATCTATCCGAGCATGAACGCCAAGAACGTCACCAGGGTCAGAATGAGAAGGGTATTGAACTAAAGAGCCTTGATACCGACCCAGAAGGTCGAACAAATAAATTCGCCGGAGGCCTACTGTCCACACCAAAGATCGGCAAAAAGCGGCCATCATGGGCCGACCGCTCCCCAAAGGCCAATAGGAGGTCTAAATACTTTGGTGTCAATTCAGCCACCGCAAGTCCGACTATCAAGAACCTCCGAGAGAAGATGGCAGAGGATGCCGAGGCACAGGGACCGGAAGCGAACAAGATGGGCCAGGCTCTGTTCGCCGGTATTCACGACGAATTGGAAGATCTCACCCCGGATGAACGTGATCAGCTAGTACAACGCGCTTTCCAACACGAGGCTCTCCGTGCTAAAAGGCCCGTGATTTGGATTCCTCGTGATGACATCGGTGTCAGCAATGACGAGGTCTACCGGACACAACGATTCAGCAAACATATCTGGATCAGCAATGAATACCAAGCACTTGATGGGAAGTGCCGGGCAATATTCAGTCGAAGTCCGCCCGACTTTTCAGAGGTTGACTTGATCCAGTTGTAATTTATTGCATTCCATGAGCGTTTATTTTACTTGGGAGGACTTGTTTTTTTCTTCTTCTTTTCTTCCTGCATAGCATATTTTGAGCGTCACATACTTTGTCTCATAAAAACAATCATTTCCCTGGTGGGAATCTATACCATGGCCACATTGGGCTGTCCTTTTAAATCTCTCGTAACTCGTAGATCAACATCCTTCTAAGCACATATCCTCAATCCATAAATCGACACAGCGGCAGACGGTAGTTGTCCACAACCCAGTAAGCTCGCTTCACACCCTTCCACTCATCATCCAACTTAGGGACAGGAATATCCTCCCAATCAACATCAAACCCAGCCTCAAACAAATCCATCTCAGAAACCTTCTGATAAACATCATAAGAGATCTGCCGATCCGCCCCCATCCCATTAAAGAACCCCCACTTACCCCCATCCTGCTCAAGCAACCCAATAACCTCCTCGGTAAAGAACTCACGGAAATCCGAATAAGACTCGGCAAAGGTATCATAGTAGATCGCATCAAAGGTGACACCTTCACCCACAAGTGCGGGCAGAATATCCTGCCACCTTCCCTCGTGAATAGTGACACCAGGCTTAGAGTCCCAACCACGCTTCTTCATCTCAGCAACAACATCCGCATGCGCCTCAACAATATGGTGCTCGGCAGGCTCCCGCTCCTGGAAAAACCCATCCACAATCCCCATCCCGTGCCCGATATTAAGAACCTTCAACCCAGGCCGCGGCAGCAGCGCCACGGCAGATTTCTTCATAATCTCACTCTCCCACTCCATCATCACGCCGTTCTTATCCGAGTCCAGAATCCGGTCCTGCTGGATATCCAGGCTCGAGTCGAGGTATCGCGCATTCGTGACGCCGGGATTGGCCTCGGCGGCCTCGAGGGTCTCGGCTTCGGCGGTTGCGAGGATCGTCGCGGCTTGGTCGGCGGATACTTCGACTAATTGGGGCGCGGCCTCGCCTTCGCCTTCGGCTTGTGCGCCGCTTTCTTTCACGTCGTCTTCTTCGTCGTCTTCGTCTTCGGAGAGCTCTTCGTACCCGCCTAGTAGGTTTAGCAGCATTTCTGCGCGCACGCCTGCGTCAAGGATGAGTTCATAGAGCTCTGTTGCGCCGATGCGTCGTGCGAGACAGCCGGGTGTTTCGTCATTGTTGTCTAGGTCGTTCCAGATGGCGCCTTCTTGGAGCAGGAGCTTGACGGTGTCGATGCCGGACTTGAGGGTCTCAGGGTCGATTGGTGCGCCGTTGGTTTCGGAGTCGGGTTCGCAGGCGGCGATTGCGGAGTGGAGGGGCGTGAAGCCTGTTTCTGGGTCTTTGACGTTTGCGGCGTCGGGGAGGGAGGATTGTGTGCGGACGAGACGGCGGAGTTTGGCGAGGTCGTGTTGGGAGGAGGCGAGGAGGATCTCTTGGATGTCTAGGTCGACGTCGATTTGGCCGAAGGTTATCTCGGGTCCTGCGTCGGTCATTTTGGTGGTGGGGTTCTGGGAGGAGGGGTTAGTTTTCGCGGGAAAGAGAACTTGGATGCGATAATAGGGTGTCAATTCTATTCTTTGGATGTGAATACTCACCGAGGGATCCTCGGATTGGTTATATTTAATCCTTGGGTGTGTATGGGACTGAATATCAAAAAGTGGCGGGCGATTAAAAAAAGTTGGTGGAGACCCGCTCGCCGCCTTCGTCCCCGCGTCAGGCTCGGAATTGCATGCATGAAAATATCCATGTATATCGCTACAGCTTGGGGACTGGGAGTGTTGCAGCTTGGAACGATACAAGAATCATGTATACTAGTACCTAATTCAAACTTGAAAAAATGATGAGAGAAGAATCAAATGGAAGAGAAGAGACCGCGTCCCGATGCTCTGATAAAGCTATTTGTACATGATTTGACGATTTGACCACTCCGGCGCCCAATTAATGTGATTTATTTGTTCTCGTCGTTCCCCGAGTTGACGTTCAGACCGAGACCCTCGTTATCCAGATAAAGCTTGTTCTTGCCGCCATTCTCCTGGATGATCTGGGCGATTTGGCGGGCGTTCTCGATCTTGCGCAGCTCAATATAACTCTTGCTCTTCTTGATGGCGTCACCAATCAGCTCGGCAGAGCGGGCCTCACCCTGGGCGCGGACAATGAAGGCCTGCTTCTCTTGGCGGGCCTTGTCGACCAGGAAGGCGGCACGCTGGGCGTCCTGCTGGGCCACTTGCTTGGCCTCAACAGCGGCGGTGAATTCGGGGGAGAAGGTCAGGTGCTGCAGAGCGCATACCGATTAGCTAGATTTCATCTCAAAATCAAGGGTGCAGGGAATATCATACAGTCAGAGAGACATCGTCAAGAGCGATGTTGAAGCGGGCGGCACGACGAGCCAAGTTCTCGCGGACGAGGCGGGCGACGTTCTCACGTTGCGTAATCAGCTGGCTAGCGTTGAACTGAGCGACGACGCTCTTCAGAACCTCGTTGACAATTGAGGGAAGCACACGCTCGTCAAAGTCTTGACCGAGAGTACGGTAAATCTGGGGCAGAGCATCCACACGGGGTCTGGACAGAACACGGCAGGTGATGTTGACCATCTGCAAATCCTTGGTGCCGGTCAAGGAGGCAATGTTGCGTGGTTTCGCGCGGACGTCGTAGATGATGGGGGTCTCGAGCCAGGGAATCTGAATGTGGGTTCCTGTGATAATACCGAGATGTTAGACCAGCTTCGTCGTGCTTGCTTTCCGGGGAATCGTCTTACCTTCGGCGTAGATCTCCTTGCGCACACCACTTACTCGCGAGTACTTGATAGCACGGTGACCACCGTCAACTGTAAATCTGTTCAGTAGTTGAATCGATCGAGCATCGCATAGATTGCATACCGTTGAACAGAGAGTTGGAAGCTGCCCAGGTACCGACACCAAGCAGGATGAGAGTACCGGCCAGACCAAAGCTGCCACGACCACCACCTCCAGGGAAACCGCCCTTGCGCTTTTGCAACATGAGCTGCACGCGCTCCCAAGCCTCTCGTTGATTCTGAGACATGATGTGTGAGTGTGAATAGAGACGGGGTGTTGGTTGAGTGGATGCGTCCGGGAAGGTTGCAGAGCAAAGGTCAGCAGTAGGCGGTCAGATATAAAGTCCGGCAGAATCAACCTTCACTGAGAGCTGGGCGATCCTCGTCCATCTTTCGTCAAGCACTTAACCTTGTCGCCATCAACTAACAAACATGGCGCCAGACCGCAGTGGAAAGAGTGTGTTCCTGGGGAACATTCCCTACAGTAGGTCCACGTACAGGGATCCGGGATGTTTGCTGCCTATGCTAACCCAATTTACTTCCAGACCTTACCGAGGAGCAAGTCAAAGACATCCTCAGCACAGCCGGGACTGTTACAAAGTTTCGCCTCATGATGAACCCAGAGACCGGCAAACCAAAGGGATATGGATTTGCCGACTTCGCCGACGCCGACGCTGCAGCTTCAGCCGTGCGAAATCTGAACGACTATGAGATTATGGGCCGCAAGATTCGGGTTGACTGGCCGCACAACAATGAAAAGGACTCAGTACCTACAGACTATCCGGAGGATTCGCAACCCATGACCCAAGACCCATCGCAACAGATGCAACAAATCCCCGGATCTGTACCCCTCCCTCCTCTTCCGCCTGGTATTGAACTTCCACCCCATGTCGACACCCCAACTGCCATTGGCCATACTCTTGCATCTCTCCATCCAAGCGCGCTCCTCGAAGTTCTCAGCCAAATGAAGTCTCTAGCTGTGGCCGATCCGGCCCGCGCAACAGAGCTCTTGCGCCAAGCTCCCCAACTCGCATACGCGATCTTCCAGGCCATGCTGCTTATGAATCTCGTGGAATATCAACTCCTGGGATCGATCGTCGAACAGGCTTCACAACCTGCGCCGCCTACTCAGTCCTTGCCCCAGTACCAAGGATACGGCGCCATGCCTGGCCAAGTTGGTACCCCCCCCTGTGGCTGGCGGACCTTTCGCCCCGCCTCCACCACAGCAACAAGCTGCTCCCCAGATCCCCAACCAAGAGGAACTTCTGCAGCAGGTTCTTAGCATGCCACAGTCTGCAATTGATGCCCTCCCTGCGAACGAGAGGAGCCAAATCATGATCCTGCGCCAACAGTTGATGCAGGGCGGTATGCGCTAGTCGCAACCAAGCTTCGACAATAGCAGCGCGAGGAGGCACAATCGAAATATAATCACCAACTACCCGAAAAACCTTCAGAACCCTCAAAGGTGGAAGCTTTAGGCCATGTATCCATGAATACATGGCCGTTCTGAAAACACCCTTCATTTCCCGCTACTCAATCCCTCCACCGAACGTGACCCCGAAAGGGCTGTCTCGCCTCCTCAACGCCTCCATCATAAGAGTTGTCTTCTCATTCGAATGACGTCTGGACCTATCTTGCTTTTTTCCTCTCTCGATAACTTTTGCCACGGCGAATGGCGGCGCAACTGGAGTTGTTTCTTTCGATCATCACATTCTGCATATCAGCTATTTTACTGGCCAGATATATTACAATATGACATCAACAATTTAAATGTTTACTCTAATGATCATTCCCTTTATGAACGTCTTCCTGATTATTCTGCGGCGTCCCATGTTCGCCGTTTGAAATGCTAAAGTTCGGAAACAGTTGTTTGTGATTCACAATGCGTAGTCCTAACAGACTTCATTAAACATAATCACGGTAAGTCTGTGAATGCATGATGATTTAGCGAATTTGTTCTCAAAAAGACAATGAATCAATGCACTCTCATGTGAAAATTTTCGTGATTCTGGCTTTCTAGATCAAAGCTCCCCAATAAATTAGTGTGAAGGAAGAAGATACTTTGTGATAAAAGCAAAGCAGATACCTAGGTGTTGAAGAACAAGAAAAGGTCTTGCGATTAATCAAAAGCTGACCATAAACGGCAGGAATACAATATTTACGATGCCTTACAGCCTTTCTGCATGCTGTTGTAAGAGAACAGGGCGTCACGACACATACCATAATAACGACCACACACTTCTCCCGCGTGGGGCATTCACTGCCACGCCCCATTCTGCCACTTCCCCTCCTTCCACCCGCATCTGAATTTTGCCCACGCTCACCGAGATACCACGTGATCAGCAGTGCCCTCAAAGGCATTTATTCCAGGTATGACCAACATCAGAGAAATGAAACCCATATGAGACAGAAAAAGATGATCAGATCGAGCGTCCAGCTCCTTTGGTCTCCAATGGAGGAACTTGAGAGTCTCGAGTTCTTCCAATCTGTCTTCAGAGCAAAAGAGTTGGATCTCATCGCTAATGGTACTATACTAGATCTCGAGAATTTGCAAAGAAGGAAATACACAGAGTCTCTTGCTAGATTTCCTAGCCATCGAACTCAAACCTAAAATGGCCCAGCGAAGAGGAATTAAGTCTCCGGAGGAACTGAGAGGGTCATCCACTTCGGACAAAAAATACTTTGACTACGATCGGCCTCCCCTGTTTCGCCTCGAGGACATCTTCGTAGACTTGACTGGAAATGCATTGTCGGCAGATCTTGGCAAGGCCTTGAGATTCCTGAAGGATCGGCCCTTGCGTGTTGCAACCGTGTGTTCGGGCACCGAGAGCCCACTGCTGGCCATGAACATGGTCAAGAAAGGCGAGTATCAAAATATCCCTCAAAACATTGTTCCATGCCTTGGATATATACAAAGTTCTGACCGTGCTAGCTGCAGCCCTCGAGTCACTTCAACCCGGCTTGGCTCTAGAATTCGAGCATGTCTTCAGTTGTGAGATTGTTCCGTACCGACAAGCATACATTGAACGAACCTGCCGTCCTCCACTCCTCTTCCGGGATGTCCAAGATCTAAATGGGAATCGGGCGTATGTTCTCTAAAGCTTTAAATTGATCTTGCGAAGATTTATAACAAATTATAGGCACACGGCCTATGGAGTACTTGCGGACGTACCCGGCAACATTGATCTTCTGATCGCTGGTACATCATGCGTGGACCTCTCGGTTCTGAACAGCAAGCCACAGCCACTTGCCCAAAACGGCAGAGGCGAGTCGTCCCAAACATTCTTTGGCCTCTTAGGCTACGTGAAATCCCACAAACCTTCGGTTTTGATTCTGGAGAATGTGAAAGCCGACAAGGTCAATTGGGAGACTATGGTGGCCCACTACAATGATGCCGGTTATGCAACAGAGATCATCGATGTTGACACGAAGAACTTCTACCTGCCACAAACACGCCAGCGGAGATACATGGTTTGCATCCGAGGAGAGAATGGACCCAAGAAGAAGATTCAACAGAGTTTGATCCAGGTCAAGGCCATGGTCAACAGTCTGCAGCGACCAGCAAGTTGCCCGGCCGGATTCTTTTTGCTTGACGAGAACAGCAAACAGATGAACCAAATCGTCAACGATCGCGATATTGTGATGAAAAAGAACCGTATGGTCACATGGACCGAAGCGCAAAAGTTGCACCGAACACAGCGTGAGGTGTTCAATCTTGGCCAGCAAAAGCCAATCAGCCAGCCTGGATCAAAAGCGGATGCCTTGAAAGGACCCGAATTCTACATGCACAAGTGGTTCAATCCACGAACTGAACGGGAAAAAGATCTTCTCGACATCATATATCTGAAAGGATTGAAAGGGAAGGATGACAGCGCGTTTGACATCAACTACAAGGAAAGATGGATCGATATCTCCCAAGCTGTGGATCGAGCAAAAACGGCGACTAAAGGATTCGGTAATGTGGGATGTGTAACACCGAAAGGCATTCATTTCTGTTCTTCCCGCGGCGGTCCACTTACAGGACAAGAGGCGCTTGCAATGCAAGGACTGCCGCTTTCGCGAATGATTTTCACTCGGGAGACACAAGACGAGCTCCAGCAGCTGGCTGGAAATGCAATGACTTCAACTGTTGTATGCGCAGTCGTGCTGGCGACGCTCACCCATGGCTTTAAATTTTTGATCCAGGGGCCAATTGCCGACCATCGAGAGAGCGAGAAGGCGAATGCCCTCGATTTTGAGGCAGAGCTCCAAAAGGCAAAATTTGAAGGCGAGGATTTGTCTTCCGATAGAGTTGCAGAGCCCATGGAACAGATCCGTAATCTGTGCAATGATATCGAAAGGCTCCAGAAATGGGCAAGTGACAGTTCACGATACTGCTATTGTGAAAAGCAATCCGAGACCCAGTCGAAAATCTTCATGTGCACTCTTTGTGGACACACGGCATGCGACTCCTGCAACAGAGATCCCCCTCATGGCCCAACGAGAATGGCCTCGATACAGCGCCTTGAACCACTCGAATTCATCAAGAACTTGCGGATAGATCTGCCGATGAGATTGAGCTTCGAGGGGCTTGATGGAAACATGTTTGATCAACTTCTCGAACCAACCCTAAATGAGCACGACAGTATTGACGTCAAAGTCGAAGACAGCGGAGAAGAAACCAGGAAAGTAATCTCCGGCAGAAAGACAAAAAGTGGCAAGGTTATCAGCAAAAGGTCAAACAAAAAGAAAGCCACCATCGGAAAGACTGCCGGCAGGAAGACTAGAAAGAAAAGCCCCGCATCCAGGAATACCACTGCCAGTGGAAGTGGCGCCGGATATTCCACCGTCCAGAATGCTTCTAGTACCGGAAGTAACAACATGATCCTCAGTTCCGATGATTGCCAAAGATACAGAAGTGTGATTGAAGCTGCTGTCGCAGACATCGTTCACTTTGTTGAAATTAAGCGCGCGGAAGCCTGGACGGTCTTTTACGAGGGGTCCCAATAGCACGCTGCAGCTAGTAATCGGCAGGAAGTCGATCCAGTGGCTTTTCTTCGCCAAGCCTCCGCCTGATTATCCTGCTCGATGCTTGCTCCGAGAAATATTTGCGAAGCCAATTGCCAAAATGACGCCAAGCTCAACGCTTCTAGAAGGTCGGTGGAAAATCAGCGAGCCAATCAGTACCCAATTGTCAGTCAATATCCGGGGCATAAACAGCGGGCAGAGCCACCAGATTCCAGCATATCCTGCTCGGTGTGGAATCTCCCACGAATCCATTGCGAAAAAGAAGGTTTGGAAAAGGATGTCGGTAGAACTGGGCAACAATGGGAATCTGGAGTGTGATCTCAATGGCAACTACGAACTATTGCCCAACTGCGGCACGGCCTTTGGCTGTCTTTACAAGAAGGAAGAGACCGAGGCGAGAGCAGATGGAGACGAGGATAGATCTATCTTCCTCTTCTTTGACCCCCAGAAATGCAGCGACGTTCGGCATGATTCCTTTGTATTTTCATTCGAGCATGATCGCATTGCTGGATATGCGCCTCGCGTTACAATCGCCGAATTATCTCATGAGTGGAGATCGGAGCATGTCACCAAGGCCAGCAAACCCGTCGACCTTTTCTATCGATCATGGCAAGCTGAGACAAGGGTTAAGCTAATCAAAGTGGCGGAGTCCGAAATCCAATGTCAACCGCTGATCCCCCTGCCGACTGTGAGCTTTGGTGGTGAAACCAGCCATGTTTACAACCGCCTACTGGTTGCTAGTGGTCCCGCGACAATTCTAGACCTTCCTCATCAGCATTATGCAGCCTGGAAACATCATGACATTGAAAGGTTCCCTGATATGGTGAAGGAAATCGCCTGGGCCTTTGAAAGAGTCTCGCTGCAGATGGGGCTTGAGGGGTGGCAAGATGTCGAAGTCGATGGCCATATTGAAGAAAAACTCACAACAATCTGCGAAGTTTGCCATCCTCAAATCCCAGATCCTGGAAACAATCAAGAAGCCATTGCATACGAGCGTTTCGTGAAGACAAAGTGGCCAAAGTGGATTGTTCGAACTTGTGATCTCCATGATGACAAACGGACACTCCAATTCGCACTCAACATTCGGGCCATGGCTCACACTGCCTGCCAAAACATGCTTGACCTGCTGAAAGGGAGGATTCCCCAGATCAGCTGGCGGCTCGAGTCAAACCACTTCGATGTGGGCAGGAAGTATCATGGGAAGTTTCGGCTCAAGGATACTAACGAGGTCTCTCCTCGAATGGGTCTACCAGCCTTTCTTCGCGAGGAGCAACAGAGATCGTTAGATTGGATGATTGGCCAAGAAAAGTCCGATATTGAACCATTCATCGAGATGGAAGTGGATGAAGCCCCATTGCCCGCGTTGGCCTGGCGTGCTGAAGTCAAAGTTACCACCGAGTCCGTTATTCGAGGCGGTCTCTGCGCTGATGAAGTCGGGTTCGGCAAGACAGCGCTCATGCTTGCCTTGATATACAGTCAGTGGGGAAATGGCTGGAATGAGAATATTCCTGCAGAGGCTGGGCTGGAAAAACACGAAGGAACTATCATTATCGCCCCATCGAACATTATCGAGCAGTGGTTAGAAGAGACCGACAAATTTCTCACGAAGGGCTATCGGAAGAGCAATCTCGTTGATATCAAAAGCGTTGCTGATTTCAAAAGGCTCGAGAATCAAGCGAGGGAAGATAATCGGATTGAACGGGCCAGGATTGTTCTTGTGAATGTCAATATGCTGCACGAGTGTGTCCACGCTTTGAAAAAATACAAGTGGGCTCGACTTGTCATCGACGAGTACCATCTTCTCTGGGATAAGAAGAAACTTTCCCCAGTTGAACCTATACTTTCTTTGAATGCCTACTCGAAATGGATTTTGTCAGGAACCCCTCCGCTTGAGGACTTTGCCGATGTCAAGACAATCGCGACGCTTCTTGGGGCACACCTGGGCATTGACAACGACGGTGACCTCAAATCAACCAACAAGCGATTGGCTGGTAACCGGAGACAGTATTCCGACTTGCAAAAGCTTGAGATATTTGATCAAGCTCGCAGCGAGACCTGGTACAAGAACCGACGCAGTCATGCCCAAGAGTTTCTCAATCGGTTTGCGCGCCAGAACCACACCGAACAGAAAATCCCATGCGATATCTACTATGATGGATTCCATCAATCTGAGGATGAACAACATGTGTATCTGCTCCTAGAAAGACACCTGAGAGAGCATGGCAATCTCAATATCCGCGAGAAAAGCAAACTGGTTGGACCCGGTCTACGAAGTTGCTTGAACGAGCTCATCTCCAGTTCAGGGGCATACGAGCATTCGCTTTTGCTTTGCTCTCTCTCAGCCACGTACACAAGCTCGCCTTACAGGATTGAGATCTGCGACGACAGAATCAAAGAGCTGAATGCAAGATTGAAGAGCAATTGGCAGAAATTGCAGTCGAAGTGCGCGAGCATGATGACAAAGTACGACGGACGTTTCAATGAATTTTCCAAGTTGCTGAAGGAGAAATTGCTAGATAAAGATGGATTCCACGGGTTTGGAGACCCTGATATCCCAATCCACGTGGCTGGAATCCTTGGAAGTCTGCTGAAGAAAACCCACCAGCTCGAATGTGCAAGCACTCTCATGGCGATGGACGAGGATGGGGAAGAGCTGGAGGAGAATACAGGCAGTGAAGAGAATGAACGAATCGGTCATGCAGACGAGGAAAAAGAGGGATTAAACATGGAAGAACAAGAAAAACGCTCGGAAGATGATGAGGGAGACTATGAGCCAGAACTAATTGAGGATGATCCGGAAGAAGATGAGGAGAACGAAGAAGACTCTGAAGAAGATTTCCACGACGACGAGCAGAATGTTTCTCATATGGACTTTCCGGCGCAAGTCATCGATCAAGTCGTGCGTCGCTTTGAGCATTTGGCCAAGATCAACCAAGATCTCCGATTCTGGAACGCAGCCAAACGGCTACACCCAGATACAGGTAATAAAGACAAGGAAACCTGCTCATCTTGCTTGAAAAAGATTGCCAAACCAGCAATCACCATCTTGCGACCATGTGGACATACGTTTTGTAAGAAGTGCTTGGGTGAAATCCAAGATGAATCATGCCGGGTAGATCGATGCTCGGGGAGGACAGCACTATCCGACCAGTTTCGACAGGAGGACTTCGGCAAAGACAATAACGACGAAAAAGCCATATCGAAGCATAGTTCGAAGCTGCAAGAGCTCATTCGAATCATCAAGGAAACCCCCCCGGATGATCAGGTGTTGGTGTTCTGTCAATACCGACCCATGTTCAAGATGATCGAAAGCTCGTTCGAGAACGCAGGAATAGGGTGTATTTGTCCAGAGCAAGACAAAGTTGACACAGCGATTGAGCAATTCAAAAAGAAACAGGGTCAAGAAAGGAACTCTAGACCCAAAAAAGTTCTCATTTTGCATCTTGGGGGTGAGGACATGGCCGGGCAGTAAGTGAAGACTTCCAAGGGCAGGATCTGAAAGAAAAGTCACACCGGAACTGAAGTTGAACTAACCTATTCCTACTACTTTCTAGAAATCTTCAGTGCGCGAACCATGTTATTTTTGTCAATCCACGCCTGGCGGAATCCCACGACCAGTGGAAAGACGATATGGAACAAGCTATCGGTCGTGTCCGTCGTCCCGGGCAGCCGAAGCAAGTCTACGTCCATCACTTGATTGCAGAAAAAACGGCAGATGTAACTGCAATCGAGAAGTGGGAAGGACACGTCGTGCGCCGACGGGACCCCATCATCGCGCCAGTGAAGAGGGATAGGGACGAATGGTTGGGAGGAACGAATGAGCGGCGTCTCCGCCGAAAAATCGAATAAGAAAACATGGCCAAGGCCCTGCTGTACCGTACGGCGGAGCAATGGTTATCTGGAGAGCGCATGGGACAATACAAAGGACCTGGATTCTACCATAGCGATGGTTAGGTGTGCATAATGAGGATTTTGTTGATGATGTGATGTGTGGTTGCCATACTGAAAGCGGAGAGAGGTTTCAAGAAGCCGGAAGTAATGGTAAGTACAAAGTATGTTGTGAAATGAATCGAATGAAATTATGCTGTCGCTTTCGGTTTCCTAATAGCCGTGATCTCATTTAACAATAGCCTTGGCTTACCCTTGAAACCCTTACAGACAAGCCTCAAAGGAATATTCCACGGGAAAAATAAACAACTAAAGAGATTGAACTGCATTGATGCCTATAGTGACTCAACAGATCTGCTCTCAAAAAGCAGGAGCCACGTACTGTACATGGTAAAAGAACAAAGGGGCGCTTAACAGGAAACCCGACTTGTCTTCTATCCTTTTCGCTCCGCATCGAAAGCGCCGGGCCCGACCAAAGTAGAAGCCCTCATTATGAGAAAAAAAAAGAAACTCATTCCGTTAGGGAAATAAAAAACAAAGAACAGTGGGATGTTGCTTGGATGACTCCTCTATTGCTGCGGTTGCTCGTCCAGGGCGTTGTCCTTGCGCATCATAGTCTCCGGGTTCCAGACGGGCTCGATCAGGTTGGTCAGGCCAGCGCTGTTCTCGCAGGTGTCGCGGCCGGTCAGAGGGCCGGGGGCTGGGACCTTTGTGCCGGTGGTAGTGGCAGCTTCCTTGAGCGCGGTCAGGAGGGTCTTGATGGACTCGGGGGTCAGATCCTCGTAGTAGTCGTCGTTAATCTGGACCATGGGGGCGTTGACGCAAGCGCCGAGGCACTCGACCTCGATGTAGGTGAAGAGGCCGTCCTTGGTGGTGTGGCCGGGGGTGATGCCGAGGTGCTCGTTGATGGCCTTGACAATGGCGTCACTGCCGCAGCCGCCGAGTTGGCAAGGGGTCTGTGGGAAAGCCAATCATTAGACTCTGGTGACCGGAAGTGACGGGGAGGTAGATGTGAGATATCCGGGACTTACGGTTGTGCAGATCTGCAAGAAGTACTTGCCGACGGGGTCGCGGTTGTACATGGTGTAGAAAGTGGCGACCTCGTAGACACGCATGGGGGGGCATCTCGAGCATGCGGGCAACCTCGTTCATGACGCTGATGCTAGTGAAGCCGTGTTGACGCTGGCCGAGATCCAGAAGGGGCATGACGGCGCCCTTCTTGTACTGGGGAGGGTAGCGCTTGAGGATCTCATCGACAAGCTTGAGGTTCTGGTCGGAAAACTTGAAGGGGATGGAAGGGTTGTTGGTCGGCTTGTTGCGGTGCTATTCAATTGAATTGAGATTAGTCGATTGGCCTTCTTGGGATCATTCCCGAAGGGGGTCTGGTGTTGTCCATGCTGGCCAGAACGGAGGGGTTTCGAAATATCACGTACGATCATCAAGACATCACTGGACCGTTGGGGAGCGGCGGAGAAGGATCTGTATGGGGTGGGAAGAGGGAATCGGCGCAGGGCGCGAGTGGCGCGCGAAACGGGGAAGAGTTTCGAGGCCATTGTGGGAGAGGATTGGGGGTTAAAGGGAGTAGAGTGACGGAGTGAAGATGGAAGAAGAAGCGGATGAAGTTGGAGTTGGGCTTTGCGGGTGACTGACCAATCAGCGTCGACAGATTACTTCCACCTTGACCCTCCACTCTTTCGGCCTTCCAACACTCTTGACATCTCGCTCTCTACATCTACCAAGTACTTCACAATGCTATTACATTGACACTAACTACCTGCACTCCTTCAATTACACATTCTCCATTCGATACACCTCATATGCCACCTCTTCATACGGGTGCGCATTGACAAGCGCGTCCACCGCACTAAGCATCACCTCACGACCCAAACACATCACCTCGATCCGAGCCTCCTCACACTTCTCCACGACGCCCACTGCTCCAATCGTCGGATTCGCACCATCGTTGGGAAGGAACTGGCCCGTGCCGATGGTCTGGAAGCAGCATTTGGTGTATTTTCCGCCGGGGAATGAACCCGCGCCTGTCGCGAAGATGGCCTCTTTGCAGGTCTCCGCGTTCTCGTTTGGTACGAAGAAAACGAGCTTGTAGCGATCCGCAAGAGTACCCGAGTCCTTTCTGGTCTCACCAGAGTGGAGCGTAGATGTAGACATCCTTCGGTCGGACAACGCGGCAAGCCTTATGCTATGCACTAAAGATGTACTAGTAGACGTAGCACCGGATCGACTAGGGGGAATGTGAGCTTTGCGCAATGAATATGAGGCCTGGTGGGCGAGCTGATGTCGACTGGGAGCTCTGGCGATAGACCAAGTTGAGAGGAGAAGTCGGGACATGCGGGGTGGTCCAACTTGCCTGGTCGGTTGCAGGGATTCTGGTTGTTGTCTTGATTAAGCTTGCTGACCTATAGTTAGTTAAGTTCTGACTGCCAGATTATTAAGGCGCCAACATGAAACTTGGTTAACCAGACACTTTTGCTAAGAATATAGTGGGAAAAAATAATGGTATCATGGGTACTCATTGTATTCACAATCGAGATCCCTCCTTCTCGAATCTATAGGTTGAAAATATGGAATAAGGGTAGTATATACGCAAAATGTTGAATCACCGGGTATCAGATATGTCAATCACCAACACAATCATATCACATAGCTCGACGCAGTTAGACTTCCATGACCATGTGCTGCTTCACATAGCTCTCAATCTTCTCCAGCAGCTCCGCCTTACGCGAATCCTCAATCCAACTCTGCTGCACGCTGTTCTCCGCAATAATCCGCCACTCCAGAACCGACAACTGATGAGCCTCCTGCACCGCGCAGTAATTATCCAGGATATACCCGCCAAAGTAAGCAGGGTCATCACTGTTAATCGAGAACTTCACGCCAGCCTCCAAGAAGCGACGGATAGGAACTTGTTCCACCGATGAAACGCAGCGCAGCCGCACATTCGACAGCGGACACACGGTCAACAAAGTGCCCTGCTTCACAACACGCTTCATCAATTCCGGATCCTCGACCAGTCGAATTCCATGGTCAATACGGGTAGCTCCGAGCTCCAGCGCCGTGCTGATATAGGTCGGGTCACCTTCTTCACCGGCATGCGCAGTGAGCGGAATGCCCCTCTGCGCGGCGTCGGCATATTGGGCCCGGAACATGTCCTTGGGCGGACCAAGCTCAGTAGAAGACCACCCAAGGCCATGCACAACGCCTGCTTCAAAGTGACCGCTGGAAATGAACTTCTCGTAGACATCTGCGGCAGAGGAAACGGGCAGGTGGCGCACGAAGCAAAGGATCAACCGCGTGCTGAGGCCTAGTTCGCTCTCGGCGCGCTTGCAGCCCTGGGAGAATCCGTTGACAACGGTCTCGTAGGGGATACCCCGGTCAATGTGGACCTGGGGGGTCGAAGAAGACTTCAGCGTGGTGGACGCCGTCGGCGTGGGCTTTGCTGAAATACCACCAGGCGAGATCAGCGAAGTCGGCTTCGTTCATCAGAACGGCCATTCCTTGGAAGTAGAAGGCGAGGAAGTCGTCCAGAGAGCTGAAGTGGTCATATCGGGCTGTTAGGGCCGCAATAGAGCTGTAGGCTGGGTTTGTTGCTGGGTCTGGGAGAGTGATGTTGTTGCGCTCAGCCAGGGTGAAGATCAACTCTGGTGACATGCACCCTTCCAAGTGAACGTGGTGTTCACATTTAGGAAGGCCATGGAGGAAATCGTGAAGCGGAGATTTGCACATTGTGAAATATGAGGTAGATTGAGAGGTGTGAGAGAGGAAGGCCTGGTGAAGGTTTGGATTTGAACTTGTAGTACGTGGACTTATGGCGCGGGTGGGTTTGCCTATTTGGTCCGCCGCCGAGATGAAGATTTGGACGTCCCAAGATATTCAATTCAGGTAGCATGTGGGTAATTGGTTCTCCTAATCGAGCGGGGCCGTGGCTCTGGTTTCTTATCTTGACATCCACTTGTTTCCCCGCTCAAACCCAGTAAATACTGACTGTTTCATGGCTCAGGTACATCGATAAGCTTTGTCTTAGTTGGCTCGGAGGTCTCCGACTGGCCTCCACAGTTGCAGACCAGCTGCATTAGCTGATTTGACTCCGCAAAGACTGATCTGGAAAGTCCATGAGAGCATGTATGCTATGTGTTCACAATCAGATTCACCACCAGGGTAAACCACCCCATGGTCACAGGAACTAACGGCACGAGAACTCGCTTGAAATTTCCATGAGACTTTCCGTCCATTGGGATTGATATCAACGCTGAAAATGTACAATAAATCCATATTTCTCCTTCTATCTGCAACCCAGGTGGTAGTGTATTTAAAAGATCCGCAGAGCAAAGACATCCCATTCCATTTAAACCTTCAATTCAGATCCAGCCGCCTTGCGAAGTCGATTCATAACGGCGGCAGCAAGATCCCCATCCCGATCACTAATGCCTTCGACATAGATCACATCAACGTCGAATTCATCCAGCGCCCGCAGCGCAGCAAACAGACCATGAGCAATAGACTCCGTCTCCGAACCGAGGTGGTAATCATACGCCAACTTGGTCCGGCTATTCGAACTACCAGCCTGCTGCACGGGGATCGAGAAACTAGTCAAGTTATCAATGGCGGCACCATCAACCGGCTTAACCGTGCTGGCGATAATATCATCCGGAGCAAGACCAAGGCCCTGCTTCCAGTTCCTCGTGCGGACAATGCCGATAGTATGCGCGCCAACAGCCGAGTCCGACAGATCTTTCCGAACATGTTTCGTGACGCCGGCTTCCTTGGACCCGCCCTCGAAGAGAACGACTCGCGCCTTCGGCGAGTAGTGTCGATACTTCATTCCAGGTGCCCGAGGAATGTCCTTGATATCCAGCGCGCTGTCCTTGTACGCGACGGCGACATTTTCCCACCCCGCGCACTGGCGCAGCTCGTCGATGCCTATCCCACCTGGTCGAAGGATGGCGGGTGGAGAGCAGAGACCGTCGACGACGGTACTTTCGACGCCGACGCCTGAGGCCCCGCCGTCGAGAATCAGGTCGATGCGGTTCTTCAGGTCGTGGTGGACGTGCTGCGCTGTTGTGGGCGAGGGCTTTGTCGAGGCGTTGGCCGAGGGCGCGGCGAGGGGTCGGTCCGTGACGTGAATTAGGAGGCGGGCGAGTGGGGATGAGGGCATGCGTGCGCCAAAGGTCGTTAGTTTAGAAGTTACCTCCGGTGCGAGTTCGGAGCCAGATGGGTTTGGCAAGATGATTGTTAGAGGGCCGGGCCAGAAGCGGTCGATGAGGGGCTTGTAGATTTCTGGAATCGATATGCGCGGGGTCTTGGTGATGCTGGGACTGCTTGAGGCTGGGTTGAGGAGGCGGTCTAGCATCTCTAGTGAGTCGATGTGGATGATCAGCGGGTTATCAGATGGTCGTTGCTTGGCTTTATAGATGCCCTGGACGGCGGTGCTGCGTGTCGCATCGGCGCCCAGGCCGTAGACGGTCTCTGTGGGGAATGCGACAGGGATGTCACTGGTGCGAAGGAGGTTGGCGGCTTCTTCGATGGCTTTGGATTCGGGGGTAGAGTTCTTGCGCTCGTCGGCCCACCATTCTGATAGTGAGCGTGAACCCGGGCCGGGGCTCAGTCGCTGCACAGAGACGACTCTTGTGTCGGAGGTGGCCATTGTGGTAAAGTTGAGACGACTGGCTAGTCTGCGCTGACTGTTGCCAGCGAGGATTCGGGAAAACAGCAGTTTGATACGATGTATGATGTATTTGAGGGAGAGGAGGGGCCGAGGAGGGGTGTCAATGACGCAGTTGGGTGGTTGCGCGCACACGCAAAATGACCGTCGAGGGGCGAAAATAGTCTTCCCTTTGGAAGGCCTGAATCACCACAGATTTTAGATGGATGATGCCGATTAGGTTTGTCTGCGTGTGTGGTCTGCTCTTAGCCCTCTCAGTCGATCTTCCTGCTCAACTCTTTTTTTCGTTGAAGTCGCAAAAAAGAAAAAAAAATCCGCGCGCCATGACGTCGGATGACTCAGCATTTCAGGCACGAACATGGCCCTACAACAGTTAAATTTAAGCTAGCATTGAATAGCCAGTGGTAAGTGGGTGTCGTCTAAAGGTTGTTAGGGGAGTTAAAAGAACCCTGGAAGAGATCTGAGTGCACAGGCACATTCCAGTTGCGGGGGTTGCGCCTCGTCACGCCTTTGCAGGGGGGGGGGGGTAGCCCATAGTATGAGTATCAGTAGAACCATCCAGTTTAAGGTACTACTGAGTACGAGTTTACTACTTACTTAAACTTAAAGTAAGTCCAGTAAATTTCTAATTTACTTCGAATCGCTATTAACTAGGCTGGGCATATGCTCATTTCTGCAGGCACTTTTTAGCTGTATGGATCTACTCCCTTGAAAGTTTGAATGTAGTATCCACCTGGGTACTACTACTAATTGTTCTACTAGTACGGATAACTACTAGCATATAACCGATACTACTGACAATAAAGATATTTCTTGCATTCCAAGGTTTATATACCAAACTTGGAAGCGCTGATACATCATGACGTTTGAACCCACATTCAAGTTCGCAGGCTGCTTTTTGGACTCCGAGTCTCTGTACTAAGATTGTACCTACCCAGGTATATATCGTCGATTGAACTTGAACATGCAGCTCCATTACGACTAGTACTAGTACTAGTACTTCTTTAATTATGTACAATCTGAAATCAGACGATTAATTAGGTATAGGTATAATTTGGAACATAGTATCGGCCAACACGGTTCGATAACCAAAAGGGCAAGCCAACGAATCGCTCACTGAAATACAAACATGCCCTGCTCCGCTGTACGATCATTGTGATGGTATAAATAGACCAAAGCTTTCACGGCTTGAAAAGTGCACTCGTGTCAACGCTAATCTAAACGACTGTGGCGTTAGGTATGGGGTGTATTGGTTTGTTCTCCTCGTCGCCGTTTGGCAACTCGGTGGGTCCGATAGTGCCGTGATCAGCTTCGAGTATCGGTTTCGAAGATAGTTGCCGAGGTTCACTTTGCTGAATGCTTTCCATTTGGCTCTGGAATTGACCCTGAAGTGCTTGCGACTCGGCGCGCGCTTTTTTCCTGCCCCACCAGAACCCGAAGCCAAGCATTGAGATAGCCAGTACACCCAGAGGGACGCCAACACCAACCCCGATTGCAACTTTCGACGATGAATCGCCATCGCCATTCTGTGATTCACTCGTTGTTTCTGCGGAATTGAAGGGAGTGATTGAGACGAGTGTGGAGTTTAGGGTTGTCTCGTTTCCAGTTCCGCAACAGTCTCTATTTTTGCCGCAGCAGAATGACCCTGCAGAGTCACCTAGACATGGCGTCAACATAGCCGTTCGATTCGATTGTCCACCTGTCTATAGAATTGTCTAGTCAGAAAGGATCCATGTAACCGCGCATTCCAAAGCGGTGGAAATCCAGAGGATTGAATCATCTTCATCTTCAACGTACATTGTCAGAGCAGACGGTTTTAGGTAGGCAGTTCGGACTTTCCCACGTCGGATCTGTGCAGAACTCTCTCCAGTAGTAGCCCTTGGTTGAGAAACATAGTCCATTTGGATCGCATGTATCCGGATTTGTATGATTCATCTTGCAACACATGGAGTGTACGCCATCAATGGCAATGCAAGGGACGTAAGATTCCTCGGTCACTTCATTGCCGTCTGGACTATAGCAGGTGGCTTTGGCAATCGCGGTTTTCAAACACAGAATGAAAATCCAAGCGGAGAGGTGCATTGTAAACTAGATTTCTCGCCGGACGTCAATCCAATCATTGGGGAAGAAGAGAGAGAAGATGGGAGAGGGAGATGGAGATGGAAATGCCCTTTTGTGAGAAGTGTGTTACATTGGTGTTTTATTTTGTGCTGTTGGCTATGGACCAAGTGCCCATTCCCGGCTCGGACGCCTTAAAATGACCCGCTCTAGTTCGCGCAGTCCGTAAGAGAAATCATTGGACACTGCTAGTATGTCACCAGCGCCCCTTATTCTTGGCAGGTCTGTGGAGCTCGTAGAATTCGGACCCTGAAGCTTGAGCCTGCCTGAGACCCCTTCATCATGTGGGGAAAAGCTTGAGCGAGCCTGTTAACTTAATTCACACTTTACATTTCACTTATCTTATTCAAGTTCGTAGTTGATCAGCTCAGCTCTGTGAGAAAGTTAGTATATATTTTTTTCGATTGACTGATTTACGAAATGCAATTACTTCTAGTAGCTGACCCCAGCGCCCAATGCGCCCATCTCCTTGGCGCCTTGGCTGCTGCTTCTGTTTGAAATAAATGACGTCGTTGGTTATACAGGGAATGACAATCAGACTGAAAAGGAAAGAGACAGAAAAGAAAAGAGGATTGGAGACTTGTCGATCAAAGATTATAATAAACAACTTAAATGCCCGCCCCTGCAAATGAGGTCTTGAAAATATCAAGTTCTGCGTGTATGGGTGTCATTGCTACTACTGATTCATGATTTTATCGGAGCAACTTATTCAATTGTTCTGGGACACTCAAAGATCAACATTTGAACTTCAAGGGAAGGGATGTGGATGTGGCAATTTAACGTTAATTGGCTTTAATTACGAGCGGCGCGGGTGGACCCACTGTTACTAGTACCCTAGGGTAGGCTCAGCCCCGGGGTGTTCTAAATAGGCTACCCTAAGAGGTCCGTGTTATCTTCCCCATTTGCTTGCTGAGCGCTTTCTATAGTGTTTCAACATATTTGTATCATCAGTTCCTTCTAGTCAAATCGACAACTTGAACTTGAAAGTAGCTAAATTTGTAAATCTAAGGTTCGAGTATAAATGTTGATCTATTTCTTCTTTCCACCCTTTCCTCCCTTCGCACCACCTCCACCTTTACCACCACCTCCACCTCCACCCTTGCCCTTCCCCTTGTCACCACCACCCCCGGCACTACCAGGTGTCATAATACGCACCTTACCAACAACCATCGTATTGATAATCTCAGACTCCTTCCACCCTTTAATAAGCTCGCCCTCCTTAGCCCGAAGCTCCTCAGCCACAGCACGCGGAACGCCCGCATCCTCCGCATGATCCTTCTTGACCTTGCCCACCGTCGTCTCAGAAACCCACCGATGATGGATCTCCTTGACAGCCTTCCCTTTCTTAACCGTACCAGGCTGCAGCTTAACCTTATACTTATACCGCGTCAACGCCGCCCACGGCGCGCAAACCGGAAGCGCACCTAGGAGCTCATCCTCTGGCGTCGGCGTACCGATGAGTGCGGGCAACCAACTCAGATCAGCCGCTTCGGCAGCAGCGGTCTCCTCGTTATAATCGTCCGCACCCTCGGCGAACTGGGCTTGACGCTTGCGCTCCGCCTCGGCGGCTTTTTCGTGCTGTGCGCGGCGGCGGGCCCGTTGTTGCTCTGCTTCTCGTTCGCGCTGCTCCTTGGATTCGGCGGCTTTGACGGCCTTGGCTGCTTTGCCCTTGTTAGATCCTAGGAGGCGGAGGGCGAGTTCGCGCTCTTCGTCGTCTTGGTGCGCGTATTTGGCGGCTGCGCGCTTCTCCTTGGCTTTCTTGCCTCGGGTTGGTGCGATTCGTGCGGGTGCGGGCTCTTTCTGGCCGGGTAGATCGACGGGCTTGCCCTGGCGGAGAGCACGTCTCTCTCGTGCGTTCAGCTGCTTCCGTGCATCTTCGGGAGATGTAGGTTCTTGGCTGACGGTTGGTTGTTCTGCCTCGTCTTCTTCGGCTTCCTCGCCGGGTTGCTCGAGTTCTTGGTCCCCTTGAATGGTGTCGGGCTCTGACTTGGTCTCTTCTTCTTCTTCGTGTTCGCTTTCGGAGGACTGCTCATCTTTATCAATGGGGCCCTCGGAATCACCTCGTTGCAGGGGGTTGCTGGCAGGTTTTGTGTCTTCGTCATCCTCTTCGTCGGATGCGTTGCCTTCTTGCAGGGTCTCATCGATGGGCTTCTCGAATGACTTCTCTTCCACAGCTTGTTCTTCTGCAGGCTTGGGGGTCTCTTGCTCGACAGCAGGCTGTGCAACTGGCTCACTAGTATCAATCTCACCAGCAACATCCCCTTCGAATCGCTGCCTGTGGTTCCGAACACTCTCCTGGCTAACTTGGAACAGGATAGCAAAACCAAGCACCAGTTGCGATGGAGCCAAGAAATTCTTCTCGCCCTTGGTTTCGAAACTACCTGTAGGTAGAATTCCGGCACCGTTTGCCGCAGTCTTGGTTACTTGATTAGCATGCACCCACCAGGCAGACATAACAGCCTTAGAGTCCCATGCCGCCGAAGTTGAGACGCACATAGTGCCGGCTTGAGAAAGTGTACTTGGGGAAATAGGCGCATCGGGATTACCGGGTCGGTTCTTGACAACGATGGGAAGTGCGCCCTCGAGGTCAGCGTGAATGAAGATGTCGCCCTTGTTCAAGTAGCGTCGGTAAAGCTGCTCGCTTTGCATGGCATCACGGGCACTAGAGGCGAAAATCAGTTAAACCACAGCTGGAAATCAGGAACTAGAACACCTACCCCAGAACCAAATACCCCTCGGAAGAAATGAAAAAGACAAATTTCTCAAACCAAAATGGCACACGAGCCTGTCGCAAAACGGCTTTCTCCTGCTTCAGACCTTTCTTGAGATCAGCCGTGACCTTCTTCTCGTGGCTCTTAAGCGCCTTGGTAGACGACTGAACTGTTCTCTGCTCCTTCTCTGAGGCAGTTTTCTTCTGGTCGTAATACTGAGAGGCATTAGCCCAAGGCGTAAGGCCGAGATCGATATCAATCTTAAGCATGCGCGAAGCAGCATCTGCGCGTCTCTGTTGCTCTTGTTGTTCATCCTCGGAATCCGAATCCGAGCCTGACTCATCGGTAGACTCGGCATCCTCCTCCTCTTCTTCCTCTTCCTCCTCCCCAAGTAGCAGTGTGACGGTATTCTCGTAGAGTTTGAGAGGCAGCTTAATGATCTGCGCCACAGGGTTTCCTCGAGCTTGTTCCATCTCGATTAGGCGAGCAATCTCACCCCAGTCCATTCCCTGAGCCACAAGACCATTGACAGCGTCCATAGCCTCTTGGACCCGGTAAACATTGTCTTGAATAGCAGCAGCCTTGCGGATGTGAATTTCCTGCGCATCTTTCAATGCATCGATGCGCTTTCTATGCTCCTCTCGGACCGAGTCCAGCTTGCGCTTGGCCGCGTCTTCGCGTTCCGTGAGTCGGGACTCTAGGCGCTGAGACTCCAGGGAAGAGAAGTACTCGTCGACAGTGGCATTGAACCGGTCGAATTCAAGAATCGAGATTCCCGGCTTCCCCTCAAACTGGCGAGGTCTGAAAGGGTGGAAATCCTCATACAAAAGACCAGGAGTCTTCGACGTGCTGTCTTCTTCTTTCGAGGCTCGTTCGTCCTTCTTCGCCACGATGTAGCCCTTGTGGCTTTCGCCGACATTGAAGCTATCCGACACCGAAGCGGCCTCTCGCAAGGTCTCCTCGACTTTCTTCAAGAGATCTTCGTCTCCGAGGACCTGGTCCAGCGGTGTCGTAGCATCGAACCCCTTGACTGCAAAAGCGTGATCAAGCAATAGAGGCGGATATTCGGGAAATCCCTGCGACAAAGCCTTGCGCAAGATATCAGTAGCCTTCTTCTTGGACTTTTTCGGCGCCCCGCCGTCCTGCGAGAACGACGCGTGCGCCTTCTCAATCACACTCTTCACCCGCTCCGGGGTGATATCCGGGATTCCCGCATAGTTTTGCTTATTGGTGACATTGTATTGAAGGCCGAGTTTCATTTCCTCTTCGCCGGCGCTGGCGGGGACATTGCGGAACAATGCGATCACGGTGTACTCGCGGTCGGTGAGGATGATGTTGCCGCCGGCGAAGAACTCAAGGAACATGTGGTAGGCGCCATCGCTGAAGGAGATGTCGATGATCCGGTCTGTGCCGATCTGCGTGACCCCGGTGACACGGCGGGATTTGAGGAATTTGCGCAGGCGTGCTACGAATGGTGAGGGGGCGGTCGCGGCTGTGCGGGAGTATTGAGTTACGTGGGTGCGGAATCCGGAGTCGACGATGAGTTGTCGGCGGTGGTCCGGTTTGGCGAGTTTGAAAAGGAAGATTCGCTAGGAGAAGAGATGCTATTTTAGTGCAGGTGCTTGGGGTAGAGTTTGAGTATGGGTAGGGTAGGGTTGAGGCGTACGGATGATAGGTCGTAGATGTTGGAGACTCGCAGGCTGACTAGCTCCGAGGCCAGCTCCTGGGTGATGACCTGGGGGACATTGTTAGCTAGCTCATAGCTAGATAGTCGCAAGGGATAATTCTGGGATATACCTTGACATCTATGGACGAGAATCTCTGCTTCATCGTGGGCTTGTGATGTTGGAGAAGAAAGGAATTTTCGAGCGTGACGTATGCGGGGCAGGAACCGAAGTCGGGCTCCTTTCTGGGAAGTTCCATACTTTACTTAGCTATGCTACAAGTAGTTAATAAGTATGACATGTACAGATTGTTAAACTGGTGGATCTATTATTCATCTTTCATTGTCACCATCATCGTTTCAGTTTCAGCCACAGAATATCACAGGCTTTTGGCAAGATGCAGAGAGAAACACAAAGGATCTATGATATGATGTATCCCCGACCCGCCACTGGGAAACACTCAAACTGGAACCAACAAGGAAAAGATTATAAGAAATTGAAATGAACCGTATCACGCCATGGCCAGCCAGGAACGAGTAAGGGGGAAAAAAAAGGGAAAAAATGAAGCAGAAAACACGGACATGCTGATGATAAAGACAAGGAATCACAATCACAATCTAGCCCTCCACATAGGATCCGATCACAAAAGAAAGCCTGCAGCTTCAGCCCTACATCTGCCGCAGACTATCAGCAAGTCGACGTTTGCCAAACTCCCACGCATTCATCAGACCCTGCTCAGACAGATCGATGTTCTTCATGTTGGGCGCATCCTGGGCAGGAGCACGGCTGACACGCGAGGCAATGAGCACAGGATCAGTCTCGAGAATGATTCCATCGTCGATGATCTCGTCAATAGTGAGGGAAACAAGGTCGTAGTTCTCGACGATAGTGCGCTTGTCGGTGGCACCCCTGTAAAAACGATCTAGATTAGTCTCTTTTATCTCAAGTAATCATCCCCCGTAGCTCCGATTTTGATTCCCGAAAGGGAAAATGATAATATAGGACATACTTGAACAATATTCCCAGAGCATCACGCAGCGACAGAACAACGTTATACAGCAAGACCTCATTTTCATCGGCGCTGCCCACCACGTAGAGCATCACATCGCTCTCCATCTTGAACACGACAATGCGGTTGTCGTAGAGAATCACATCGCCGGTGGACTTGTTGGTCTTCTCGAGGAGGCCCTTTTCGAAAGCTCGCTGCTCCTTCACGGTCGGGTAGGGGTTGGCACCGGGGTAATCGGTCGAGTTGGGCGCTGTGCCCGCGGGGGCATGTGGTGCTGAGTAGTATTTCGCGAAGATACGGGATCCGTCGTCAGCGGACATGACGAGGATCGCATTGACGGAGAAGAGAGATAGAGGACCAGGCATGGTGAATTGAATTGTTATCGTTATTGGAGGAGCAATTCGATTATGGGAATGCGAACTCGAGTTGGTTGTTGATTGTAGGAGCCAGTCTGGCCGCAGGCGGAGACGCACTAATGTTATTCCGGTACTCCGCCCTATTTTGTATAACTATGCATGTATGCATGGAAGTCGATTAGTTCTAGGAATGTATCTTGATGATGGTTATGGTTAAATTATCCGAGGCAGGTTATAATTTATAAATGGCATGATAGATAATTTGCATAGCAGAAAGATGGGGTATAGTTCATCTACAAATGATTTGGGTACAACCACAAGCGCGTAGGGGGGGAATACATTGACGGGCATCAATTCAATAGGGTCGTTTCTGGTCCAAAGAGATAGTAAAAGAAAATCCAAACGAGAAATCCAAAAATTTCACCGAGAAGAGGTTCCACCAATATTCATCAGGTACTCAAGAAAAAAAAGGGGGGCAAAACAGAATAATAGAATGTGCAATTCGAATTGTGCAACACAACACCGCGGTATCCTCGCTCGATCCTGAGCCATACGTTCCATGACATGAGTCGCGTTATGTGCATCACAAAAGGGGTATGAAAAATGGTAAAGACGGTTCCAATATTACATCAAATCATGCAGCAGAGTGGGGGGGCAACACAGTTTAGAGCTGTGAAGGCTGGGAGGTCGGAGCAGGCGGAGGAGACGATTGCTGCTGGGGCTGCTGGGACTCGTCAGCGCTGGCTGGTCGGTTGAACCAGCCGGGAATCCAGCTCGCGCGGTTCGCCTTCTTCCGAGCAGCCTCTTCTTCTTCAAGTTTAGCAGCGTCACTGACAAGTCGCAAGGGGCGCAACTTGTTCTGGGTCATCACTGCTCCAGTATAGTTGTTCATGCCGCTGCTTGACCGGGGCGGGCTGGAGGTAGCTCCAGTAGAGCTGGTGTCAGCGTGAATGTCACTCGTGACACTCGGAGAGCTGCTGCGGTTGGCACGATCTGTTTGACTAGACATGGAAGGAGCCCGGCTCACTCCAGAGATGTAACTAGCTGCCCCAGAGAACATGCTTTGCCGCGAGCCTGGACCCATACCAGTTGGACTCATGGGCCCACCTCCAGAGTTACGACCACGGTACATCGCTCCAACAACGGAGGCGGCATTAGGGTCAACTTGCTCCGAGCGGGTACGGCGGTGGCTAGCCCGAACAGATTGAGTTCTGAACGGAATGCTGGGGGCAGTCTCTGGGTTCTCGTTGACGATGCTTTGTGGCAGAGGAGGGGGCATCATGCTGGTTGGACGAGATCGAGGCTGGGTTGAGGGCCGGGCAGGGCCCGAAACCACAGATTTGGCTCGCTGCAAGAGGGTTTGACTGGGTGCATCGTCCTTCTCAGGAGGCGTGGGAGGCAGGTCCTTATCATTGCCAACCGAGGACTGGGTTGCGCTAGCTTCATCATCATTGCGATCCAGAACGTGTTCGAATCCGTCGTGTTGAAGAACACGGCTAATGATGCGTTCGATGTAGAGCGTCAAGGCCTTGTTTTGATCTCTGAGACTCTTGAGTTCACCACCATCTGGTTTTCCCGTCGAATCAGACTCTGGTGCTTCATCCACTGACTCGAGCTCATCCGCCAAGGATCCTAGACCACTGCTGGACTGCTTATCGGGATGGATGTGCTGCATAAAGTCACCTTTAGTGAAGTCGCCAGTAAGTGTCTTTTCGCTGAGAAGGAGCTGGTAGCTTTCATTGTCTTCCATGAGGCGGGCATTGGCCATACGAGCCTCCAGCAAGTCTTTCTCTAATTCGCGTTGCCGGCCACCGCCTGCATTCTCCATCTCAACCAGTTTGATCTGATGTTCGGCCAACTCCAGACGAAGGGACTCGATGACCTTATCTTTCTGGAGCAAGAGGTTCGAGTTGTTGCGAGAGGGGCTGCGCTCAAGGTGTGAGGATGGCGCAAATTGGGCATCCAGATCGGGGGAAGCTCGATTACGGAAACTGGCTGTAGAAGTAGTTAGCATCGTAGGAAACCTTGGTTTGGATTAGACGAAATCATACAAGATCTAGAGACCTGATGGCGGTCACCGTCGGCGGTGATTCGATCCTTCTGCGCGGCGGATTCCTTCAAACGATGGATGGTCGCCTGCAACTCCTCCTCTCGGCTGTTCTGTTGTTCCTTCTCCTGCAGCATGGCATTGCGTTCTAATTCATGATTCTGCTCGAGGTCACGAATTTGACGTGCCTGTTCTCTGATCTCACCACTGAGCGTTTCAATCCGGTTGTCTCGCTCATGAGCTTGATCCTCCAACTTTCCTTGTTCGCTGACCGATTCGTCGAGGCGCATCTGTAGCACACCTAGTTGTTTCTGGTATTGCTCGGAGGCTGTTTCGGCCTTCTGAAGCTGCTCTCGCAACTCCTCGATGAGGGAGGCACTTTGGGCCCGCGCCTCCTCCTCGGAGGGGTCGTTCGAGATGCGCGGGACGTTGGACATACTCAGGTTGGAACGGCCGGGCTTTCTAGCAGCGGCGCGCGCGGAGACGGGAGTTGAACCTCGAAGGGAGGGAGAACGGTTGAGGCCGTTGGTAGCGTTGCTGGGCGAACGTGCATGTCCTCGTGTGGTGGAACCGTTGGTCGAGGGCGGATCTGCGGTCGATGATTTGCTGGAATTGCCGGGAATTCCAGGCTTGCGAGGCGTCGTTGCTGACATCGTGCAGGTTCCCAGGACCCGTGGACTCGGCGTGAGAGGGGAAGGGCGAAGTATATAGTAGGAGATGGAAGGAATCGAAAATCAAATGGGGAAGTGTCCACTCCAGGGTCAAGAGAAGGTTGGGGGAAGAGAGTCCAGGTGTGAATTCAGTGGCGGTCAGAAAGCGGAAATTGGTGGACACGGGTGGAGATGGGGGAGGAAGTATGTAGGTAATGAAGGTTGTCACAGATTGAGTGATCACCACATGGCTAATGGAAGCGTGGAACAATCATCGAAGACGAGAGCAGACTGGAATGGAGTAAAGAGGAATGGAAATGGCCGATTGCAAAGGGGAGCGCGCCGGGAGCAAGCCTTAATTTTTTTTTGAGGAATGCGGGCGGACTCGCACTCCCTTACTCTAATCTAAAAATACGCTGGACTCGGTGGCCTTGGGGGCCAACACGAAGGACACGAGACTCATAATTGGGGCAGAGTAATCATAGCCCCCTAACCATGGAAAGAAACCCAAACAAAGATAGACACGAGATCTGATGTTTAATTCGAAGATGCGAAGCAAAGCAAAGCAATGCGAAACAGGGTGAAATGATGCCTGAGGTTGACTGTTTACCGTTTCAGATACATGTCAGGTGATATCCTAGCCTAAATATCAGGTGATGTCAGTGATTCTGTATGCTTATGGTAGGCGGTGTATCCATGCAGTACAGAAGATGGAGGAGCCCACCGCAACGGGAAACTGCCAATGAATCGATCACTTTGAGTCTCCGCTCTATCCACATCCGCCGGAACGCATTCCAGTCTACCCCACCAGTTGAACTCAAGTCGATTTGAATCACGATGGCTGGCAAGAACAAGAAAGGTGCCGATAATGTGAGTTTGATTACATTGCTTCTAGTTCGATATAAGAGATGATGGGTGGACTAACATACTCCGGTAGATCAATGCCCGGCTCGCCCTGGTCATGAAATCCGGCAAGGTCACTTTGGGCACAAAATCGACTATGAAATCACTTCGTTCGGGCAAAGCCAAGCTTGTTATCATTTCGGGAAATGCTCCTCCTCTGCGCAAGTCAGAGCTCGAGTACTATGCCATGCTGGCCAAGACGCCTGTCCACCACTTTGCGGGAGACAATGTGAGTCACAATATGAGTACATTTATGTACTTACAAATCCATCTCGAATCAAAGAGAAACCCAGATGCTGACGTTGATTACAAATAGATCGAGCTGGGAACTGCATGTGGCAAGCTCTTCCGTTGTTCTACCATGGCCATTCTTGATGCTGGCGACTCGGATATCCTGGCCGACCAGTGAGCAGAGTACGGAGTAAGGGGGGGTTGAAGGAGACAGGAAATCGGAATATGTACTCCGTGATGATATGCATGACGATCCTCACTTGATGAATTATGGACCAAATGGACCCAATGGCACTTAGTAACCTAAGATAGTCCCACTTTTCCTCCTATCCTCTGTACTGCCACCTTGTATTTCAGGCCATAATCGCTAGGCGATGAGTCAGCCGATCAGCTCGCCTCGGAACGTGGTTGGCCCGATAGCTAGGGCTTAGGGCTTTTTGCCACTGAACTGCTTGGAAATCAAACAATCCCGTGACCCGCTGGCCCTTTTCTTTTCTTTCCTTTCGACCCTCGCCAACCACCGACAACCAACACCTAGTTCGCAGGAAGTGCCCGTCACCTCATTTCCGCACTCAAAATGGCTCGCCGTCCCGCACGTTGCTACCGTTACTGCAAGAACAAGGTGCGTTACGACTTTCCCTGTTCCCGGAGGATTTTGTGTGCGCAAGCTCGGTTGTGGGGGAAATTTGGGAATCACCACGACCACCATACACCACCACGCTCGCCATTCTCGTCATCGAACAAATCTCGTCCTCCAAGCAAAGGAAAATTGTGAACGGCTCGACTATATAATTACCACGTTCGACAGTTCCTTTGAAGGGCAGGTTGCGCCCCAACGAGACATAACCTCGCTAGTTTCGCGGTTCGAGCCGTTCACAAGATTCCTTTATTTGGAAGAGGAGATTCGTTTTCGATCATGAATGGGCAATGATCCGGCACACATGAAAGTTCAACATACTGACCTACACTTTTCCCTTTAGCCGTACCCCAAGTCGCGCTTCAACCGTGGTGTCCCCGATGCCAAGATCCGCATCTTCGACCTCGGTCGCAAGAAGGCTTCCGTCGATGACTTCCCCGCTTGCATTCACCTCGTCTCCAACGAGTACGAGCAGCTGTCTTCCGAGGCTCTTGAGGCCGCCCGTATCTGTGCCAACAAGTACGTTTCGCCACCATGCGCCCATCGACCGGTCAACCTGCAATATACTAACGTTAATCCTTTTCTCCAGGTACCTCGTGAAGACCGCCGGTAAGGAAGGTTTCCACCTCCGTGTCCGTGTCCACCCCTTCCACGTCGTCCGTATCAACAAGATGCTGTCGTGCGCTGGTGCCGATCGTCTGCAGACCGGTATGCGTGGTGCCTTCGGTAAGCCCCAGGGTCTCGTCGCCCGTGTGAACATTGGCCAGATTCTTCTGTCCGTCCGCACCCGTGACTCCAACCGGGCCAACGCCATCGAGGCTCTCCGCCGCTCCATGTACAAGTTCCCCGGCCGCCAAAAGATCATTGAGTCCAAGAACTGGGGTTTCACCCCCGTTCGCCGCGAGGAGTACGCCGAGCTCCGCCAGGCTGGCAAGCTCCGCCAGGACGGTGCCTACGTTCAGTTCCTCCGTGGTCACGGTACCATCGCCGAGAACATGAAGCGTTTCCCCGAGGCCTACGAGAACCTTTCTCAGGAGGCTTAGATTGTTATGGGTTGAATCCAGAATACGAATTCAAGAACGAAAAAATTACATGGATGTTCTCTTAACTGTCTTTCTGTTCCTCCCTAGCTTGATATCTCGTGTGCAATCTTAATGGAGTTATTCCATGGGTATATAAACTCGTCCTTCGTACTCTTGTCTGGGGTATCCCTTGGTAGCTTCCAATTTTTTTGGAGAGATCGATATCCATTTCTGCTTGAAACGCTCGTAGTTTATTTGAGGATCAATACTATTACGAGCTATTCGGTGACGTACTAATAGTATTAGTACTGCCATGTCCAACTACCTGGCAGGCGTTCACCTGGGCAAATCAAAGTTAAGAAGCTCCGAAGTTCCAAAAGTTCAATCGAAGTTCCGAAATTTCAACCGGAGTATCAGATGTTCAACCGAAGTCCGGGTGAATTCAATCGAAGTTCGAAGCATAGCGAGGGATGTGAGCTTATTCAACGATGCCTCGGCCAACTTCACATACTCCTAGTAAATCATAGTAGGCATGCAGATAACTGCTTGGAGAAAATGAACAAAATCTACGCTTTTAAGCTCACGAGTATCTAGTAGCTAGGCCGTGATGAAAATGCTCCAGGGTTGATTCCCCGGATACATTGAAATATATACTAGCCCCACTGGCAATGGAATAGGCAGAGCTTGAACTTCAACCCGTGGACGTTGGAGCACCTGGGCACCTGGGCACCTAACTTCAAGTTGTAGAACCTTCCAAGGTTGGAACCTTCAAATTTGGAAGACCGGAAAGAAACATCGAATTCGACGGAAAAGCAAATATCCTATTATTTCTCCATTATTACAGTGAAAATTAAGTATTTAAAACATGTATATACAGCGAGCGCTATTGAGGCGCGGGTGTTCCACATCGTTCCTCATGTAATTGTCCGGCAACTGGGGAGCATAATTAGTTAAATTTCACGAAGAAAGGAGTTCAGCAGAGCTTCAAACAGCTTCAAATTGTACGTACCTTGTGCATCCTCCGGAGTACAGGCGTCCTTCAGACAGACCGTTAGCGTGTCCTTGAATGCCACGCTCGGACAGGTGCACTTGTTATCGTAGGCCGACACACAGCCTGCGACAGCAGCAGATTCGGATAGACATTGCAACTTTAAAGAAGAGATAATAAGTATACTTCTGGAAACCATGCGGGGAACATAGAAGAAGCAGGTCGGGATGTTGGACTTACCAGGCAGTTGCTGATGTTGTCAGGGTCCACGGTAGAGCCGCTTGCTTCGGCGGCAACGAAGGACAAGAAAGCGGCCAGAGGAACGAAGATGGAGAGCTTCATTTTGGGTGATGAATTGAAGTTTTAACTTTGGACACTAGGGTGCTTGTGTATGCCAGAAGTGTGGAGGTAGGAGGTGACTTCATGACAACCTTGTCGACAATCCTGGATAATAAAGCCTTCTCCCAGGCCTACATTCTTTGTTGCCGATGATGTTGTTGTAAACAATTCTGCCACTATGGTGATCTGCGGCATGGGGGGGTTGATCTGCAGGAATGTGAAGCACCAACAAATGGTCTCCGCAGGTTAAACACTAAAAAGTAATAATCTTAAGACGGTCGCCGGGCAAACTGTAGGTGAATTCAATTGAGATTGTGATTTGTTGGCTACACAATCTTGGAAGGCGCAATCTTGTTAATTTACATCTTAATCTTTCAAGGCATTCAGGAACCTTCGTCCCCAAGATCTTGATTTTGTTGACGTTTCATCAGGAGTCCAGTGGCGTCTACCCGAGAAGTCAATCCGATCGAGTGATACCCTAGGGAAATGTGAGCCAAGCAACCCCTGGTAATGGATAAGAAATTTAAATAGAACCTGGACTCACCACTTTGTTTTGAACCACCATTTATAGCCGAAGAACAGAGCAAAAAAAACCGGAATACTGATGTATGAAGCGATGAATGATTGATAGTTGAAAGGTGTTTCGAAGACGGTGAATCCCTGGATCAAGAGTAGGAAAATATTGAAGAAGAAGTTCCCCCAATAAATGAGAGTATGTCCAGGGGCAGTAAACGGGAATGTTTGGATATCGATATTCTGCTTCTTGGCGGCAGCGCGAACCCTTAATTGGACGAAGGTGATCGTCGCCCACGCAATATAGGCCGCTGTACCACCGAAGGAGGTGAAATACGAGAAGAGACTCCCAGCAGTCGTCGTTAGGGACATCAAGCCCAGGAAACCCCACATGTTGGAGAATATGATTGCTGGATACGGGACTTGATAATTGTTATCTCACTGGCAAAGTTTTTTTTTTTTGACAAACTCACCTCCCCTGGTGCTCGTGATTGCAAAAAGCGAGGGTGCTTTTCGTTTCAGAGCTAGAGAATAAAGAGTGCGAGATTGAATGTAGACCACTCCATTTGCGGCTGAAACAAAGGCAATCAATATGATGGCGTTAACAAAATGGCCGGATGATTTCCATCCTGCCAGCGTGAAGCCGATCGTGAAAGGAGACGATGCTATTTTGGAGTCTGGATGTACTAGGTTCTCTGAAGTTGATGGGCAAATCAATCCTTGGAAAAAGGACATGCCAATGAAGACAATCAAGATTCGATACAGAATAGACTTGGTAGCCTTTGAAAAGAGTCAGCTTTGCCTTTTGGAGCGAATTTGGTGACTTACGCGAGGAACGTCACGCTGGGGATTTTTCGATTCGCCAGCTGCAACTGAAACTATTTCTGTGCCGACATAGTAAGCAGCAGCAAGAACAAATACTTGACCGAACCCATTAATGCCGTTTTGGATTGGGCCTATGATATTTTGCAAGACGTCAGTTGAGCGCAAAGGAAGGAATGCTTAAGGAAAATACTGACCGTATGGTGGTGTCCAGTACCTAAAGCCGATATAGCCATTACCAAAGGCGCCGACATCGGCAAGGATGCAGATGAAAAACAGTACAATGAGAGATAAAAATTTGAACATGCCAAAGTAGTACTCCGTCTCTCCGTAGAAATTGACACCGAGGGTGGTCAGGATATTGAAAAAGACGAAGAAAAGGATATACCACGCCCAGGTAGGAAACTTAGTGTCAGGGATCCAAAATTGCAGGAAGACCGTCGCATTATTCCAATCTTATATCATGTCAGCCAATAGCTAGGGGATGCCATAAAGTATAGTGTTTACCAGAAGCCAAGAAAACACTCCACATAAAGTAATAAAGCCATGACATAGAAAAACTGAGCGCTGGGTCCACAAATCGATCGCAATGCTATATCCGGATATGAGAATGAGAGAATGGTCATCCAGAGGCAGAAAAGCTTACTTCAACAAACCCTCCATGAACTGGGAATAAGGTAGCTACCTCGCCCACGCTTTGCATTAGGATCCAAACAGAAGCGCCTATTCTTTGGTCAATTCGACTTCGATAAATATCTTCACATCGGTTGATAAGCATACCAACAACGGAGAACCCAATCAATAGACCTAGAGGTCCAGCCTCATATATGCCACATCCAAGTCCGTAAAAGCAGCCAGGTCCAATGATGCTGCCCAAAGCAATGATCATAAATTGGCGACCCTTCAGACCTCGACGAAGACCATCGTCAATAACATCTCCTGAGATGTCACGGATCGGATCATCATACTCATGGGTTTCAGTCACAGTCGTACCGTTTTTAGGCGATACTGGCACCTCAATGGAGGAATCTGAGCGTGTGACCATCTTGTCCGTACAATATCCCACATGGGCATCTTGAGGAAAGCGATACTGGGAGACGCAAATTTTATACCAATGAATCGAGATTGGATGAGAAAGACCATCTGCCGAGCACGTCATATTCCTCGTTAAAGTGCACTGTTTTAGTTAGACTTCTTCGAATAGAGGCTTGTACTAGCTTTCGGGATGGATCTATCGGAGGATTTCCAGGCTGTTAGATTGGCTATCTCTGGGGGCGTCGCGGTTGTTAGCACGTCATAGAGGAGTTCAATTCGCTGAAATTTAGTCCGATGAATGGGAACTAGCAGTCGGAATAGATTGGATATATTCTTAATATCAATAGGTATCGCTATTTCTTGAGGCTTTAGGAAGGAGGATATTCATATTCATTTTTTGTAAGGTAAAACTCCAAGAGAATACAGTAAATCTATCTTCGAGGAGCTAATGGAACATACTACTAATGTGCTGATCTAAAACTTTAAACACGATGCGCGATAATAGCCGATTATTTTCTCATAAATACTTGTGTGGATCATGATATAGAATAACCTCTAACTGGTTGTTGATTAGGAGATGTCAAATAGACTAGGCCCTGTCACTCCGACGCAAGGAGATTCTGATTTTCGAGCTTTAGCAGTTCGAACTTTCGCACCACTTGTAATGTTGCATAAAAGCTGAAAGGCAAGGCCAGGAACCATAAGCCGAAATTGATACCTGCAGTCACGATTAACGCCGTGGGCACGGCTTGCACACCGAATCCCACAGCCACTCCAGCCGTCTCGATTCCCCGTAACAACGAGCTATATCGAATTTGATCACCCGGAGAGTCCGAAAGATTTCCAATGCACCAGTAGATATAGTTCTCTACTATACCCAGACTAATGCGTTCAAACAAGAAAAGACCAAATCCTCGACCGAATGCACGTTGGTCGGCCCAGTCTCAGGACAGGCTTAGTTTGTCGATATTCATTCTGAATGACGACTGCCCAGATCCAGGTTGCACTGTTAAGCACCGCGATCAAAATAAAAGTGGTAATGGCTCGTACTTTGCGGCTCTTGTGCCATGGAAGGTCAACTAGTGAGCCGCCAAGCCACGTTGCGAATGTGCCTACCACGGCATTCATGAAGCTCCCAAGTGAGCGCGACCTGACTGTAAAATAGGTCGCAAGGTATGTGCCAGGATATGCCTGGATCCACCCAAAGTACCAAAATAATGGAACCAGGAGAAGAATCGACTTGCTCGTACCCAGGCGCCACATTGCTTTCATCTCATCCCGCCAATGGATATTGCGAGGCGCTTCAATTTTAGTATGATCATCTCGTTGGACCTTATCAGGGTTTGAGAGAAGCAAACCGATGAATAGACCCAGACATTGAATCGCAATGAAAGCAAGGTAAGTTTGGTAGCCGACCTTTCCTCGCTGATTGACGTTGTGGTTGATTCCGAGGGCAACAGCGCCTCCAATAATATTTCCGAAGTTGCGGAATGTAAACCATGTAGCAATGTAGCGACCTCGCTTGTGTTGCTCCGGATAGCCTGTAGCGACGGCCCCTTCAACACTCCAAAAGAAGCCAGCACTAATACCGCATGTGACAGAGCCAAGATAGACAAGCCACGTAGCACCGGTGCGATTGTTAAGATATAGACCAGCTGCGTAAAGCGGATAGCCTATTGAACCCAGAGATAGGGTCCAGCGGAAGCCAATAACATTCGTTATCCACGGGCCGGCAAAGCAAGTGATGGTCATGAATGCATAGAGAAGGGCGTTGGCGGCGTTCACTAAGTCCGGGCTTTGGGAGCCACCAACACCGAGTCCGTTCATCGCACTCCATATTCCCGGAGCACAAAAGGCACATAGCCCCACGACTAAAATTTGAAAAAGAGTACTGCGAAAAAAAGGTGGTCGTTCTCGCTGCTCTATAGACGTTTCTCGAACCGTTTGATCATCAGTTTTGATACTAACAGTCCCTTCAGATTTCGATGCAGCCGCCATCGCGAGAAGTATCTGGCGAGAAAAAAACGGCGAAGAGTAGAATAGAAAATATGTTTGAATAGATGGATATGGAATGGCTAATATAGCTTCAAGTTTATCTTGGCGTCAGATTGCCGAAGCTCTTGTGTCCCCGCAAGCACGTATGCGCATAATAAAATGACACAATAGTATGATGTTGCCTCGGGTCGAATTTGTACAACAGCCGCCCCCAAGAAAATTATCGGAATGGAATGTATCTGATTAGTCCATTATCGCCATCCAATAGTGTATTTTGTATATCGTCATTTTGGCGTGAATGAGGAGGTTCCCCTCACTTGGGCTGGAACATGCATCTCGGCTATTTAATCGAAGAGTCCAGCATCTAATGATAACCCCTTACCATACTACCAGTTTATGAGAGAGATTCATCATGGCTACAGTTACAGAGCAGATAAATATTGAAAAGCTGCAGCTCAGTGATACAGAAGCCTCCAAAGTGTCTTTCGAGCCCTTTGAGCTTCCTTCCTCGAACCAGCGGGTACTTGGGCCACCACACCCTCCGAACACAGTGATCCCTCTTGCCTGCGTCTCACAAATGGAGATTCTCCTCCAAATCTAGACGCTATTGTGGATACTATCAAGACCCTCCAAGAGCGGGAGGGAATTTTCACCCAAAAGCTCGCGCGTCACGGCACGTTGCTGTTTCGAGGACTACCCATTCACAATGCTGAGGACTTTAGCAAGTTTGCCCTTGCCTTTGGATACAAGCCACACGAGATCATTGGAATAGTTGTTGACAGGCCCCTACTGGCACCTAATGTTGCACCCGCGAACGAAGCACCGAAAGAAGTACTCATTTACAACCACAATGAATCTCCACAAGTTCCTCACGCACCGGAGTATATATTTTTCTACGGCCATCGTGCTCCAGGTAGAGGAGGCGAGTCACCCATTTCGTCTTCGCTGGAGTTATTCAATCGCGCCCAGCAAGAAATACCCGACTTTATCGCTGAGATCGCTGAGAAAGGCATTCTCAGCAGGGTGACTTACAAAACCGACAAGCAATACGAGGGAGGCTCGACCCTTCGCCAAGCATTCGGCAAAGAAATCGTTGAAGGAGACGACGAGGAAACCAAGAAGCGAAAAATAGAAGCACAGATTGAAAGATATGGACGGGGTAAATATACAACCTGGGAGTGGACAGATGATGGGTTGGTGCTCGAGCATCGCCTACCTGTGATCCGGACTCAGCCTGGAACCAACTTGCCCTCCCTATTCACAGGGCTGGCATCCTATTGGAAACGGGCGCAGGTTGATGTTGACGCGCGACGAAACGTTACCCAGCAGCTGTACGGCGATGGATCGCTGATCCCGGAGAAGTATCTTGCGCATCTGGCCAAGATCACAGATGAGATTCGAGTGTTGCATCGTTGGGAAGAGGGCGATGTGCTTGTCTACGACAATATTATTGCTCAACACGGGAGAGAGCCGTGGCAAGGAGACCAGAGCGATCGGGTGGTTCTAGCCAGCTTGTTTGATGGCGAGAATGTTCCTGGTCCATATGGGTTTGGTGGCTGGGCTCGGGTTGTGCAGGCTTCGGAATGATGTCTCTCACATTATATGATAGTCTTTGACTTAACCTGCTATCATGATTGATGATTGTCCTACTTCCCATCGACCAATCATATCAAGTCCCATATTCGACACGTCGTGATAGACTTGGCGAAGCGATGCTTGGCATTTGTTTGGTGTGCTCACATGGCTTCTCTTGTGTAGGGGTTATATCTATACTTGAAATTCCAGATTCAGGATTTTTTACCAAAGTCGAATGATAGCTCGGTTAAAAACACGGAGCAATTTTACATCAAGACGGTTCTAAAATTTCTATTAGATAAGAAGAACAAGCTGCGGCACAACTTTATCCACAAGACGATAATTGCGGCGCCCCATTGCGGCAGCCGACATTGGGAACTATGGTAGTAGCTACTACTGCATTTATAGTAACTATATTCTATATCAGGTCACTTACTAGTACTATCTGCTTAAAAAGTAGGTTATATGCTGCCTATCAAGATCATATCTTGCTCTCGAAGGTAACTGGTTCCCCTTTTCATCTGGGGGGTTGATCCGTAAATTACGATTACATATCTCTGACGAGCCATCGTTACTTGCATAAAATCCCAATAATAGCCCCTAAGTAGTTTGGTACTTACCTAGGTAGTTAGCAAGAATTGCGCACTTGCAAATCGGGATTAGTAGGTAGTAATAGTACCACAGATGAGTCAACCCGGGCGGTTGCCAGAATGAGATGCCACCCATCCACCACTCGCAGTTTCCTTTCTTATTCCTACCTGTTTAACTACCACTGACAGTATCCTTTCTTCGTCTGCACATGTGTTTTTCAATCATTCCTATCATATACCAAGGTGCTATTCCCTCAACACCATTCTCGGTGCCGATTTCGAAATGGACATTACAACACTTCAGGCCTGTTTAACCTCTCGGGGATCAGATTTTGAACCTGCATATGCATCCCCATTCATTCTCAAGACCAAAGGCGCAGATCGGCGGAGCATCGAACGACACAACAACAAGAAGCACCGCCCAATACCCATACATGACGAAGAGGGAAAGATTGGAAATGACGGCCGCAAGCGACGGTCTTAGGGAATCAGCCGTTCTTGTGATGGTAGAAGTAAACAGCCGCAAAGACTGGAAGGCTACAAGAGACTCAATTGCCAAAATTCCGACAGATATTTTTCTGCCTATGGTTGCAGTTGAGGTTGTCAAGGACAGAATAAATTTGCTCAATCGAGAAACAGGATTCAAGGAGGAAATCATGGGTGCTCATGTAATTCCTGGAGGACCTATCTCATTGCCGAAGAAGAAAACGCACCCGGAACGCTTGGGAAGTTCATTGAGCCTCAAGACTCAACGGACAATACCTGGCTCCCATTTGCATCAGAATGTTTCCATGTTGTTGATCCCGACGATTAGGGCATAGTTGGAGATCAAGATCTTGCAGGTCAGTACTGAGAACATGCAAAATTCTTTCAAATCCAGACTAACTCGGTTAATAGCAATCAGGAAATGGTATCAAAACAGCATACCCATCTACCAATGCAAAAAATCGCCAAGGGAATTCGCAGTGCTTGCTCGAAACATGAAAGTCAGCCATCCAAGCCTGCTTGCCAAAAATGAATAAGACGACACTTTTTCATGGCCTGATTAGAGATATCAAAATCTTCGTATTAAAAACGAGCGTTGATATTACATGATGAAGAAAATCTTGATGAGCTTAGTGACCGCAAAATGGAAATATTCAATTTGTTAAAACAGCAAATAAATGAGTCTAAGGATAATCTAGGCCGCGCCGCGAAGTTCTTTGAGCAACCACAAATTATCCTCGGCACTGTTTCTGCTGGTTCAGGACTCAAAACTGTTCAGCCCCACACCAGTGGTGAGGGTTATCCAAATGAGCTCGACTGGTCAATCATCAGTATCGATAGGAATTGTTCAATCTCAAACAAAGTCCGTTGTGCTGGCTCGGGCGGTTCTGGTTCGGGTGGTGCTCGCAAGGGTGGTGCCCATAAGCGTGATGCTCACAGAGTCAGTTTCTCCTCCACCTGACAAAATGGACTGGAAATAATATCTAACAAGATATAGATTGACGATGAGCTTGACCTTTGCGAATTGGCGGCTGCGCAAGACCTTCATGACCTCGATGCCGGTTCAGCTGACAGTTAGTAATCGCCAACTACAATTCCAAGAGTATCGCTCTGGACACCGTCACGTCCTGTACAGTGGCCTCAAAGTGGCGAAAATCAGAAAGCCCAAGGAAGGGGAGAATAAATTTTCTTGCTAGATTCCAGTGTATTTGGAACTGATCGCGAGCTTACTGCGACCTTTAGCGATTCCGGATCTTTACTTTCCAGGACTATTGGGCAGGATGTGGTTGGAAAGATTTTCACCAGCTCCGAGGTTAATAAGATTGCCTATTTTATACGCATTGACGACCTTTGCGAAGATACCACGAAACAGACCGCTGCCAAAGGTTTTCAGATGTATGATCCTCTGGGATAGATGGTTATGACGCTCTTTCCCAGCTCAGTTGCTACATGATTCGTTTGATTCATTTTTCATTATTAGCCATTTCATAGGGTGCGAAATGGAAAGGAAAATTGGCTCTTGTCACTCACTGGCATATACCACTTCATAATTCCCTTTAAAGCTGGGCTCAACTTAAGTGAGAAACTAGTTAGGTAGCGATCTGTTTATTTATACACAAATGTCCGCTGGAACGGGTGACATACTACAAGATCCAAGTGCCGAATTATAAAAATGACGCTAAAAACAGCGTCAAGAGTAGCGGTTTTCGGCGTCAAGTTTACCGTTACCTAACGGTGTGGTGTAGTAAATAGTAACTGAATCACTATTTAGTTAGTGGGGGGGACTTGTGACCCATGTTCCAAGGTTATCTCACCACCTGAGGGCAAAAGTGGCAAAAACAAAAGAGGAAAGCTTCCCCTATCGCCCCACTTGATCTCAATTCCCCCGCAAACTCAAGGGCAAATCCAACCACCTGCTCGGAGGCATCCCGATGATATTCTGCAGCTTGTACAATGCATCTCTACACCTGAGTTGACCATGTCGAATGGTCTTGCTCGTGCAGAGCTGGCATCGCACACGCGCTCTTTTACAGGATGTTCAACGGTATGGCGCCCATGAGATCAACCCGAACTTGAACCATCCGTCTAACCCCTTCAGTGTCGGAGCCGCCATGTCAAATGCGACGAAGGCCGACCAACTTGCTCTATGTGCAAATACTTTGGCCTGAAATGTGCTGGCTATAAGAAAGATATCTTCTTTGACTCGAAGAACCCTGACAGTCGGATTCGCTTCCGCCGGCCATTATTTACCGAGGAGGAACGCATTCACATGAGCGAGTGGCTGGTAACAGCTGCGCCGCCTAAATCGACACATAAGCTATTAGCCCAAATCGACGAAGAATGTGAGAATGCGGCTATTTCGGATGATCTCGAAATATCCTATGGGCCCTTTGGGGCATTTCGAGCGCAACCGCCTCAAACAGTCCATGTTGCCTCCTCATCCCCGTGCGACCGACCACCACCCGTGGAGGGATCGGATAAAACGACAGAATTGAGCCCCCCCGGAAGACGTGGTACCGATGATAGACCTCTTTCCGGTTCCATCTGGCATTTCAGCATGGTCTCCAGGCTTTATGCAATCGATTCTGGAGCAGCCTGACGGAGATCCGAGCTCATCATCCCCAGATCTTTTGGATATGATAATGGACCAGGCTCCCTTTGATAATCACACTATAGATCCAGCCAACTGTCAACTAACTTCCATAATGTCAGACTCATTTTGCAATCATCCAATCTCTCCTCCTTCTCTCATTTCCGTGCCGGGTGGAACAGGCGCTCTTCCACAAGACGCGGTGTTTCTCCTCAAGCACTACTCATCCACCGTCATCAGTTTAATGACACCCGTCAGACATAAGAAGACTCCATGGCATGTTCTCTTCATCCCGCATGCGAAAGACTGCCTTGCAGCACTCGCACTGGGCGAGGAACTTAACCATGCCAGTCTTTGTGCCTTCTATGGCACCCTGGCCACCAGTGCGTTTAGTCTGGGTGGTGTTTCTCGATCTCAGTCATGGCTTGACCAAGGTCATCAATATTTGCGCCAAGCACAGGAACACGCCCGAAATATGCTCATGGCTGCTTATAACATCCCCAAACCAGCCAAATACAAGTCAATATTGATGGCCCTGCTTACAATGGTACAACTGTCGAACTTTTGTGGAAATAGAAACGAGGCAGAAGGCTATTTCTTGGAAGCAGAGAAATTCATCCGGTTGAAAGGGTTGAAGCGAAAGAAGTCGCGAAAAGTCCGACTTCTGCATCACTGCTACGTCTTCGAGCGAATGTTCCACGAAAGCATCTTCATTGGGGGAGCAAATTCAAATCAACGAAGACATATTCGGCGAGCTATTGAATCTAGCGGACTAGCTCCTGCGAGTGTGGATGGCTTGTCTTTCCGTCTTTATAAATACAATAATTTGCATCAAGAGATGCTCCGCGTCAGAGGGAGGGAAGAGGGAGAAAATGATCTCCATCTCGAGCGACCTGGAACATTCTCCGCAACACTATACCCAGAGATATTTGGCATTCCAGAAACTTGGATGATTCTCTTATCGATGATTATTCGACTCGGAACCGAGAAAGACGCCGCAGAAGAGCAGAACAATCCGAACGAGTTAAATCTCAAAGATTTCATCGGTCGGGCAAAAGCACTTGAAGACTATATTAATCACCTTGAACGGCCAAGCCAAATTGCACCCGGTCTAGGAACCCATAAATCATCCGTCGATCAGCATATTTTGGAAAATATGCTCGAGGCCATGCGGCAGGCCTTGGCTATTTACTTCTATCGCCGAATCTACGACCTGGATGCATCAATGCTGCAAAAGAAAGTAGCTGATGTACGTGACTGCCTGCTTCAATGTGAATACGCCGATTCGAGCGTGGTACACGGTTCCGCTGGTTTCATCTGGCCAGCTTTTATTGCAGCCTGCGAAGCAGAAGATCCTAAGGTACAGGAATCGTTTTCTGCTTGGTTTGAGGTTTCAGCACAGCGCAGTGGACTTTCATCTTTTGCTCAAACTCAGGCTTCGATTGAAAAGGTATGGGAGGAGAAACGCAATTCAAATGGCAGTAGCTCGACTTGGGTCGACTTAATGAAGAGGTCGGTAGCTTTACAACAATGATATACCAGCAGGGATCAGAGTCTTTTTACACTTAGAACTGTAAATTAGTTTCTGATAGTTAAACTAAAACAGATAGTTGTATTACGCAGAAGAGGCCCAGGTGATAGCACAGAAATCTGTTCGTGTCCCCTCAATCCAGCAATCTCACCACTATCCGAACTGCCCCTCCCCGCACTCTTCGTTTTCCTTTTCCCTTTTTCCTTTTTCGAACGAACAGCGTGTCACCTGTTACACCCGCCGATTGCCTCATTTGTTGGATCTCGTTCAAGAATGGTAGGTGGAGATAAGCAAATATTCTGCGGCCCTGTGGTGGCTGCAAATTTAGGCAGGCTTCCCCGACAAACCCCACATCGGAGTAGAGGAGTATGGGAGCTCTCCTCATTTACTTATTACCAGCAGGCGACCAGCAATTATGAAGAGAAAAATGATAATTTCACCCCGCCCTTCTCAAACCTCTCAATTGTGTCTTTCACTTCATCCTTATACCTGAAATGGACGTTCCCGGCATCGCGTTGGTCACAGGCAGTGCCTCTGGCATTGGCCGCGCCTGTGCACTCGGATTGATTAGAGACGGCGTGTCTGGCATTGCCCTCCTTGATCTAAACCAACAAGCATTGGAGCAAATTAAAGCCGAAATCCATGCGAAGCAACGAGAACTTCGCCACACTCGCCCAGCCCGAGTCGAAATCTTCCCCACGGACGTCGGAAACGAAGCACGCGTGAACGAGGTCGTCGAATCTGTCGCGAGAACATTTGGACGGCTCGATTATGTCGTTAATGCTGCTGGGGTCGCCATGAAACACCCTGGAGGCACTGCTTTTGTGGAAACCACCGACTGGGACCGTATCCTAAACATCAATTTGAATGGTACATTTTTTGTTCTTCGCGCTGCCGCTAAGATCATGCTGAAGCAAGAGCCCATCAGATCAACTATTGATGGCCGAGCTCTGTCAAAAGGTTCGATTGTCAACTTCTCCTCTATTCAGGGTCTAGTGGGAATCCCGCTGTCGACTGCCTACACCGTTTCGAAGCATGCTATTATTGGTCTCACAAAGACGGCCTCTGAGGACTATGCAAAAGATGGACTGCGCATCAATGCGATCTGCCCCGGTTATACAGAGACACCTCTGACTACGAAGTCTCCTCAGATTCTGCAGGCTATGATGGAGAGGATCGGGACAGCGGTGCCGATGGAGCGAATGGGTCGACCGGAGGAGATCGCTGATGGTGTGATTTACCTGTGTGGTGGAAGGAGCTCCTTTGTGACTGGAACATCCTTGAGCGTGGACGGTGGATATACACAGCGCTAAATGTTGCATGTCAGATTGAAGTTTTTAGATTCGAATGATTAAATGTCCGTGTTAAATTAAACATACCTAGGTACTCCAGGGCTATCGCCACTTCAAGTTGAATTTGCGTTGTTTGGAGACGCGTTGAGACCATGAGTCTACGGAACGAAGTAATAGTAATTAATATCATGAACCCCCTCCGATGTTTTGAATTCTTTCAAGGTTCTAGAAGTTGAGTGCCTTACAAGTGTTGGCACCGGTTCCGGATGTGTGACCTCATCACCCCTCCAAAGCCGGCATCATCGACTGAATTACTACTATTTTATGGCGGGATGGGCCAATAGTTCCGACCAATAAGGAAATACCTTTAAATAATCAACTGGGCCTCAAGCGATCTTACTTGTCCATAAGAGTGACGTGGGATAGCATTTGTTCCTTCACGATTCGCTCCGATAACGATGAGAGCTAGAATTAGGACATTGACTTATCTCAAAATCACCAGCCAACCACTATCCTTTCTAGGAGTTCAAATGAGCCATACCGGAAGAAGTCCGGCTTCAACATTACTCAAGGCTTTACAGCGACCCGTCTCATCCCAAGCTAAGCAACGAACATTCTCCGCACCGGATCAATATAGTCGTCTCCAAGGGATAACCCGATTATCGAAGGCCAATATGAGCAGCCAACGGGTACCGATTGAACCACAACGAGTCGACGCTCCTCTTACTCAGTCGGCGACATTTCTTGTCGTGACCGCGAGGAAAACTCCTGATTCCATCACCACGATCCGTTCAACGCTTGCCGGTTTAAATAGTCTTGCGAAAAATGTCTCCATTCGAGATCTGAGTGCCCAATTTGCATGCACAGTCGGGATAGGCAGCGACATATGGGATGATCTCACAGGCCTCCCTCGTCCTGCAGAGCTGCACTCTTTCCGTGAGGTGAAAGGCGCAAAGCATACTGCTGTCTCTACACCCGGTGACTTGCTATTCCATATCCGTTCCGAGCGACGGGATATCTGCTTTGAGTTCGAACGACAACTGATGAACCAACTGGGTGATGCAGTCTCGGTGGTTGATGAGACAGTCGGTTTTCGATACTTCGATGTACGTGATCTGCTGGGCTTTGTTGACGGTACAGCAAACCCCGTCGGCCCATCTGTGCCAGCTTCCGTCCTCGTCGCCGGAGAAGATGCATCTGCAGAGGGCGGGAGCTATATAGTGGTGCAGAAATACACGCATGATCTGCCTGGATGGGGACACCTTTCCACCGAGCAGCAAGAGAAAATTATCGGTCGGACGAAGATCGATAATGTCGAGTTGGACGATGCGCAGTCGGGTCAGCGATCGCATAAGACGTTGAACACGATCGAAGATGAAAACGGGGACGAGCATGACATTTTGCGGGATAATATGCCGTTTGGATCGCCTGGCTCTGCGGAATTTGGAACCTACTTCATCGGGTATACGCGTCGATTGTGGGTTATTGAGAAGATGCTGGAAAGGATGTTCGTCGGAGATCCGCCGGGGCTGCATGATCGTATTCTGGATTTCTCGAAACCATTGACAGGAACGACATTTTTTGCTCCCTCGGCCAGTTTCCTAGCGAATCTTGATTCAGAGTGAAAATTGTAGCCTCTGACAAAAGAGGGTGAACCTCAAGAGACCAGGGCATCGACTACCCCCGGGGCCGGGCACTTGCGCGATAATTTCTAGTGCAGAATATATGGAAGAAAGAAATAGTGAAAGAAATTTTGTTCTCAATAAATAAGCTATATAATGTCTAAATTCTAGCAAGCACTTGGGGTTGATCGGTCTTGAAGTTGAATCCTTTCCAACCCTTCTCCTTGCACTCGGCGCATCTCCGGCGGTACTCAGCTGCGTGGCCAGAGTACCTAGCAACACTGCGAACAGTCTTACCTTTAATATTCTTGTTCACACCAGTCATCCAGCTGTCAACTTCATTGGACAAAGATCCTTTGCTGCACTCCACCACATGCTCTGTCCACTCCTCGACGGCTCTCTCTGTCGGCTCCACATAGGTGTAGTTGTTATCCTTGCAGTGTTGGAGGAGATCGGAGACCACCGCAACAGCGTGCTCAATAGTCCGAGGAGCGTTTCCAAATGGCTGATGAGGACCGAGAACCATGAACATATTGGGCATGGAGCTAGCAGTCAAGCCGAGATAGGTGCGTGGTCGGTGGTCGACCCAAATAGCCTGGGAGCCTTGCCGGGATTCACTGCTGCCAACAAGGGGTCGGCCATCTTTGGCGTGCCAGTCAATGGCGCTGAATGCACCGGTAATAGCATCAAATCCAGTAGCGTAGATAAGCACGTCAAGATCATGGTGTTTGCCGTCACTGGTTCTGATGCCAGTCTCGGTGATACTCTCAATGGGTGTCTGCTGCAAGTCCACGAGATGAACATTCGGCTTATTGTACACATCAAAGTATCCGCTTTCCAGAGGAACTCGGCGAGTGCCGAAGCCATGGTTCTTAGGAATTAGGCTGTCTGCAACCTTTGGGTCGTTCACACGTTGGCGAATCTTGTCTGCAATGAAATCCGAGTAGAGTTTGTTGGCCTCCCTGTCGGTGTATGTGTCGCTAAAAGCACCAAGCCACTTGGCAAAGCCTGGTTTGGCATAAATATCCTCCCAAAGAGCGTATCGTTCCTCCTTTGATACCTCCATTGATTTCCGAGGGTCGGCCTGGTGCATAAAGCACCCGGGGGTCTCGGCACACAGCTGGAAAATATCATCATAGTTTTCCCAGTGTGTCTTCATTTGCTCGAGGCTGATTGACTCGTTGCGGAGAGGTGCGGACCAGTTTGCCGTTCTTTGGAAAACCGTCACTGATTTCACACTAGGCTCTTTAGAGACTGCTGTAATTGTCTGAATACCAGTGGCACCCGTTCCGATGACACCGATGCGCTTGTTGGCGAAGTCACGCGCCATATTGAAATTCCTTGGCCACCGAGAAGTATGGAAAGATTCGCCTTTGAAGGTTTCGACGCCGGGAATTGCCGGCAGCTGAGGCTTAGAGAGGAACCCCATGCAGCTAACGAAGAAGCGGCATTGGTATTGAGCCCCAGTTTCATCGGTGAAGAGCCACTTTCGGCTATTTTCCTGCCAGTGAGCTGACTTGATGCTTGTTTGGAATTGGATATGTTTGGCGAGATCGTGTTTTTCGGAAATACGCTCGACGTAGCGGAGGATCTCAGACGCGGGGGCAAACGACTCCTTCCAGTGCCATTCGTCGCGTAGCTCTTTGTCAAAGGAGAAGGCGTAGGACAAAGATTCTGAATCGACACGAGCGCCAGGGTAGCGATTCCAGAACCAAGTTCCACCGACGCTTTCAGCGGCCTCTAGCACACGGATGCGCCATGAAGGAAAGCGCTTTCGCAAGTGATAAAGACTGCAGACACCAGAAAGACCGGCGCCGATGATAATGACATCGTAGTTCTCGACGTTGGCGGAACCCATGGCGAAGAGTTGATAGAATAATGTGGGTTGGGATTGATTTAGACTCGTAGTAGTTGACAGTAGCATCTGCGGTCTTTATAGACCACAGATACAGACGTTTCTGACATACTGTCGTACAATATGGAGTAGAGGGCGGAAACGGAGTATTTACAAGGATCGGCGATACCTTCTTGCACATGGCCGATCTCGTTCTTCCCCGCAGGTGTCCACTCCACGTGACGGCAAGACTTTCCTAAATCAATATCAATCAATGTAGAAGTAGCCAATCTGGGACGATGTCTTGAAATGAGAATACGATAAGGAATGTGATGTGTAGTCTACTTCCTAAAGGTTCCCATAGGAAAAATAACTCTTATCTACAAGATGATATGGATGGAAGAAACTCACGAGATGATACCATGTGGTGATCAGGTGGTGGAGTTTACCAAAGGGGAACCCCAGTGGGCCCTTTGGTGCCTGAGGCTGTAGATGAGTTGTGATGGGTCTGGAGCCTCAGGCACCACAGACACCCTGCCACATCTCAACACTATCTACTCTGCTTATCTGGCTATACACCCTGCAGGGACCCTCCCAGGGCCCAACTATGGGATTACCCTTGTGAAAGTTGCACGTGAGCACTACACTTTCACAGATTCTCGTAAATTCATTTGTGAACTAGCTGCTGGATTTGGTTCCATATTCCCACAGATTAGAATTCAGACGATCGATTGTAAATCCATTCTTTTCCAATATTCTTTATTCTTTGAGCTGGGCACCTTTAAGTATTCGAGATGCCCTGGAAAGGAACTGATGATCAAAGAGTTTTTCTTTTGTTTTGCTGTTATAAAGATTGTCAATTCTCTCTTTGATGACTCTATCTAACGATCTTGCTGGGAGTCCATCACCTGGACAAAGCAGATTCGGAAAGGATTTCTTGAACAGCGAGAAGTAACATGGTTGTAATTTTGTTGGAAATTTTGAAAGTCCCTTGAATCCTCAGACAGAAATTAACCCTTGAACGAGATTAAAATCTGTTGGTATTCAACGACTCCTCTTTCGCCTTGACAGACAGAACTTCAAAGCCGACGGAATTCAAACCAGCATATTTACTTTCCTAGCGAAACAAGAACTAGGCCCGGGCTGATTCTACCTCACAACACCAGACTATCAAAGAGACAAAAAGCTATAAGGTTTACTCGTATGGGTCGCTTTGTGACCGGAGCAAGACCCAATCTGTGTTCCCATTGGCAGCCTCCCCTACCCAAACGGCCTCGGAAAGCCCATGCATAGCTCCAATGTTGTATCTTTGTCACACTGTTCCTTATAATAAGAGTCTTCCTCAAGGCCTCGCAGAAATTTCCCAAATCAAAACTATCGGAAAGCAAGCACCACACATTTTGAAATCCTCTTGATATCAAATTAGTCAAACTCTCAATATTTCTTTGCAGAAAACGTTTCCTAATGTCGACGCTCGAAAATTTTGAGACGGCCTACCAACAGGCACTCTCGCAGTTCAACGAGGTGCAGATAATCAAGCTCAATCAGCGAAAAAATGTATTTGAAATTCGGAGTAAGGATTCGATAACTTCTTTGAATGGTGTGTTGGTGTTGTTGGAGCGAGGGAGAAAAGCGCGGAGGGAAATTTTCGACACGCTGGCGTAGCTATTGACCACATCTCCCCCCACATACCAAAAACAAACCTACGCCACTATGTCTTGACCGCCACCGACGACTAGACCTTAACTCACACCTCCCAACCCCATGATTACAATCGAAGAACTTCGCCGCCGTTTTCACAATAAAACGTCGTCATTTGAGCTTGAGAAATGAAAGAAAAAAAGCCAAAAGACCACATCTGCCGTCCAATTGTTGTCCAGGTTCTTAAACTCAGTATTGCCAGCATTCTCACGATTTCTGGTGGAGATGCAGTCGCGGACAACTGTTGGTGGCCTCAACCAGTTACTCATTCTAGCCGCGCCATGAGGGCAGCCTAACAGCGCAAAAGGCAACGAGGCCACGACAGGCTTTGCCAGGTGAGGCTCAAAGTTCACCGTCAGGAAGTTTGGAACATTCTCAGGGATCAATCACCATATATTTAGAAAGTATTTGTCGCCTGTATATCACTTTTTGCGAGGGCTCAGGGTACATGAAATCATCATCACTGTAGCAGACTCTAATCAATAGCATTTATAATGACCATTCCTCTTGTAAAACTCCCATCCAGATTTCATCCCACCATTGCCCGTCTCTCCATACAGCCTTCCTCAATCGGCCTTCTTCTTGAAATCCAACCCTATGGTATGTTTTCAGGGCGACCTCATTCCACCCATACACTTCTAATTGGACCCTGTGTAGATTTGCCATATTGAAAGCCCAGTTGAGAGCCCAACGTAAAACCTCAGTTCCATAGCCTTGGCCTTGTGCGTCGGGTCTCAATTCGATACCGAGATCAGCACATCTGTTTTGAACCTGGCTTGGAGGAATGTTTTTGATCATGAGGATTCCAATTCTCTCTGATTCAGAAGCTGGTGGGTTTTCTGCCACATTCAGTGATGACTTCTTGCAGATAACAACCCCCAGAAGGGCTGTTTCGAATTCTTTGATAATTGGTTCAACTGAATCTTTCTTCATGGGCTGAAAAATGCTTTTTGAAGTATTGTAAAAGATTTTTGGGTCGGAATGCATTGCGAAATACCATTCCTTATCGCGGGAGGAATCCCAGGCACGGAAGTAAAGACGATCAGATTCTAAGAAATTCATGGCTGACGTTGGCTTATTGTAATATCGTTTGAATAGAGGAAGTAATTTTCCCGAATTAAAAGAGAGTTGAAGTCAGCAATCTGGGGTCTGTCAATCCTACATTAAATAAGGGGTGAGAAATGTGAAGACTCTGCTGAATGGATCGACCCGCTTTAGGCCATATGGAAACCCCGGGGTCCCTATTAGGGATGACCCCGTTTATTTATTACGTAACACTGCTGCCTTATGATACCACTAAATACCCACAGAGGCGGTGTGCCGCATCTCGGGTGACTATTAGACAGATGTTTCCAGTGTGGATACATTGTTAAATGGTCGACATGGCGCCGAGGGGGGTAGTCTAGGCTGGAAATTGAATTTTGTGATATCTGAAATCAGGGAGTCTACGGCATCGCGATCTTCGAGATGGGGTCATCAGCTTCTGCTTCTGTCTTATTTTATGATTAAGTGGTATCTTTAGAGCTCGTCGCACGTAGCACATGGACCCATTAGAACGGGAAGAGGAATGGATCTACCCCAGATTGACCATCTGTCAGATATTCTGCGGTCCATGGTGCGATACCTCCATCTAGTATGTCCATGACGGCTAAATCGCCCGGGTCCCAGGTTCCACCAAGACCAGCGGCCATGGGTACCAAGTTCGCCATTGCTAGCGATGGGTCCTCTCTATGTTGGGGGAGGTAGAAATTCTCCGTGCCCTGGTAGATATTAGACCCGGGAAATTCATTGAGCGTCTGGCCTGAGGTTGGAGAAGGCATGTGTGGAACATCGACTCTTGGCTGATCGTGGTGGCGAGTCCGGCCAAGGCGTGAACGTGTTGTCGCGGGTGAAGCAGTGTTTTGGGTAGATGGGGAATTCGACGCAGATGATTGTACACCTTTTTCGTGCAAAGCCGTTCGGGCCATTCGATAGATAGCGAGTGGGTTGAGGACATTTTCTGGGGATTCTTGCATTGGAGATCCTTGAGCGGTGGGTCTATAGAGTGCAAGTTAGCAAAGAGAAATTCAAGATATGGAGCTCAACATACGCCGTTTCGGTTTCATTGGGGGCTCGGGGAGCAGAAATAGCACTGTGAGATAGCTGCGGCTGAATTCCAGCAGCAATCATCATCTTGAGGACAGATAAGTACTAGGCAAGTATGTGATTAGCAGATGAAGATACAGTGTATACCTGTGGGACGTCTATCCTACACAATGTTCGGCAGTTGCAACCATAGGTCTCATTTGCAGTAGTCCTTCAAGGTTTCGCTGCGCTAGAGCTATTGTGCTGTCGAATTCTCTCTGCTCTAGTGTGCGCAAGCGTTCGTTTAGCTTTAAGTAGTAAAGCATGACCTTGGTGCTGTCATGCGCAATGATGCAGAGCCAAGTATCCGCGAGGACTTTGATTCCGTGTCTCAGTGCCTCAGATATGATGGTAGACACCTCCCGGGCATTATCGAAGCAAGCCCTCCGGCAGTTATCCAGAAATTCTTGTTGTTCGGGTGGGAAATCGATGTCTTTCTGGATTCGGAATAAGATTGGCATGCCGATACGGTATAGATCAACCAATGTTTGATGAAAAGTACACCAAAGTAGTGCCAACGCGCCAAGTTGAGATGATTCTTTACGGGCATAGATGGCGCCCGGACTCCACATCAAGCTTTGCGGAAGTGATCGCCGCCATGTGTCAAATTCGGCTGATAGTAATAGAAATTCGGAGCCAGCTTGCCAAGGAGGGTCTGAGGTATCTAAATGCTTGACATATCTAATGATAGATCAGTTATGAGTTGATAAAATGGTCGATTGCCAAAAAGAAGCTCACCGCAATACCTTCTTCCGACTGCTCACAAGACGAATGAAGTATGACTCTATTCCCATATTTTGAGACGGGTCTGGGGGAATCTCATTCTCGGGAACAAAATTCAGGACCTTGCCAGCGTCAAGTGTTTCTGTGATACAGGGAATACCCAGGGTAAAGTTATGACTATGGCATGGCAGCTGGATTTTGACATCTCGATCTTCAAGCAGAGTGAGTTGATTAACGCCACTGCCTACCCAACTGTCCATGACATAGCAGCTCCACATTAAACGACGTCGTGCTTCATTGACGACGGGTGATGATTCTGACTTTGAACAAAGCAGATCGGCGGAGCTTTCTAGGTTTAACTGCAATGCTTGTGACATTCGGGCGGTCATCCCGCTCAGCATGAAAGCGCTCGCATAGCTTCCGATCCGAAGATCGTGGTCGTAGAGAAGTATTGCTGTCTGCGAAAATTTCCAACTTGAAGCATCAGTCTAAACATATCTTGCAGAAAGGAAATCCGTCAAGTATATGGAGGTACTGACCATTAACTTTTCAATTGAAAGGTCATCTAAGTCGACAAATATTCGAGCCTTCGCGATCTTGGCCCATTGATTCCCCGCGGTCAGTATATGCTCGGGGGACAGCTGAGGTGCATAATTCAAAGCGATAAATCTGTAAAGTTCGTTAAATCAGGCATTCTCGAGCAGGCTCTGCGATGACATACTTCGCACCAAGCGCACAGATCACGTGGAGCAACGATTCTTCGTCACGGAAGGATACAGCATCCTCATCTATTCTTTGCATGAATGATGGCTTATGTACAAATCCAAAACATCGCAGTGGATGGATATGAGAGAAGTATTCTTCAATCAAGGCCCAAAGTTTGTTCCCATCGGGAAGTTCCGGGGTAAAAAGCCTTTTTGATGTCAGTCATAGCGCCAGTGAGTTTGATTATTTTCAAAGGGAAATATTACCACGACCAAGGGCTTTCGACTGAACGTTCAGGGCCGTGAGTTGCATTCGATGCCGAAGACAAGGTATTTGCCGTGAGTTGCCCAGTAGAATTGGCCGCCGCTGGATCATCCCGTTGTTCCGAGTTCATAAACTTGCTTCCCCCTGAGACCGTGCGGTTTGGCTCGGGATGATAAATGCAATCCACGCCCTTGCGAGAACAACGGTCACAGCATGTACCACCCGTACACCTTGACTTTGCATAGCGGCAAGGTAAGCAGGACTTGGCTACCCGTTGCCGAACTGTTCCGGCCTGAGTGAATTCGGCATCACGGACCGATGCTTTACGAGTCTTTGGGCGGGATTGGTTGCCTCGACCGGGTGGTCCAGGGCAATCCAGCTTCAGACGCTCGCAATGTAGACAAACGGGCCATGTCTCGTCGCATTTTACCTTTCTGGCACGACAAAGTGTACATCCTAGGAAACGAGATTAGAATGTATGGAACTATACTCTTGAGGTTGGGCCCTGTAGTATCCACCAATGACAAACCTGTTCGAGACCTTCTAGGACCAGCACTCGTCTCCTGCAAGGAAGGATTCGGGCTGTCATCTCCACTTGGCGACATTATTTGTCCGGGGAATGCAGAGAAGAATGCAAGAAGAAGCGGCTCTCGCACGGCAGTCGGCTACATTCAGGGCGGTGACCCCCGGCAGAGTTCGCCTCGTATCGCCACGGCAAGTTTTGGAACACCAATTTTCTTTTTCTCTTCACAAAAAGCAAGCGGAATGTCTGATCACCCATAGCCTGTGGAGTCTGCGCCTTGGATGGCACCATCCGCCATTTGGTTGACGAACGGGCTGTGACAAGCGCAAAATACGACCTTCAATCGGTTGCCGGCACCTTTCGGATGTCGGCTACAGATCTTGCGCCATTCGTCTTCTAGCTTGGACTTCTTCCTGAGCTCGAGACAAGGTGGAGTACATAAAAATCCGGGGCACCGGACCTACAACTTGCACTGTTTGTTCAGCATTTCAACAGCTTGCTTTTTTCCCCCTTTGGCTGGAACAATTCACCGCTGCTGTTCATCATGGGCAAGCTTCCGAGCTTCAGTAATGTATACCTGATCAGTGGACTAACAACCATCGGAGGCCTTATTCAGGGCTTCGATGTGTCGAGTATGTCTGCAATCATTGGTACCAATCAATATAAGGAATACTTCCATAAACCCAACGCAGTTTTGCAGGGTGGAATTACTGCAAGTATGGCAGGTGGTTCTTTGCTCGGCTCATTGTTCTCGTCGTGGACGAGTGACCGTTTTGGCCGTCGTGATTCTTTGTTTATTGCATGCATCGTGTGGTTGATTGGGTCTACACTGATGTGTGCCGTTCAAAATGTGCCGATGTTGATTGTTGCCCGGATTATCAATGGCTTCTCTGTGGGCATGCTCACCAGTCAAGGGTAAATATACTTGCCTCCCGAGGTCCGCCGTACAAAATACTTTGAACTCGCCACTGACGCACTTTGGAATAGTCCTATCTTGATTGCTGAAATCAGCCTTCCTCACCAACGAGGCCGTCTACTTTCTTTGCAACAATGGATGATTACTTGGGGTGTAAGTTTTCACGCTCACTCCATCGTTTTTATCCGATGCTGACCGTCGCCAGATTATGATCATGTACTTCATTAGCTATGGAGCATCTTTCATGGGAAATAATGGTGTATTCCGTCTTCCTTGGGCTATTCAGATGTTACCTGCAATCCTCCTGCTATTTTGTCTTCCGCTGATGCCACGTTCTCCCCGTTGGCTAGCGGCACAGGATCGATGGGAGGAAGCAGTCGATGTTCTTGCCCGACTACACGCCAAGGGCAATACTCTAGACCCCGTTGTCATTGCACAAACTACCGAGATCAGGGAAAAGATTGAGTCAGTCCTCTCTTTCCCCGCTTTTTTAGCCTCTTCGGCGCTGATTGATTTTCTCTTTTAGGGCGGAGAAGAAATACCAGAGCTCGTCTTGGATGGAACTGTTCAACTCTCGCAATATAATTCGCGTTCACTGTGGTATTTTTACCCATGTCTGGTCACAACTTTCTGGCACCAACGCTCTGATGTACTACATCGTTTATATCTTCCAGGTAAGTTTAACAACCTTGGAAAGCCCCAAATTTCGGTTCGAGACTAATAAAAGCCAGATGGCTGGTTTATCTGGAAATAACACCCTCATATCCGCCTCCATCCAGTATATTATCAATGTTGTCATGACCTTACCGGCTCTAATTTTCATCGACAAGCTTCCTCGTCGCCAGCTGTTCATCTTTGGGGCACTTGGTATGGCTGTTTTTCAGTTCACACAGGCTGGTATCATGGCCACCTATGGTCACTATGTTCCTGGTGGCTTGCCTGGGTCGCCCACTGTCACCTGGAAAGTTACGAACCCCAAGGCCTCGAAGGCGCTAATCGCTTGTTCATACTTGTTCATCGCAACATATGCGCCCACATGGGGGGTAAGCCACCTGCACCAAACTTCAATATCGTGCCACGCAAGCTAACAGATTCCAACTCTAGTCCACTCGGGTGGTTCGTGAATCTCGATACAAAGTCTCAATTCTTCTCCACCGAAATACTGACGCAGTCTCAATTAGGGCTTACCCTCCGGAAATCATTCCCCTCTACATCCGCAGCAAGGCCGTCTCTCTTTCCACCTTTTTCAACTGGGGATGCAACTTCGCCCTCACATTCTTCACCCCGCCTGGATTTCAAAACATCCAGTGGAAGGTAATTTCGGTTCGCGTCTCATATATTATTATCACATCTCTGACGACATATAGCTGTATTGTATCTTTGGCACCTTTTGTCTTCTCGCCGCTTTGCATGTCTTTTTCCTCTTTCAGGAAACATGCGGCAAGTCTTTGGAAGAAATTGATGACATTTTCGATAATCAAAGCATCTGGGCCTTCAAGGCCAAGAAGGAGCCTAGTCGTTTTGTAGCTGATATTGAGCAAGCGAAAGAGGATCTCGATGCCGGGCAGGTGGATATCAATCATGTCGAGGCCGGCAAGTCTTCAACTGTATAATACTAGGTATATTTAAGTTGGTTGGTTATCATGAGTTTCCTCTGTACCGAAATTGGCCCCTATTCAAATTGTTTATTTGCCTCAATAGATACTAGTAGTACTCAATTGATGCAACTTTCCCATGTGTTCTAGTATCCATCGAGGTGATGGTGTAATTTAAAGTGTATGCATTTTCCAGGGTTATCACTGAGTACCTAAATCCATGGATCTGCTGTCCATTAAATTTAGTATATTGAACATAAATGACTGTTGTTCTATATCGACATGGCGAGATCTCACTTGGAAGTTGAAGTTTACGTGATGAGGCCTAGTATACAAGTCTTTTGGTATCCACCGGCATCGACCACCACAGACATCTATCAACCAGCCCGCCACTCGGGGCCACGTGCTTCTTCCACAATTATTGACCAAAACTATATCGCGAAATAGAGTCACAAGATGGCGCAAAGTATAATCAACCCCACAAAACACGCCAACACCCGACATCCGTACCGACATCCATGCCTGCTCCGCGCACCTCTCCATAGCCGACACCCGACATCAGCAGCATCATAGATAAGAAACGTCGCTCGGAAGCCCAGGCTATATTTCTAGCATAAGATCAATCGCATATAACGCGTATGATTGGACCATTGCGAGAAAACCCATCATTTACACCAACAGCACACCATTGCCACCAAAATGGCGAAGCGAAACATCCTCCTCATGATCGCCGACGATCTAGGCAAGCAACTGGGCTGCTATGGAAATGCCAAGATCCAAACGCCAAACCTGGACCAACTCGCCGCCGAAGGAACAAGATTTGATCAGGCGTATACCAGCACCGCCTCATGTAGTGCCAGTCGCTCGGTCATTTATACCGGGCTGCACACGCACCAAAATGGCCAGTATGGACTGCACAATGGGAGACATCACTTTACTACATTCGATCATGTTGAGACGGCACCAGCCCTGTTCTCTCAACACGGCTATACAACCGGCTTAATTGGCAAAGTCCATGTCGGCCCCTCGTCTGTTTATCCTTGGGATATGCGTGCGGAGAGTGATAGCCGCGATGTCGCCAAAGTAGCAGACCAAGCCTCGACTTTCTTCCAAGACTGCAAGAAAGATGAGAAACCCTTTTTCCTAACGATTGGATACATCGATCCGCACCGAGACCTCACACGCTCGGGCTTCGGTAATAACGAAGACTACGACCCCCGGGTGAAGAAAACCTCCTACACAAGTGACGACGTCGCCGTCGAACCATTCGTGAACGACCTGCCAGGCGTCCGATTCGAGTTCGCAGAGTACTACCAGTCCATCTCACGACTGGACCAAGGCGTAGGCATGGTCCTGGACGAACTCAAGAAAAACGGTCTAACAGACGACACGCTGATAATCTTCATGAGCGATAACGGACCCCCATTCATCAATTCCAAAACAACCCTCTACGACGCGGGCGTGTGTCTCCCCTGCTAATGAAATGTCCCGGATCACCACCCTCGATCCAGAATCCGAACATGGTCTCCTACGTCGATATCCTGCCCACACTCCTAGACTGGTCCTCGCACCCAGCATCCCCAACAAAAGCCAATGCCATCCCCCACCCAAACCGAGTCGGCCGCTCCCTCCTCCCCATTTTATCACAGTCCTCGCTGCAGGATTCCTGGAAACGAGTCTTTGGCTCGCACACCTTCCACGAAATCACAAATTACTGGCCAACGCGCTTTATGCGTACTGACCGATTCAAATACCACCGCAACATCGCTTGGCGTCTGGATTTCCCCTTCGCGGCTGATATCTACGGCTCGTTGACTTGGGAGGATATTCGCAATTCGGACTCTAGGATGATTGGATCTCGGGCCTTGAAGGATTATTTCTTTCGTCCCAGTGAGGAATTGTATGATGTTCTTGCTGATCCGCAGGAGGTGAGGAATCTTGCGAAGGATCCCGAGTACGCTGCTGTTTTGGATGATATGCGTGCGCAGGTTGAGGCGTGGCAGCGTAGGACGGAGGATGCTTGGTTGTATAGGGATGGGGTGTCGATGTTGCTTGTCAAGCATCATCTTGAGGCTGGGCTTGAGGTTCCGGATCGCTTTGATTTTGATGAGAAGGCGCCGCGAGGGAAGGGATTGGGGAAGTTTGATGAAAAGCTTGCTTGGGGTGCTGAGGTTGAGAAGTTCTAGTTAGTCGTGGTTGCTGCGGTTTCCAAGGTTAGTAACCGCTAATTTGTATCATAAGACTTGAGTTTCATATTGAAGGATCTTCCCAACCCGAAAGGGTCGTCTGGGAGTCATTTGTATATGCATTTATATGATTGTATCCAGAACAAGTTCCAAAAGAGTTGCCAAGATGAGTATCAAACAGAGAGGAGAAAGCCAAGCCCGAACATGAACATGAGCATGCAAACGCCAGACTCAGGTATAAATAAAGCCATGCAGAAACAAAGATGACCAAAAAGTAATCAAAAATCTTCATCGATCGCCGCCGTCAAAATGTCGTTTCTTCAGATTATATGTAAAGTCCCAATGCCATGAACACCATTCCAAAAACACGGTGCAAGCAGCTGTTGATTGTATACCGGGGTGAGCTGGAATTTAGTTCATCATACTTCACCCCATGCCCCAAGTCCAGCTCCAACACCAATCCCAATTGCACTCCCACTATCCACGCTCCCACCGATATCCCAGTAGTTCCGACTAGACCCCGTCAGCGTGCGATGACTGGATAGAGCCGAGAGTTTGGCACTCTGGCTCGCACAGCTAGAGCTCGGCCTCCGCATATGTGGGCGGATAATAGGCGACGAGACGCCTGCGGGCCCAGATATACCGGAATACTGAGATGCACGTCGCGGCTGAGTTTGCGAGCGTGAGTGCGCGCGAGCCACGAGCGGGTGGTGTTGGCGGATCATGGCGGCGCGGCGGGAGGCATCTTGTGTGTGACGGGGAGGTTGAGTCGGCGTGTATTTGTCTGTTGGCATGTAGCCGCGACGACTAAAGCGGGTTCGGAGGTAGCGGAAGACCATCATGACATCTAGGCCGCGCTCCCAGTACTCTTGTTCCTGGTGGATGCGGGTTGATTCGGAGACGGGGTCTGCGCCCGGACCTGTTGGGTCGTCGTCTTCGATTCCCCAGTGTGCTTCGTGCTCGCGGTTTGCGTCGCGGAGCGTCGGGATGAAGTGTGGTGAGGGCATGGAGTCTGCTGTGGTGGGGTCGGTGGAGAGTTGGACGGTGGACTGGATGTTTCGTTGAGCGGCGCTGCTCTCTGCGAGCTTCTCTAGTGACATGCCTGCATATTCACTGGAGATACTCTTTGTCATTTGGTAATAGTTTGCGAATGCCCCCGGGTGCTCGCAGAGCTGGTGGACTAGCATACCCAGCTCACGGGTGATGCGTTGCAAGACATGGCTCTGCCAGAGAGGTGAGTCTGCGTGCTCTGGTTCCGCCTCGCGAGCCAGGACGGTTTCCATATCTAGCTCTTCTGAGTGTCTTGAAGACTCCTGGTCGTCCTGCGGTAGGGATTCTCCAAAAATGACGCTTAATAGCTCGTCATCGATACCGATGAGGTCTCGGATGACTCTCCGGGTGATACGACGCCAGAATGACTCGTCCATCTCCTTGATATCACTGACCTCCTCATCTGCCTGAGATGAGGAGATCACCTCCGAATGGGCCTCCACGATCCGCGCCGGTGAGAGATCCTCGACGGAGCGCGGAATGCTAAATTGCGAGGCCCGGCTACCCCGGCGTCGTCGGGTCTCCCGCTGAATCTCCTGCAGCAGGGCCTGACTCTGATCCATCCGCCACTGCTCGATGCGCTGCCATCGTTCCCGCTCTACATCCGCCTCCCCCTCATCGACGGTATCGAGGTGTCGCTGGACACTGGAATGACGACGATGTCGGGAGAAGGACTGTCGTCGCTGCGGATTATACTGTTCATGCTGCCACAGTTGTTCTTGGGCCAACTGGCTCGAGGCTTGGAAGCTGCCCAGGCCATCATGGGCCGGGAGGAGAGCCGGCTGCCCTTGATCCACCCGTGCGGGGTGGGGGACAGAGATGGGGCGCGGAATGCATGCAGCCCATCATCCAAGCTGTCCAGCTCGGTACTTTCCTCGTCGAGCTGGTCATCTAGTGCTTCGTCTCCTTCGGCGTCAATCTCTAGACCCGCGGCGGATTGCGTCGCGGTGCCCAGAGAGTCAAAGTCACTTAGATGTGTGCGTGTCCTATCCGTGGAAGTCGTGTGGGTACGAGCAGTCGGGGAGAAGAGTACCCATTGTGTTGTGTCTTCTTCTTGTTGCTCTGTTGGGGAGGAAGGAATATCAAGAGAAGGCGGGCGCTGAGGGGTCGAATAGGAAGTCCGTCGTCGCGGCGCCTGCGCTGGAACGCGGAAGGCCATGGTGATCAATGTGGAAGATCAAATCAGATCAGTTCGGGCGTTCGGGCCAGATAAGCGTAGAATCAAGGTGAATGACGTGGGAGATCCCCGCTATGAAAGACCGCACGGGCGGTCAGAAGCAGAGGATCAGTCCTGATGTTGAATGAGTTGGGCAGAGAGAAGGGGTGGTGAAAGGTAAATGGTAAAAGAATGGGAACTTGAAACTGTAGGGAGTAAATGACGCGAGGGGAATAAAGTCCCTGGGAAGGTTGGAGGATGATGCGTTGATAAAGTGTGAGAGGTGGAGTCCCGCGGATGATGCAAGATGCGGTATCGGACCACTAGAACATAACACAGAGTAGAGTACTGCAGTCAGAGTGAGTTATATGAAAAACTTGAAATCGTTGTTGACTTGTTGACTTGGTCACTCCGTAGACAGGGCAAAGATACCATCATCTCAGCCTGATAACGCCAGAAACCCCCTGGCCAATGTGACTGCTCGCGTGTGATGGCCTCGCTGCCCTGCCCACCACCCCTATTTGGGACTAGACAAGTCTGACGTGGAGAGATTGTGGCGACGGATCGACCAAGTATGTCGATCGTTTCGTCCTGACCGACGTTTCCCCGTTTGCCTTTTGGTTGGGAGGAGGATGCAACGTGGACTACGCTCAGATCCCAGGAACAGGATAGGAACAGGAACAGGCTCATACTTGTATCCTCTAGAGGTGGTACTCTGAGATTTGGACCTTCGATAGAATATAGGCATTCGCTCACTCATCAGGGTATATACTACTACTTCTCCTATGGTTAACTCGATCAAAGTGGCCTGGTAATCCTGGGCTTTAACCACTGCCAGCCAAGGCCTCTCCAACCCAATCCATCTGTACGGCGCTAACCCCGCGTGCGTAGGTGCGATTCGTAAATACAAACTCATTATACATAATCGCCTCAACCTTCTTGCCAAATAGTACACTAGACGGGTGGATCGCAACGGTCTGGTTGCCAACCACCGTCCGGTAGCTACCATCCGGTACCAGGCGAGCGGTGTTGGTCGCAAAGCCACCAAGGAAGCTTTGCAAAATAAGAATCGGCGAGGGGTCCGGGAAGTGGTCATTTCTCTGGTCAACCGGAAGCATTTTAGCCTGTCGGCACTGCATGCGCAGCTGCTTACGAACATCCTAAGGGGGCGGGTTAGCTTCGACTCCTTCCTTTTGATGTCAAGCCATCCATCAATTAACAACGACTAAGGAAAGAAGGAACATACCATGACAGACTGCATCGCGCGATGCGAGACCAGATGTCGCTCAGCCCACGCTTTCCGGTCAGCGTTCTCGGATGCGTAGGCACGCACCGTCGCTAACATTGTCAGATGATCACCCTCGCGTCGGTAAAGATCGCGTCGGGCCGTCTCGGCGGCTTCCTTCTTTTCTTCCGAGTTGGCGTTGAGGAAGATATTTTCCACACTGAGACATGAGATGATGTCGATAACATCTGTCAGGCAATCACCGCCATGTTCCGCTGCCGCGAGAAGTACACGTCCCAGCGTTGGTGTCAGTGGCAACTTGGCGATGTGTTGGCCAATCTTGCTGATTGAACCGGTGTCATCGAGAGCTTGGATATTCAAAAGCTGGAGGAGGGCTTTCTCAAGTGTCTCGCGCGGTGGGCGAGTGAGGAAGGGGAAGCGGACAATGTCATCGACACCTCGCGCTTTCATGTTCAGGAGCGCCTGGCTCAGATCGCACCGCAGGATTTCGGGAGTATTCGTCTCGTCGAGGGTCAGATAGTCTTTTTCGGTATAGAGACGGAAGCACTGGCCGGCAGCTTCACGACCCGCACGACCCTTTCGCTGGATGGCCGCGGATTTGGAAATCGGTTTCACCAGCAAGGAATCAAGACCGAGTCGCGACCGGAACTGCTTGACCTTTGCCTTTCCGCAATCCACCACGAATCGCACCCCTGAAACAGTAACGGATGTCTCAGCGATATTAGTCGAGAGCACAATCTTACGTGTGCGAGGTGGTGCGGGCATGAAGACTCGCTGTTGCGCAGCCTGGGGCAGGGCCGCAAATAGTGGAAGGACCAGGACCTTGGGTAGACCCGGATCCATGCCAATAGCGTATTCATTGACCAGATGCTCGAGGGCCTCGACGGTCTCTTGGCCAGTCAAGAAGACCAGAATATCACCAGGCATAGGCTCCTTGTAATGGATCTGAAAGATCACTTTGAGAGCGGCGTCCACGAAATCGTGCACGGGTTCGGGGGAGTAGATTGTTTTGACGGGGAATTGACGGCCCTTAATATGGCAAACCGAAATATCTTTAACCTTCCCGTCTTCCTTTTCGGTCTTCGCAGATCCGTTCTGTATGCGCTTCTTTTCCTCCACTTCCAGCTTAAACCCTTCTTGGAAGAAGCCCTGGAGACTTTCCATATCTGCCGTAGCACTCATAACCACCACCTTGAGCGGTACACCACCTCTGCCCACTTTGTCTCCGGAGACCAAATTGCGCAAAAAGCCAGTCACCAGATCGACATTCACGCCTCGTTCGTGGACCTCGTCGACCACGATCGCGCTGTACTTGGTGAGCCACGGGTCATGCAGCATCTCCTGTAGCAGCATTCCCTCCGTCAAAAACTTAACACGGGTGCTCGGTGAAGTGGACGTATCGAATCGCACCGAGTATCCAACTTTACTCGCCGGCGAGGACGAGCCAAGCGGTGTCCCCATTTCCTCAGCGACACGGCGAGCAAGCGTGATGGCAGCGACTCGACGAGGCTGCGTGATAGCGATACAACCGCCGACCTTGACCGATTTCTGTGTGCCATCCTCCTTTGTGATCTTCGTATCGGTCGGTCGACACCAGAACTCATTGACCAGGAATTGCGGGATCTGCGTACTCTTTCCGCTACCCGTTTCACCGACCAGCAGCATCACATCTTGATCGCGGAGCTTCTGCCGGATCTCGTCGGCATGGCCGAAAATGGGCAGTTTCTTGCGCTGTTCGTAAAGGGTGGCTGCCTTCTCGCGGAGGGAGGAGAAATTCGTCTTGGAATCGAAGGTCTTGGGTTTGGACTGGTATGTTGATTTGGGCCTTTGTTGGGATTTGCTGGGCGGGTTTTGCTGGACTGTGTCGCCATTTTGTTCCACTGGCTCTGTCGCAGATTTCTCGGCTGCCGGTGAAGGGGTTTTAACAGGTTCTTCGTGAATTGGCTCGTTGTTGCGCGATGGGGGTTCGTCGGCGGGCTGGTCGCGCTTCCTCTTGTTGCGTTTCTTCTTCTTGCCAGTCTCCTCGGGTGCGGGTTCAGGGACAGCCTTTGGGGCCTGCTGGGCAGGCTCGCTGTCGGCGTCACCAAAATATGTCTTGAGCCGCTCCGGCATTCTGTGTGTAAATAATTGCTAAAGGTTCAAGGTGAATGTCGGCGAGATCGAAAAATCCATGGGAAATTTCCGTTATCGATAAGGAAGGCTTGGCATGTCCGACTGTGGAGCGCTCGTAGTATACTTTAGCATACTAGTAGTTATTAAAAGCAATTAGAGCCATTTACTACTATGAGCCGTTAGCAATTATAATGCAATTGGTTATTGTTGCATATTGTCCTTGGTTGATCAAACTTCAGGTCTGAGTCTCATTTCAAGTTCAGACAACTTGAAACTAGCGGTGCAATGGTTTAACTCCTGGTTACTACTAGTTAACTATACACTACTACTAGTAGTAGTAATATGGGATCATCCGAGTCCATGGATACTACTAACAACCGAGAACAGAGGCAGAATGTCTATTTAGGACTCGGAGCCGCATGGGACTCGAGGGACCCTTTCCTTTTCTTCGAAGTCCAGGTTAGTATTTGAATTAATGCAGATCGTGCATCCGGATCTCATGTTGGACTGATATTAATTATTGTACTATAGCTACGATTATTTGGAGGCCCTTCGACTATTTCTACCCATCCCCAGCTACTATTCAGCTTGAAGTGTTACCAAGTTCCAATCCACCTGAGAATCACTTCTGACACCACTGACCGATGTTCTCATCGCGATTCTACTACCATCGAAAATGAATTTTGCCGGCATTAAACTAATAGTCGTGCTTCTATGGCTCGTGGGTGGCTCCTAGTGGCCCGATCTGGAATCTGAGATCGAAAGCTCTATTTAGAAACCAATATACTGCAGCCACCCGGCAGACAAGCTTCAAAAGCCCGACTTTATAATAAATCATACGCACGTAAACATGAAGCCAACGGTTGCCCAGATAGAGTTTCTACCTGACATCTGTAGCTCTTGCGATGCTAAAATGACTGATGACATACTGGTCAGACTAGACGACTTCAGAGGAGCGATTGAGGATGGATTCAATCATATAGAGCCATTAAAATCTTTCCAATTTGGGTCATCCTCCTGGGCATGTATGTTGTACAGATGATAATCTCCAATATGTAGTTACCTGTATGGAAGCGGGATTTGCTGGGAGGAACAAATTTGGAAGCTCGGGCATGTCAATATTCTGTGTTTGGATTGTTGGGCTCAGATCCAAGCTCGCTAGGTTAGCTCACTCAATGTAAGGAAGAATGTGCAACCATCGAGGCCCGAGGGTGCTAATGTAAGTGATTGGGATATTAGAGCATCAAGGGAGATTACCTAGCAGGATGGGGGGAAAGGGGGAATGATATAGTATCTACAGAGTACGGAGTACTCTATATTGATAACCAAGTACACTGGACCCATCAGGATAGTTCAATATATGGTCCATTTTGAGGAGATTGACAGGGCGGATTCGAGAAGATCACCACGCCACACCCTTTCAGCTCGAGGCTGGAAGGCAATAAAGAAACTGTCAACTTAGCTAGTACACAGAATATGAGAAAGGGCGCCAGCCTCCCGAAGCGTCGGGAGTAGCTAAAGACGATCTAGACCACAGCTGCGGTCAGACTACAGTGAAAAAGGACGATCTCATCTGAGCGAAGGGGTTTAATGCCGACCATATGGTCAATGACACGACACGATGCAATGTATACCATTCATCGCTTACCATTTACCGTTTTTTGCAAGCCTTGTGTCCCCACTACTAGCCATAATCAAATGTCGCCCCGGGTTTGCCGTTTGGCTGCCTTCCAGCGTGATGGATGTATCAAATCCTAAACGGCCCACAGCGGGGGAAGCCAATCAGCATTGTTGCGGCGCTACGACACAGAACACCTTAAGTCCCATCCGCGAACGCAAAAATCGATAGAATTGCCGCCGATCATCGAATCTTCTTCGCGCCAACTGCTTGACAGGTTCCGCCCCTGCGCCATTGCATCATCGTTCTGGGATCGACTCCGATCTCGTGGAGGCTTACCGCGCCCCACCGATCGATCGTTCGATCGTGTTGGTCCCTTTGTGACCTACCTATTTCTACACCCTTTGTTTTTATTCCCGCTCACAATCGCATGGTTCTCCGGTAAAAAGCAAAGGTTAGAATTTTTCGAGGCAAAATTCCTTGTAGAATTCGTCGATCACTTGATGCATCAATCCGAGACAGTTCCATTGGTCGTAAGCTGAAGTGGGAGGTGCGAGATCTATTAAATACGGTGAGGTGAGCCCTTCCCCGGCTTGTTTTACCCTACAGTTCTCTTTTGCTCGTACTACAGATCGCACTGTTGTTTCTCTTTGTTTCTGTTGTTCTGTCGGCCTTTCTCGACTTACTCTAAGTATGGAGCGCACAGATTTGAACGAAGGCTTCACCTGCCTCGATGCCGAGTCGATGCGATCATTTTCCGAGAGCTTGCCTGACGAGTATCACGAATGGGTGTCAGAATCTGGGAGGTCATCCAGGTCAGTTAAGATAGAACAAGTTGAAACAAAAATAATTGAGAATCTGGGACCTAATAAAACCAGAAATGAGCAACTTCTTGACGACTTCCCTCGGCCACCAAGTCGACCAGGGAACTTGAACGGCGTGAATGGGAAGAACCTCGACGCAATCGTTGAAGAAGAAATATATCCCACCCCAAAAACATCAATCAAGAACCTGCGCAGACATGTCACAGCCAGCGAACTAGTAGTCACCGCAGCCAACGACTATCCCCTCCTCCAGGAGCTCAACCCCCACGACGGCGCAGAAGAATTCAACCCCATCAATGAAGAGGGAGCTTGCTACGATCTAATCGCACCATGGGGAGGGGTTGATGCACCTCTTCACAAACTTGAGCGTCTCACGGACGTCATGTTTGGAGAAGAGCATATGTTATCCATCCTGAATAACCCCCGTTATCTCGCGCGATTTCGCGAGTTTCTAATTGAAGAGCGCCCCCGCTCTATTTCAACCCTTACATACTACCTTAATGCAGCCAAGGCTCTCAAAGCGATCGAATATGCCAATGCGCTCGTGCGCCTGTCCACCGACATTCCGCCTCCATCTGTGCGGATCGTTCAGGAATCGAATGACGCCGTTGGAATCACAGTCAACAAGGTTCTCGAACAGCGAGTTGCAGATGCGCTTAGAGCGTTGACGGCAGAGGAACTTCCTGCATTCATTACTTCAAGATGTATCACCATTACGAGCAAGATTGTCGAAGAGCGCGTGCGCGGTACTTTACCACTGAAGTTTCGCGAGACGTCGAATGCGCTAGCGGAGGTCTTCTGTTTGACCGATCCGTCGAGGCCTGATAACCCCATTATTTTTGCATCAGAGGGTATGTTCCCAATTTTCCTTTTTGCCTCTATCACGAGATCATTCTGACTATTTCAGAATTCCATCGTACAACGCAGTACGGTATGGACTATGTCCTCGGGCGAAACTGCCGTTTCCTCCAGGGTCCCAAGACAAATCCGAATAGTGTTCGGAGAATCAGGGAGGCGATTCGAGATTGCCGGCACCACTCAGAACTCTTCCTCAATTAGTATGTCACTCTGCTTTCATATCTATAGGAACTGTAGCTAATTTACTCACCAGTCGCCGAGATGGCTCCCCATTCATGAATCTCCTCCAATGCGCACCTCTCTGCGACAGCAAAGGCCGCGTGAAGTACTTCATCGGCGCACAAATCGACGTCTCGGGTCTCGCCCTGAGACGGTGCGCAGATGGAGTCACTGATCGATTTGCAATCGCGCTACAGAGACCCAGAGGAAGAAAGCGTGGCTGAAATGCCGATTCAGAAACACAAGGACGAGTTCCAGGAAATGTGCGAATTGTTCAGTCCGCGTGAGCTGAACGCTGTACAGGAGCACGGTGGCGATCTCTTCCAGCCTATTGCTAACAGAACCTCTGCGTCGGTGCGCGGGGGACGGCAGTGGTTGCAGCGTGGGGGCTCAATCGATAGTGAGTTGGAGGCCATTCGTCTTCGAGATCTCAAGTCGCCTTTACTGCGTGGGTCTTTGGCGGGCGTATATGAGAATGTAAGTCTTCTCCTGTCTCTCTACGGGTGGATATGTGCAATTTACTAACCAGCTCTGGTCTCAAATAGTACCTCCTCGTCCGACCTTACCCTTCCCTAAAAGTTCTCTTCACATCACCCTCGCTTCAAATCCCCGGCATGCTTCAGTCCTCCTTCCTCGCTCGAATCGGCAGTTCAAATGCTGTCAAAGACGAACTCGTACAAGCGATGGAACAAGGGCGCAGTGTGACGGCACGAATCAAGTGGGTTACACGGTTCAGCACCGAGGGCCGTAATCGCTGGGTTCACTGTACGCCTTTGTACGCGAGCAATGGCGAGGTTGGTGTTTGGATGGTTGTTATTGTTGACGATGATGAGGAACAGATTATCAATTGGCGCACTTAGACGGAGCCGGGCTTACTACTAGACAGACCTTCTTTTTTTCTTTTGATATTTCTTTTGTATATATCCCCTCCCTTTCTCACGATGTGAACACATAGCCTTTTTCTTATTTAATTTGAACGATAGCCTTGGAAATTTGGAATCTTTGTTGAAGTTGCCACATATTCAGGTTTTGAGATGATACAATAGAGCTTCGCCGAATTGCTTCAAAGAGACGTTATGCTGGCAGGAATAACGATAGTTAAAGAAATCTATTTTTAATATTCTTCTTTATGTACTCCATAGCCGGAGGGCCTATTTTCCTTGTACGTGGAAATCATCAGTCATAATTTAACGAAGCCCCCAGCCCCTAACCCGACGAAACACAAATGCTCGGTCATTACGATGACTGAACTCGCCTATATCGTCAGTAATGGTATTGTAGCTCCAGAAGCCCTGCCAAACAAGTTTGGTATTTTTCGACGGGTTCACGTGCGATTTGGATGGTGTCGGCGATCGCAGTGACATTCGCATCATGTAGATGTAGTGTGATGCCGGGCCCTCCGTTTCAATCACGAGGTCGCGAGGATCAGTCGATGTAGGTTTCTGGCCTGGCCTTAGGGGGAATTCTGCTTCTTCGAAGCCATCCTCGAGTGGGACAGGAGGAGTCAGGCGCCAGCGCCCACGAAGGCAGTATTTTAGCGCCTCCATGGCAACTGGAGGAACATAGTCGGCTGTTCCGGGCTGGGCCTTGGAAATTTCAGACGCCCGTAGATGGTGGCCGCCTTTTTTGATAGCTCTCGCGGCCATCATGTTCTCTTTGCTGATGTGCGGTACGACATCTACTGGCTCTGTTGTAGTGAGCAGTGAGACCACTGATCCGTCTGGGTAGAAGCGCAGGTAGCGATAATATGTCACAATGTGGATGGGACTATTCCATGAGGTAGTCTGGAAGACCGAGGCCGCTCCCGGTCGCATATAGTTAACCGTGCTGATGTAGATACCCGTAAATCGGATTCGGGGGTAGGACTGGAACACCTGGCTCCAGGAGGATAGCGGCTTCGGGATCTCTAAAGGGGCTCCTTCCGGGAAGGGCGTGTAGCGCTCTCCGCTGAGGGTATAGATGGGCTGTCCAAGGGTATCGCAAGAGAATGCATAATGCATCCCCTCGAAGCCAAACTCGGGCTGCTGACAGAGGTGTTTCCAGATACTTTGCTGGTGCACGAAGTGATAAGCAAATTGCTTACAGACCAAGGCCATCCGCCCAAAGGTAGCAGGGTCCCGCACAGCAACATGTCTAAGTATCTCGATCAATACCTCTGAAGGGACTTTCGCGATAGGACATGGCGGCGGAGGGGTGTTTTCTACCAAGGGTTCGGCCTGCGGGATGGGTAGATGAGCGAATGAGGCGATCAGTTCGGCAGTGGAAAGATTCTCAGTGTCAGCATCAGCTGCTGCTGTAGGCGCCGGGGCTGTCACGGGCACTGCAGCTGACTCGCTGGGAGGGGGGTTGGGCAGGCTTCTTCCAGACATGGGAATAGTGCTTATTGCGGTAGGACTTGTCGACGGCTGAGTCGAGCTAGTCATGGTATTAGTATATATAGGACGGATCGCGGTCTGAGCCAACCCCTCAGGTCAGACTCACTCGATATGCCTTGCGATAGTGCTGGAGGCTGTCGCCAAGATTGCCTGCAGCCTCCTTCTCAACCGCCCGCTCAAAGTGCTCCAAGGCTGAGTTGGGCTCCTCCTCCTCTCCTCGGGCGAAGATATCTTCCTCCACTTTCTTCCTTGAGTTCATACTCAGCTCTCCGACCCGCTGTGCCAGCCCATCCGGATCGAACGCAGCCGGTGGGGGGGCCATCTTCTTCTTCTTCTTCTTCTTCTTCCACCTCCCCCTCTTCCTCCAAATCTTTGCGGTGAATAGCTTCATGGTACGGAGGCAGTCGAGGCGGGGCGGGCGCAGCGGGTGGAGGGGCAGGTGCAGTGGACTGAGTGGACTGAGTGGACTGAGGGGTAGGTTGAGACCTTGGCTTTGATCGTCGAGAAACCTCCTCGCGCCACTCGCGACGAAACGACTCAAGCTCCGCGTTGTCTGCCATGGCGGGGGCCCGATGTCCGGTGTCGGAGATCGATTAGACAGATAAGCCCCTCGAAGGATCCACCAGATCCAAGGGAGGAAACAATTAAGAAAGAGCGATCGAAGGAATTCCGACCTCCATCTAGAAGATCTCAGTTGTGATTGCTTAAGTCTGGGAAGTGTGAAAGGAAAGAGTTGATAAGGTGAAGGTCAAGGCAAGAGAGTATCAGAACATCCCGGCTTATCTCCTCCGTCCTCCGACCTCCGCCACCCGCCAATCCCCGAAAAACTTCCCGGTGACGCACCCTTCTGCTTTCTATCTCTATCTCTTCCCATCTCTGTTTTCACTCCCCAACCTCTGTTTATCGCACGATCAGCTTTCTCTGATCGAATGTCGGTCGGGCTGGATATCTCATCTTCTACACATTCCCCAGCTGGCCCTGGACCCCATCTTCGGAACCGGCCCGAGATCGACTCCTCTGCGGAGGCGTTATGGACGTCGCATTTTGACGACCCTTCAACAATGGCGGCGACAGCAGGGAATGACTCCGTGCCTCCTGCACATGCGTCTCCTTCAAATGGTGATATTTCAGCTAGCCAGCGCATGATATCTGCATCGGCGGGCAACATCTTGACAGGACTGCTCGGTGAGTCTACTTTTTCCCGATCGCGATACCTTTCTCCGAGGCTTTTCACTGACCCTTAGCCAGTCACCCCTCTCGATGTCGTTCGCGTCCGTTTACAGTCCCAAACCGTGAAGAGCATCAATCCATCACAATACACCACTCAAACCGCCTCAACATTCAAGAAACTTCCCCCGAATATTGGAATAACGGCCTGCTGTCGAGAGGTTTTCTGGGTCGGAGAGAATGCGCAAATGTGCATGCTGGGTCCGCAGGGCGGGGCTCTCAGCGCCCAGGCCATGGATTGCGCCGTCGAGGAAACACAAAGGCGGACATTCACATCAACTTTCGATGGGCTACGGAAAATCGCCCGGAACGAGGGCATGGTTGCCCTGTGGCGAGGTCTTAGCCCGACTCTGATGATGGGCATTCCGGCAAACATTATCTACTTCGCCGGGTATGATTGGCTTCGTACCGATGATCGGAGTCTTATTAAGAAAGCCGTTTCGGATACTTATGCACCATTTGTCGCTGGCGCGATAGCTCGAACAGCGGCCGCATCTGCCACAAGTCCTGTGGAAATGTTCAGGACCCGTCTCCAGGCTACACCGGGAACCGGCGCTGGACACTTCAAGGAAACCTTAGAAGGCTTGTACCAAATGACCAAGGTGAAAGGATATACATCTCTCTGGCGAGGTCTATCCCTTACCATGTGGCGCGATGTGCCCTTCTCAGGCCTCTACTGGTGGGGGTACGAAAAGGTCAAGGAAGGCCTGGAAGGAGCTCGCCAAAACGCGCCTCATCTTTCTAGCTCCGACGCAGAAATCTCGACCGCGACCGCCTTTGCCGATAGCTTCATTGCCGGTGCTACTTCAGGATCAGTAGCGGCACTGGTAACAACGCCCTTTGATGTTGGAAAGACACGGCAACAAGTCTTCCGGCATATGGATGACCACGTCTCACCCACCGCCGCCCGATCTACTCTCGTCCCGAAGGCTATTGTCCCGGAACAACTCTCTCTCCCCAAATTTCTTATGCACATATTCCGCGAGGAAGGTCTCGCTGGTCTTTTCAGCGGATGGGGAGCCCGCTGCTTGAAAGTGGCACCCGCCTGCGCTATCATGATATCAACATATGAGCTCGGAAAACGCATGGCTCGTGATGTCAACGAGCGACGACACTCCGAAGACTCCTAATCCCGTCGCATCTTATCTCCTCTCTGTAATTTTATAATGCATGCACTCGACTGCCGAGCGCTCTCTCACAGCTCTTGTTTTGGCCCGTTTTGTTCTTTTTCGGCGTTCCCATCCTGATGATACCGCATCGACTGAATCATAGAGCTTTTGCATTTTGTGGTTTTCTTGTCTCTCTTAAGGACACTGGCGGAGTGATTTCTGGGATCAAAAGCATTCCCTTTGCTGTACATGTGGTGTTCGTGAATAACTAATCTACTACAAAAAATACAACTACTCTCCAATATCTTTGTACTTTGTTTTGAAACGGTCACGCAATCAGAACTTCAGAGCATGCTATACCTCTGCAGCTAACTAGTTCAAGAAGGGTTAGCTGTTCCCCAAAATCATGGGAATCCCCAAACTCCAAGCTACTAGTAAAAAGACATGCTTACTATGCACTCGCCCGGATGCATAACAGAGGACTTTCCGAAACATCATGTTCTTCCCGAGACTCGATAGCAGTGAGTATCAAGTAATCGACTCCGAACTAAAACACAAGAAATGCCCGACCTATCCCGTTTATACGATGTGCACTGACTCATTGATCGGCGCGCACAGCCGACCTGGGGGGCGCAAACCGGGGTTTGCGCACCGGGCGCGAGCAGATGATCAGATTATGAGGCTGAAGAGCCCTGTTCCCCCCTTTAAGCCGGCCACTTCCCGTGGGGTCTCTTTCCTTTATGTTCCAATTCATAGGTTCATGTCGAGAACGCGACTCGAATGAACCATGTCTCGATCCACAACGGGGCCGGCGCGTCCGCCATACTTCGATCAGATACTTGCGACTCCAGAGACCAACGTTGAGTGAGATTCCCCGCAGCAAAAAAAAAGTAACAGCTTACTAACGAGCTTGTTCTAGTATCGTCGCTGTCCCACCTATCGGTGCACATCATAAGAAAACTTGGACGGCACAAGGCTCACGATCACCGTGGCTAGGAACTGGATTCCTGGGGTATATGCCGAGAGCGCGGGTGCTGCTGTATAACCATGGCGAGCTACGTGAGGGCGACAAGATCGAGGCTTTGGGGCAGCGACTCCTAAATACCCTTTTGAGTGAACGCAAAAGTTACAGTTCGAGTCGGCCTATCTTCTTCATATGCCATAGTACCGGCGGCCTCGTGGCAAAAGCTTGCCTGGCTTTAGCTTCACGGGCCGAACCGAGCCAGGCAATCCTCTCCAGCTGCCATGGCATCGCATTCTTCGCAACTCCCCATCAAGGGTCGAGCTATCTATCGGCAGATGAATATGATCCCAGCATTCGCCGACTTCTGCACCTCGAATGGGATCTTCCCTTGTCTCTGAGGGAGCAATTTCGCCCTCGATCTGCTCGACTATGGCACCTTTCTAACATGTTCAAAGCTCTGTCTGCTGATATGAAGGTTTGGTCTTTCCTTGAGACGGTTGACTCGACGCTACGTGTTCAAGACCCCGAGACGTCTAAGTACATGGAGTTACATGCTCCGATCACATCCATCCGTTCAGGATTGTTGAGTATTGAGCATGAGGACGAGATCCCTATGGCAACAGACCATGCCGGTACGGCTAAATTTCAAGGCCAGGACTCGGCACGCATCACCTTTCTTCGCGAATTGAATGAGGCAGTAACTGGGGCAGTGAGGCTCTCCAAGGAACCAGATACCCCACTCGCGGTTGAGCGTGAAGTCATCGTTCAGGTTAATGGTTTCTTCGAGGATACGGCACTTGGGGTTAGCGATGAAACTCCACTCAAGATGTGGTCAGCACGCGTCTCTCTTGAGTACTATCTTGCGCAGGGTCCATCGGCATGTCTTCGAGAACGTTTGAAGCGTATCCAGCCCGGTGGCTTTGATGACTCGTCTATCAGTAGCTTTGACAGCCGTCACTCATTTCCACATATTGTTCACGGTCCGAATGAGATGGGAGGGGATGAGACTCACGAAGGCACAGAGCCACCTCAAGTTCCCCAAGAAGTCAAAGTGAGACAGTCACGACCGATAATGAGACAGAGTCGAAGTTACATGGACCCTTCACTTCAATCTCCTACTATTCATATTACTGAGGCCGCAATGGACGGGTATTTCGACACGGGCAGCTCACCAAGCGAAACTTCACCACCGCAAGAAGAAAGCCCACGCCGCAACTCTATCGGCAGAGCTCTAGGGTTGATACCGTTTACTAGGGCTCATAAGCGAAGTAGATCCGATAGTAGCTCACAAACAAGTGGCTCTCGGCCGCCATCGAGCTCAGCATCCCCACCGCGACAATCGGCTTTCCTAGCCATACCACCCTCAACTCGAGACCGTGTAAGCCAAGACGCTGAAGCTCCAGATGTCCCTCGCTCGATTCCTCGCTTTGATCGTCCAGAACCGGATACGGAAAAGTTACTCTGGATTCACGTCCCTTACACTCATACCGGGTGGGTATCGCAAGTGATCCGGCGCGCATGTAAAGATCGTGATGAACCAAATTTGTACGCACCCCACCCTTTTTCAATCAATTCAAACCACAAAGCTAATCACAGATACAGCGTGAGGAAATTTATTAATGACGAGAATTGGTACCTGAATCTCAACAGGGCTCGCCATCTCGAGCCCCATGCGCGATTTGTGAAGCCACAATGCATACATTCGAGACAAACAGATATCTCTCACGGAACTGATTCTGATGATTCGGAGGATCCACAGCTTGCTCTATATGTAAGTCTCATAATGACCACCACCATGGTCGTTACTAATTAACATTTTACTTCTAGACTCCTTATGTATGACAACCTTCCAAGGTTTCTTATACAGCGTGCACTGCTAATAATTTGCAGCTTCATTGGGATACATATCGAAATTTGATTCAGCGGCGCAAGGTGGTCGAAGACAGGCTCCGTCAAGGGCGTTCCCGACCTGTGCCCAACCGAATTGCGAGGTCTAGTCTAGAAGCCCAACTCATTTGGCAGTATCTAGGCTGTGAACCGCCAATTCACTTCCGACGGACGCTAGATCAATTCGGATACCCCAACCTTCGTTCTACAGTCGCTAGAGATGATGACCAAATGCTCTGGAAACGAACTCGGAAGCCTGCCCGGCTCGACGCACAACTTCGAGCTTATTTAGAAGCCGCAGAGGAAGATGCAGAGGACGCCGAGCCTACTGAGTTCATGGACGGCAATGTTTTGATGGTCGACCAACTTTGGATATGGATCGTCGATCGGAAGACCGTTGTCACATTCTTTCCGAATCAGGAGGCTACAACATCTGAAGGCAAACTCTATGAGCAATCGAATCTTCACAGCAGCATTTATAATGAGTTGAATGGAGATCTCGCTCGTCGATTTGAGACGGCGGGTGATCTTGCGGCTCTTATCATGTTACACGCTACAACGGTTCTTTTGGATAAGACTCTCCATCACGACCTGCAGGTGCTACGTATTTTTGAAGAATCAATCAGTATACTAGTAAGTACCAGAACTACAAACTTGCTTTGCCTGCCTTCCGAGACTAATCGAGACAGACCGAATCTGTCACAAAGTCTTTCAAGCGTTTCCGAAATCGTGGCTTCACCAATCGACCAGCCGACCACGACAGAAATCCCGATGGCAGGATAATGACGGCAGGTCAGCGTGATCAGCGAGACCGACAAGTTGCACGTCGAAACCGCGACGATTTATCTGTTTTGCTTGAGCTTCGGGACATTGAGGATGAACTGTCGACCATCCTGAGGCTTCTCGAGCAGCAGGACTCTGTCATCAAAAGCATGAAGAAATACTTTGACCGCAAAACCTACGGCAAGGTATTTTTGGACATGGCGCAGTCTAGGATCGATGAGTATCGCACTCAGATTGAAGATATGAAGTCGAATAGTCATACGGCGCAGAAGGCCGTACGTATAAATTACTTCCCGGGCTTGTTATTGATTGCTAATTTTGCCGACTCTGTCAGGTGGAAACTCTCCTTGATCTCAAGCAAAAACAGGCAAACGTGGACGAGGCTAAGATGGCGCGGTGGCAGGCTGAGGTAACTCAGAACCAATCGAGATCGGTCATGGTCTTTACTATATTCACTGTGATGTGAGAAGATATCCATTCTGCTCAATCTTTTTCCGCTGCTAATGCTTTGAAGATTTCTTCCACTGTCCTTTTTCACGTCTTTGTTCGGTATCAACGCTCGTGAATGGAGTGGCGAAGCTACTAATCTCACATTAGCAACAATGATGGAGATAGCTGGTAAGAAAATTATTTCAATTCAACTTCCTTATTTCTTAATAGTCGGACTAACTTGTTTCTTTCAAGCACCCGCATCCTTCGCCATCATCGGCTTGTCTCTTCTCATGGCCTTCAGCGAGAAACTACGTGGAGCGGTGACAAGGTCACATAAAATAGCTTCAGGGCTAGCCAAGGACTTCCTGGTACTTCCGACTAAGACTTTTCTGCATTGGCAGACCTTTAAAAGCAAAATACCCACGGTCTCAGTCCCTGATGGCTCAAGCATGCGGGAGAGACTCGATGGATATATGGGCTATGAGCGCCACAGGGTGAAGTTTGATGAGGACTTTTGGCAGCGGCGCCAGAAAAATGATACACGGGCAGGAGGTAGCTCTAACGAGCCCGATATTATGCTTTCTGTTCTTGCCGAAAAGGCGAGGCGGAAGAAAGAGGGTGTCTGAACTTGTAATATACTAGTAGTACTTTCCGGAAATGAATAGTCAGATGGATGTACACACCTGATCTATCGAACTGATTTTATCTCAAGTTGAATTTGATCTTTCTTTAATGTGAACCACAACTTTATTTTGAACTGCAACTATGAGTGGCAAGAACATTCTTCAAGCTCTAACATCGAAGCTGTAACGATCAAAATACATTCAACTACCGAAATGGCAGATACCACCCGAAAAGCAACGGTTCCGCATGCTCAGCATGGTATCCCTGGTTGGAACCTTCTTCGAGGTCATGCGACATTTGAACGGCTCATTAACACTACACTGGGCGGATATCTTGACACTATTGACACGTTCAGCCCTTGCTAGGGCGAAGATCCAATCAACCAGGACTGCCCGCCGCCAAATTTATCAGAGGGTTTATCATGGACAGGTGAGGAGAGTGTTCCCGAACCGGGTATGCAAACCTTGTTTCCAGAACTCATTTGCGTGGGATTTTAGCCATGGACCGCTGCACCTTTCTCCTCATCCATTCATCATCAACCTCGAAATGCACGACTGGATTTTGATACAAGGACCAACGAGTGACAAGTCCAGTCGTGTTTCTCTGTTCGAAGACTCGTTCGCTGTGGATGGCCACCCGACGAGGCAACACTTACCCAGTTGAACGAATTTCTCTCAGTTGACCAGATGTCCAGGTAACATTGGCATGCAACATTGGATGCCAGGAGGGGTCTGCGACTTTCTAAGTGAATACTTATAATACGGAGCTCTGCAGATTGCGATTGAATGCGAGAGACGACCACTTTTCTAAAGGCTGCCCGGAGGCATAACCCGCGCCGCCGGGCTGCGCAGAATGATTCTTACGGGGATTAGTATACAAAACGATGAGGTTGATCAGTCTGTCTATACTACCAGTATCCTATGTGCCATACATCCGAGGCTTTCTCCCAGAGACTGCCGACGATATGCTTTATGCCTACGCGGTTAGATTTCGAAAGATCGAGCGTTGCAAGGCCATCATCTCGCGCGCACTATTCCCACTCTTATCTCCTCTCCTCAAGATAATCGCTTTCTCTAAATTGCTGCTACAAACTGCCTGGAAATGATACCCGTTGTTCGATGCGCGAGCTACTCTCAACAGCGGCAAACAATTTTCCGGAAATTTACGAAATGAAGCATACGCTGTGGAGTTTCAGGTCCAGAGATTCCGAAAATTGAATATTGGAGATACTACAGCAGGCAAAATCGTGGCTTTTGCATGTCTTTTCTATGATCTACTTAGTCCGACAGATACTCTTTCGTCCAATCTACCGCTGGGCGGTATTTCAATCTCATATGTCTCAAATGTAGTACACTTTTCAGGAAAGTTCAAATTTGAAGCCTCATGTTTTATGCACCGCATTTTGTCTTGTTATTAGTGCTCTTCGGACTCTTCCCCTGGCACTTTCTTCTTCGTTTGTGAAGGAGGAACATACAAGGGGTTTCCGGATCGGCGTTCTATGCACAGTGTTCTCCTTCTCCTTGTCATGGCCCCCGTTAGGCGGTACAGTTATTCGCCTTTCTCATGGTCGATATACACCTGCTGCGATGTGGACGGGTACCTGTTCCTCAACCCTGGTAGCGCTCCTGGCACTGCTCAGTGGTAAGATTGACGAGCGTACAGCCCCAACATGGAATAATTCGGCGAATTCCAGTTGATGAAAGAGGGGCTGGTTTTTTGCCAAGGTTTTCTTTCCATGAGTTTCCTATTTTTTTCATGTATGTATGGCGGACGATAGGGGCCACAACTGCATCCCGATCCTGTTCCCACATGCTTCAGGATCCGATAACTAGATCCTCTTCCTCAATTACCACATTTTTCCCCTTGGAGCACCTTTGAGCGCTACAATGAGCGCTGAAGAATTTCTGGCCAATGTCGAGAGCGGCATCGTGCCTGTGACCTGCCATGAGGATGTCTTGCGGATCGCGTTTCTCTATTTGGATGAGGGACTGTGGAACGACAACGGGGTGTTCAATGTAGTGGAGAAGCTGCACGCACATGGTTGGTCCTTTGGTGAGGGCGAGTTACGATTTAACCGGTACAGTCAATATCTCCTAAATGTCTACTAGCACTATCATTAACAAATACTATACAGAACACTGGACATATTCTACCTCGCACAACTAGCAGCAGCCATCTACCGCTACACTTCCCAACTAGAAGGGGACTTCCCCTGCCTCTCCGATTTCCCAACCTTCTACACAGTCCACCACGCCCTGCTCCATTCCTCTGCCTGGTGCTCCTACTACTCCCCCCACTTCCTCGCTCAGCGCACCACAGCACACTTATACCGCCCGCCTAACCTCCAGGACCTGCCCGAATCCTCCTCCCCGTTGGGCCAGCCGCGCCGTAGGCCGGTATCCGCGTGTATCCTAAAACTGCCCCGCTGGGCATACACTGTTTTGCGCACGTCGTACAGGCAGCCTTTTCTGTCCTTTGAAACTCTTACTGCTATAGCCCTACGTACACTGGAGACGACTATGACACGCTTGCATGAGATCTACCCTAGCGCACCGCCTTATTCGGAATCACATGCGCGGTTCTGGCTTGAGTATTTTACGCCTGGGTCGTCTCAGTTGGCTAAGATATCTTCCTCGGGAACGTGGGGGCCTAATAGGTTTGGGATATTGGTTGCGCAGGGGATGTATGATTTACATAGTTTAGAGGCGGAGTATCTCGCACAATCGGGGGGATGGGGTGAGGGGGTCGGTGAGGAGGAGAAGGCGATGTGGTGCGGGTTGCCTGATGGAGGGATTCAAGTTTACGCGTCGTGGAGGGGATGGGAGGAAGAGGCTGGGAGTGAGGAGGTGGAGTTTCTGGCTGCTGTTGCGGTGGAAGAGACGGTTGGTCTCGGAAATGAAGGGATAGAACTTGAAATGGATGGCTTGGACTTGTCGATCCGGTCACATATACTGCTGTCGGTCATGCAGGCTGCGGTCAAGGATGGGGAGGAGAGGGAATGTTTTCTAGGCGAGCTGGAGAGACGGATGGTGCAGAAGGGGAGAATTGGAGAGAATAGAGCAGGGATGTGGGTCAAGGAGGCCATGGGAATCATGGATCCGTATGTACGCACATGGCAGGGTGTGTGGCCTGGTGTAGATGCGAGGGGGGAGATGCTGCGGCGGATCTTGGTGGAGAATGCGCAGCTCTTTGCACGTTGGAGGGTGTCGCCTCTCTTGAGGCAGTTCACTTTTGAGCTAGAGCCGAGGGAGTAAGGCATTTAGACTACCATTAGACAGGTGTATAGGTATGTATGTACAGAGTTAAGCATCTGAGACCTTGATATTGTGGTTGATATCATTAAATTGAAAATGTTTCAAAATAGAATACTACAACTATTTCATAGATATCTTCATGTCCTAAATCGTATGCTAAAGGAGAGACAAAATATTCAAAACAGAACTCCACAACACCATCCATGCGCATGTCAACTTGGAAGCTTTCTCCGGAAAAAGATTTTCTCGTTTCCTACACAGCACCAGGCACTTCATATTGAAAAAGAGAATCCCCAGATAAATGAAAAGAAATCAAGGTCACGAAAAGAATATAAATGTCGTTGATTTGGACGAAAACAATGCTTGGCCTTGCTAATCGATGGAAATATCCAAGACAGATCGAGAAAGAAAAAGGACGAAATGAGATGAGACGATAGGGAAGAACCGCGATGGGAACCGCAGATACTGTGATGTGATGAGATGAGATAAAAAGTAGCGTGACAAATCCAAATTGCGGTCATGTTTTATGATGACTCGGCCGCTTGTGCAGGCAGAGATGCGATGTTCATGGCTGCACACTTGAGAATCGTCTGCATCATAATATTCCCGTTCAACGGTTTGGAGAGATAATCATCCATGCCCGCCGAAAGACACTTATCCCTGTCGCCCATCATGGCGTGGGCCGTGAGGGCAATAATAGGCGTACGTGATAACGAGTTCACTTTCTCGTATTGTCTGATTTTGTTCGTTGCTTCGAACCCGCCCATAACGGGCATTTGAATGTCCATGAGGATAACGTCGTACCGGTGGCGCTTGACCTCTTTGACGGCTTGTAAGCCGTTTTCGACGACTGTCACGTTGTGGTTGTCCTTTTGTAGGATTCGGACGGCGACCTTTTGGTTGACGTCATTGTCTTCGGCGAGGAGGATTGCTAGGGATCGGGTGAATCCTGATGAAATGCGGCTGGCGCGATTACCCAGGGCGGGAAGGATTCCGTTCCAGAGATCTATCGGTCGGCAGGGGGTGGTTATGTAGGAGGCGATGCCGAGCTCTCCGGCTGATTTGAGAAGAATTGAGATGGCGGGTGCCATGATTGTTAGGGGAATTGAGGAAAGATTTGAGCAGATGCGGATTTTCATTGCTGTGTTGACGGTTGATACGATGATTGCATCGATGGCGCAGTTCCAGTCTGCTCCTGGCTGGCCTGGGAGTTGGGAATCAGGGATGATCACTGGTTGGAGGCCGAGTTCAGATAGCATCTGAGCAGCGGGGAAGTCTGGCAGTTGGCCATCGTCAACGCATAAGACTCGTCGATTTTTGTAAGGAAGTAGTTGCTCTGCAAATCCGGCTGGTTGTTCGGCAACCTTGACCCGGCACGTGAAGGAAAACTTGCTGCCCTGACCTAGCGTTGACGTGACCCAGATATCACCACCCATTAGAGAAACAAGGCGCTTAGAAATTGCAAGTCCTAGTCCTGTTCCTCCGAAACGTCGAGTCATCGAGCCATCCGCTTGCTGGAATTTATCGAAGATGAGACCAAGCTTGCTCTCCTCGATTCCGATGCCTGGGTCTGCAACCGAGAACTCGAACATAGCCTCGTCTGACTGGAGTTGATGGTTCTCAACACGCCTAACGCACACCTTGATCTCTCCGTGGTCAGTGAACTTGATTGCATTGCCAACCAAGTTCAACATTACTTGGCGAAGCCGATAAGCATCGCCAAGAAGATAATCGGGCACGTTTCCATCAACAATGCACGCCAAGCTCAATGCCTTTTCATTAGTCTCCACTGTCAGGGCTTTTAGTACGCCGAACACGGTGGAGCCAAGACTGAAAGGCATCTTCTCAATATTCATGTGGTTGGCCTCGATTTTTGATATATCAAGAATGTCATCGATGATGGTCAACAAACTTATGGCAAGGTTGTGCACCATATCCAAGGTCTCTCTAACAGGGGCCTGGAGGTCATCCGTATCGAGAGCCAGACTGGAGAGACCAATAATGCCATTCATCGGAGTTCGGATCTCGTGACTGATGGACTTGTTAGCTCGACTTGCACTGCTTTGACCAACTCTCTACTACATACCTCATATTTGCAAGGAACTCTGATTTACTGCGATTCGCCAGCTCCGCGGCTTCACGGGCTGCCTGGTTCCGTTGAATGCTGTCACGCAAACTGTTGATCATCTTATTGATCTTCTGTTTGAGATCATCCATTTCACCCGAGGCTGATACGGTAATCAACTTTGTGAAATCACCACTCATCGCTGCTTCTGTGATCTCTCCAAAGGCTCGGACTTGCGAGGTGAGGTTGTCTGCCATGGTATTGACGTCTTCGCTGATAGATCTCCAAATACCAAGGGAACCTTCGACATTGGCCTGACCACCAAGTTTTCCTCTAACACCCACATCTCTCGCCACGACTTTCAACTCCCTCGCGAATTGGCCGAGGCCATCAACCATGCTGTTAATTGTCTCTTTCAATGTCAAGATTTCACCCTGGGCATGAACCTCGATCTTGGTACTCAAATCTCCGCGGGCGATTGCTTGTGTCACGTTTGAAATCTGTCTAACCTGCAACGTGAGATTTTGCGCCATGGTATTAACATTATCCGTGAGGTCGCGCCATCTACCCTCGACGTTCTCGACCTGGGCCTGACCACCCAGTGTGCCGTCCGTTCCCACTTCCCGCGCCACACGGCTGACCTCGAAAGCGAATTGATTAAGTCGGTCGACCATGGCGTTAATGGTAAGTTTCAAGTCCAAGATCTCCCCTTTCACGTCGGCAGTGACCTTCATCGTCAAATTACCACGGGCAACGGCCGTCGTGACCTTCGCAATCTCACGCACCTGCTGCGTGAGATTCGAAGCCATGATATTCACATTATCGGTCAAACTCTTCCAAGTCCCCTCGACGCCATGAACAACCGCCTGACCACCAAGTGTCCCATCCGACCCGACCTCCCGCGCAACGCGACTAACCTCAAAAGCGAACTCCCGCAGCTGATCAACCATCGAATTGATAATGTTCTTCAGCAACAGGATCTCTCCTTTACAATCCGCTTGCACCTTCCTCGTCAGATCTCCCTTCGCCACGGCCGTAGTCACAGTCGTGATATCGCGAACCTGAGTCGTCAAATTATTCGCCATGGCATTAACATTAACCGTCAACTCGTGCCAAATACCCTGAATACCTTCGATCCGCGCCTGACCACCCAACACGCCCTCCGTGCCAACTTCCCTCGCAACCTTCGATACCTCCTGGCTGAAGATCTGCAGCTGATCCATCATGGTGTTGATAGTCTGCTTAAAGGCCGCGATATCGGGCGACATTTCGAGCGGGTGCATGCGTGCGCGCTGGGACAAGTCGCCGTGGGCTACTTGGGTGACGATCTCGCCGATGGCGCGGAGCTCTTTGTGGAATGCTTCGTTGATGTGTGTTGATTTTCGGAGCTCATTGCGGAGGGCGGAGCATTCGTGCTCGACCTCGGCGATTGCACTGTGTGATTCACGGCGGTAGATCAGCTCGTCTACGATTAGTGAGATGAATTCTCGGGGCACAGAGACTTCGGGCGTTTGTTGGTGTTGGAGGGCGGCGCGCGCTTGGGATAAGTCTGCGTCGCTGACCAGTGTTGGTCGACTCATGTCCACCAGTGCCGCCATGGTGACGGGGGGGACTGGGAACTGGACTGAGTTGAGGAGGATGGGGAAGAGTCGAGCGGAGAAGATCGGGTTCAGTCAATCAATGAAGTGGCGACCTCTGCGTCTTTGTTTCAGCTGCAAGAGGGTTAGTGGGGGGGGAAGATGGCGGAGTACAAGAAAAAGAGCTTTTATTGAAGTGAGGGGGAGGGGGAGGGTTTTAGATTTTGGGTTTGGGGTTGAAGTGGAAGCTGACTTGAAGAAGTGAAACCTGGGGGTGGGCCGATCGAGACGCACGATAGAGAGTAGCCCCTAATGCTAATAGCAGAAAGTTTGGTATGGTCTGGTTCGGCCTGGAGTAGAGTGGAGCGGAGCGGATAGACAGGCGATCTGACACATGAACAGAAAGTAGTACTATCAGTACAGCATCTCACGCGCAGTCTCCACAGGTCAGGTCACCGGTCTTTGAGGAAAAGATAGCAAAGTAGAGTGGAGAGAAAGGTAGGTGTGACGGGGGCGAGTGAAGGGGAAAGGAAAGAGGAATGAGGCCGAGTGGAAGTGCCAAATCCAGTCTAGACCGCACTCCGCACTCTCTCCAGGCTGGAATTGCCGACGGGCGTGACCAATGATCCCACACCAGACCCATCACATTGAGAATTCCAGATGATCGGGGATGTACGAAATACCTAGACACTATCAGGCACAAGTACATGGGAGTACAGACAAATTTAGTTTATTTGTTTACTTCAACGTTGCAGATCGGGCGGGTCGATCTGGTCCACCAAGAACCGCACAAAGCGTGACGATCGGCCATCCCCGGAGATGACCCCCCCCATCCAATAGAGAGAGAGAAAAATTTGAAGAAAAAGAAGAGAGAATGGGAATGAGATAAACCGTACCTTAAGGTATGATCCCCAGGAAGTGGGAGAGGAATAAGAACGCACCACAATACACAACCATATAGGCATAGGAAAAACTAGCTTATCTGTATACTTCCAACGTTACAATCAAAGAGTGGAGAATATATCCGCCTTGTACCTTAAACTGTTGATACTCCGAAGCATGCTACATTTTTTAAGGAAGGTAGAGAGGACCATTAAAAAAGATTAAGAAAAGAGTATTACTAGTAAGAGGCATCGGGATACTAGGAGAACCGTGGCCAGCATAGCGAAGAACCGCTTAAAAAGAATGAGGATCGGCTATCCCCGGGACAGATTAACCCCGGCTAATAAAGCGAGGAAAAAATTGAAAAAAAAAACTTGAGAGATGTCAACAATGACACTCCGCGGGGGGGGGTCGAACCCCCAACCTTCCGATGCTCTTAGATTTAGAGTCCCAGGGAGATTTCTCTTCAAAGGCCTTTCTCATAAAAGTCGGACGCTCTAGCCTATATTATGTCTTAGCTTCTGCAACTGCTCGACTTCGGGGGAGCGCATCGCACCAATTGAGCTAGCGGAGTCGCATTCCACTCGACCATCTGGTCGCAGATAAGATAATACAGGGCCAGAATGGAACTGGATATTCTGCGGTGAATTTTATACCGTTCCCGCTTTTCTTGCAACTCTGCCAATCAGAGCTTTCGGAAGCTCTCTCCGCCTGCGGGAACGCTGGTTTTCTGCCATCCTGCTGCCCCTCCAAAATTCATGCTCCAACTTGAAGTTACTTCTTCTTACATTCTGTCTTTGGTTTCTGTTGTATATCTCGATTTTTGGTTATCTTCTGCCTCTAAACATATCTAATATATGCTCCTAGGTGATTCAATACTATATCTATAACTTATTCCGGCTTAGTACGCCTCCGCAGATACTCTGGTCAAGTTTCTACTAGTACTTCGTACACCTGCCCAGATGGGCAGCGAAAGCGCCCGGTTAGGGTACCCTAACGTATATGATCTACCCACATACTTAGGAGTAGGTAAGTTCCAAGGTTTCAAGTTCTTGGAAGTTTCCCCCAGGGCCAATTAAATAATACAATCTTTAACTCCATCAACCTTGGAACTTGGTTTAGTACCTTTTTTTTCGATATCTTGGCCTATTATATGCTATTAGTAGTACAGCGGTATGGCATATACTCGCTTCCAAGGTTAAGACTTGCCCACTGACAGGTGGAGGCTCTCGGCGCGGCAATGTTTTTGAGGCTGTGCAAGATGAGCTTTAGCATGGAGCCTACAACATTACTACTTAATCTCTACAAACATCTACTAGTAGAGCCCCCCCCCAAAGGCCCCAGGGGAAGAGAGAGAATGTATCGGCTGAAAGGTAAGTAAATAAGATAATCTCCAGGGCTGCTACTGGTATCAAGCGCCCACTTATACACAGAACTCACACCCATGCTGGAACAAGGTTTTACTAGTAGGCGCATCTCTTTGTCGACCGTGCTCTATGGTTCTCACCATTTACGGATATCCACACATTTTCAAGTTCATGATCCATCATCTCGAGACTCGATTCCATGCGGATTTTGCGGGCTGTTTCGCGGTCTACATTGGGTCTTTTTAAGGGAGAAAGATCTATCTACCTATAGTCCTGAGTGCAGTCAGGATTCAAGGGCCGGCGTGATTGGCCCGCACCAAGAAGCATCTGCCAGACGAGAAGAGAAAATTTTTGCTCGGGCTGGGCTAGTTGGCAGGACCATATGCCTGAAAAGCTTACAATGACAAAGGAATTCTGGAAATACTTCAAGGAAACCTTCAATCTGGACACTTCGTTGGAGGTTATTGGCAGAAGCAGGGCGTCAAAGTCACCGGGAATCTAGAGCTTGCTTCAGACTGACAGTCGAAAAATGAAGACATACAATAGCAACTTGAAGGAATTACATTATCGAGTGGAAGCATATGAGCGGAAGCACATACTGTCCTCGTAACCTAGTATTTCAAGAAAGAAAAAAGAATATAGATGCAGATCAGAGATGCATTAAACGTAGATAAAACAGTATGATACATAGTTGCGCCGAACCATTTTTCGAGCCCCAGGAAGTGAGTGGAGAGGAATAAGAAACAGCACACAACACACAAGAATACAGGTATAGGAAAAGATCAAAATAAAAACCACATTACAAAAGTTCCAGGGCCGTCTAAGATCCGACGGCGATGCAAGAGATCAGGGGGATCGGAAATCATCATAGATGCACACGGAGAGGCGAGGGGGATGGGGACGAGAGCGAGAGACGAGGTTCTTAGAACATGCCACCGCCCATACCGCCCATACCGCCCATACCACCCATGCCACCGGCAGGGGCAGCAGGGCCCTTCTCCTCGGGAGCATCGACGATGACAACCTCGGTCGTACCGAGCAGGGAGGCAACACCGCTGGCGTCAACCAGACCAGTGCGGACAACCTTGAGGGGATCGACGATACCGCTGGCGATCATGTCAACGTACTCGCCCTTGGAGCTGTCGAATCCACGGTTGAAGTCCTTGGCGTACTCGTCGGTCAGCTTGCCGACGATGACGCTACCCTCAAGACCAGCGTTCTCGACGATGGTGCGGGCGGGGCGGGTGATGGCACTCTTAATGATGGAAACACCGAGCTGCTGGTCGAAGTTGGCGGGCTTGACGTTGTCCAGGGCGTTGGCAGAGGCCTTCAGGAGAGCGGTACCACCACCGGGGAGGATACCCTCCTCAACTGCAGCGCGGGTGGCGTTCAGGGCATCGACAACACGGTCCTTCTTCTCACCGACCTCAACCTCGGAGGAGCCACCGACCTTGATGACGGCGACACCACCGGAGAGCTTGGCGAGACGCTCCTGGAGCTTCTCCTTCTCGTACTCGGAGGTACCGGGGTCGGCCATCACGCCACGGATCTGCTCGCAGCGCTGGGAGATGCTGTCCTTGCTGCCCTCACCGTTAAGGATGATAGTGTCCTCCTTGGTGATGGTGATAGCACCGGTGGTACCGAGCATCTCGGGGGTGAGCTTCTCGAGCTTGATGTCGAGCTCGTCAGTGAAGACAGTACCGTTGGTCAAAACAGCCAGGTCACCCAGAATGCTCTTGCGGTTGTCACCGAATCCGGGGGCCTTGACGGCGGCGACCTGGAGCTGTCCGCGCAGCTTGTTCAGGATGCAGACGGCAAGAGCCTCACCCTCGATGTCCTCAGCGATGATGACCAGGGGGCGGCGGAGAGTGGTGGAGGCCTCAAGGGCGGGGATGATGTCCTGGACAGCGGAGATCTTCTTCTCAGAGAGCAGGATCAGAGGCTTCTCGAACTCGACCTTCTGGGACTTGGGGTCGGTGATGAAGTAGGGGGAGGTGTAACCACGGTCGAAGCGCATACCCTCGGTGACCTCGAGCTCGTCCTCAACGGTCTTGCCCTCCTTGACGGTGATGACACCCTCCTTTCCGACGCGCTCCATGGCGGTGGAGATGAGCTTGCCGATGGCAGTGTCGCCGTTGGCCGAGATGGTGGCGACCTGAGCGATCTCCTCACCGGTGGTGATGGCACGCTTGTTCTCGACGAGGTACTGAACGGCGGCCTCGACGGCGGCCTGGATACCGCGGCGCAGATCCATGGGGTTGCAGCCAGCGGCGACGTTCTTCACGGTCTCGGAGAAGATGGCACGGGCCAGAACGGTAGCAGTGGTGGTACCGTCACCGGCAGTCTCGTTGGTCTTGGAGGCGACATCCTGGAGGAGACGGGCGCCGAGGTTCTCGAACTTGTCCTGCAGAGTGACAGCCTTGGCAACAGTCACACCATCTACCCAGAGTTAGCTTTTTGTTTTTAATATTTCCCTTCTTCTCCGGTTCGCGATAACACCGAATTGCGCCGAATTTGTGACATACCCTTGGTGATCTTGGGGGAGCCGTAGGGGGACTCGATCAGAACGTTACGGCCCTTAGGACCCAGGGTGGAGGTGACGGCCTTGGCCAGGGTGTCAACACCCTTGAGGAGGTTGGCACGGGCTTCGACACCAAACTTGAGCTCCTAGTCGGGAAGTTAGCTATGGTGCACCGGAAGGCTTTCGGAATTGACGGAAGATGGCATCGGGGGTCATCGAAATATGGGACGAGGGCAATTGGAATTGAAGAATCACCACGCAGAGGATCACGTACCTTGTGAGCAAAACGCTGCTGCTGGAGGTTCAGGCCGGAGCGGTAGAAAGGGGCACGCTTGGAAGCGGCGGAGAGGACCGAAGTCCGGGTAGAGAGAGCGCGCTGCATTATGAAGAAACAAAACAATTAAAGAGATGAGGAAAGAGAAAAGGAGCAACCCGATTGGGGATGAAGGGTTGAGGGGGGGATGGAAGGGAGAGGTAGGAAGCTGGGGAGATGAGGCCAAAGTCTCGAAAATTTTCCCGGCGCTTCTTCCCCATCCCCAGACTTGGCGGCAGAAACAGCTAGAAGGTCACGTGATATATTCCCGAGGCATCGGGCGTAGGTATCGGGCGGGCGGCTGTACAAGGGTAGGTTGGGATAGCAAGTTACCAGTAAGCTCATCTAGGATAATACTAGTACTACATGTAATAGATTGTAAGGACTCGGATCTTGGAAATGGACTTTGTGAAATCTACAACTCACTTGAATCCTGAAGTTCAAGCTTATGGTCGAGTTTCTGTCTTTGGTGGAAGAATCAGAGTAGTCGGAAGTAGAAGCCGATTCGACACGACAATATAGACACTGACAACTTTTAGGTTGAAGACCGCCAATACTTTGACCAGTATACTAACTTAGATATACCCACTAGGCTCTTATAGATCACATCAAGAGCCCCGTGAATTAAATAATACACTAGGAGCATTTACCTGACTTCATATACATCAGCTCAAACTACTCTGTTCCAGCCAGTCTAGACCGCCATTAGTCACGTGGCAAGTTCGGAACAAGACCGGGCCGGCACTGGCCGTCCAACAACTTTCCGTGGAGCCGATCCATCTTGGTCTCCCCGTCAACTCGGCTTCTTGCCCAGATCCAGTACAGCTGCTACGAGTAATAACTACTTGGTAGAGATAAGATGGTATAGTGTCGAGATCGGTCAATTTATCCCCGCATCATCTTTTACATGGAATTCTCTGATTTTCATGCTTTATCTCGCTCTCCTCCTAAATCCCACCGTACCGCATCCCAATCCCAATGACCGATCTCGTCTCCCCTTCCTAAAAGAGGCCCATAATCCATGCTGCTGCCGGAATAGTCTCATCTCATCATTTTAATCCCTTCACTTTCTGATGAGAGAGAAATCTCCATGGACCCGGTCATTCACAGCAGAGTAAAGCCGAGTTAAAAGGACGCTGCACTAGGATTATCGTCAAAATCCACTAGCTCATCTAAGCCCCCAGAGGAAGGCCTACCAGCGTTGACGAGCAGCTCTTGAGGATTGACGAGAATCGTATCGGGCGATGAATGGGGGACACAATATCCAAGACTAGGCATGTTCATTCCCGGGGATTGGGGAGCCTGGTGCGGGTAGAAGAATGAGTTTGGAGAAAATGACTGATCTTGAGAGTATGCCGGGCTCTGAGGATATTGCTGACCCTGTGCATAGCCCTGACTTTGCGGGTGAGTCGGATGCTGTGCATACCGGGGACTCATATTCTCTTGAAATGCAGGGCGCTGCAGATATGCATTCGGATCAAAGAAGTCGGGGCTCTGTAGCGCGACTTGAAACCCTGCGGGCTTCACGTTGTGGTTCAACGGCCGTTGCAGCGGGTTCAACTGCATTGGATACTGTGATGAGGATCGGAGGAAATCCTGTACCCTACCGGGAGTACTGCCCTGGCTACTATCGCCGGGCATTTGGAAAGGCCCAGGGCTCCAGAAACGGTCGACATCACCCGTGGGTCTCGGTGTTGGCGGCGAGGTTCCCCCCCATAGGGACCGGGGTCGATGAGTACTGCTCTTGGACAGCCTTGGATGAAAGCATGCTCGCGGTACGATTCTTAAAGCTAACACGCAGTTTCTGCCTCTCTGCGGGATTGGGAGAGCCCTTCTCGGAGATCTCGCTGTTCTGGATATTCGCAATCGCAGGACTGGCAAATCTGTTCGGAACGGTCATCTCTTCTTTATCGCTGCTCAAAACATCGTCTGATTCTTCCGACAAAGACTCAGGTGCATCACTAGGTACGTAAGTTGGATTCTCTGCACTGGCAGGGAGGAACTGGAGGAAAGGGGCATTCACGCACACTTTCTCACTCTCGGAGCTGATCTTCCGGGCAGAGGTCTTGATGCGCTTCGCCACGCTTGCACTTGCACTTGCACGACGGGTCATGTGGCGCTTTGCCTTGCGTGAGGTTGGAGCCCCATATTCGGGGTCCGAGCCGCCGGAAGAGAGATCATCGACCTCTTCGTCGGGGATAGCCTCGGCCACACCACCCTGCTGGACAGAGCCCTTTGAGTCTTTGCGAGAGCCGCCAGTAGCACGTCGGAGCGGGGGCGGGACTATCTTTCCATCCCTGACCCGACGACCACGCAGCTTGGATAGGTGTTGCACGATTGCACCTTCCGTGTACTTCGGTCCCATGGTTGAAGCCACCACATCCCAGGGTATCTTTGTGCTGCTTGTGTTGCATGCTGCTTGAATGGCCAGCAACAGGTGTGCATCGATGTCCGCTGTTCCAGTTAGTACAAGAACATGGTATGTGAGGGTTGAACGCCGGAGGCAATGTATGAGTGCACAAGGCAAAACACATATAGAAGAACTTTCAAACATCCATGGGAAAACAGAAGCTCAAGTGCATGGGTATTTCCAGATGAAAGCAAGGACAGCACTTACAATCCCAGCGCACCAGATTCCGTTTCTCCTTTCTGGGCTTAACGGGTACCTTGCCTCGTACCATTTTGGTGGCAGCAAAAAATTCTGCCGTTGGAATGGATGGTTTGTTTGAGTGATAAGAAAGGGCGATGGATAATGCTTTAAGGTTCGGATCAGAACTTTAGTTCGTCGAGACCATACTGGCAAGAACGAGTTGCATGGTTGGAGGAGAGAAGATAGAAAGGACGAAGGTGAGAGATGAAGTGGGAAGGGGAAAGGGTGCGGGGGGAAGGTTGAGGGTAAATCGTTGGGGAAAGAGTGAACAGTGAATGGTGTGGGTGGTGGTTGTCAAAGATGGCAGGCCGCTGCCTGAGAAAGTGTGGAGAAATCTATAGCTCGTCTGCGAATCCCCACATTTCCAATTTATATAGCCAAGAGATGATATCAAAACATGAATTCTCTTTAAAATATAATTCTACTACTGAGAGTGAATGGGGAATACAGGGACTCGAATTTGGAAGGATGGTGATCCGAATAGAAAGATATCTTAGATGAAGTTTTATAGGTTGTAGGAGAGTCCATGCCAGATGCTTCGAATAATGGTCTTTCAATAGATTAATAGGTAGCCAACCCCTGAAAGGACAATAGAAATACAACTTGAAGTGTAAATAAATGCATCTATCTGCCTATATTGTTCAGGTGCTAATGTTGTATACCTATAGTATGCATGATACCACGTGACTGATGTCCTCCATGACACGTGACACGAACAAGACAGAGATAACACGTGACTTGCGACTCCCGAAACTCCGGATCGAATGCTTCCAAACTCACCCGAGCCCGTTTTCACCCCTTCAATTCAATCCACCCACCTCCCCCATCCACATTCAAAATGACTGCCGCCTGGAAGGCCGCTGGCCTCACGTACGTCTCGTCGATTGCCGAATTTCTAACCTTCCGCTCACCCCGATTCTCAGTTACAACCGCTACCTGGCCATTGCCGCCCGCACCGTGCGCCGCTCTCTGAAGGAGACTCCCCGCCTGGCCTCCGAGCGCCGCGGCCAGATGGACCTCCGTTTTGCCAAGTGGGAGGTTAGTTGACTCGCCTGAATACGATCTTTCAAACCACCGGAAAACTAACGGATGATTCGCGACTGTTTAGAACGGCAAGCAGGGTGAGGGCAAGTCGCTTGCCCAGGCCAACAACGAGGCTCTTGCCCAGGCTGAGAAATAAACGGATCGACCAACCATCTCCAATTATAAGCGATTGAGAAACCAGGAGACTCGTCATGTTGGGAGGAGCGATGGACCCGGCGGAAACCAGAAAGCGGAGGAGTAGCGCGGACCCCCGGGGAGACATTGAACTTTTGTACATGTGTAGCAATACAGGCACACGCGTCTGGGTAGACCGAGCCTAGAAATCGCACTCGTCCTTTTTGACTATCTTCGTATTCTATTTTGTCCAGATTTGTCGTAGAAATCACCCTGCTGTTGTGGCTGGAGCTGGAGCTGGAGCTTTGTAGGTGAAAGCATCGCTGCACGTCAGAGCGGCCTCTTGTCGCCTGCCACTGCCACACCTGCTCTGCCCGAATCGCCTTTTTCCGCCCACCCCCCACCAACCCCTCGATTCATTGTACTCCAACCTGTTCCCCCCGGCGATTCTTGACCTGACGATTTTTCCTCCTTCCATGAGATCGACCGGCCACGGATTGCAGAGCCTCGAATCTCTGTGCGATGCTGCCGAATAACGAGGTGCGCCTGCCCCCTCCGCGGGCTGCGCGGGCTGCGCAATCTGCAGCAGTGCCCTGCGACATCACCACCCAATTCACCGAGGCCGCTTCCAGTGAGTTGTTGGATTATCTGAGTGGGCTTCGCTTCCGATCTGACTATTGGATTTCCTATAGAGCTCAAGACCGGACAGCTCGTCAAAGATGAATTGTTTACCCTGTTCGAGGCAGTGGGCGCATTGGAGGTGCGTCATCGTCACACAGTGACCGCAAAGATATACTGGAGGGAGGGAATTGAAGACTGATCACAGATCTAAATGGTGACAGATTATGGACTCGAAAATGGACAGTGGTTATATCGCACCCGGTGAAAACCACGTACAAGCGTTGGAAGACGATTACGATGTGCGACAGCCCTTGACACCAAAGCAAGTTGTAGGGCTGATGGATCAGCTACTTTGCCATGAAGTAAGTATGCAGTCCAATTACTATGGAGGAAAGCATTCAGCTAATACGATTGCAGATGGCATGGCACATGGGCCACCCTCTCTCCCAAACGCTCTTCACCTCGATTTACCTTGATAAACTACTTTGGCCAGTTCCGAAAACCATGGAGGATGCCCGCTTTGATCGCGTACCAAGTGAATCTCCTCTCATCAGTCTCGTCCTCCGAGCATACTGCTTGGCCCTCGTCAAAGCTTGCGACTTTGTCCATGCTCGCATAGTGACTGAATATTACTATGAGGTAGTGTCAAGGACGGTCCGAATGCGGGTGAAGGTCTATTACTGACAGCGCTCGCTTTATCTTTATAGGAAGAAGACTTTGTCTCCCAATTGTACAATCGCAACCTACTGTCAGGGTTGGACCCGTCGCACTTCTTTCGCCTGCTGGATCAGGCGGTAGAGTGGGTAGATTCCCAAGAAACGATGGATCAGGACCTCCGAGACGCCCTTCGGTGCAGACTGCTGCTTCGGCACGAGTTCCTCAGTGCTCTTGACGAAGACCTCGAAGTCCTTGACACCAGGTCAACAGACAATTTTGTGTCATGTCTATCCACCTTGAGTGGTATTACAGAAACTGTCGCTCATGGCACACCTGTACCAGAGGCATTTAGCCTAAAAATCCAACGGAGGCTAGCCAGCACGGTGCCACCTCGTCCTATTGTTCATATTAGCCCCGAGGATGCTCTTGCTCATCTTAAGCGACTTTGCCAAGATGCGATCGATATGCAGCAGATGCTGGACTATAAGGGACCGAGCAACTTCAAGGTACTGCAATCCTTCTTCTCCGCTTTTTTTGAAAGAAAAGTTGCAATTATTGACCTCTGTTTAGACCGCAATCTGGAGTCTGCTATCCCGGAAACCCCAACCGTCTGTTTACATCCGTTGTCTGCTCCAAGCCCTGATTGTGAGCGACATGACCATCCTGGGCGCAGTTCCAGTTAAGCAATTCCTGTATGACGATCTGGCGGAGCTGGTCTTGCCATCCAGTGTGTTACTTCAAGCGAATACCGACGAAGTAGAATTGCCCTCCGACCCTCGGTTCCAGATTGCTCAAAAGATGGAAGGGTTTGTGAAACGATTTTCCCAGGTATGTTGCTCAAACTGGCTTGAATGGCCTGATGCTAATCCATGCAGCCCTTTGTGGACACTGTGCGAGCTGCCTGTCTCAACCGTTGTCGAATCCGTCGAACCGTGTGTCATACCGTGGTGGATTGGGACAATTTACAAATGGAGGTATGCGAGTACGCTAGGAACCACACCAGGAACCGCAATTCCCAACAACACACGGGAACTGACCTGACCACTCTTACTAGGCCGAGGAGCTTGATCTGGATCTGCAACGTTTGAGCGACGAGCCCCCGTTGCAAATGAAAGGAGGTGAAACCACATTCTCCTTCCCACTTAGCAGCTGGGCCTACAACCAAAAACTCATTCAGATCCGACGTATCATCCAGATGGGCTTCGAACTTTCCATCTACGCGCCCGAAGAATTAGCGGGGATGTATTGGTACCTGTCGTACATCTGTTCCACCCACCTCGGCCATCTCGACCGCATTCGCACCTTCACTGTCGCAGCGCGAAAGCGAGATCTCATCTCCGCCGGTGATCGCTCGGCCGACTCGCAAAAGTCTGCGGCCTTCCACCGCTCATTCCGGACCCTGGAGAGGGTAACTACCCAGCTAATTGCAGTCGATGCATTTGCAATCGCTCTGCACGCTCTATACGTGTTGCTTACGCGACATGAAGTTCTTCCTTGTGCTGCAGGTGCGGATGCATACTCCACCGATCGACTACGCTACGAACTGCGCATGAAACCGTTTATCCCAATCTCTCTGCCCGAGCTGGTACCCTTTGAGGAGTTCCAACGGGAGTCGGCGCTAGAGGGCGATTCCGATGCAATCATTCTGGAACGTGCTAGCAAGGCTATTACGGAAGCTCGGAAGGCGTGGGATGTTCTACTCTCTCAAGGAGCCTTCCTTGAGGAAGCTGGGTCTGGATCTGGATCTGGATCTGCAGGTGGCAAGGAATTTCCGAGCGCGATTGAGGAGGACTGGAAGCGGGATGTTAAAGATGCAATGCGGGCGTGCATTGGCGCGAGCATTTCGATTGAAACGGTGCGGAAGGCGCTGGGGAACAATCCGTCACCATCGGCTCAGCAGCCGTTGAACCTTGAGGTGACGATCCCTGAGATCGGCAGTAAATCGCGATGGCATGAGTGGTGGGTTGTGCCGCAAGTGAGCGAGAAGAAGAACCAGTGATAGATGGGACGATTACTATACTTCCAAGTTGAAGGTTCTATCAGGGTCTACTACTAGAAGTATTAAGCTAGTTTATACTACCTAGGTATACTACTAGTATTCAAAGTTACGAGGGTGCTGTGACTGTATCCGACATCCCGGCATAAGCGCATCCGACTATTACGAACTACTACCGACATGGGTGTAATTTAATATATTCTGGTGGAGACAAGATGATCCTCCACGGAGAAAAACCGAGAATTCAAACTCGAACTCGAGTTCATCACTGAAAAATCGTTAAATAATCAGGCCAAATAATCCAACTCAATAGTAATACTCTAGCTATAGCTCATTACCACAATGCCGCATCGGGCGCGGTGAACCAAGGACCGTGACCGCACCTTATGAAATCATCGCCTTCACCTCTGCACCTTCACCTTTAGCCTACCTAGGTACCTACGCCTACAACCCCAGACCTCTGCTACACTGGCAGGTACCAGTACACAACTATTTTCAAAAATTCATAAGGGAATTCCTCATCTCATCCTCTCTCGATATCTCATACACCCTCTCCCCCCCCCCCCCGGACCTCATCGGCTGCGGCTCCGCTTCGACCTCCCCCAATCTGCCTCGGAATATCCTACGAGATCATTCTATGTCACCCTCTGCCTCTCACCTCCACGGCCCCCGTCCGCCCAGCCAAGGACTTGATCTCGATCTCGATCTCGAGTGATTAGAGTCCTGCCTCCTCCAAAGACTTCCTCTACATCTACAACTTGCGAAAAATGCCAACATACCCCATTCGTCGCCGACCGCGCGAGTGCAAGACCTGTCTACCGTGCCGCGCCAGCAAAGTCCGCTGCGATCGCAACGTCCCCTGCTCCAATTGCGTCAAACGAAACTTCACCTGTTCCTACGGCCGGCCATCATCCAACCGACTTCCCATCTCTTCCTCCTCAGCCACCACCCCGCTTCATTCCTCCTTCCTCTCGCCGGCTTTCCCGCCCACCTACCCGGGAGCAACAGTAACATCAGCAGCAGCAGCGCCACCAGCACCGTTGCTCCATGATAATACCGATGCAGTCTCCACCACCACCGATCGGCCCTCCCAGGCCAGCGACGACGCCGATCTCCCCGAGCTAATCGACATGTCTCAGGGCGAATGGGACGAGATAAATAATAAGATGGCTGCGATGGAGCAGATCATCGGCAGCTTGAATTCGCTCTTCCAATCCCACTCTTCCCGCCACCGTGTCGATCATCATCCAACCCCGCTACAACCTCCACCATCGCAGTCGGAAGAAGTGCCTGAGCGCAAATACTCGGCTCGGTCGGAGGGTGTGTATGGGGCCAACCCGTCTCGCACCGGCGCGGTTCATCTGGGATCCCGCTCGGCGTTGGTCGATATCTTGGATAAAGCGAGGGGCTCAAAGGATATGGCGCAGGCGCTGCCCCAGGAGGATCTACTGGCGGATCTTGCATTGGGAAATGAGTCGGCCGCATACCCTTTTGTAGATCTGTGGTCGTCGGACCCTTATACTTTCAATATTGCAGGCGTGTGCTCGGTGATTCCCGAGGATGATCAATGTGAACGGTATGTGCTGATGATATGCTGTTGTTACGAGATGATGTTGTGTTGTAGAACGCGGGTTCTTGCGCAGGCATTGCGAATTTGCAGGATAATTTGGCTGACATTCTTCTCCTTCTCCCCTTTGACTCAGATTCTTGGGCTTCTATAAAAAGATTGGCGCGGTGTTGTACCCGGTGTTACCGGAGCTAGACGAACTGGAGTACAAGACGAATTGCTTACTCCAGGGGCGGCGACGCGCGGGAGGTGTCTATAGGCCGGATGCCAATGGGTTAGTCAAACCGTTTGGAATGGATTTGCCCTTTTTGAGCCTGCTTTTTGCGGTTCTCGCTTCCGGCTGCCAATTGTCCGATATTTCGGAGCGAGAGCGCGAGTTGACCTCGTGGGTATACGGTGCGTTTGAAGAGGAGCCGCTGCGCTGCGCTCGTAGTGCAGTGGCACCAGCAGCAGTGGTGGCAGCGAGAGACTCATGATGATGTTGAATATTTTACTGACCAGTTTCCTTAGTTTCTTGTGCATATCAATGTCTTCGGATGTTGAATTATGTTTCGCAGCCCACGGTGGAGGTGATTCAAATTCTTCTTATTATCAGCAATGTCTTGTCATATAATATGAACGCCGGTGCTTCATACACCTTGCTAGGTATGTTCTATTTTCAAATAGAACCCTTTGATTTGACGCTCAACTGATCTGGTATTTAGGCATGACGGAGCGCATGTGTCTTGTTCTTGGTCTTCATGTTGAATCCACGGGATTTTCACTCAAGGAGCAAGCGATCCGGCGCCGCGTCTGGTAAGATGGGCTTTTTCTCCAAAGCTGTTCTGATTGCTAACATCAGTAGGTGGGCAATGGCTTTCCAGAATAGTCATTTCTCGCTTGCCTATGATCGACCTTCCATCACCATGGTTAGCCAACCCGAAATACCCTTCGATCGTAAATCCATGCCGGGACATCGAACATACTTCGAGACATTGTGTCGCGTGGTCTCCCTTGCCCTTGAAGTTCTGCGATCCAGGATGTATCCAGAGTCCTCCCGGCCCCGATTCCACGAGATCCGCGAATGCAAGCAGCGCATCCAGCGCATGATCGCCGAAGCTACCCCCCACCTCCGCTACAAAGAGCAGTGCCACTCGCTGGTCGAGCACATCGAACGAACAGAACTGCGCCTGCACTCATCGTATCTACTCTCCGTCCTGTGCCGCGTCTCCCTCGACCCGCACTCCCACCTGGACGAACACCGCCGCGCCATCATCCGCGACGACTGCATCGCAAGCCTAATAGACACGGTCGACGCATTCGTAGAACTGCACGAAATCAACTCGCACTGTTCCCGCTCATGGATAAGTCTCCAGCGCTCCATCGCCTCCGCTTTCCTGCTCGTCGCCAACGACGACAGCACCCAGACCTGGGCCCTAATTGACCGCCTGGAAAATGTTTTGGCTGACCACGTCTATGCGGACGGCGAAGCGGACCTGAATAACCGCACCGACTCGGCGAAGCATCTCTCCTCGTCTCTGCGCGCATTGCGCGAAATCCGCGAATCTTTTCGCGCGCGCAAGGCTGTTCCCTTTCCCTCGACTGCTGTTGGTCCGGCTATCCCGATTCAGAATCCCTCGCCTGTGGTGTGGCGCTCGTCGCCGTCTTTCGAAGCCGAATTGGAGATCCCGACTACTATGGTCACGGGCAGTGGTGGTGGCGTCATGCCTGTGCCCGCAGCTGCAGCTGTGCTCCCGATTGAAGAATGGAGTATGCGGAATATCTTGGGGAGGGGTTCCGGATGTTATGCTGTTCCCCACTATGAATGGGAAAAGTCCGGTGGTATAAGCGTTCTGTTCGGGGATTGGATTTGAATATTCGCATTGCATGACGGCGTTATTTTATTTTGGGACCGGAATCTGGGGCTTCGTCTTATTTCATCTTTTTTTCGAGACGGAGAAGAGAAAGGAGGAGGTTTGGGGGGAATAGGTTCGGTATGGAAGGATATCTGACAATTTTTGCGCAACAGTCAGCCTTGTTGGTTCTTTTTCTTTGGCGTTTCATTTCGTATACCCTGTTGGTCAACCGGCGACTTCTGCCCACCCCAGTCGAGTCGAAGCCGATGAAACGCGGCGTGTTGCGGCTCCATGTTTATTCATATACATACATATCAATCGTCCACCGGACAGAACATAATACCGCCATTTATCACACGGATATCAACGATATACTAATCGAAGAGGGGAGTTTCGGCTTCGGCGCAGTCGACAGTCCAGTGTGATCATGATATCATTCCGCACTGATCGCGGCCCTCAGTTTCAAGTAGACCAATCAGGCAGGCAGGCAAGTGTGCAGGCGTGCAGGTAGACAATGCGATTATTTGAAGGAGAAGGGAAAAACGGAGCCTCGAGACCATTATCGCGCCCCTCGCGCGACGAGCGCGGCGTGCGAGGAGGGTATTATATCATTTTCGCTCTGCCCTAGTCACACGCTCACTTCGTCCCATTCCTCGTATGCACTCCGTCTACCTCCGTCCCCGTCCCGGCCGAACATCTCTATCCGGACACATCCGGCTCATTTAATTCGCAGCTCACTCTTTTGCGCCGCGGTGAGTGGATTCTTGGGTTCGTGTTGGATTGGAGGGGGTGGGCACCGTTCGGCCGGCCGAGAAATCACCGCGGGCCGTTGGTGTTGGTCGTCTTTGGTGGATCAGACGATCGACGCCTCGCTCTACTTTGCCTTGCCTTGTCTTGCTGTTGCTTTCCCCGCTGCTTACTTGCATTACATCAGTACTCCTGTCGTCTACGTATGCTGCTGTTGTTTGCAGCGTCGAGATGGGATCGATATTCCAATGTATGAGTTCCAAGGGAGGAGGATTTGCTTTTTTCGTGGTACTCCTGCCCCCTGGTCTGGTCTGTGATTATGGTTCTTCCAAGTCCTCTCCGGAGCGAGACCAGACCAGGTGTCCGATGTAATCCATTTTGGTGCTGGCTGGCCCGGATTTGGTTTTTAGATCGGCGGTGCGGTCGTGATGGTTGTGGTGCACTATTGTGTACTAATACCTACAAGGTGTCTCAGGGCACGGCCTCTCCTTGCAGGATGCGAAATTAATTGAGATGGCTATTGCTATGGCTGCATACAACTTATGATCAGACTCTGGCACCTAAAGTATGCCTGAGCTGACAGGCAAGTATGGGGGCTGCGTCGATGGCCTAAGCCTCAGGCTGTTTTGTCTTCTCGCGCCGGGCAAGATATCACTACCAGTGCAGATGTGTGGCATGTTTTAGAATCCGTATAGGCTCTCACTAGGTGGTTTAGTCTAGATAGGGAGCGGGATTTTGGATTCTATTCAGTTAGAAACAACTCCAGATTGAACCTTGGAGGTTGACTACTACTAGTAGACCGTTCGATCCCCGATATCATATTTGTCTTGGTATATAGTACGTAGGTGGCCTATAACTCCACGTCTACTAATATAGTTCAAGTTCATAGACCCTTTTCATTCGTGTTTCAATTCGTACGTGCCCGTCGCATCCATCATGCCATTCAAGTTCTGGGCGCTATTTCTATGTAGCTTGCTCGGACTCGCCGTGATTAGATTCTCGCTCCGGGATCTGCAGTACCATCTCTCGGGATGTACATACAAGGCTGGCTAGCGTAACGGGATTTGCTCGTGCTTGGCAGTTAAGATTTTGATTTTGATTTTGATTTTTGACCCCTTTTCAAAGGATAACTTGAAGGCATAGTTGCTGTTGTTTGTGATCATATCAAAACGAGTTCCGATTCAACCGGTATTTCCCAAGCGAAAGTTATGTCATAATGCAAGGCTTAAATTATAGGAAGGTAAATGCCGAGTCTGGAAGCAATGACCCGTGAAATGTGAAACGGACTACTAAAGATAGCGTGGTTCAATTTTGAGAGGGGAGTGCTACGTTAAAGAGTACGGGGTTTACGGAGTACCATGTTGAAAGATTTTATCGAAAAGGAATCCAAATATGCCATTTCATGACTGATAATTCCATTGTTTACTGAAACGAGGGGAAGCATAGCTAGCACAATCCTCATGGTCCTTGACGAGGGCTGCCCGAAATCGGCCTAGTTCACTTTTCGCCCCCAACTACCGCGTCACATCGTCATTTCCCCTGATGTAATCTCTCTCACCTTGAAGTAAGCCCGATGAGCCTACTTCGTACTTCGTACAGCCACGAGGAGTGCTCCCTGAGACGAATCGGGCCGAACTGTTGCACTTTGTCATACTATAACTACGCGATGCGGAGTGCACAAACTAGAGTTGCACCGCGTTCTGATCGCAGAACGCCGCCATGTGGAGTATAATCGAAGCTAGCTCCTCGGTATCATGGATGATTGGAGTACTTATTATTCTTGATCCCTTCTGAAGAAGTGTATAAATTAATGCGAATGCGAGAGCGAGTATCTCTCATCGTATAGCCAAATCAGGGACTAAATCCAAGGGCAGTTACTCGAAAAGGAAATTCCTCGATTCTGAGACGTGCAAATCTTTGCTCTTCTCGTGGCGGTTCTACTCGGAGTTCTGCAAGCTGGTTACATCCCCTGAATTAGCTTTACTCCACTTGGCTGGAGATCTTTGGGCATTTTCCAGAAAGATTCTGGGGTACTGCGTACAGCCCTCCATCGCCGATGATATTTAGATAGCTCTGGGGTCTTCCCGACCCTCGGAAAAATTTCCAGTCCGTCAATCAATAGAGTGATTATTCACACTTTTCTGCAATGGGTGTTCTTTCAAAAGTAGTCGCACTAGGTGCCTTTGCCGGTCTAGCAACAGCCTGGCTACCCGAAACCAACAAGAAGATCCAATCCAACGACGGAAACAACCTCTTCACCTCATCGAATGGTAAGATCCGAGGCGTCAATCTCGGTTCGCAATTCATCTTCGAGCCATGGATCGGGACAAGCGAGTGGAGTTCCATGGGATGCGGCAACACAGGCTCTGAATTCGACTGCGTGAGCTCACTAGGCCAAGACGCCGCCAACGCCGCATTCCAAAAACACTGGGGTGACTGGATCACCCAGGACGATATCTCTGAAATGGTCAGCTACAGTCTGAACACGATTCGAATCCCCGTGGGATACTGGCTCCGCGAAGACTTGGTCTACTCGGACAGCGAGCATTTCCCCCAGGGTGGATTGGAGTATGTTAAGAAAGTCTGCGGCTGGGCGAGTGATGCAGGCATGTATATTATTATGGATTTGCATGGTGCGCCTGGTGCTCAAACTGCTAGCAATGCATTTACTGGCCAGTTGGCGTCGGAGCCGGGGTTCTATCAGGACTATCAGTATGAGCGGGCGCTGAAGTTTTTGGAGTGGATGGCTGGGCTGATTCATAGTACGGATGAGTTTCGGAATGTGGGTATGTTGGAGGTTGTCAATGAGCCTGTGCAGGATGATGATAAGGCTTCGTCGATGAGGGAGAATTACTATCCCAAGGCTTTTGAGGTGAGATCTATTTGTTCCTTCCCTTTCTTTCTTTCTTTCTTCCCTCTACTCTTCCCGGAAAACATGTATAGCTAACGCATAATCATCCAGCGAATCCGCGCGAACGAAACTAGCGCCGGCATCGACAAGGCCAATTACCTCCATATCCAAATGATGGATAAGCTCTGGGGCTCCGGTGATCCGAACCAGTACATCGATGACTTGTACTACGCGGCCTATGACGACCACCGCTATCTGAAGTGGGATACCAGTGTCGACGTATCGCACGATAGCTATATCAGTGATTCTTGCAGCGATAATCGCGACAGCAACACGCTGACGATAGTGGGAGAATGGAGCTTGGCTGTTCCTGATGATGTTGAGTCGAGCTCGGACTGGGATCCGAGTTCCAATACGGATTTTTATGGAAAGTGGTTTGCGGCTCAAGTGCACTCGTACGAGAAACAGCAGGGATGGGTTTTTTGGACATGGAAGGCTCAATTAAATGATTATCGGTGGTCGTATCAGGGTAAGTTGAAGATTCTCTTTTCGCTTTTATCTTGCATGGAGCTGGATTATTGTTGACTCTTTGATAGATGCGGTTAAAGCGGGTGTTATTCCCAAGGATCTTAGCTCTTTGCAGGATGTTTGCAGTTAAGCAATGATTTGGGTGAATGCGTTCAAAGGGTTGTACTGAGCTGGGTCAAGGATTCATAACATTGACATTAACTCTCCGATATCTGCTTCTCGGTATGTAGTAAGGATTCAAGAATTATCATTAAGCTTCGTACTTTTTGCCTGAATGGCCTTTGAACATTTACATTTCTTTCTATGAAAGCTACCTAGCAATCGTCAATGTACCCGACAGGGATTTTTTCCTTCTCACCGAGGTATAAGGAAGGCATAGCAAGGTAATGAGCTTCGCTAACAAAGAGCCCATGTCAAGAGAAATTGCAAAATGAGGAGTAGAGATAATAAAACGAATGGAGGGGAGTAATATGAGGATCACGATTTAAGGGCGTACTCTGACGACTCTGGCCACCATACCATTGCCCAGAGCGAGACTCCAGGGCCACCAGGCTCGATGACAGCATCGGCACCAACCTTGCCTTTTCCCAAGATGATCTCTTCTATCTCTTGGAATCCAAGAGAGAGGTACAAGTGGCGTGAGCCCGGAGTAGTTGCCTCAAGCCAAATGGGGAGGTTTTCGGAGCGGGCGATGTTTTGGTGGTATCGCATAATCTCTTTGGCAAGGCCTGCGGGGTTTTGTTAGTATGAGGGGTGCAGGAGGAAGGCTGACTATCTTTAATCCACGAGGTGGCGGCCTCACCTTTTCCGCGGTGATCGTATTCAGTTCCAATACTGAAGACGTAGTAGTATCGTTTTTCGCCATGGAGACCCTTCCGCTTAGCGTTATCCGTCATGCCGGAGAATTCGGTCCACAGCCGCTAGTGATTTTGAGCCTTTTTAGTCTTCTCTTCCAGGTGGTATGAACGCATATAAAAGCTTCTCACCTTTAAGCCAGAGATGCCAATCCTCCATAGAACACATAGAAAGCCTGCGTATAGAAGCGTCCAGACATTATCAATACCCTTGCCTGGTGGAATAATCACCGATGCTGCTTTCCATCCGTCGGCTTCGGTGATGATCGCACCGTTCATCAGGGCGGATCGGACGAGTGTGGACCAATATGTCGGGAGATACGCAAGTCGCTCTTCTTGAGACATGTCTAGCAGCATGTAGGCAACGACGGGATCGTTATCAAAGACGCGGCCATTCAGACCGGCGACTTTGACGAGGAAATCTGGATCATAGTGAGTACATGAGCGGGGAAAGCGTAGAGGTGGCGGACCGCGTTTGCCATGGGTGAGAGGAACTAGTGCCTGCGCCATGGTGGGAAGTAGGAAGTGTTATTGTTTGAGTCATTAGCGCGTAAAGATAAAATATCGAATATGGCCTTGAGGGACTTGGGCCATGACTGGGGATATGGAAGGGATGGAAAAGGGTGTTAGACTCGAAGTGGGATGCGGAGGCGGAAGAGGAAGTGGAAGTGAAAGTAGACGAAATGGGATCGGCTGGTGCGACGACGTAACCATTTCCTTATGTAATCGAAAGTGTAATGGAACAGCTTGCTCTCCTTTACAAAGGGGCAATCATTATATCTTTATCCTGGTATGTATTCATTCAGACCTCATCTGTGCATCTTGTCACATCAAAAAAGTAGTAGCAATGAGTATTGAGATGCTTGGCTGCCAAGCGATGATCTTAGTGGGTCTATACTGGACTACTCCGTACCTTGAGTTACTATGCTTGTACATACAAAAGCATGCTGGGCAGCTCCTTATAGCTGTATATTTCCATCTAAAGTAGTACCTCGGGGACACGGAAACACCCATACTCTGAATTTATGATCGTAAATATTACTACTACAAAGACTACTCGATATCATGAAGTGCCAGTTGCGTAACTTCCTTACAGCTGGTTCTGCGGGGCCTGCCTCTGCCGGTACCGGGATTGGCTTCCCGGAACCGCAACACGCAACACTACAACACTAAACACTTCTTCACTTTCCCTCTTCACTTCTACTTCTTTTCACCTCTCCTTCTCGGATAAAACACTCATCGATCCCATCTCATTTCCACAAACCCAATCGCCATGGGAGCCACCACCCTCCTCATCCTTGACATCCAGAATGGGATCGTCGACATCTTCGACAAGTTCATCACAGAGCCATACCTGGAGCGCCTAGTCAAGACAATCGCCGCAGCTCGTAACGAATCTATCAACATCATCTATGTCGTGACAGCATTCCGCCAAGGTTACCCAGACACCCACCCGCTAAACGCCTCCACCGGCCCAGTCACGGCAGCTGGCAAGTACCAAGAGGCAAGCGCCGATGTCCAGCTCCACCCAGCCGTCCAACCTCTTCCAACAGAGCCCATTATCACTAAACGCCGAGTTTCAGCATTTATGAGCACCGAGCTGGATCTTCTTCTGCGCTGTTCGGGTACAGATCATCTGGTCGTGGCGGGAATCGCGACTAGTGGTGCCGTCCTCTCAACCATTCGCCAGGCACAGGATCTGGACTTTCACATTACTGTCCTGCGGGATCTCTGCCTGGATCGTGATGAAGAAGTTCACCGTGTTTTGATTGACAAGGTCTTTGGCCGGAAGACGGATGTTTTCAATGCGCACGAGTGGGTGTATCGAATCAAGGGACTGGCGTCTTCCTAAAGGCTTGCCTTATTTCAACTTCGGATTCTAATTGTGAATCAAAAGTACATGGAGCTGGGTTCTTTTAAAGTTTAGTGGCTCTTGCTTTCAGACCTCCTCTGATCGAATTATGTATCGCAAATCAGGATGATTATGTTCGACTCCTTTTTTAGGGAGTGGGCTGCTTCACTACATGGATAGTAGGCTGCAATTTCATTCACAGCAATAATGGCAAAAGAATATTCTTATTCGATTCCGCAGATAATGTATTTGTGTGACTATGACGGTATTAACCCGCCAGAGCTTGCTAATCAATTGCTATGAAAGCATTAGTATTCATTGAATAGGTGAGCGCAAATGAGGCTAAGGTTCCAGTGACTGGCAGTGGTCCAGTTTGAGGAGATGCAAGCTCTAGACCCGAGTCGACCGTGCACGCTGTTAGAGCTCTGAGCAATATCCAGGGTACCACTCACTAAGCCCAGATTGGAAGTGGGTTTTATTCAATCAACTTATAACTTGGAAAGGGAAGAGATAGGCAATATAGTTAGTAGGTTATTGCAGGGACACAATGGTCGCAGCTTTTGTTATTTGCGTTAGTTAATGATTCTCTCTAGTAGAGGTAGACTTTTTTGCGAAATAGCAAGTTACTCTCTTTCCATTTATTAAGACTGTCATGGGCCAGTTGATCTACTATAATATCTCTACACCATGTAAAGATCTTGAGATTTTGTGTATGGCTTCCTTGCCCACGCAACGTAAATGTTCGGAATTTGAGTTTTGATAAGAGTTTGAGTGATAACTTTCATTTCTTCTTCATTCAATATCTTGCGTGCTTGCAAATCGAATCGTAGAGTCGGGAAAACAGCCCAATCCCTACTTGCACTTCCCTGTACAAAGGCGAAACATGACAGCCGGGCGCATCGTAGGAGCCGAGTCCTCCGTCCCAAAAACAGACTCGACTGCACCCCGCAGCTCCTTCTTGGCGCGAATTAGGTCCTCCTGGGCAAAACCTGGCCCAATCGTAACGTTAGAAGCCTCACCAAGTTTCATAAACTCGTTAATGCTTGTCTCGTCGTCCGCATCGACAATCTGGACTCGCGCATCAGCAAGTAGGCCAAACAGGCCTGCGGCGGTCTCTGCATTTGTGTGTACAATTATAGGCGGTAGGATCACAACTGTCCACCTTTGTTTTGTACGCATTATATCTGCCAGCTGGGACCGAGTCCATCTGTATTGTGAATGTGGTTCGTCGGGATTCCTCCGGTGTTGAAAGGCCTGCAAGTGACCCAACATGATGGAGGCTTGGCGGGACTTGGTGCGCGCTGCATGCCACAGGAGACAACGCACTGGGTCACCCCAGTTGTAGGTTTCCCACTCGATATCTGCATCTGCATCCCAGTTAAGGTGAACGGAGTCACGCGCTAGGTCGAGCCATGGGTGTTCAATCATGTTATGGCTGAAGCTTTGTGTATCGGCGTTCTTTTGGAGGTCTGGGAGCGAGAGAGGGCCACGACCGTCTCCAAACGCTACATCCCTTGATTCGCGACAAATCCGCGCAATAAGAGGAGGTGCTCGATTAGTACAAGATATCTTCCAGTTTATTTTGCATGGGGGCTGGTCCCAGATAATATCGTCTTGTTGGTGGTCGAGCTCCACGATGCGGTGCGGGATACAATGGTGCCAGATCGCCAGACGAATTTCGGGAGGAAACCTAGAAAAGAGGGAAAAGACAACTTCTGGAGGGGACATAATGTAAAGGATAAATAAAAGATGCTAAAATTCGGAGATTATAAATTCAGATTTTGACCTTGGATGAATGGGGAGTGGAGGATTTGATAGAAAAGAGAAAAAAAAAAGCCAAATGTCGCCTAAGTCACATGTTGCCTCAATCAACACTAGCCATGAATATATATATATATATACATACTATATGAAGATATCAGAGATTGTCGGGGGTGGCCTTGGCCAGCTAAACTAACCGACTACCTATCTTACTATGATGCTTCCTTCTACGGGTATTATAGTCGACTCAAACCTCTTAAAAGTGATAACTAGGCGTGCTTCCGAGGCTTCAAAAACTACTCTTCAGCGGCAATACATGACATTTGCAGCTGCGCCCTCGGCGCGACTTAAGTGAACCGGGGAGGCCTGGGGAACAGACGCAACGCGAGAATTACGCTCCTCCCAAGGCGTCCAACGGTACATGTAACTCTGAACGGTCATCATCTGGGACATCCTCAAGGTCTTGCCCCGCCTCCCAAGCTTCTAGCCATTCCCTCAACCTTTTCGGGGGCCCCAGTTGATCTGCAAAAACACGCCGTGGAAGTTCTGGATCTTATACGGAGCACCCTTGAACCCGCGGGCTGGATACCAGGTAAGGTCGGGATCACATCCTTTCCACTGAGCCTGATATTGTAGCTTTCCTCTCTAGATCCGGGACGCCAGGATTTGCTCCACCTCCCATTCTCGCTCGTCGAGAGGGTTGCATGTAATCATAGGAAGAGTATCATTTCTGGAGGGAAGCCTTCCCCTCTTAGATCTCTGAATATTCTTCGGCCCACGCGTAGATGAAGGGGCCATCAGGCGGCGCGGCTTATCAAGAGAGAATCGAAGTTGCAGTGCGTCCAGCTCATTTGGTGAACTTGGCTCGAAGGAGGAAAAAGTACGAGGTCCCCAACGCATGAGTCTCGACAGTAAGGACGGCAAGCCCAAAAATATCTTGGCTGTGGTAGGACTCCGCAGACCGCACAGAGGACGCTAAGCTACCTAGCAACTGCCCAAAAGGTCCTAAAGATAGCTAGCTAGTTACTTTTCTTGTAGGTCGAGTAGCACGTTTACGTCTCTTTGTACAACACAGACTTTTTTTTCTAGTCAGAGCAGTCAGGATAGCAGTTATACTGAACAGTATCAAATTCAGGTTGGTAGCTACAACAGGGCCAGTTTCTCCGTTCAACAATTCGTACCTAGACAACTTCAAAGAACTTTCGCCGAGGCGGCTTTAGGATTATAGATAGTAGCTCTAGACTTAGGGTAACAGTAGGTAGATAATTATATCTTGGTTACGTACTATATCTAGGGATATAGGGGGAGTGGTATTTAAGGATAAGAGTAGCAACAGTTAATAGGCTGGTATAGGTGTATATACTACGGCTTGGGCCTAAGTGGCTATGCCTATATATATCGGAGGCTCTATAGCTGCTTTGATAGTGTTGTAAATCACTTTAGAGAGGTTGTTGCGGAGGGACTGAAGCTCCTACTACTAATCGTGTAAAGGAAGTCTTATGAGGTCGTCGGTAAGAGCTTGAGTACTCTCGAGAAATTCCCTTATCCGGTCTGATTTCATCAGTTTCTGACTGCTATTAAGTTCTATCAATAGCTCCGTGGCGCTGCGATTGAGGTTCTGAGCACGTTTACGATTTGAATGCAAATTTTTCAACGTGCTGGATGCGCCCCCTGAAGGGCGTGAAACCACCTTCTCTATGCGCCGCACCGGCATTTTGAGCTAGGATATACAAAACCGGGCTTAAAATGTAGCGCGTGGAGTTATTTAAAACTTGTAAGGTACTAGAAGTTGCCAACTGGCGTGGTTCCTGAGATATTTCAAAAATTCGATTTGCGCCGAAATAGTTGTTTTGCTTGGCGCTCATCATGTTCTCAATTACCGCGAGGACCCGAATTGGGGGCAAACGGCGAAGAATTTGACTCCGAATGGCCGGGGTGTGCACATCGTTGTAGATGTGGGCGGCTTGTCAACTTTGACGCAGTCGCTAAAAGCAGTTCGTGTTGATGGACTTATTGCCCTCGCTGGAATGCTGGGTAGTGCACCTGGTGATACTCCTGTGCCGACGTTGATGGATTGCTTGTCGAATTCTTGCACCGTTCGCGGATTCCTGCTCGGTACCCGCGATCAATATCGCGAGATGAACAGGTTCATTGCGGAGAAGGGAATCGTGCCAGTCGTCGACGAGCACGTTTTTGATTTTACGGAGACGAAGGAGGCTTATGAGTTTCTGCTGCTGCAGCGGCATTTTTCGAAGGTTTGTATTCGACTTTAGACAGTTATCTCTGTTTAGGTTTGTGGAAAGAGGAAATTTAATTGAATAGCTAGCTGGTCTTGTTTCTTCATTCAGATGGAATGGAATTTCGTCATTGGCATCATTCTTTTAAGCCGTTCAATATTCTTATCATGATTTGTACATTTCACTGGTCGAATTAACTACAGCTTCAACTGGCTTCGATCCTGAGGCCCAGAGCAACAAGAAGGCTCCGGGTGCTGGGTCGATCTGTTGAAGGACTGTGATGACTGCGGAACGTCCAATGCTGGGTTCTTGGTGAAGAATCCATCGGGCTTGAGCATGACGCTGACACGCTCCATTGGCATAACTGGGAAATCCTCGATGCGGGGGTTATGGGTAAGGCCGAATGCTAGAAATATCGTCAGTGACAGACAATGGCAAGAGTGGGCGGGGAAAAAAGACTTACTGTGCCAGAGGACAAGATCCTCGTCCTCGACGGTATCGTTTCGGGCAGCCCACTTCTCGACACCTTGAGATTCCTTGCTCTGGTTCGTGAATTCGCCGGCCGCAAACAGCTCATCGTCCTGGTACTTGGTCACCCAGATTGGGCGAGTGGCGAATTGTGCACGCTTGAGGCCGAAAGACTTGGGGTTGGCCAGGATCATCTGGCTGGGTGATGTTTGTAATTTATAGGCAATGGGGTGGTGTGTGATCGGGTTGATAATGTGGTCGTTGCGAATCTTGAAGACACGGTGCTTCTCCACGCTTGTAGATGCGCTGCAACTGTTCCGAATGGTGTTCTTCTCGGTAACATAGCCGACTCCGTAGGGGTTATTATCATCCTCCGGCATAGGGACGCTGTCCTCGTAATAGACAGTGTTCTTAAAGCCGTCCAGAGCAGGATCAATACGTAAGGAGAACATATGCTGGTGGAATGGAGCCATGACACCAGGTCCGACGTTGGTTCCCCAAGGCACAGTTTGGCCATTCTCGTTGTCGAATGGGACGGTGGAAAGGATACCAGTTGCACGGACCTCGAGTTCGATATTGGCGGCCTGATCCAGAATAAAGGCAAAGATATACTCGTAATTGGCGACGGTGCAGATCATCTGAACGACGAGCTGACGGTTACGAACAACTGTGGCCGCACCAGTGCGGTAGTTGGTGTGCTTGTGCTGGAGACCGGCATCCTGCTCATGCATACAGATAACGTTCTGAAGGTGGACGGGAGCACCCTGTGCATCAGTGCGGTAACCATCGAAATACTTAATGTGACCGAGACAGTCGCAACCCAAGGCAAGCTGGTTAGCAGTAATTCCGAAGCCGACATCTCCGACGTCAAAGGCTTGCTTGCGGTGGTAGGGAGCGCGGGGGTCTGTGGGGCGAAAGTTAGATCACTGAAAATTTGGGGGGTCTGAATATAGGGTCGTACCTCCATAGGGGACAGTCATTTCCGAGAATGAAAGACGGTAGAATGTGTTACGACCGTCATAAGTCAGATTGTGCAACACCAGACCCTCCCGGTTGTTGAAGCCGACACGGAACCGCCATTTCTGCCATGAGACGGCATTGCCAATAACATTGAAAGATGCGCCCTCAGGCTGCTGGACAATATAAGGCTTTAAATCAGTGCGGACCGGCTCATCCAGCAAATCGTGCGCGTATTGAATAGCCTTCACTGGCTTCCAAGGTTGGGTCTGCGAGGTCCGGGCGTCGGCGCCGTCGGGAAGGTAATCAATACGCACCAGCTCGCGCGTAATACCATCAAAAACAGGCGAAAATTTGAGAGGCAGAGAGTATTGGTTGTGTTGCGGGTGATCAGTCGACACAACGTACATGTAGCACTGAGTCAAACGACGAGACTCATTGATGTCCTCGGTACCGTAGATCCAGGGATCCATGCACACGGTCATTCCCTGTGGCAGGTTCAATTTCTCAATCTCCGCCTTGACAGCCGGATGGCTCAGGCAGGTTGTCTCCATTTCAATCATCTCGTCCACATCCGCGGGACCTTGAACATCCTTGGGAAGTTCTTTGGCCGAGATGATAGACTTGGTGTTGGCATTCAACAGGGCCTTGTAAAAAGAACCATTGTCCAAGCGGTGGAACAGAGCAAACAACAAACGAGCGGGCTTGGCTGGCCGCGGCTTGCCTTGACGTTCAGATTCAAGGTAAGGAACGACCTCATGCTTGTAAGGCTCTTGGAGATCAATTCGCTTATAACGCAACTTGACACCAGGGAAGGCCGATTCCAGGATGCGCACGGCCAACTGGATCTCCCCAGGAGTGATCGGGTCAAAGGGGTGGAGGCTCGCCATAATGAAGATGATAAATATGCCAGTGGAAATCAGGTAGGTGGAAGGGAACAATGGCAATCCTTTTATATTCCCGGAAGGTGGCCTTGGCCGCAATGGCCCTGAACCCGATTTGGTAAATCTTTCGCTCGGGCGGGGATGTCATTGATGATTGGCTGAAGTTGGACTCCACTCGGCGCAACTTTATCCGAAAACGGTTTGGCGTCAAAGAAATCGTTGGACTAAAGACCGCTGGGGTCAAAACGACATTTGGAGAAGTGTGGAGAGATGAAGAGACGATGAATAATACGCAGATTGATGAGATAAGAGCCATCGGAGAGTCCGATAGTGTAGGGTACTGCCTCAAATAGGGCACTACACCTCAGATAAGCTGCCTTGGTGATCACAAGTACAAAACGGCCGTGCATTGCATTGCATGAATCGCATGCAGCCACCTGGTTCTCGGAGAATAAACCCCACTCACAACCGAGATTGGAGAAATTTTTTGTATTGTATTCAACCCTACTAGATAAGGAAGACAATTTTGAGCAAATTCCAGCTACTCGGGTTTAATTCAAACTGTTTTACCGAAGCCAAATTTATGAGAGCCAAAATCGACAGAAGCATTGTACAGGTGGTTGGAAATTCTCTAACGCTTATCACGGATTGCCAAGAATCTCAAGTCAGAAACCATCAATCACAATCAAATGAAGCGAAGCCACATTGCCTCTAAGAAACTCCTCGCCTTTTGCTGAAGTCATTCGACTGCATCAAGTTCGGCCTTACCGCTGAAAAGATCTGCGTCTTCTGATCGGATCCATTGTGTTTTCTTGAAGAGCTTCCAAAGCAAAATAAATCCGAATAGAAGAGGGAAGCCAGTGTAGAACGTGATAAAGCCAGGCGTGCTCCATCCACCAGCAGTATAATCTAATCCATTGAAGAAGGCGATGATGCAAAGGTATCCCAAGGTGAAATATGTTGAGAATGGCTGTAGTGGGAAGCTAAAAGGCAGAGAAGATTTGTCGACGTGTTGGGCTTGGATAATCTTTTTGGTATAAATTAGATATAGTAAAACTTTAAAGTACCTCCGATCGGTAGAAGATAGGGTATTTTGATTTCAGTACTATTTCTATATGTCAGAATCCCCCTCCAAGTTTAAAATATGGTCTCCAATATAGTCTTTGTCTAAGATACCGTTGTATGGCTAGGCTACTTCAAGTTCAACCATATTTTGAACATAAGTAATTTTCATATCGTATTCATATAACATAACTTGATAATATCGGTGTCTTGATCCCAAGACACGCTATTTTGCCCTCTTAACAGATGATCTTTACTAAAACGATTTGCTATGCCTGGGCCGCACCACCAGATCGAAGAGAGCGAACTAGTATGCATAACGAATATCTGCACCATTTATACCTCCTTGGTTGATCTTGCGATTGGTATGCTGTAGCCACAATCGCAATACCCAAGCACTAGCGATTGTTGCTACGCCGAAAGCAGCATTCGATGACATGGCAGTAAGATAACGAGGGCCATCACTCTTGGGATAGAGATATGCCGTGTATATGTATGAGGCATTTGCAACCACGTTGATGAACGACAAAGAAGCAGCTTTCTTTTCAGGAGTTTGGCCCAGTGTTGCAGAGACCCATCCCAAAATGACCGAGTTGACTGCATAAGCACCGCTAGCGAATAGGAAACAAGCAACGTATCTTGCTCCAACATTCAGAGTCGTGCATGAGATGATGTAACCCACAACCGCTAGACCCATAGAGATGGTGATGTGCCAAGTTCGCTCGTTGTACCGACCGGAAGTTATTCCAACCACAACACAGCAGATGCCGGAGAAAACGTAGGGAGGGCAAGTCAAAACGAGAGTGATGGTGTTATTGAATCCCAAACTTCCGACCACAGTGGGGAAAAAGTTGTTGAAGCCACAGGCACTAAGGTGCATGTTTTGCATGAAGGCTAGTAGGAAAAGGCGTGGGTCACACATGGCTTGCTTCAGGCCAGCAAGCGCACCCTTAGACTCTTCACCTCCGACAGTGTCTTTTTGGATGCGATCGTGGGCAAGTTGTCGCTCTTCGGGTGTGAGCCATCGTGTATTCAAAGGATGATCGGGAAGCATGAAGATTCCAAGGCCTGCGACACCAAACGTAACTGCACCCTCGATGATAAAGAGCCATTGCCATCCCTTGAGACCAAGATGATGATCTAAAGTAGCAAACGTAGCGGCCGCAATGAGACCAGCAACTGCAGTCGCGACAATGTTACCGGAGTATAGAATGGAGATGCGGAAAGCAATCTCTTTTCGTGTATAGAACAGCGATAGAAGAAAGAGTGCTCCGGGATAGAATGGGGCTTCGGTGATACCCAGAAAGAAACGGACAGCAACGAGACCCCTATAGCTCTTGGTCAAGGCCGTACAAGCTGATACAACCGCCCAGCTTGCCATACAGATACTCATATAGAGAGAAGGTCTGATCTTCTTCGATGACATGAGCATGTTGGACGGGATTTGCATCAACAAATAGCTATGATAAGGACCTGCATTAGTTTCCAGTGTTCCTCTTTTGGCGTAAGGAGCTTTCTAGCTTACCCGACAAACAAAATTGAGATGCAGGTGTTGTATTGGGTGCCCACTAATCCGAGATCCTCTTCGATCCCGTCGAGCCGTGCGTTTGCAATGGCGTTGCGATCAATCTAATTTTGACATTAGAATAAATTTCAGTGTACACGAACCTATCTTTGTCACTCACATAGTTCAGGAAGTACATGGCCCACATGATAGGCATGATTCTCATGTCCAACTTGCGCACAAGGGCAATCTCCCTGGCATCAGTCTTGGCTGTCGCGCCAGAGTAGTCTCCCTTCTCATCCGCCAACTTGAGTGAGTTGGCATACTCGATTTGGGTATCTCCAGATTCCTTTTTGAGGCCAGAATCCGAAGGGACAATTTTATTCGAAGTTGTCATATCGTCGAGTTGAAGCCGTTGGCTTCTTGATTTCAAAAAGTACACAGAATTGTTGATGGGCTCGAGAAAAACGGTCCTTTCACAGAGATTGACAAATATCCCACCCGCGAGGGAAGCACAAACTTATAGCCCATGATTCTTGCCCAGGACGGACTAAGAAGAGCCCGCCTTGTTCCAGATCACACATCTCGACTGCGGCTAGAGGAAGATTAGTTGACAGTCCCGGCTTTTAGTCCGGAAGCAGCCAAGACTTTCCGCGATGCCAAGAATACCAGTAAAGCCACGAGAGTGCACATACCCCAGGTTTCCGCTAATCAAACCGAACCCCAGATTTCCCCGCGTTGTCACTGGGTCAGAATGCGGGGAGCATAAAATTAGAGCCTATTGACGGCCAATAAGCACAAGGTGAAACTTCAAGCCAAATCAGCCACTTCTCCTCCAATGGGATTAGTGTCGGCTCTATGACCCTGGCGGACTATCAAAATACCGTTAGTGTGAGCAATAACGGCATTGTTTAAGTCCGGGCTCGAGTTAAGAAGAATTATTATGAAACGTACAATTCGTGCGTCCTCCGCGTTTGGCTTTGACAATAATGGAAAGTCGAAGGTGTCATTATTTCTCTAAAGAATTTCATGGTCTCGTAGTTTAAGAGCTATCCACTGGAATTTTGGCAAAGAAAGATTCAGCTATACATTCTGGCCTGATACAGGAACTATTGAGGGCATGAAAAGATAGAACTTATCGCCAATAATTAGATCGATGTCAAGAGGAAATTTCGACTCCTAAACCAAGTCGATTGGCCGTTTCAAGTTCGACGTTACATTATATTTATTGCATTTAATTCACGTAGTGGAGATATACTCTTCCAGGGCGTAAAATTATGGCGCAGATGATCCGGTCCAACTTTCAGCCTCATTAACCTTTCCCGATCTCAAGTCGAAAAAAAATACCCCTGGAAATGGCCCCTTGGAAATACAGAAGAACGGAATCCCAAAAGACTTTGGAAAAAAAAAAGCAGAAGTGGGGCTATCCACAATTACAATCAATCACAATAGAAAAGTTAGGAAAAAAAAACAATAAAAGGGAAAAAATTACATACAACAGCAGGGATTCGCATGTGGTCACCCACCATACTACTAACCTGCCGGCGTGTGGCTTAAGTACGGCTGAGCGGACGGGAAGCCCTGTTCTCCACACCCTATGGTCGTATGTACCAGGTTTTGCTTAGAATAGAAACATGAAGCACATAACAGGGGTAAGCTGCCGCTTTAGCGTCGTGCGAATCGGGTGAGTAAACAGGGTGAGAGTCTAAGTCCTGGAGGGTGTATCACTAGTAAACCAATATCAATAAGAGTAGTACGATAAGTGGGCCTGCGCAAGACTTTTGAAATGAACCTCCGTACAAGTTGAAATATTGACAGCTAGGGTATAATAACATCTCCGATTCGAATCCAAATGAGGTCTAAAATAACAAGTACCTATTCGGCAAAGACAGTGTCATCCTTGCAGCCCACAGCATCCTTGGCCGCATCAGCCGTCACGTAGGCAGCAAAGATCGACTTGTAGAACATATTCGCATAGCAGGCGTCGTTATATTTTCTTTTCCAAGTCCTTCTCACCAGACCTGTCTCCCTTAAGCATACAGGTCCTACTGGAAATGGTACCACCGACGGTCTCGCAAGCCTTGATTTGCTTGGGGTCGCTGGGCTGGTAGCGCCCGTTTTGCGGGACGCAGTTTGCAGTGTAGTACTACGCAGGGTTTTCGGTTCCCGGGCTACAGACTAGGTTGTAATCGCCACCGACCTGCTGGATCGTCCAAGTACCATCCATACAGTTGGCATTGCACTCGGTGTTTGTGTGGCAGTTTGTGCCGGCAGCGTACTGTTCTGCCATAGTGGCAGCTGCGAAGAGAGAGATGATGGCTCCGAAAAACTTCATGGTGAATGTTATGGGCTTGAAAGAGTGGTTAATTTTGTTTCTGGTGGAAGGGGATTCGTATGCATACCTTTAATGTAAGGGTTTGTTAAATTTCGGGTGTGAGTCTCTAGAGAAATGCTTGATAGTTGGCAGTATGAGAATATCAGTTGTCTTTATGTAGACTTCGTTCAGAGGCATGAGGGATTTCATCATTGATCCCATAAACGAGTTGTTTTTCACAAGGTGTATCATTGCCTCTTTAGACTTCCTCAGATGATACTTTTGGATCTTCCGAGGCAATATACCAGATCTGTGGGCACACCCTTAGATCTTCGTTGTAAGAGCTTGGTAGATCTTTAGAAAAACTACTCCATATTAGATCTTCTATGGGCATTGTAAATCATTAGGTCCACTATCGGATGCTCGTATAGACATTGTAGATTCATGCCCAGATGGGAACACTAGCTAGTTATTAGAATCTTATGCGAGAGCGTGCTTACTCATCAAACAAATATCCATGGACGAGCACATGTTGTCAAGGATACGATAATCGATAGATGAAAACAACCGATGAAACAACCCGACAAAGTAACCAAGGCACCGAGTAGCTTGCTGGCGTTCCTTGCTCAAAAAGGTGTACCCAGGAGTGTGTCTCCTTCAGCCAGCCACTGAACGATACCATCCATCCAAACGAAATACATCCGAGCTTCAAGTTGCATATTCCCCACTGCACTGTCAGACAAGTGATTTAACTGACACTAAATATTTAGCTCTCAGCCCTGGAGACCGAGAGGAAATTTTAATCAGTGCCTACTATCTAACTGAATACTTCAAAAAAATTATTTACTTTTATAAAATGGTCCCAAGGTTACCTAGGGGTATCGCATATTACTATTAGGAGCATCTGCCGAGTTACCAGTCGAGTTGAGATGTAGTCTCCTGAAGGCAGAAAGCCAGTCGGCGTTATCGGCAATAGTTTGGTCCCAGGCATCTTCGGTATGGAAGAGCACCTTTCTTGCCTCCTTCTGAAACATTTCATCTGTTGGGATGACGCCGAGTTCCATCTGCTTCCGCCCATATTGGCTTAGATGGCGTGTAAACACATCCAAGAATCCCGGGAGTTGCGGCATTGTTTGGTCATCATCTGCGGGAGAGGGTTCTGGGTTTGGGCGATCAGGATTTCCAGCATTTTCATTGGTCATATTGGTCTTTGACATTAGCAGGGAATACTGATCGCGAACGTCCTTGCTTGTTGCAGAGAATGGGACGATACACTCTGATTCCCAACCAAGAAGATAAGGTGGATACGCGTTTTGAAGCTTTGCTGTGATGTGTGGGGCAAAATCATGGTCCCCCTTCCAATCTTTCATTGTAGATCCGTTGCGGAAGTGCTTAGCCAGGTGCGAGACGCGATCGTCCCAATTATCCAGAATCTCGTCACAAAATCCACATCTTGACGTGAAAATTTTCATTTCTTTCTTCCAGTCGTCTAGGGGTGGTGGGTTGTGTACTTGATGTACATGGCGAAGATGCTGGACCAGATGGTCTTTTCTATGGAATGAACGCAGTTCATTGGATAAATCTTTGCAGGCGTCATAGTTGTGCATTGAGAGGTGTTCTTGTGATGGCTCTGACACATTGCAGAAGGAACAGAGCATCTTTCCTGTGATTGAGGAGAGGACTGATGGCCCGAGTGGTGCGCAATACCATGCTTCTAGATTCAGATGTAGCGATTTTTCATGTCGAACCCATTCGTATTTGGTCCCAAAGCGATCGCAGCAGAAAGTGCAACAGAATATTCGAGGCTTGCCGTTATTAGACTGAGATTTGGTCGCTTGCCCTTTTGGTCGACGTTTGCGTGTACGTGATATTTGGGCCCCGGATGACCATGCTGAATCTGCAGATGACACACTGGATTCGCGGCTTGTGTTAGAATATGAGCGACGAGATCGAGAAGGGGTTTTTCGACGGCCGCGATATGGTTGATCGGTGCGATAAGGTGCTGGTGTTTCTTGCATCGCATCCATTATGGCTGTAACTGAGACCGGTTCGTCTTCGAGCCGAAATTTCTGCCATCGTTGCATTGGGTCCAATTCGCCTGTATTCAAATTTTGTAACGGGGTGTTTTTCACCTCTAAACTTGACGCAAAATACCGACTCCTTCGTCGAGGAAGACCGAATTGATTGCTGGGGATTTGAGGGAGTGCCTTCTGAAGATTGGTATCGCCTGTGGACGGCATGCTAGTAGCTGTGACGCCGGATGCAGTGCCTATCTGGGCCTTACTTTCAACCGGAGGGAAATCATCCGCCAAGAGTGGCGAATTGAATAAGTCTGAAAAGCCTTCGACAGATGATGCGGCCGAAAAGTTACCGATTGCCGGTTCCTCTTCATAGCTCAGTGGTGCCGGTGCAGGCACATTGTAAAAATCGATATTCCATAGCCCGCTGTCTTCTAAGGCTTGATTATAAAATATATTGGTATCAAAAGTAGCGTCATTTGTCGCAAAGTCTATTGGTAGTATCGGTATTTCCGTACTCTCGTCATTGGGGCAATGATAAAAATTGCCTGGGATTTGAGTTTGAGTATATGCAGAATCAAGAAAGTTTGGGTCAAAATTGTCTTGATTGTGGGTCATATTGTAGTTATGTATTGCAACGCGCACATGTTCATTTGACAACTTGGGGGGTTGAAAGCCGCCTCCACCTGAACATATCAAGGGACTCGGAAAATGTCTTGATCCGTGTACCACGTGATATACTGACAATCGATGACTAATAGTCACCATCGATGTCATATATTGATGCCTTAAGTATAAGGCTTAAAAACATGACACAAGTGAATAGTAGCTAATTTGGCAGTTTCCAACCATTACGAAAAAGTAATCCCTGGTTTGTAATTTAGCAGAAGACTCCAGTGAGATCAGTTGGTATAAAATACCACCATCGCAAACAAAGATTGACCAGTAATATCTCTAGATTGGGGACCTAGGATAGCCGACCATGGCTATCTCAAATGACAGTCGAGGAATATCCTGGAAACTTTCTGCTATTGTTCGAAAAAATTAAAATGAAAATACATTATATCTGAGAAAATTGGAAATGAGATCAATTTCAAAACTGCCGTGTCACTGCCTAATGAAGCGATCTGAATCACTTTGCCACCGATACAAAATCTTGAAGGAAATTCCAAATTGTTTTCTCTCTCCAATTTCTTCTTTTCCACTCGTTAGCCGATAAGGGGAATAAGTCCACATTTCCCAACAGACTGGGGTCATGAGCATATATGAACCAGATGTTACTTTCCGCATCAGCTTCCTGTGCTTTCTCAATAGTGTCCATTGCCTGTTTTATATCCAAGCCCATGTTCGGTCTGAAGAATGGCTTTTCTATAGAACCGGTCCGCTGTGTTAGCAATTCCTGAAAGGCAATAGCGCCAGGGCATGGAAATGAAGTTGATATAGTTGAGCTTAGTTGGAAATCCTCAGGAATTCGCATGTACTTCGAAGGCCTGATTTCTCCGCCATGGTGGCAAAGATCTCCTCCCATAAATATGAATGTGTTTGGATTAGTTGTTGTACGTGCCAATGCACCAAGATGACCGACTGTGTGACCGGGAGTGTTGATGATATAGAACGAACCATCGCCAAAGAAATCGTATCCTTGGAATTGGCCAACTTGGACCGGATCTTGAAAATCAATCTCGCGTAGATTCCGTCCACTTTCGTATAATTGAGGTCAGCCGAAGGACAAACTTATTATGCTGAATAACTACTTGGATAAACCCCCAAAGAGAGACTTACGCAAAGTCACTCAGGCGGACACATGAATCTGGCTTCGCTGGATATCCAGGAAGAAACTCAGTCTTGAAACCAGGCCCAACAACTAGCTCAGTGGAGCCAGGAAATTTCGAGGGATCCCCAATATGGTCCCAGTGCCAGTGGCTGTCGCAAAGAATTGTCAGTCTCTTGTTGACATTTATTGAAAATTTTTAATGAAGGAAAGAGAATTTTAGTTTCGTACCTCCAAATGATACTTGAGATTTCGCTTGCGGCAATTCCGCCTTTCTCAAGAATTTCGATCACCTCTTCCTCAACTTCAATTTTCCATCCACTTTCTTTGAGGCGTTCAGCGACTACTGGTGCAAATTTGTGCCAGTCTCGAGGAACACCAAGGTCATAGAGAACTTTCTGACCCGATGGATGCTCGATCAAGAACGACCAGGAAGGCAAAATGGGCATGTGTTTCATAGATTCCATGGGAGGCTCCATTAGAAATTCCACCGCTATATTGCCAATTCGGGTGGTAGAGTCGAGTATGCGAACCTGGACGCTCTGCGAGCCCGGAGGCACATTGAAGACGGTGGATTGGTGTGACATGATTAGATAGACCTCTGAATCTCGATGCAGAGTCCCTCTGAATGTTATTTAAGCTTAAAAATAGCACCTGGGGGTATTCTATCCATACAGGGGTGAGGATTTGCAGATGCCGAGAGCCGATAGATAGTGGAGAAATGACTGGGGTAACCGAAATGCGGGGGAACTCTGACGGCAGTCAAGAGGCACTTGTTGCCATCACGAAACCCTCTGTCCTACCCGATTCAAGAATAATTATATTTACGGTTGCAATCATGCCATATTTATTTGTGCGATGGCGTGCAGGCCTAGTGTGTGTTCAATGTCATACGCGAAAGGTAAGCGAGATAACGGAAACCCGATACAGAAGGCTTGTCAGCTGAGTGAATCGATAGATCAGATTTGATTTGAAACAGCGGCAGCTAGGATATGTTTTAATTGCATAAAGACAAGTACAGAGTGTCGGCGAGTGTCTAACTGGGCAAGCAAACAGAAAATCCTAACTCCAATGAAACAAAGCAAACGTAGAGGGTTACGTAGAGAGGCACAGCACAAACAGCCCGCTGGAATATCCAATACCAACACCAACAGACGAGTACCGGAACCGAGAGAAATTCAAGTGAAAAAGCTCTGCATAATTTTAGGGAAATTATCAGACGCGCAATATAGATCATCCCAAATATTGTGCCCCAGGGTATTGAATTGATTTCGGGAGAGATCATTGAATTAGATGCGATCATTTGCGCAACAGGATTCGACGTCTCATTTTGCCCGCACTTCCCAATTGTGGGGAGGGATGGTTGCAATTTTCAAGATAGATGGAACAAGGAGCTCCCCGCTGCGTACGTGTCTTGTGCCGTGGCGGACATGCCCAACTATTTTGTGCTCGTGGGTCCAAACGCGCCGATCAGTCATGGAAGCGTTCTTACAATCGCTGAACAGGTTGCGAGGTACATTATACGAATGCCGAAAAAATGTCAAGTTGAAGATATCAAATCTTTGACTATCCGCACGGAAGCGGTTCAAGAATTTACCCAACATACGCACAGATTCCTCCCACGGACGATCTGGACAGCAGCCTGTCGTTGGTGGTATAAGAATGGTACCATTAATGGTCCCATCACAGCTTTGCATTCCGGCAGCCGCATTCACTGGTTTCATATGATGGAGATATTTCGCCCAGATGACTATGAGTTTGAATATCAGTGTGTGGGAAATAGGTTTCAATTCCTCGGAAACGGCTTTTATTTTCGAGAGAGCGCAGAAAATCCAACATGGTACTTGGAACAGCTTGATAGCTTTTCAGACATTTGATTCCCTCCTTGTTTTACAGTGTCCTCTAAAAGGAAGCATCTATTCTTCGATTTGCTCGGGAATCTGAATCGCGATTCAAGGGAAACAAGTCGGAGTATTTTATCAGAAATAAGAGAGATTACTTGACCTACTGGTCTTGTAGAGGCTTTTTTTTGTATTTCTTGGTCTACTCAAGTGACACATGTTAGGTTTCAGTAATACCGGCGGGTTTCCAGTTCAAGTTCCACACTGCAAGTCAGCACAGCCTTGCATGAGGGTCAAGGAGTAGGCTTTTTACTCACCAATAATGACCAGTTTATTCACCAATGAAAGATATTCAATATTTCTCGTGCTAGTAGAAGTTCCGTAGGCCAAAAGTAAATTCCTGAATACAGAATTTTAATATACAAAATACTTTCTTCTATATACAGGCCCAACCTGCCTTGAAGTTTTCATCCTTCAAAGTCTAAGCAATTCAGGTCCGAAAGTCTCGCCTTTTATTTCCCACCATGTAACAAAGAAATGTCGCCCTGGGCAGTTCCAAGAGAAGTCTCAAACTGAAGCTTCCACCATTCGACAGTTTCACGATCCTCCATGAAAGTGGAGAATTGGGTCAGAGCCGTGGAGGGGTGATCCCAAACACTTCCTGCTGTAGACGACAAGTCCTTTCGAACTAGGTAGCTGCCATTGAAGTTCTTCTGGTAGTCGTCACTTAGCAGCCAGCTCATAAACAGCTTGGCACTTTCGGGACGAGGGGTTGAAGCAAAGATAGCACCGGTCTGAGGCCAATACATGATAGGGTCCTTGGGATCGATGCTGCCAAGGTTGCCGTCGGGCGAGGTGGTAAAGGACAAAGACCGAGTTGAATTCCTTTGCTCAATTTCGGCTGCTGGCTCACCGGTACCACGGACCCATTTCACATCCTGTTCGAGAAGGGCATCGAACCAATCCCAACCGTATTGGTTGATGATAACAGAGAAAAGATAGAGCACAGCGTCGTCGTCGTTGGGGTAAGTCAGGACGAGCTTACTCTTCCACTCTGGGCGAGTGAATTCCTTCCAGGTTGACGGGACATTGGATTTCTTGAGGAGTTTCTGGTTGTAGACGAGACTGCCGAAGTTGTCTAAAACAATTAGTGGTTAGCAATTGAAGAATAAAATATTATGTGAGCCATCCAGGGCTGGCTTACAGATAAAGGTCGGCACAAACGCGCCATCAGGATCTCTGATAGTTGACCATATATCCTCCCAGTGTGCGGGTTTATAGGGGTACAATCTACCATCCCTCTTCCAACGAGTATAGTCGTGGACAGTTTGCAAAACTGCAATATCAGCGCCAGCAGATCCGGTACGTTGAAACTGGCGATTGACACGGCTATCGTGATACTTTGATACATCGACGGTGAGGTTCAGCTCAATCTCTGGGAAACGGGCTTTCCATGCATCGATTGTGGATTGGCCCTGGTTCACAGCTATATCATGTTAGCTTTGCTTCTCTATAAGTATACTTTAACACGCACCATCTCCTCCCCAAAGAACAACGAGGCTACCGTGTTCTTTCTTGGCAGCAGCGTAAATTTGGTCCAGTGAACGATTTTCGACGGCAGGGGAGTGCCCTGGGAAAGAATTCCATTCTGGCAATACTGCGGCAGCCAGGCCGAGGAAGCCCAAAAGAGAGATTGCGGTTTTCATAGTAAGCAAAAGTACAAGTTCCTGCAGGTAGATAAAACAGCCGGATGATGTGCTGAGCTAACCGGACTTCAAACGACAGGTCCAGGAGAATTATAAAGAAGAATAACAACGGTACATTTCCGCGCCGATGACCAACCTCCTTACTGCCCGAAACCATAGTCCTGGTAAGGGAAGTAGATCTTTACCCAATCAAATTAAGATAAGTTGTGGAAGTATGGTGCGATCCGAGACATAGACCCACTCTGACTAGGCTGCAAAACTTTGATACCCTGCAGGAACAGCCTCGTGAAACGAGCTTAATCTAAGTTTACTTTTCCATGGTCCGGCTTTTTGTCATGGTGCAGAAATGCTGAGCAATATGATCTGAGTTTCTGACAAACACTTCTGAGGTACCCGGGACCAGCTAGATGGCGCCCGCTATTCCCACACTCTCGATTTTTTTTATCTATGTTCAAAACTACATGCTCGTTTCGATAAATTCGGCATCTTTTTACTCGGGGTCATATGATGATCCACCCTGAGATTTGCCGGGTCTAGTAGATAGCAACATAGCCACAGTTAACTACATATGGTTACTATTCTTGGGGCTGTTAGTAATATTATGCTCGTAGTTACTATAATTGAGTTCAAGGCTCACTATCATCCAAAGAAGGTATACTACACGAGGGCTAAGCTGGAGGATCCAATGTCATTCTTAGTTAGTGGTAGTAGTCAAAGCTCACTCTCGTAATATCTTTCTTATGCCACCCGGATGAACGGTGTGAAACCCTCTCTTGAGAGAACAATCATGATATCTTACCAAAGTTGCATTCAGATTGGAGTATCAACTGTGATGGGGGAGTGCCTGAGAGCGTATGAGCCTTAGAGATGAGAGGTCAGGAGAATAATGCGGAATCCTGAAGAAGCATTGTGCAGCCTTCCAATTTCCCATGCGATTGATACCTAAATCACCGCATATTTGAATAATACTTGATAGCCCAGACAGGGTGCCCAGCTTCAATAACTATATCTGAAGGAGTGCAGATTGTTATTCAATTATATTGTAAAAATAAAACGTTGCTCTAAGACGAACATAATGATCACAATCTCAAGCCGTATACAAGTCCTTGTTTGATGTTATGCCTCAGGCACCCAGGCCGTCGTGCCTTCCTTACAGGTAGGTAGTTAGTAGTAGCTTCACTCTCTGCCCATGACCAACATCACCACTTTCTCATTGATCACCTCCAGCCTGAGGCAGTTCCTCCAAAGCATCAGCAGTTTGCCGGCGCTTTCCCTGGGTCCCGAGGTCCTAGATACCTAGACTTCCAAAGGTTCGCTCTCTCTTCCATCCAATGCACACTGATCTATGTTTCTCTCCTCTCACCCATACTATCCTCCAAAAGTTTACGCCTCGGCGACCTTGTGCGCTTACCAGGGCACAAAGCGGACAAAAATACCTAAAGTGAATCCAAAAACCCCCACCACTAAGGACCTCTCCATCTGCAACATGGCGCTCGTGTCCATTCCCGCCGAAATACAACTGCGGATAATATCCCACGCCACCTCGATTCGCGATCTGGCTGCCGTATCACAGAAATGTCGGTTGCTACATTCCCTGTGTGACATGAAGACGCGCAGGCGGTTTAACGGATACGCGTCTATCCCAGGGACGGCAGCATCAACCGGACTTTTGACCTCTTGGTGGAGATCCTCAAGCGACCCAGTTTGGGAAAGTATGTGCGAGAACTTGAACAGTACTCGAGTACTGGCTACTCCACTGGCCCTCCCTACGTCGAGATAGAAGAGCAGCGAGATCTCAAAACGTGTGACATAGATCTCCTTCGGGCGGCTGTGAAAAGGGCCGGCTGTGTCGACTCCCAAGAAACCGCCGTGCTCATATCAGACACCAGAAGCTTCAAGACTTCAATCAATGGTCAGATTGAATGGAGGAGCTATTCCGCCCTGAATCGACGATACATCTTCATTGCGTAAGCATTGACCGCGATTCTCATCGTGGTATCGACTAACCTGCAGTCCCTAGCAATGGCACAGCCTTTCGATGACGTTGAGCCCTCAAGTTCGAAGTATGGTCATTATCCCCTCGATCAATTCCTCCGTCGGGCCAATTCGAACGTGGCCAATATTCCCTATCTCCTGAACCTTCGCAAGGTTTACATTTTTGTCGATAATCTAGAACGGCCTTACGAATACGACGACCACTTTGACTATGTTGACGTCGACTTCGTAGCCTGTGTTGCACTCTTCAACCACCTCACATCTATTGAATCAATTGACACCGATGCTCTCATCCGAGACTCCGGGTTAAAGAGCATCTCGCGCCTAAAGCCCAGATCATCCAATATCACCGGGTTTCATCTCAACCACTGCTGTCTCCCTACAATGTATCATGTCTACCTGATCCAATGCTGCAGGAAGCTGCGAGAATTCCGGTACAACATCGGGGGTCGTCGACCTTTTGTGGACCCAAATACTCCCGATATGGTGTATAACATATTCGATGGCACAGCCTTCATGAAGTCAATATTCCCACACAAAGACAAGCTGGAAGTCCTAGACTTCGACGTCTCGAAAGATATTGACTTTTCAAGCTACGATGCGTGAGGTCGGGTCAATGGAGAAATAGATCCTTGGGCAACAGCGGGAATCTATAGTGATGATGATGATGATGATGATGATGATGATGATGATGATGGTCATCATGAGCGGCGATTCCACCGGTCCTTTCTCAGAAACGACCGGTCATTGAAAGACTTCCGCGCCTTGAAGCGATTGAGTGTCGGGATCGAGTTTTTGCCGCACTTCGCTTTCGGATTCAAGAATATCTACGGACGAGAGAAATCTGTCACGCTGTCGTAGTGTATCCCTGAGAGTTTAGAATACCTCTGTATTCGAGGTTACCGAAAGGGGGAGTACGAGGTGCGGGATACACATATTGATTCTCTGGTGGCGCTCTTTAACTCAGGCCTGTCGGGGATCAAGAAAATTCCGGGGATTGAAGAAGAAATTCCCCATTCCGATCATTCTCGTGATCCCGAGAGACAGTACTTGAGTAGGTATGGCTGCTACCAGGGTGAGCATGCCCCCTTAGGGAGTTTGCAAGATGATGGGCATGGTATTGAAAGTTGCGATGATATGGAGCCCGAGGGTTTGGAATCACCAGCATCCTGGGGTCCTGGTGATGAGCATGAATCAAAGGGACATCAGAGATGAATGATGTTCTGGCCAACAAGATACCATCTACAAGAAAAGCTACAAGGAAGTGAGGAACTCAGTAAAGAAGAATAGTAGTCATAAGATGAATCAAAGAAACGTTATGTCCAGGCAGTATGTCAACACAAACAACGAAAATAAAGACATAAGCAACCCAGACGGGTTTATTATGTATTATCTAATCAAAAAATAGACATAAACATACGCAAAGCGTAATAAGTGAATAAGATATCAAGAAAAAAAAAAGGGACCCTTAACCCAGGCCGTCAACGCCTGGTGTCGACAGACAATCCGGTACATACAAGACCTCCCGGAGAAGGATGGATGGCGGGAAGTCTTCAACACCGTCGATGCGCTAGCGCTCAAAACGCACCGAAAACACATTCAGATTCTCGTTGAGAGTGAAGGGGTTTACAGGAGCAGGACAGCAGCACCAAGGACGGCGGCCAGACCGGCACCGGCACCGGCGGCGTTCATGGCACCGGCGTTGAAGGCGGGCTGGGAGGCAACGGGGGTAGAGCTGGAGCCGGAGCCGGAGGCAGCGGGGATACCGGTAGCGTCGGCGCCCGAGGGGACGTAGGGGGGTCGAGACGGAGGCCGGGGCGCTGGGGGAGACAGCGGGAGCGGTGGGGACAGCGGAGGAAGTGCTGGATTGTATGTTAGTTATATGTTTGGGGTTGGTGGTGATCGCAATATCTATCATCTTGATATTGATCGTGATGGGGTAGGATGCTTACCACTTGTTGCACTGGGTGACGGTCTGGGTCACGAGGGGACGGGTGACAGTGAAAGAACCGGTCAGGGTGACGCTTCCGGGCTGTTGAGGAGTTAGTGATATTCCATGGAAAGTGATGAGTGGATACAGGATTGGAATGTTTGGTGATTGTCCCGGATGATGCGACGGATGATTCATCACATCACCCAGACGACGTCCAAACAAGGAATTGATGCGAAAATATTGATAGCAAAGTGATAGAAAATCGGACAAAGAACGTACAGTGGAGACGCTGTAGGTCGAGCCGCCGTGGACGATGGAGGTAGCCTCGGGGCAGTAGGTGGTGTAGTCGGTAACGGTCTCAGTGACAACACCAGCGAAGGCACCAGCGGCCAGGGTGAGAGCGGTAGCAATGGAGAAACGCATTTTGAATGGTTTGGGAGATAAAGTTGATCGAGGAATGTTCCTTGAAAAGATCCGACAAATGTCAAAAGAGTGGCTTGGGGGTTAAAGAATGTAATCGGTCAAGAAGAACCGGAGTGAGCAAGAGAATGTGGATGGAGAACGAGAAGGGGGAGAACGGGGGTGAGTAGGTTTATAATAGAGTGAACTGGGTGAGCCATGGGCCACTCTCAGGTACCCGGGCCCCGCTAGCCCAGGAGAAAATGTGAAAAAGGGGCCGTGGTGGTAATATGGGAAATTACTCCTGTTGTCACTTTTATTTCCACTATTTAGCCCCGTTTATCGTATATTGTCCAATCAGGGAACGTAGCACTGAAGGCTCCCTTAAGCACACGCCCACGAACCGGTTTGTGTGGTCCGTGGATCTTTACCCACTTGGGCCGCAGTGGATGCTAGGGCTTTGTCTAGATGGTCTTGGAGGGTCTGGATTCGTCATGCCCAAGTGAATGTACGGAGTACACACTCTGCTCGTTGACACTGATTCGTTATAGAAGTATACGCATATGCAGAGTTTAAAGGCAAAGCTACTATATTCACTCTTACACCTAGAGAATCTTATACTCCCGCTACTGTGTATATCAAATCCCATTTTTGTGTCACCAACCCTTCAAGTTCTAGTCTGACGACATGGAGCTCATTTCCACAGTGGAGCTTGATGATTTTTGCCCCGACCCAAAGCACCATGATTGGGCCGCCCGGATTGAGATCAAAGATTTCCATCGTTCACATACAATACGATCGGTCGCAAGGGCTGGATGCAGGGTCGGTGGGGTTTCACCCTGCGACATGGGGGGGGATGCAATTAGACCTCCGCAAGGGACGACTGGAAATGACGATGAGAATCATCAGTTCATGCGAGGGCTTTATTATGATATCCCCCGGTCGACCGCCAAGGCTGCCTGGAAAGTTGGCCGATGCGCTGTCTAGCCGTACCACGTGCCGTTCTAATCTTGTCTGACGCCCCAGGGCTACCGTAAGGTACGGTGTACAAATGTACCGTAAGTCATCAATGCCATGGATCGAGTCCCGAACATGGTTCTATAGCGTGTTTGAGGTTGGGTCTAGGATCGACCTTTTTTTGAGGCATCGGAACTAACCTTGGAACAGGTTAGACTATCGGGGGGGGGGAAACGGTGGGATTTACTGAAACTTGAATCAGATGCAAGTCGCTTCGGCATCTAATTCTAAGGTTACGGCGACTCAAAAAGTCCCTACGGTATGAAGTAGACGAGGAAGGTCTGCTTCGTAGTCAAAATTCAATATTGGCCGCCTATGTACGATCTCCGGCACCTGGGCACCTCTGCGTGAACTTGAAGTACATCCATGGATATTTCTAAGGTTCAGAGTAAACGTAAACTCACCTGGGCAGTTTCGCGTTATTCCAACTCAAGGGTTCCTTTTACTAGCCAGGGAACTGTTATTGTCTGTCCAGGTTGTACTACTAGTAGTAGTATTAGTAGTCTTGGCGGGGAACTCGGCGGAGAGGTCCTCCCGGGCGATATACCCAGGTATTCAGGCCGAGCGATAGGGAAACACCAACTTAAACCTGGGCAGTGGGCAGTGGGCACCCAACAACCGTCAAGTCTCAACCTTCAAGTTCCAACTTGGAGTTATTAAGAATTGAATAGACTCAGAGTCGCGGCACTGCAAGTGGCAGCAACTACTACTAGTAATAATACTTAGGCACTCGCATCCGCCGGTACCTGGGATCAACTTCAAGTTGAAGCCCTGGAGTTCAAATTGAACCTATAGGCCATTTCAAGGGTCCCGTGACAGATAAGCCTGGAGAGCAATCCATCTTTAGGACTCTCGGAAGCAACTGAGATGGTGCAGGTACAAGCTGGCTAGGATGACAATCCATCATGATGAATACTAGTATGCTGAGGTTCTTCATAATAGGAGTTCAATTAAACGAGTCCGTAAACGAACAGTTAACTATAGAGATCTGGATTTACTGGGAGTGACACGGTCGGGAAAGGGTGGAATGGGACGCATGAAGCAGGCCGCGTCTTGAGAATAATCTTGGTGACTGCTCAAGGTGAGAAGACAATCAAGACAATTGTCAAGACCAGAGCTGCATTGCTATCCTGCCATCTCCCATATCCCATCTCTTCCGTGTCATCTCCTCTTATCCTCATTATCCAAGCTGAAGCTGAGCTCAAGCAACAGCAACACAACCTCCAATCAGACAAAAACTGATCCCTAAAGGATGGTGACGGGGCGCGGGACCTCTCAGCAGCGCCCGTCCAACATCGGCCCAGAAGGCCGACACCGACGAGTGCTGATACAGATTGGACGCCAACTCTTCATGTTGGATTTAGTTGTGTAAAGAAGAGAAAGGAGGCTGAGGGATTGTGCGCTTAAAACTTTCCGCGGGAGGGGCACGGACCAGGATAAGTCAGGTGACTGGATAACTCAGCAGCAACGTGACTGCCATTTTGGGGATAGTGCACTTTTCCGCTTTCCGCGGGTAACGGGGAAGGTGCGACCGCCGGGTCCCGCGATATAAAACGCTACCCCGGCCGACTTTTCTATCCGTGTGGATTTGTCGGAATCGTTACTGTCTGCGTGTGTACAATGTCTCTCTCTCGCTGTGGGCGTCTTGCCCGTTTCTCTCTGGCGGGTGCTCGCCCTGTGGTTGCGGCCCCCCGTGCCTTCGTCGCCAGAGCCGTCCCCCTCGTGCGGGGAGTATCCTCCTCCAGCCGCGATGCGCAGCACAAGGTGAGAATCGTGTCAATGGGTGATTGGAATACGAATTGAACCATTCTAACGTCCTCTTCAGCTTCTCGCGAGCTCTCTTAAGGACTCCGACCCCGCTGTGTTCAGCATCTTGGAGAAGGTACGTCATGCAATGGGAGGAGCTTCACAGCGCCGGACAACGGCCGCATGGCCACAGCAACGGCAATATGTTAACATCAATCGCAGGAGAAAACCCGCCAGCAGCACTTCATCAACCTGATCCCCTCCGAGAACTTCACATCCCAAGCCGTTCTCGATGCCCTCGGCAGTGTTATGCAAAGTAGGTGGTTTTCCGGCCCCCGACAGATAAGCGGATCCTAATCGCATGATAGACAAATACTCGGAGGGATACCCCGGCGCCCGTTACTATGGTGGTAATGAACACATTGATGCTTCGGAGCGCCTGTGCCAGCAGCGCGCGCTTGAGACTTTCCGTCTCAACCCCGAGGAATGGGGTGTCAACGTTCAGCGTAGGTCAAATTAGTCCCTCATCCCTCGAAACTAAGTGTTAACCAGTTGCGTAGCTCTCTCCGGCTCCCCTGCTAACCTCATGGCCTACTCCGCCGTCCTCAACACTCACGATCGTCTGATGGGTCTGGATCTCCCCCACGGTGGTCACCTGTCGCACGGCTACCAGACCCCCACCAAGAAGATCTCTGCCATCTCTAAATACTTCGAGACCCTGCCCTACCGCCTGGACGAGTCCACCGGTCTGATTGACTATGATGCCCTGGAGAAGCAGGCTCTCCTGTACCGCCCTAAGTTGATCGTCGCCGGTACCTCCGCCTACAGCCGTCTGGTTGACTACCCTCGCATGCGCGCTATTGCCGACGCATGTGGCGCTTACCTCTTGACCGATATGGCCCACATCTCCGGTCTCGTAGCCGCCGATGTCCTCCCCTCGCCATTCCCATACTCTGATATCGTTACTACCACCACCCACAAGTCTCTGCGTGGCCCCCGTGGTGCCATGATCTTCTACCGCAAGGGCCTCCGTCGCACCGATAAGAAGGGCAATAAGGAGATGTACGATTTGGAGAACCCCATCAACGCCTCGGTCTTCCCCGGCCACCAGGGCGGTCCCCACAACCACACTATTACCGCGCTGGCCGTGGCCCTCAAGCAGGCGCAGTCTTCCGAGTTCCAAGAATACCAGAAAACTGTCCTTGCCAACTCCGCAGCCCTGGCCGAGCGCCTGGGCGAGTCCACCAGCAACGGCGGTCTCGGATATAACATTGTCTCCGGCGGAACCGACAACCACCTGGTCCTCGTTGACCTGAAGAACCGTGGCGTCGACGGTGCCCGTGTCGAGCGTGTCCTCGAGCTGTGCGGTGTCGCCAGCAACAAGAACACCGTGCCCGGTGACAAGTCCGCCCTTAAGCCCGGCGGTCTTCGTCTGGGTACCCCTGCCATGACCTCTCGTGGCTTCCAGCCCGAGGATTTCCGCCGCGTTGCGGAGATCGTCGACCGCGCTGTTATCCTGACACAGAAGCTGGATAAGGCTGCGCGGGAGCAGGCCACGGCCCGCGGTGCTAAGAACCCCGGCACTGTCAAGGCGTTCCACGAGTATCTGGGTGAGGGCGAGGAGATTTCAGAGATTGTGCTCCTCCGCCAGGAGGTGGAGGACTGGGTTGGCACATTCAGTCTGCCTTGGGCTAAGGATCAGTAGACAGTAGACCTTTGACGTTTTTCTTTTCTTTATGTATATTTCCCAGCATGATTCAACACGAATAGGATTGACAATATTTCAATGATAATCGCTCTTCAATGACTTATCCAAATGATAGTAATTCAATGGTATTTAGAAAATACCACTTTAAAATTACCCCAGGGAGGATTAGGGTAGGGTTATCCTATCCTAGGATCGCAAAAGATTCCCTTATCTGACCATCTTAAGCGGTCGTTGTAATGATGTCACAGGCCTCGGATGCGCTGCCGGTAGCCGCTGCCGATCGCGGAGTCAAGAACGACAGACCCCCCTCAATTGAATTGAATTAACTACTCATCTACAGTTCATCGGTTATCACTGTTCATTTCTCTCCACAGAGCATGATCTCACACGAACCTGTAATCTCCATCCGGCATACAGCACAATAAGATCGCCACTATGCAGATCAGCCAGGTACAGCCCAAACATCCCCCATCAACCACGGTACCTAATCTCTCCCACAGCTCTACGTATACCCCATCAAATCCCTACGAGCAACGCCCATAACCTCGGGCGTCCTATCACCGCTCGGCCTAAAATATGACCGACGCTTCATGCTCCTCAAAGTTGAGGACGGGCAAGATGGGAATGACAATGGCAAAGCTACACTAAAGAACATGCACGTCCCCCACTTTCCCGAAATGGCACTCTTCGAAACGGCGCTCGATATGCCAACTACTGAACATGAGGGGAGGGTGAGGGTTACATATCACCCTCCTCCTCCGTCCTCGTCAACAGCGGACGGAGAAACAGAATCCCGACCCCGCGAAGTTAAATACCTAGAGATCCCTCTCGAACCAAACGTGGACTCTCTGTCCCGCTTTACGGTGACGATGCACCAGAGCCCCACGACGGGGTATGATATGGGCCCCGTGTATAACGACTGGTTCAGTGCTTGTTTCGGGTACCCAGTTGTCCTGGCTTACCTGGGTGTCAACACTCGCGGGGTACTGGGGACTCTTGCGCCGGCCAAAGCCAAGCTGAACGGCAAGAAGAAAGGAGGGCGGTGGCATGAGGTTTTACTGCGCGGGTTAGAGTCCGTTGGTGGGGGTGGGCCGTTATTGTTGGAGAAATTGCTTGTTCCGATTTGTGCTGTTGCGATTTGCGCTTCTGGGGTGTTGTATGCTGCTGGTCAATTGGATGGTAGTATTGCTAATGGCGTGAGTTCTGTGTCGAAGATGGCTACTCTGGTTGGTATTGTGGGACTGGCGCTGGTGTTGGTCGGTGGGTTTGTGATTTATATGGGTGGGAAGGGGCTCTTCGTGGCTGGTTATGAGGATAGGATTACTTTCGCTGACTGTGCGCCTTTCTTGGTTATATCTGAGACTTCGGTGGATAATGTCTCGGGGCGATTGCCGGTAGGCGAGGAGATGGATCGAACTAAGTTCCGGCCGAATATTGTTATATCTGGGGCCGAGGCTGCGTTTGAAGAGGATTTTTGGACGGAGTTGGTTGTTGGGTCGAAGCGGGCGAGGTTGTTGTTGACGGGGAACTGCGTTCGGTGCCAGAGTCTTAATGTGGATTATCGGACTGGGCGGATGGGGGCTGGTGAGTCGGGGACTGTGTTGAAGAAGTTGATGAAAGATCGTCGGGTGGATCGTGGGGCGAGGTTTAGTCCTGTGTTTGGGCGGTATTCGTTTTTGGATCGTGGGTTTGATGGGGAGGAGGTTAGGGTGGGTGATGTGGTTGAGGTGGTGGCGCGGGGTGCGGAACGCTCGGTATTAGGTGAGTCGTGTTTCTCTTGGAGTTTGGGTTCAAGTTCGAGTTATTCGTGGAATTGGATGCATGGTGGTTCATGGCTGACAGTGTTTCTACTAGATTGGCCCGGTCTCACTAACTAGTGCCTAACGGCAGGGCCGGCAGTAGGCTGAAAAAGGAAAAGGTTACGATGATGTCTGACTGATTCTCACTGAAGTATTTATGATAGTACTAGTATTCGGCGTGGTCTTGATTTAAATTGTGCATTGTATGGTGGAAAGTAAAAATCATCGTGACTTTAGCACAAGTACGGAGTAGATATGGATGCCCAAATTGCTGCTTCTTCAGCTGGCAATGTACCGAGCGGATCCCCAGACCCTTCTTCAGCCCTATGATAGGCGAAATTGTATCCCCATCCACCCTCTTCCACACAAATCATCATCTTTCTTCGCTTTCCAGAAAAGTCCATGCAATCTGCAGGGCCCCATAGTGACTCACACAGCCACAATTACGTCAGATCCATCGCACCGCCACTGATCACATGACCCAGCTTGTTCCATGGAAGTGCCCCGAGTGGATTCAGTTTCCAAGAATAACATTACATTCTTTTTCTTCTAATTCGATTTGATTGTGAGAGCTCTCTCTTCGTTCAGATCTGTCAGAGAAAAGACTCGAAGTACATACATCAAAACGGATTGCTCGTGCTTTCAACCGCTGAACAGCACTGAATTGTGGCTTGCCCGGCCAAGCCGCACCCCTCCAATCGATCTTACGCCGCTGCCTATTCGGAACTCGACTGTATACCAAACTCCCCCCGTTGACCCCATCACACATTCCCAACCAGCGCCGCATTTGACCGCGTGTGGTGTCACCAGTGTCACGCCGCCAGAGGACCTCTGATCGGACCGGTCAGGCGTCCGCGACCTCGCTGCATAAGGCGCCGCTCAGCCCCGCGCGGGTAAGGTTGCCGCTGGCTGCAGGAGGAAACCAAAAAAAAAAAGTTGAGAACGATCTCGATCTCTCCAACACACCAACCCCCGCTGCCACAATGGACGAGGTGAATCTACGTCGCAAAGACACCACCAAGGGTCCGCCATTACGGATCCTCTCCCTCGGTAAGTGCAACCACCACTCCCCTCCCTCTCTTTCTTGTGGAGCTGAGCAACGCTGACAATCAAATAGATGGAGGCGGTGTCCGTGGCTACTCCATGCTCATTATTCTTCAGGAACTCATGTACCGAACCTATGTCGAGTGTGAGGGCAAACCACCTCGTCGCGACCAGATCCCTAAACCTTGCGACCATTTCGACTTGATCGCGGGTACTGGCACTGGCGGTTTGATCGCCATCATGCTCGGTCGGCTCCGCCTGGACCTCGAAACCTGCAAAGAAGTCTACGTTCGCATGACTCGGAAAGTTTTCGAAACCGATAAGACAATCGCCGGTATCCCTTACCGCTCGACTTTATTCAAGGCCTCGAAGCTGGAAGAGGCGATTCGGGAATGCGTGCGCGAACATACGGTGTGGGAGGCGGAGGGGAATGATATGCCCAGCAACACCAACAATAACAACAACAACGCCGACCCAAGATCCTCGATGGCGAGTCTTCCGTATAGTCCTCCCAACTCTGTACCGCAGCGCTCAGTGAGCAGAGGAAGTTTCTCCACTTCAGGCCAGTCATACTCTCAAGCGCAGAACAATAACCAGAGAGGCTCGACTTTTTTGAATGGTTTGCGCTGGGGAAATCCCGAGGCATTGCTATATGATAATCGGGAAAACCGGACGAAAACGTGAGTTTCTATTGCATCGGGATTTGGCCAGAGTGTGACATTGAAAATCGCTAACTTGTGAATACTAGTGCCGTTACGGCTCTCTATAAAGGCACCCCGAAGAATTCGCCTGCGGTGCTTCTACGCTCCTACGACTCTCGCCGCGAACCCCCGCCCGAGTTTGACTGCACAATCTGGCAAGCTGGCCGTGCTACATCAGCCACTGGTCTTGCTTTCAAGCCAATCCGAATCGGACAACACAACTTTATCGACGAGGGCCCCGGAACCTACAATCCAGCACCACAGATTCTCGAAGAGGCAGTCGCCAATGAGTGGCCTGGTCGGGAAGTCGGGGTTTTCGTTAGTATTGGTACCGGTAGACGGCCATCAGGAACCAATAACCGACAACATGAATGGTGGGAGGATTTCTTTGGCGACGCGCTGGGTACATTTGCAGAGGCACGGCGACGACTTATCACAAAGATCGAGGGCTGCGAGGATATTCACCAGCAAATGCTGCGAGACATCCTTGCTAAGCGCCACGTCAGTAAGGACGTCTACTGCCGTCTCAACGTCGAGGTAGGCGTTGGAGAATTCGGCATGAACGAGTGGAACCGACTGGCGGATATCAGCACCAACACGCGACGATACCTCTCCCGACCGGAGGTCAAGAAGCAAATCTTAGATTCGAGCGTCCGCTTTGCCAAGATTGAGCGCATGAACAAACGCATGGCTGCGCACGCGGCGGCGGGCGGAGATCGGGATGACATGTCGTTTGACCTGGAGCGCGAGGAAATCTCCGTCTCAACACACGCCGAGGAGTACACCGTACCGCCCCCATCGAATCAGTTCGCTGTTGAATTACCCGCCGAGCCTGTACCGCTGGATCATTTCCCCCGTCCGCCCACCCGTGGCTCACCCCCGATACCGACCAGCTTCACGGTAACAGCACCACCGGAAGACGACTCGCTCCCGCTTCATCCCACACCGCAGGATAACAGTAACAGTAACAACCACAACCACAACCACAACCACATGCCAACGTCCCCGACTCGACACTCCAGTGGCGAAGTTAGCAGTTTCCGCCCGAGTCACGAGTACGCTCGGCCTTCATCGCAGCAGCAGAGCTCCCCGCATCATAGCGCCGAGCAATTCTCTCCGCTCAATGGAATGCCTCCGCCCGTGCCACCCAAGACCCCTATTCCGTACCCATCGACCGATGATAACGGGGGAGTATCGATGCCTGCACCCCTCTTCTCTCAACCGTCACCTCATTTATCGAGTGGCAAGGTCCGACCGCCGTACCCTGTTGACGAAGCACCGCCGGTGGTCAACCGCCAACGAAAGCCAAGTTACCACGTGGGCTAAAAGGCGATGCTGTCATGAGAGGCATGGAACTTGGTAATAATTCCTCGGTAGTTTTTAAGTCATTTTTGGGTCTGTTTCTGTTTTTGGTTCTGTTTATGCTGAAGTTTGATTTTCAACTTTCCTGCTGGATACCCTTTATTTGAGGTGATGGGGATGAGTGACGAGTTTATGATCAGAGTTATAGTAATAAATGAATATTCTATCCTATCCCTAGTGTACCTACTTAATAAATTCCTAATCGCCTAATACATATCCCCTAATATCTCCTAATATTCCCTAATATTCCCTTCCAATCTAAAGTGTACCTGACATCGTACGCATCGCCCCACCGACCCGCACTTCCCCACAGGCCCAGCCTTCTTGTTTTCTTTCTTTCCTTTCCCCTATTCTGTTCATCTCCTGCTGGTTTCGTCTTAATTATTCTTGTTGTTCTTCTTCTTCTACTTGTCCTTCTCTCCTCTTCAACTCTCCTGCGAAACACCCAACCTCCAATTCCCCCCTGTCGCATATCCAGCCACTGACATCGAGTGTTGATCTTTCGCCCCCGCCCTGTTTTTCTCCTCGTGGTCCTTCCAGAAGAATTCCGGATCTGCATTCCTTCCTGTCACTTTGCATCGCATTCATCTATTCAGCAATATTATCGCTATATCGCTGTCTTATCTCACCTCTCTCTCACCTCTTACAACCCATCCAATCACCTGTGCTTAACTTTAGGCGATACGCCGTACAACGCAGTGGCCTAAACCAGAGTGTCTCACTAGTCGCCGAGTAACGTCTTCGGACGACTCCGTCCCAGCGACACCCACTGCTGGCCGGTGATCTTTGATTTTCTCTTCCCTTCTCTTTCTCTCCTTTCCTTGCGACCGACTTTCACCCCCCGCCCATCATGGACACCCACGAATACACCATGGCGCACGCCTCAACACTCCTTGCCCGCGCCGACTCCAGCGGCCGCCCACCCGTCTACAAAGTGATCGGAATCTGTCTAGCCGTCGCATCAGGCGTCTTCATCGGTATATCCTTCGTCATCAAGAAAATCGGCCTCCTCAAAGCCAACGTGAAATACAACGAGGAAGCCGGCGAGGGCTACGGATACCTGAAGAATTTCTGGTGGTGGTGCGGAATGACGCTGATGATCCTGGGAGAGATCTGCAACTTTGTCGCCTACGCCTTTGTCGATGCGATCCTGGTGACGCCGCTCGGCGCCCTATCCGTCGTGATAACGACGATTCTGTCGGCGATTTTCTTGAAGGAGCGCCTCAGTTTCGTTGGCAAGGTCGGCTGTTTCTCGTGCATTGTTGGCTCGGTGGTTATCGCGATGAATGCGCCTGAACAGTCCTCCGTCAGCAATATCCAGGAGATGCAGCACTTTGTCATTTCGCCGGGCTTTCTGACGTATGCGGGTGTTATTCTTGTCGGGGCCTTGTTTACGGCTGTTTGGGTTGCACCGAGGTATGCGAAGCAGAGCATGTTTGTTTATATTGGCATTTGCAGTTTGGTTGGTGGGTTGAGTGTGGTTGCGACGCAGGGTCTGGGCTCGGCTATTCTCGCGCAGATTAATGGTGAACCACAGTTTAAGCAGTGGTTTCTTTATGTCTTGTTTGTGTTTGTTGTTGGGACTCTCCTTACGGAGATTATTTATCTCAATGTAGGTTCGACTCTGATGATAGTGATGGTGATGGTCTGGTTGCTAACTGTTTTTCTCTACAGAAAGCTTTGAATTTATTCAACGCCGCGCTCGTCACACCGACTTACTACGTCATGTTCACCACTGCGACCATTGTTACTTCTGCCGTCTTGTTCCAGGGTTTCAAGGGTACCGCGGTCCAGATTACCACCGTTATCTTGGGATTCTTGCAGATTTGTGCTGGCGTTGTTCTGCTACAACTGTCCAAGTCTGCCAAAGACGTCCCTGATGCCGCGGTGTTCAAGGGTGACCTGGATCAAATCCGCGAGGTTGCTACGCAAGAAGAGCCCGAGTATGAGCCTAAAGCAGACTCCATCCGCGGCGCTGCGTCTATCATTCGACGTATCTCGACCACCCGTCGCACTGCCGAGGCCGACGAAGCCAAACGATATATTCACGAGAAGCATGAAGATTTCCTCAAGCCACCCGGTGACAATGAGATCATCGAATGGGATGGTATTCGCCGCCGCAGGACGGTTGTCGGCGAAGGCCCAACGATGTCTCGACCGATTACTCCACGCTCCCCTTCGATCAGACAGCAATTGCCTCCACTAGGCATGTCTCGTTTCCCGGATCACGACGAAGAAGAAGACGAAAACCGACCTACTACCAAGCAAAGCGGCCGCTCATTCTTCGGCGATGTCCGATCTCGCACTTCTAGCGTTCTCCACCCCCACTGGACCCCGTTGAACGAGCAAGAAGAGAACGAGAAACGCATGAGTGGCGCCGTCCCTGATACCGAGTATCACGGCGCCGACCAGGCAGGACTCCAACTTCCAACGCACCGCATCGGCCGCGAGCGCAGCGACACGCCCCGATCAATTTCGTGGGCCGATGAGAATGGCGCCGAAGGCACCGACTCACGCCCTGGCAGTGCACGCCGCCAGTTCTCTTTCAACAACATGGTTAGTCGGATGAGAGGACACCGCGAACCCTCCCCCAAGCGCTCCGCCAGTCCACCGCGTGGTATCCTGCGCAGATCCCAGCTCGTTCCAGGCGGCGACCTCCGCCGAACAGCTACAGAAGAAGAACAACTCGGTCTAGTAAAGGGCGACTCACGCTCCGCCCAGCCCGAAGCCGAAATCTCGGAAACCCTAGGCGAGAAATTAGAGCGCTGGTCCAGCAGTGAATCCGAACTCAGCGAAGCTCACCCTATGGTCCCTATCCCTGCCCGTGGCTCTGCCTCTGCGCCTGCCCTTGCCCTCCCTCCTCCTGGACCCATCCCCGCCAGTCGACCTCACGGCGACTCGGTCTCTAGCATGTCAACGGCAGCCTTCCCACCATACGAAGATCACCATGCATTCTACACCCAGGGAAACACTTCAAATCCATACTACCTGCCCCCTTCCCATCAGACCTCCACCTCTCCAGAGCGAATGTCAATAGGCCCTGAACACGACGGCTGGCAACATCCCCGCGGCCAACGATCACGCACACGAACCAATTCTTCCTCTCACGCCCGCGCTCCCCCGCCCTCGCAGTCTTCTTTCTCAACGCACCGCCACCCAAATCCCCTTCCCCCTCTGCCGGATAGAGAGGAACCCGCTACTACAACTGCTGGTGGGGCGGACGATCATGGCCATGTTCACGACGACGCTCACAACAATAACGCCCGTCCAATCAGTCTCGTCCGTCAACAGAGCGGTTGGCGCAGACACATGTCTGAAGCAAGCAGCGACGACGGCTCGACATATGAAACGCGCAGCAGACCAGGACAAGGCCATTAAAGTCGAGATTAAGGTCTAACATTTATGGGGCCGATTCTTTGACATATCACTTTATTTGTTTGTTTGATGCATCTGCAATGGCGATGGCGTTGGGAATATTTGATTTCATGTTTATCGGTGGGTGTATAGTGTAACACTTATTTTTATATCCGGATGGGGAGGATGGTGGCTGGCGTGAATGTGAGCACGCGATTTTGTACATATACGAATGTGGCATCATGTCAGGATGATGTAGATGATGATGATAATGAAACTATGGATGATGGTTATTTAAATGATGGATAGGTATTACCAAGACAATGTGGTATCTCATAGTAAATAGTATAGTAGTTGAAATCGAAGCCAGAGATGCGCTTTCATCCCTTCTAACTATCTTAAGTGAAGATTATCACATCTTGAACTCCAGGGTATCCAGCGAAAAGCAAAACGAAAATGAAACCCCGGCATTACCATGCCATGCAATGCAATACAATGTCCAAATGAAAGAACGCCATGCCAATGCTCACAAAAAGAAAAAGGTGCAGACCGCATCATAAATCAAACCCCATCCCATCCCATCATATCCCATCCATCAAATCAAGCACCAAAGAAACTCACAACACTCCTCTGCCCCTTAGGCGCGATATTCAAAACCGAAAACCTCGACTCAGCAAGCCGTTTCCCAGCCTTGATACTTTCCAACGCCCTAATGAAATCAAATCAAAAGTTAGCCTTGCCTTGTCTTCCCATAGCACGAATGGGCAAGGAAAACAAAACATACCACTCAACGCCAACAACCTTAATCCCCTTCCACCCGGCCCTAGAAATCTCCGTGTGTAGTTTCCGGGCCGCGAGACCGCCGCCTGCACCGGAGCCCGTTGTTCCTGGTTGTGCGGCGATGATGTGCGTTACGCCTTTGCGGGCCATGAAGGAGGCGATGTTTGCGCCGTGCGCGACAAGGAGGTGTTTCAGTTTGTGGTCGGAGATTTGTGGGAGGGTTGTGCCGTTTATGTAGATTGATGTTCCGGTTAGGAGGGTTGACTTGGATTTAGATTTGGGGTTGGGGTTGGGGTTGGCATTGGAGGGTTGTGCTTGGTTTTCGTTTTCGTTTTCGTCTTTTGGGGTCGGCTGTCTCGATGGCGGTTCTGGTGTCGGTTCGAGCTTTGTTTTTGACAATACAGGTGCGAATGCGGGCATGGATACAGAAGCTGGAGCAGGGGCAGAAGCGGATGTCGAGCGTGTCGAAGCTGAAGGCGTTGACACTGAAGATGTAGATGAAGATTCGGAATTCCCACGCAAAGCCATACCCTCCCCCAACCTTCCAGTTGAGACATCTCCCCGTATATCCCTCTGCCTTTCCATCCTCCCCTCCGCAGAATGAACCCACTTCAACTTCTTCTCCGTCCCGTGCACCTGATCATCCGCCTTGCGCTTATTAACCCCCATAAAGCCCCGAATATCCCTCAGGCCCATCTGCGAGCGCTTGGCCTCCGCATCCGATACCCATCGATATTCGCCACCGGCTCTCGACCTGGAAGAAGGCTGGTGGGCGTCTGTCTCGGGTGAATCAGGACCTAGCGTTCCGTCAAAGGCACCAGCGCCAGCACCAGCGCCAGCGCCGGTCTCTGCGCGCTGCTCCCGTTCTTGGGCCCTGGGGCTCTGGGCAAGACAGTCGCCAGCGCGGAACTGGTTGCGGAGTTTTTGGGCTCGCGTGTCGCGCCATGCTGTTGTGTTTGAGTACGGGTTGTCGGCTACTTGGTGGCCTGTTGAGTGTGAGACCCAGGTATCGTAGATGGCGTTTTTGATGGTCTGTTGCCCCGGTTTGGGATTGGAGGGCGCCATGGGATTGGCGTTGGCGTTGGGTTATTGGTTCGCCGCTGGCTGCTGGTGAGATTGCTGGCGTCGAAATTTCAACTGTCTGTAGTTCGGTTGGGAAGGCGCTGGGATCTCCGTTTTTGATTCTTGATTTATTTTTGGCTGGTTGCGCGCGTCGTGGTGGTGCGTTGTTACCACTGCATTTGTGGGTGGAGTCATTCCTGTTGATGGAGGGATTTTCTTTTCGTGGGATGTTGCTTTGTCGATGTTGAATGACGTTGGCGTGGGGAGAAATTGAACCATGGTTGAAGTGTTTGGGTTTTGCCGTTTTGGGATAGGGTTGATCGATCACGTGGCAACCGTTGGCATGTCGTGCATTTACTAGTATGGCTTTGGGGGGGGTGGACTATATGGAGCTATTTGGGTTTAATTATGGCTTACAGCTCTCAGTGGTATTGCGCATGCTATCGGGATTGTTGATAATTGTTCAATACTCGCCAGGGGTGTGGGGAGTTCAAGTTGAGGCCCTGGTACTTATATATATTTTGACCATAGAAAGAGCACCAGTGAAGTGGAGTACATCAGGACCATAAGTTGAGAAAACCCAGTAGCTTTCTTTTTGGTTCCAAGGATTCAACTTACAAATTCCCTCTCGAATACCTAGTAGGTAGCAAGTATACCATAAAAATATTCAATCTAAATGGCCTTTCATCTTAAGCATGGCTCGCATCTCAATGCACAAGAGATAGTTCAACAAACTGGGGGATGTTAAGCAGAGTCCAACACCCTCTGAGCCAGTGACGGATCAGAATATCAGCTTCAGATAAGCTAGAGTATGAATACTCTACCAATATGAATTGGAATCACGAAAGCTGCGCGAGACTTCTTTTCTAGGAAATAGCCAAGAGACGGCTAATTATCAGACTCCGTCATTCTTTTACATTGCGGGGATATCCCCATCCGAGCGAGTGAATTGCAGGAACATGGATGAATATCAGATGCATGTTCCTTGTTCAACAGAACTTGAGCCCAAGGTACGTGCCTGTAAGTAAATAGTCCTATTATAGGCGGTTGAGGTCGTCTACCTGGACTCAATTGTAGACAACGGTATACTCCCGCTTCAGTCGACTGAACCCAAGCAGAAAAGCATTCACATTCACGCCTCGCAGGCTAGCCCCATATGCCCGCGGATGGGAAGATCCCCATGATACAAACCTACAAGAAATCAAAGCCTGCTGGATATTTCTGCCTGAGATCTCTGGCTCGGATATGCATGTAGTAGGTACGCCACATCACATTAAGACAAACCCAAGACCAGACTCTAGACGGAGTCCTGGAGAATAAGCCCACATACATTCAGAGTGTATGTATGTATTCTGCAGTTCGCCATTATCCAACCAAGCCAGCGTCATATCACATAGACTACTAAGCTCAAAGAGAGAGAGAGACATACAGGCCTCCCTCTCCACTGTAAATCTACACCTGCGCCCCAATCTCGGTGCATCACCCTTGTTCAAATGCACCGCGCTTCCAGAAGCCTGCCGCAACCCGCTTCAAGATCTCTGCCTGCACAGTCTCTGTACACCGTGCCAGGTCCCGATGCATTGTGGCTAGCCGGACCGCTGTGCGTATGGTGGTCCGGCATTATCTCATCGGAGAGTTCGTAGCCAGCGCGCAGGCTACGGGTACGGAGTACAGGACGTGCATAGTATAGTGTAGGTGGCGATGATGATGATATCAGCCAACCGCGCGCAACAGATTAATCTCGTCACAACACGAGAAAGCGAAGCAAGACAAAACAAAAAAGGCCGCCCGAAAGGGTCGGTCTACGATCAGGGAATTAATCTGCGCAAAAACCCAATGCAGGCTACGCAACTGACATTCCACACTGGTCTTACTTGTCCTGAGCTGTCCGGTTCGGCCGGGAGGGGCGGGGAAGAAAGAAAAGAAAAAGCAAAATAGGGAAGCAAACTAAACCGAAACAAAATAGCCAAAAGAAAAAAAAACGAGAAAAAGAAAAGACACGAGGTGGGTGATACCAAGCACCACAAGCCACAAGGGATGGGATGGGATGGGAGAGCAGAGAGGAGAGGAGAGAGGGGGGGGGACTGGATAGAAACCCGCGCACCTGAGCACAAGCACAAGCACAAGCCAAGTCCAGCCCAAGCCGAACACGCCCAAGCTCAATCAAGCCAGAACTCTTACAGTAGAGAGCGAATCCGAACGCGAGACGCGACGAATGTGGCCAAGGCAGAAAGCAAAAACAAAACCCGCGAGCCTGAAACCAGCGGTGTGCAACCGTAGTCGCCATATCCCAGCAAGACATGACGAGACAGGTTAAGAGCGTGGTTCTATCCAGCTCACGGGTTTGCGAAAGGTCTCGCTCTCGCTGGACAGGGCCCAGAACGAGCAAGACACGCATGGCATGCTTCGAGAATGTGGCGACCCACGCGTTTCGAACAGGAAGGGATACAGTACACAGCACTGTATTGATGCTGCAGTGTTGTCATTCGCGCGCGCTACGGTGGCTACTGAGGATACTGTACATAGGATGGTCCGGATCTGGGGGTCGGCCGTGTCATCGGATTCTAGGTACGGAGTGTGGTGTGGCTCTACGTGCAGAAGCTATGGTATGGATGGTGTCTCTTGCAGAACTGTGTGGGTGTAGAGATGCATGCAGGCGGGGAAGATGTCTGTGCATGCATTCTTCGATCGTCTGGGGATTGTCTGACAAGACGGTGAGGCGTGCAGAGACACTGTTCTGCTCTACTCTGCTCGTACGGGGAAGTGGCACTGTGGCACCGTGAGAAACAGCCAAGGGGCAAAAGGAAAATAAATGGAGGGACGGGGAAGGGCCAGAACAGAGCAGAGTCGAGCTGGGGTACTCCGTACTCTGTAGACAGAGCATAGCAGAGCAGAGCAGAAGAGATCCCGGCACAAGCTAAGCAGATCAGATCAGAGAGCACGGCCGGGGTGGATGTGGGTGTATGCACGGGTCTGTGAAGTGCATTAGGGGGGCAGGGCCGGATGTCGTACATCAACTCTGGTTCTCTCGGCCCTACCAGTTAGGAGGATTTTTGGGAGACATCGGCATAGATTAACCAAAGTCAAACCAGGGTAGGGAACTCCGTAACTCGGGGGGTCGGACAGGGGAGGAGAGGAGAGGAGAGGAGGAGATACTCTGTCCAGAGTAAAACAAGACAAAATAGGACAGGATAGGGCGGAAAAGCAAAAGACTTGGGACCACACAGTCCACACGATAATCTGGAACGCTGACGTCGTGCCGATCATTGGGGTTTCAGAAGATTGGAGATGATTTTTGGTTTTGATTTTGATTTGGAAAAAATAATATAATTTTTGATTTTTTTGATCTCCCTGGACCTGTCTCGCTTCGGTCCGTGGAGATTTCCCCCCCCCCCCAAACCCCAATGGATATGAAATCAGGGCACAGGACCGGTACACATACGGAGTATCCATACGGGAGAACTGTCACTGACACTGACACTGACAGATATAGGGCGTGGGAATTGGCATTATCATTAGCATTGACCATTGATTAGCACTGGCAATCGGAACCTCAATCCCAGGATTTCATTTCGAACCAAGCCCTGAGCGGGCAATAGTCACATCTCTTCCTTTCTCGGACAACCAGAGGGCCCAGAGCATCCAGCTGAGAGGAGGAGAATAGCCCATAGGCATAGCGCGGGCGTGCAAATAACCCCATTCGCGATAGGGGAGGGGGGACGAGCATCCCCCGAACAACTCCACCCACAAGAACCCACCAACGGCCAGTGGATCATCCTGTGCCACGTCTGCACGCAAGGGGGCAACTGGCGGTGAAATCCACCACGATCTAGGCCGCTCGCTACGTGGTCGTGGCCACCGCCAGTCATTGTCCGGTCGGATCGTCGATCGGCGGGCGCTTGCAGCTCATCCTCCCCCTCTTCTGCTCCGGTGTGGCCAATGGGGAGGGTCAGTTGGTGTTTAGCGTGGTTACACCTTTGACGCCCCCTCCCTTCAGCCTGCTAAGCTGATCATGATGGGGGTTTGTTCTCGGAGGAGAAGCCCGACGTGGAATGGCCGGGTTGACCTGGGTGAAATGGAACGAGAGGGTTTAAAAAAAAAAAAAAATGGAAAATGGAAAAATGGAAAGCACAACACAACCCTGTCTAGCATGGCGGAGAAAGGGAGCAGAGATGAGGGTATGAGAAGCAGAGCACAGAGCACATAGCAGTAACGCTAGGCGAGCAAGATGAACGTGCAGTCGATCTCTCACGGGACAATGCAATGCGAGTTTAAATCGGGGTCGCACGGCCCCGGGCCTTCCAGATCCATCCTGGTCTTGTCGTGGTGTGCTGTCATTCGTGGCGAAGTTGAAAACCTGGCCGGGTAAGATGGAGGAATAAGCGTGAGCGTGAGGTGAGAGGAGGCCGTGGAAATGCGGTGATATTGATATTACGGAGTAACAGAGACAACACTGGCAGTATGGATATGGAAACCGGGGGTAGATTACTCCGTAGGTTTCCAAATCATCCCATAACAAGATGGCAAATATGGAGTACTTCGTACATGGCCAGACTCACGACTACAGAGTATGGAGTAAGTACTTCGTACCTCTAGCTGCAAGAGCTGCAAGAGCTCACTCTGTACGGAGTGGACATACTGAGTAACTATTCGTATGGAGTACTCCGTACAGAGACTATCGGAGAGAATCCCCACTAAATCCTTCTGTACGACCCCGGCGGCCCGCGGAGACAGGGTATCCTTGCAAGCAAAGCCCGCTAGTCCCTCTCGTCCGACCAAAAGTCCCATTTCCTCCGTCCCACCGAGGAATCTCCTAGCAAAAGCCTGTGATCCAATAATTGCTGATTCTACGTAATCAACCCTAACTCAAATCATATCATATCAGAAGGTTGATTACGGGAGATTGCTAAATGAGGCGTGGGTGCCCCGTATTCCAGTCATGGTGATCACCAATTGCCAGCGCCAGTGCAATCTGTCATTGTGGTCGGTCTGCACGGACGAAGGCTGCAGGGTCACTCGTCTGCAAGGTACGGGCGAACCCGTCGATCGATGGTCTATGCTGGTCAACAGACATAGCGTAAAAAAGACTCAGTGGAGAACTCGCCAAAGGCACCGTTGTTCCGAGCTGAACCTAACTGTACCACTAGGAACCGCGGGGGGAGAAGAGTGGAGAGGAGGGCAGAATCAGGGCTGCGGAGGACAATGGTCCTGCTAATTAAACCAAGTCCGAACTATGGAGCCGGGGTTATATCATAGTAGGGGGGAGTACAGAGTAGAACGAGATGATTTGGAAGACTGTGTTTCTGTATCGGGGACCCTATTGTGAGATTAACTACGGAGTATCAGGATGAGATCAAGGGAAAAGATGGCTTCGAATAACCTTGGATGATCTGTGCCGTGGCCGTGGCCGTAGTACCTCGATTCCCTTGCTTATCTTCACGGTTCAACGGTTCGGACGCAATTTGATAGATTACATCGGGTGTGTGATGGGATGGGGTGCCAAGGTAGACTGGACTAGCGAGTCCCACACCTGGTCCAAGCTTAACAAAATGTGGATTGGATTCCGGTGGCCCCGTCCAGGTTAGTGAGGTTGGTACGGAGTACGAAGTACGGAGGATAGCTGGGAATTTTGAGAAAAGGGGAATAATAATAGTAAAAGTCTGGGAAAGGAAAAGGAGAGAGGAAAAAGCAAAAATAAGAAAAAAAGAAGAAGAAGAAAAAAGAAAAAAGAAAAAAAAAAAAGGCCAATGAAGCCAGCCGTTCCTCAGCTGGTTGGATAGTTCCAGGCTCCACCCAGCCCCCAATTGCAATCCGCCATCCCATCCCCCCTCTTCTTGTTCGGATTTGCATTTTTTTTTTCCGTTGTCGACGAGCGGATCCCCCCCTACTGTACGCTGCGCAGCGGGTATCGGGCCGTCGATAGCGAGCTGCGGTGCAGGGATCAGAGTGGCCCACGGACGAGGATGCTGACTTGAGTTGGGTGAAGAAATTAGAGTGCTGTCAATGGATGTAATCTGCAAGCATCCACGGGGAGGCAGCATACATTATAACTTAGCTACGGAGTACGGAGTATAAGATGCAAAATTATGGCAGAGCAGCTTTCTGGAACTATTTCATCTATATTTTCCAACCACCAGTATCACCAGTATCACATCACCACTCCAGCACCACTACAACAGCATCACCAGCCCCAGCCTTAACCCCACCGCTGCCTAAGCTAAGCCCCGTTTCTTCCCGAAGAGAGCCAAGGGTCTGTGTGGACGAGTGGATTGGCCAGGACGCCACTGAAGAAACCCACTGCAAATGACGAGCAGAAGGAATCGATAATCGATGATGGTCGGTCTGATCATACCGTAGCCAGGGCTATCGGGGAGCCGGGGAGGCCCCATCGGACCCGGACCCCCGTTCATCTATCCACTAATTCTTCACCGGGCTTAGCATTTATTGAATATTGGGAGGAGATGAGATGGACATGGACATGGATGATTCCAGAGGGAGAAGGAGAGGGAGGAGAGTATTCTGAGAGGGAAATAATGCCAATAATGTCCGATAGCGTGGAGGGTCCATTAGCAGACACGTCAGTTCACGGAGTAGGTCAGTTTAGGTCAGGCTGAGGAAGTCAAGTCATGGGGATACCCCTGTCAAGTTCTGACATCTGTCAACCTTGTTCGAGACCGTGAAGCAAGGGCGACTGGCGGTGAATTGGGGAATCGTCAGAGGAGGAGAGTATTCCGAGAGGGAGTTGTACTGTAGCAGAGTCTGCTCCCCTTGCTGCTATGGAGTTGATCATTATTATTCCAAGTTATTAGAATTAATTTTACAGAGTACTGTACGGAGCTATGGAGGACTCTGATCTGCTGCAGTGTATTCTGCTCGGCTGTTTCTATCCCACGTCATGGCTAGCACGCAAGTTGAGCTAGCCTGAGCAAGAGGAGAGCAGAATAGAGGTGAACAGCTCGTCACGGGGCTAGACTTGCGATCCGGTCGGTAAACCAGCCGTCGTACTGGCAGGGATGATTGAGTGAACAGACCCTCGATCGACCCAAGCCACCCGTGCGTGGTGGCCTCTGGACCAGTGGATTATCCCTTGACGCTCAGACTGATACTCCGTACGCTATGAGTAGTGTGTATGTGGTAGTATACTAAATATACTACATAGTACTAGATCGTCTGTACTTACACTAAGGGCTTAGAGTAATGAATACTCAGAGTACTCTGTAGAAGAGAGTAGAGTACTTCCTCCCCTACTCTGTTCTGTTCTTGTTCTCGTACCCGCACGATCGACGGGCCGCCTCAGCATATCCGGGCGGGAGTCCGTGTTGATCGATCACTCGCTCCACTTGAGACTAGACTGTGACTAGTTTCTAGTGGGATACTAGCCTGGTGTGCCAAGTTGAAACGATTGACCGTGCAGCGCGGCTAGGTCTGGCCAGAGGGAGAGGGAGGAGAGTACGGAGTAGTACGGAAGGTGTAGTGTGGTGAGTGTGAGTGCGAGTGTATACTCCATCCAGTGTACTCCACGCTCAACCATGGTACTCTGGAAATCACATAACCATGGTGCAGACAATAAACAGGAACTGTACGGAGTGTCTATATAGAGTATAGAGTACTGGTACTCTATACTCTATATTCTGTATATCTACAGAGTACATTGAGTACACAGAGTACTTCGTACTCTGTGTTCTTTACTCTGCGTACTCTGTGTAGTGCGTGCACCCACCCTCAGTGCGTGCCCCCATAATTCCCGTCCCTGCATTTCCCTCTTTTTCCCAATTCAATTTTCCTCTTTTCTTTTTTTTCCCTTTTATTCCCTATTTTATTCCCTATTTTATTCCCCATTTTATTCCTATTTTAATTCCCAATTTACATTATTTCCCACTTCCTTTTTCCACTGGTCCTTGCTTCTGGTGGCGGTTGACTCGATCGACCATCTCCCCCCCACCCCCCACTGAAATGATTCGATGCTATTTCCGTTGAGCACAACACTCAAAAGGGCCCGGGATTGTCTTTGCATTCCCAGCCTTCTTTTCACTCAGACCTTCCTGCACTTGCACACTTGACTTTCCCCTCCGCTGTGTACTCTCTTAGTCAGCTACCTGCGGCTCCTTGAATGTGTTCCTGCTCCTCCCCCTTCCTGTAAACTGCAGAGGGATGCGTTTGCTGCACGCCAGCCTTCTGTAAAACCTCTCTCGTTTCTCTGGACTCACTTCACCCCTTGGTTCCGACCTTATTTCTTCCTCTTCACTGCCGTCTTCTTGCATACTTTTTCATGTTTATCACGACCCGTTCATGAAACTGATGACCTTGTTCCCATTGCATTGATTCCTTGAACTTTGTGGAGATCATTGAAACCCTCACAAAAGTCTGCTTGTCTGCTGCTACTTTGCTGCTACTTTGCTGCTTCTCTACTGCATTGCCAACCTTGGACCCCCCTCACGCCGTGCAACATCACACTTCCCTTTCCCTTTGACCTCACGCTTTCCCCCGTTTGAACGTTGTCGGATCTTCTCCGTCAGCCTTCTTCCCCTCCCCTTTGCCCTTCTTCCCTGCATTTTTCTCTCCAGTTCTCCCGTGAAACCGAAAAGCTGGAGCTGCCGTCGATCTCGCAGGTCCACACCCGCGGTCCTGCTGACGCCCCCTGGTACAACCACCACGCCGTCGAACGTCCATTACTGCCTGGCGATAAGCTCCCCGCACTCAGCTTGCCGACGGCCTCTCAGATTCCCTCGCGCTTCGTCTATCCAGACCAGAGCTCTGCCAGCTCAAGCGCCCGTACGAGCTTGTCCAGCGCCGCTTCCCTTCACGAGCCCAGAAGTCCCCCTCCATCTGAATTGGGGGCCCAAGGTCGCCTCTCGCTGGATTCGGAGTACCAAGTCGCCCAAGAGGGCTATTACCCCAGCCCGACCTCACTCGGCAGTATGAATCAGACTCAGCCTTATATGGATGTTCATTCCCATATGTCGTCCGCTCAACCTTACGCCTCACAAGCCGCCACTGCTGGTGCCATGTCGCACTACCCTTATCACCAGCAACCCCCGGTGCTGCAGCCTGCATCCTCCTATGGCCCACACTCTTACCCGCAGTACGGATATCCCAATGGCGTGACGTCGCCGCCAACCGGACACCCGCCCCCTGCGAGCTCCATGGCAGGTCAGATGCCCGCTCAGTTGTTGCCTCTTCCTGGTATGTCATCCGAATTCGTGGGAATAACCAAGCCTTTTCTTCGCATTTCCGACGCAAAGAACCATGCTAACCGAACCTGCCCCACCAGTGAACCATTCCGCGGCCCCACCAGGATATGGAAACAATACCGGAGCGCCGTTGCAAGGCTTCGTTTATGATTCAACGGGTCAGGTGGCGCCTCCGGGAGCCAAGCCCCGCGTCACGGCTACTTTGTGGGAGGACGAGGGCAGTCTCTGCTACCAAGTGGAGGCCAAGGGAGTCTGCGTCGCCCGGAGAGAGGGTGAGTGTGAAATGATTCCCGCTGCGACACGAATCCCAATTCTTACTAACTTTTCGCCCCAGACAACCACATGATCAATGGCACGAAACTACTCAACGTGGCTGGTATGACCCGTGGCCGTCGTGATGGGATCCTGAAGAGCGAGAAGCTGCGCCATGTCGTGAAAATTGGCCCGATGCATTTGAAGGGTGTCTGGTAAGTTGCGAACGATTTTTGCACACAATCAACGAGATTCAACATAAAGGATAGATACTGACATATCCACAGGATTCCGTTCGAGCGCGCATTGGAGTTTGCAAATAAGGAGAAGATAACCGATCTTTTGTATCCGCTGTTCGTGCATAATATTGGTGGTCTGCTGTATCACCCGGCAAACCAGACTCGGACCAACTTGGTGGTGCAAGAATCCCAGGCCCGACGCCTGGAAGGTCCCCCCCACAGGACCCCAACGTACCCCGACCGCACCTCAGCCCTCGACGCTGCACCACCACGCGATGCAGACCCCAATGTCCTCTCACATGTCTCAACCATCATCCATGGGCGGTGGCCCTCGCCCCGGCATTGACCGTGCGAACACCTTTCCCACACCACCCGCCAGCGCATCTAGCCTGATGGGAGTAACCAACCAGGGGAGCTCATATGAATGGGGTGGCCAGGGAATGAACTCGGGAGTACCACAATCACAGCCTCTGTCAATCGACACCGCATTGAGCAACCAACGCTCCATGCCGACCACCCCTGCCACCACTCCCCCTGGGAACAACATGCAGGCCATGCCCCCTTATCAAGCTCAGTCAGGCTACGAGAGCAAGCCCTACTACTCGGCTGCGCCTCCCAACCACTCCCAATACGCACCGCAGACGCCGATGACGCAGTCCGGTCTTTCCAGCTACGGACAAACGCTGCCGAATGTGAACTACCTGAAGAGCGACATGGCGCCTCCGACAGGTCGGGCTCCTGGTGCTCCTGAGACTGATAACTCTGATCTCAAATCCGACCGCTACTCCCAGAGCAATGGTCCCGGTGATTCAGTCCCAGAGCAGGAGCCAGAGTACCTGCAAGACCAAGGGAACGGTTACAATCCGAACCGCGGCTCGTACACCTACACCACCAACCCTTCCGTCGGATCTCTTGCTGGTGAACACCCACAGTTGACTCCCGAGATGACGGGTTCCCCCCCAGCAAAACGGCTCGGGCCGCATGACCCCCCGAACCAGTGGTGGTCCTCCACCTCACTGGGCTTCTGGGTATAACACTCCCCCTCGTCCCCCGGCTGCTACTACCCTGTATAATGCTGTGAGCGATACCCGTGGCACACCCGCTAATGGTGCCTCCGACCCATACTCCATGGCTTCCACCACCACTCCGGTGTATTCGACCTCGATGGGCGGGTCCCTGGGCTCAGGCAGCAAGCGTATGCGCGAGGACGACGATGTGATCCGACCCGAAAGCAGCGGCGAGTACGAAAGCAAGCGCCGCAAGACCATCACTGACGCTAGCCTCGGTGGTCCCGTGGGCGCTGCCCCAATCCTGCAGCCCATGAAGACCGGCGCCGTGATGGCACGCCGTCGATAAACCTGTGCATCGTCAACCCCCGTTTATCTTTAACCCTCTCTCCACCGAGAGTGATCATGAACCCTTCTCACTGGTACGGAGATTTGTTTTCTGATAGTTCTGCGGCTGTGTGTCGACCATAGTCTTACCACCGCAGAGCATGGACGTTCGACATGAAATTTCTTTTGCTATTTAGCATCCACTCTTCGCCCCTTTTCCCTTTCTTGAAGTTTCCGCGGCAAATCCTCATCCCATGAGGCTTCAATGAGTGAGAGCACCAATAAACCACGACTGCACGAGAAAAAAGCTTTTGGTTCCATCTCGTCTCATTTCATCCCATTACCCGCCACGCTAGCCTCTTGCATTTTGCTTCCTTCTGTTCTGCGATGCACTCCTTACGAAACTTGGGAAAATCTCGGGTGTTTGACACGACTGCGCCATCTCACAGCTCTTTTCCATCAGTGCAGATATAATGGCCCCCCATTCTAGCGTCTTTCCATTCCAGCGTGATGAAACGGATCTCGATGAGAGGGAGGAGTTCCGATCGATCTATTCATTTTTGCTTTGCTTTTCCTTTTTTCAACATCAAATGACCGGATCCCCGTCCCCTCTCCTCTCGCACTGACGACAATGATATAACGAATCTCTTATGACGAATCTTCTATGTGTGCGATTTCTACATCGCCATGGCTTTTGGTTTTGGTTTTGGTTTTATTTTTCTTTTGGCTTGTTTTCTTTGGTCGCTTCTCTCCTCTCTTCCCTCTCTCTGACTTTCTTCTATTTGGTTGTGCAGAGCAGAGCGGTGGGGAGGGAGGGAAAGAGCTGATTCTCGCGGCGACGTCTGCAATTTTGGACACTGTTTTCTCTTTTTTTCTTTTTTACTTTGTCTCGCTGAAAAGGTTGTTTGTTGCTGAGTGGGTTGTCACTGGCATTCCGGGTTGGGGGAAGGGAAATTCTCTCTTCCGACGCCCTTTCTAAATTCCACTCGTGCTTTGGTTATGTTTTAGAGACGATATGATGGTAATGAATGATCATGATTCCTTTTTCAACTCTGACTATGGTTTTGGTTTTGGCTAGGGCTTGGACTGGGTTCGTCGGGTGTGACTTTCCATAGCGATATACAATTCTTCTGCGGTTTACATGGGACTATCGTAGTAGCTGTAGTAGTAGTAGTAGTAGTAGTAGTAGTAGTAGTAGTAGTAGTAGTAGCTAGGAACTAGTAGGCTTCTAAACGGGGGTATGAGTACCAAGTCACTGCTGTCGCAGTCAGCCTGGGTTCAAGTTGATTATCGGGTCTAGAATAGGTAGCGGGATCTGTGCAGATTTCTCCATTCTATCTATGTCCAGTCTATTCTATGACGCCGTAACCCAGGAACTTGAACTTCAGAAATTATGTCTATAGAAACCATCGTTGTGATGACCATTCCATCCTGTTTCGTCCCATCATACCATTCCGTCCGATAATCGTAAACCGTACCCAGTTCCAGTCCAGTCGTTAGCGTAGCGTACCGTAGCTACCATACCATACCATACCATACCCAGTCCAGTCCAACCCAAGCCGAAGATAGATAACATGGCGCATCCAGGGACAGAAGAGAAGAAAAACACAAAGGAAAGCAAAGAACCAGCAAAAGCAGTCGGAATAGCGGAACATGCGTATATACTCACTGCGAGTCTAGATGACGATATCTCGCAGATGAAATGATAGTATGAACGTGACTGAAACCGCGAGAAGAGCAGAGGAGAAAGGGAGGCGTAGAAAAGCAAAAGCAAGGCCGAAAGACCGCCCAGTCCAGCCCAAGCTAACCCTACCTACCGCTTCCCAGCCTGCGCAAAAACCAATTGCCAAATCTCCAGCCACTGCTGCTGCTTATACGACAAGGGCGGTGGGGATTACGGAACGTTGAAGCCAGCAGGTCGCGAAGCCGACTGTTGAGAATCTTCAGCGCAAGCATCGATTTCCAGTCGCGCACGCTGAATCGGATTCGATTCGCATCGATCGAGATAACGCCCGAGTACATTTTGAACTCGGCCTCGCCGCACAGCAGGGCGATGGCGAAATCGTCTACGGCGCTGGTATCGTGTGCGTTTAGGTTGCGGTTCCGCGCTTGCATGATGTGGTAGTAGGAGAGCCATTTCACGGAGTAGTCGGCGTGCTTGTTCATGGATGTTGGGTGGAGGGTGACGGTTTGGTTGTTTGTTACGTTGCGCCAGCCTTTGCCTTCGCGAGTGAGGAGTTTCGGGTAGAAGCTCCAGGCGACGACGGAGTTGACGACGGTGTCGTTTGCGCTGTTGAGATCGTAGTCTTCTGGAATGGTGAAGAATTGGCGTTGGCGGCCGCCGGATCGGGCGCTGGGTGTTTGTTAGCCTATGCTGGCAGTGACGGGGGTGGAGATTTACTTACCGGTTCAGAGCGGTCTTTTGCGCGCCGTCTAGGTTTAGGAGGCCTGTGTCTGCGATTGATACGATGAGCTGCATTTTGACATCTTCGATGCTTTGGAGCGTCTGGGGGTTGAGGAAGTTCTTGCGGCAGAAGCTGAATTCACTGGTGCCGGGTGTGCTTCTTGCGCGCTTCCAGCAGCAGTAGGCGTTGTAGATTGTCAAGAGATCCGAGTCGCCTGGAACGGTTTAGTATGGGGTCAGGTATGGAGGAGAGTTGAGCTGCTACTAACCTCTTTGGAATGATGCGCGTGCTGCATCACGTTGGGTGTTGGAGCCCATTGAGTTGACGAATGGTGACTTGGAGGACAGAATGGCCGCAATACTAACTGCCGCATCGAGACATTTGAAGAATGCTCCGTGGATGATTAGCTTGCCCAGGAATACATCCAAGGGGAGCTTCGCCAGTTGCGATCCTAAAGGTGTCAAGCTCTCGTTGCTGGTGAGAGCCTTGACTTCCTTGAGGGAGTCGATGGCACGTCGGATGTTCTTCGAAGATGGTGGGTCCAGGGCCTCGAGCAGTGTTGGCTCTACTTCACCCAGCTTACAAATCTTGACTCGCAGAACCAAGTCTTGCAATGACAGTCGGAGCATTTCTGGCGTTTGTTGTCCGGCGAGCTGCTCGTCGTTAGTACACTCTATAGAGAGGCTGGGGAGGTAATCCACTTACCAATTTATCATGACGGTATTTGGTGAATAGGTGGAAGCAGATACCGTTCTGGACACGACCAGCTCGACCTCGTCTTTGTTTGGCGTTGGCTCGGGAGATGAAGGACTCGACGAGTCGTGATAATTGTCTTCGTTCGTCGAATCTGATCGAAATAATTAGCAGTCTGTAACAACGCATCGAAGCTTGGAATTCAAACATACCGCATGGTCTTTTCAGTTCCTACGTCGACAACCGCTGTGATATCGGGAATAGTGATACCTAGAAAAGGTCAGAGATACTTCTCACTAGCCTCGATCGATGTTACATACCAGTCTCTGCAATGTTGGTGGCGATGACGATTTTCCTGAAGCCCTCGGGAGGTATGTTGAAGGCCTTTTCTTGATCTTCACTGGCGATGGAGGAGTGCAAGGCATGGACAATCCATCCCTTTTGGAAAGTTGGCTCCGACAAGACTTCATCATTCAGGCGACGAATCTCAGCTAAACCAGGCATGAACACCAAGATTGCCTTGCTATAATGCTCCATCTCAGACGCGGTAGCAATCTTCAACAGAAGTCTTTTGATAAGTTGATAATCAATCCGATACTCGTCAAAATTGACGATAGTCTCGCGAGTTTGCTTGGAATAACCCTCGAGACTTGCTTGAAGTCCTCCTGTGTTGTCACCGGTGTTGTCTGAAATCTCGTCTGGATCGTCGTCGAGAACGGTGTTTTTCTCGTCTTCAGACAAGCGATAGCCAGTCATCTCCACTGCATCTTCGAGATACTTCATTTCAACAGGGAACGTTCGACCAGGAATGTTCAGCACGGGAACACCGCCTAAATAAGTGGAGAAGCGCTGTGCTTCGAGCGTTGCAGACATGAGAATGAGTTTCAAGTCGGGACGCTTCAACATCAGCCTGCGGAGAACGACGAGTAGGAAATCACTATCGATAGTGCGTTCGTGGACCTCATCTAGAACAACGTGGGTGATGTCCTGGAAGTCATCTGGTCGCTCCAACATTCGCACGACAACACCAGTAGTCCTAGGTCCAGTTAGTCAATTGGGCACAAAAAGCAGGAATCAAAACGAAGCTACTTACGCATATACTAGACGTGTCGTCGAACTGATCTTGCTTTCCAATCTTACCGCAAAGCCGACAAGAGATCGGGTAGTTCCCACATCATTTTTGCTTTCTCCGAGTTCTTCGCTAACTCGTCTTGCCAGTGAGATTGCCGAGATACGACGAGGTTCCGTCACATACACTTTGCAGGGGCGGCCTTGGAGCATCTCATGCTCCAGGATATATGATGGAATCTGCGTACTCTTTCCACTACCGGTCTCACTGCAGATGATGAGGACGCGATGAGTTTCCAGGGTATCGAGAATCTCATCTTTGAAATGCCAGATGGGAAGAGTCATTCTGCCTTGCATCATCCGATGGAATGAAGGAGTTGACGATTTCGCTGCCCATATCTCACGCAGTTGATCATCCTGACCAAGGTAGCCAACATCTCTAGTGGGTCCTCTCATAGGACTGCCCGGCTTGCTGCCAACTCCGTTTCGCTTCCGGAAATTGTCCAGAAGTACGACATCATCTTCAAAAGTACTTTGGTTCTCCTGAACCAGGCGCTTGAGATCTTTAACCACCTCTTTGTCAATGTCATCCTCCTGTGTCTTCTTAAGACTGGAGAACTCCGTCCAAAGATCTCTCCAGACGGCAGGAAGTCGCAAGAAAGCTTTGCCTTCTTTCGAGTTTTGCGGGAAGATGATAAAGAGAGCAAGGGATGAGACGTATCCCTCAGCCTGCTGTGAATTTGGTGTCGCGAGCGCATCCATGGAAACAAAGGTAGCAAAGGCATTGGACTTGTGGGTAATTGATTCCACCGCTAGTGAGAAAGGCACCTCTTGGGGCTTCGACCATCGAACCTCC